CCTAACCCTAACCCTAACCCTAACCCTAACCCTAACCCTAACCCTAACCCTAACCCTAACCCTAACCCTAACCCTAACCCTAACCCTAACCCTAAGCAACCCTAACCCAAGGGCAGTGTGCATGCCTTGCAAGCATTTCAATTGCTGCTGCCACCAGGTCAGCTGCAGCCAGCTTGTCCCTGCCAAACTCTAGCCCTAGGCTTAATGCCAACAGGCAGGCCGTTGCACCCGCAGGAGTGTTGCAGCAACTTGGTGCTGCGCTGTGTGCGGCGCTGCACAATGCAAGGGGCTTGACAACAAACAGGCAGCAGAGGCTGGCAGTTCTCCTGTCCTGCCTTGCAGAACTTCCTCTGCTGCTCTAGATATCTGTTGTCTGGGCCTTACAGCTATGCACTGTGGAGCTTCCTGACTGTGCGCATGACGCAGTGCAGGCCTTGCTGACTGTTGTTGTTGTGCTGAGGCCTTGCTGCAGTGACAAGCTGGCTGAGGAAGATGCCACTGTTGTCCCACTGCAGCAGCTCACTGTCAGAAGGTGCCATCACTGCAATGTTGGCTGTGCCTGCATCTTGGGTGCTGAGGGCTGCACTGCAGCAATCTGCAATGTCTTGCTGGCCTGCAACGTGATGCGAGCCCTGCGAGCCTGCGTCGTCAGGGTTGAGCCGCGGCACGTCACGTGGCATGGCACCATACGCCCTTAAAGCCGAGCCGCTGCGCCCGACCGGGCAATGCTTCGCACCGCACAGGCCGGCCTCGCACCGCACCACCACCACCATGTCGCCGCCGCTCGTCTCCCGCGCCGCACACGCGCTCGGCGCCCGCTCGCTCAGCTCGTCGGCGCGCGCCGCCGCCAGCGCGGTGCGCAGCACGCCGGCGACGGCCGTGTCGACGCGCGCGCCGACGGCCGGCTTCGTCGGCGCCATCGGCAACACGCCGCTGATCCGCCTCGAGCGCCTGAGCGCGCGCATCGGCGCCAACGTGCTCGGCAAGGCCGAGTTCATGAACCCCGGCGGCAGCGTCAAGGACCGCGCCGCGCTGTACCTCGTCAAGGACGCCGAGGAGAAGGGTGAGTCGCGCAGCAGTGGAGGTGCGAGGCAGGCGCAGCGACGGCGGAGCCAGGTGCAGCGAGGACGACGCACAGCCAGCTGGCTGCCTCGACCCAGTCGCATCGCAAGCGCAGGAGCACGCGCGGCCGCACCTCAGGCGGTATGTGCTTGGCTGACTCGCGGCGCAGGCCTCATCAAGCCCGGCGGCACCGTCGTCGAGGGAACGGCGGGCAACACGGGCATCGGCCTCGCACACGTGTGCCGCAGCAAGGGCTACAAGTGCGTCATCTACATGCCCGACTCGCAGAGCCAGGAGAAGATCGACCTGCTGCGCATGCTCGGCGCCGAGGTGCACCCCGTGCCTGGTGAGTGCTGAGCGCCAGACCATGCGCTGTCCTGCCAGTGTTAACCCTTCATCAAGCGGTGCCTGTGTCCGACCCGAACAACTACAATTGGCAGGCGCAGCGGCACGCCGAGTCGCTCGACAACGCCGTGTGGACGAACCAGTTCGACAACCCGTCGGGCAACCGCCGCGCACACATCGAGACGACGGGCCCCGAGATCTGGGCGCAGACCGACGGCGGCAAGTTCGACGGCTTCGTGTGCGCCACGGGCACCGGCGGCACGCTCGCCGGCACGGCGCGCTACCTCAAGGAGGCGAGCGACGGGCGCGTCAAGATCTGGCTCGCCGACCCGCCGGGCTCGGTGCTGCACGCCTACATCCAGAGCGGCGGCGAGCTGCTCGACCGCTCGGGCGGCAGCATCACCGAGGGCATCGGGCAGGGACGCGTGACGGAGAACCTGAAGCCTGACATCGGCCTCGTCGACGACAGCGTGCGCATCGAGGACGAGGAGAGCATCCGCATGGTGTACGAGTGCCTCGCCGAGGAGGGCCTGTACATCGGCGCCAGCTCGGCGCTCAACGTCGTCGCGGCGGCAAAGATGGCCGAGAAGCTCGGGCCCGGCTCGACGGTCGTGACGATCCTCTGCGACGGCGCCTACCGGTGAGCACCGTGGTATGCGCGCTGCGCCGCACGCCTGACACCCTTGCTCTCAGGTATCAGCAGCGCCTCTTCAGCCGCAAGTGGCTCGAGAGCAAGAAGCTCGACACGGCCATCCCCGACCACCTGCAAAAGTACATCGGTGAGTCGGCACACACGTCTGCTGTTCGGCTAGCTCGCTCACGCACGCGAACAGTGCTGCCATAGACTGCTGCCGCGGCAGCCAGCACCACGCCTCCTCTTCGCGCGAGTCGGGAGAGAGAGAATGTGCATTAGATACCGCGCCAGAGGGAGAGCGGATCGGACGCCGGGGAGCATAGGGCAAGGAGCGTGCGATGGGAGCGGCCCATCGAGGAGCAGCAGCGTGCACGAGCTTGACGTGCATGCGCGACCGGAGCAAGGGTGGCCCGGCTTCACCTGCTGCTGCCGCAGAAGCGGCATAGCACAGAGCACATCAGAGCGCAAAGGCGGCCAGCACGGCGGCGCAGACGGCCGCAGCGCTGGGAGCACCGCGCGAGGACCACGCGCCGTTGGCGGGCGCACCCGTGCCCGACGCCGAGGCGGCCGAGGAACTGGCCGAGGAGGAGCTGCGCAGGACGTCAGCCGCAGAACGCGTCACACAGCGCGCAGCACTCACGCGCGGCTGCTGCTGCTCGCGCCCGTGAACGTCGACGTGCCGCTGCCGATCGACGTGAACGTCGACGTGCCCGTGGTCGTCGTGCGGCCAGCGCCGGGGCCGGCGGCGGCGCTCGTGGAGCTGCTGGCGGGCGCCGAGCTCGATGGCGCGGGCGCAGCGCCGGCGGCCGGCGCGCTCGAGGCGCCCGTGGCGGCGGCGGCGGCGCCGACGCTCACGTTGCCGGTGACGCAGTCGTCGGTGGAGCCCTCGCGGACGGTGACCTGGCCGGTGAAGTTCTGCACGCTGCGGAGAAAGGTCAGCCGCGGACACAGACCAGCAGCGGCAAGGCAGCGCACCCAGTGTCTGCAGGAAGAGGTCAGCACGGCACGGCAGCAGGCAGCACAGGCGCACACGCACCATCGTTGATGATGAACGTCAGCGTGATGCCCTCGGCGACGTCTGTGCGTGCGGCGTCAGCAAATGGGCGGAGAGGCAGACACGGCACGCGACGCAGCAGAGAGTCAGGAAAAGTCGTCCTCAGCCTCAAAGGTGAGGAGCTAGGAAATTAAAACATATATGGCATCATGGTAGGCGAGGCGGCGTCGAGAGAGCAGAGAGAGCAGCACGGCAGCAGCGAGCACACCACCCCAGCACTCACCAACGGTCCACGTGTACACGCCCGAGTCGCCGCGCTGCACGGGGAAGACCTTGATGGGCGCGGCGGCCGTGTTGGTGCCGACGACGGCGGAGATGTAGACGCTGCCCTGCGCTGCGGGCGGAGAGCGAGTGCTCACATGTGAGTGGTGGTGGAGCAGAGGCACGATGCATCGCACTCACCGCCCGACCAGCTCAGTGCGGCCGGCTGGCACGTCGTGAGCGTCACGGGCGTGTCTGCGGCGAGCGACGGTCAGCAAGCGGGCAGCGGCGCGCGGACTTGTGCGTGGGGAGCGTGCAGCAGCAGCAGGCAGCGCCAGCCACGGCGGCATGCTGCACCTCCCACACACTACAACTCACTCAGCAGCGCAGCGGCGTGCGCAACACTGCCCAGCGACAGCGCCACGGCGGCAGCAAGGAGCGGCGAGAAGCGCGGCATGATGGCAGAGATAGTGGGAGGTGGAGAGGATGGGTGAATAGAGAGACGGAGCGAGAGACGAGGCAGCGAGAGCAGGGGACGGGACGCACGACGGACGGCCGCTCAGCGAGCCCTCTTGAGCGCCGCCGACGATGCTTGCCCGCTGCTGCTGCGCCTTGTCTCTTCTACGCCGGCATCCGCGCTCGCCGTGGCCAAGCAGCGCCGGCCGCGAGTGTCGGCACAGGCGTTCGCGAAAGAACTGCGCGAGGGGCGCTGCGGCACCGCCCTGTCCCTCTCTGGCGGCTGAGTGGCTCGGGCGCACCCCTGTGCCCTGACGATCACGCCACGCACGCCGTCTCTCGCCGCCCAGTCCGCGCTCTCAACGGCAGCGTTTGCACGGCCAAGTGCCGCGGTTTGGGCAGCCGAGGAGCCGCATATAGGAGCGGTGCTGACGCTGCATGCAGCCCCGTGACTCCTGCGTGGTCGCCCGCCATGGAAGATCCCTACCGCTGAGAGAGAGTCCGAGGCAGAGCAGGCTGCGTGGCTGCGCTGTTGTGTTGGCAGCAGCGATGTGCAGAGAATGTGCATGCATCCGCCCATCTCCGAGGCTGCGCGCTGTCGAGGTGTCTCCTCGCCCCTGCGAGCGAGCCTACAAGAGGAGCGATGGCCCGCAGCTGGGGCTCAGGAGTGCTGCCGCCGTGGCGGGTGTGCGCCTCGGCGCCGCTCTGGGCCTTGAGCGCTGAGCCGCACCGCATCTGGCTCCTGTTGAGGGCTCAGAGATGGGCCGGCGTCCTCCTCCCACAGTCCTACCTCATCGACGGGGTGTTGCGGGCTTGGGCATGTTGCGGCCTCCTCCCGCCGGACGCTACCGGGCGTGTGCCGCCTCGTCGCAAGCCCCCTGAGCGCGCGCCGGTGCCAGCGCGCAGATCCGTAACGTCGCACACCCTTGACACACAGATGCTGCCACTGGCCTATCTGTAGGCGCTGGACTGCGCCTGCCTGTGTGCAGCAGCTCACGGCGCCTCGCTCGCCTGACAGCTGCCGGCCTCGCTGCTGTGCGGCTGCTGCGGTGGGCCGCACGACGGCGACGCGCCAAGACGCAAGACGCACAACGCGCGCAGAGACAAAGCAAGACGCGCCGGCGAGGCAAGCGGCGCAAGCGCACACGCGCTTCTCTCTCTCATCCCTCACCTCCGCTCCACCTCGCGTCTTCTCAGCGGCAGGCACCGCACCCTGTCTCTCCTCTGCGCTGTGCTGCAGCTCGCGTCCACCCTCTCGCGCCTGCGCCATGTCTGCGCCCGCCGCCGTCAGCCACTCGACGCCGCCGCCGCTGCTCGTCGCGCAGTACGTCGAGCTCACGTCGGCGTCCACCGGCGCGCTGCCCTCGGCCTCGCCCGCCGTGCCGCCGCCGCCGGCCGGGCGCGGCGCGTCCAGCAGCAGCGCTCCCGCCGGCGCCGGCAGCCGCGTGCTCGAGTCGCTGCCCGAGGCCTCGCACGTCAACGCCCTCGCCGAGGCGCGTGGTCCCTCGCCCGCCGGCCTGCCGGCGTCGCTGGCGCGCGACGTCGACGCCGCCCTCGCCGGCCTGGCGCCGGCACAGCGCGCCAAGACGCACCTGTGCAGCGACGGCTACGACGTGCTCGCCGTGCCGCTGGCCAACGAGCGCTGGCGCGAGCGCTGGGAGCGCCTCTGCCTCGCGCCGCACCCGTCGCCGGCGAACGGCCACATGGCCGCCGCAGAGGGCGCGCAGGCGGCGCACCTGGCCAACCCCGGCGCCATGGGCGGCTCGTGGGAGCTGCTATCGCGCGGCGCTGGCGGCGGCATGGCGCGCTCCAGCTCGCGCCCGCTGGCCCTGGCACATGCCACGGGCGCTGCTGCGTCGGCGGCGGCCGCTGCTGCTTCGCCGCACAACGCCGACGCGACGCAGCGCGAGGCCGAGGAGTGGCGCCGCGCACCGGCGTTCCGGAGGGGCGAGGTCAACATCTCGAAGCTTGGTGCGTTTGCAGACGCCGTGCGCCGCACCGCGTCGCTCACCCAGACCTGTCTGCAGAAGAGACAGACGGGCTCATCGCCGTGCTGAGCCCCTGGCTCGAGCTCGACTCGCCCGACGAGGGCGTGCGCATCGATAGCGAGATTGTGAGTAGCGCTGCATACGCCGCTGCTGCTCTGGCTCACACGCGGCACAGGCGCTGCGGCAAGAGGTGGCATATGCCTCCTACCTCGGCATCGCGCACGTCGTGCTGCCGGCGCCGTCGAGCGAGCCGAGCCACGCGCCGTTCCTCGCATCGTATGCGCGCGCAGTGAGCGCGTGCCTGAGCAGCGGCGGAGCCGAAGGCGCGCCGGCGGGCAGCTGGATGCAGGTGCGTAGAACCTGAGCCCTTCTTCTCGCCGTGGCTGACCCGCCGCAGCTCTCGGTCCGGCTGCCCGTCTCGTCGACGTATGCGGCGCAGCAGCAGCTCGTGCGCCAGGCGCGCGCGAGCGCTAGCAGCGTCAGCGTCGAGAGCAGCGCGTCGGAACGCAGCAGCGCCAACCTGCGCGCCGACAATGACTGGGCCTGGACGACGTGGGAGCGGCTGCGGCATCTGTGCGCCTACTCGCCGCGCCTCAGCGTGGCGCTCGACCTCTGCGCACCGCTGCCGCCCGCTGCGGCACTTGCGCGCTGGCCGGCCGAGCCCGTCGGCGCCGTGTTCCTGCCGGCGCGCGCCTTTCTTGCCAACGCCAAGGGCTTTCCGGTGCTTTCCAAGGCGTCGCAGGCGCTGCTGCGCGCGCTCCTGCGCCGGCGCCCTCCCGTCGTGCTTTCGGGCGTGCACGAGCCACCAGCGCGGCACAGCCGAGGCGTGCCGGCGGCGTATCTGCAGTACGTGCGCCATCTCGAGCGCAGCGCACCACCAGAGAGCGCCGTCGATGTCTTTGCGCGTGGCTACGGCGACTGGCTGCAGGCGCCGCTGCAGCCGCTTATGGACAATCTCGAGGGTACGACGTACGACGTCTTCGAGCGCGATCCCGTCAAAGTGAGTCAGATGCGCACTCCCGCCATACGCGCGTGCTGATCCTGCACAGTATCAACTATACGAGGAGGCCGTCTTCCAGGCGCTGAGCGACCGCCCGGCGACGGCGGGCACGGCGTCCGTGTGGGTGTGCGGAGCCGGGCGTGGCCCGCTGGTCAGCCGCGTGCTCGCCGCGGCGACGCGGGCCCGGCGCAATGTTCGCGTGGTGGCCCTCGAGAAGAACGCCAACGCGCTCGTGAGCCTGCAGGACAAGTCCGTCACCGAGTGGGGCGAGCGAGTCGAGGTGCGCTTCGGCGACATGCGCAGCGCTGCCGTGCCGCCCGACGTGCGCGACCGCGCCGACATTGTCGTCTCCGAGCTGCTCGGCAGCTTTGGCGACAACGAGCTGAGTCCGGAGTGTCTCGACGGCGCGATGCGCTTCTTGAAACGTGAGTGCGAGCCCTGACATGCGCCTCGCAACGCATGCTGATGATGCGCAGCGAACGGCATCTCGATTCCCGCATCCTACACACCCTTCCTCTCGCCGCTTTCCTCCGCCAAGCTGCACCACGAGGTGCTGAGCACGGGCGCCAACTCCAGTGCGGGGCCCTCGGTCGGCAGCCTCGTCGACCGACAGACCAAGTCGGCCGAGACGCCGTACGTCGTCCTCTTCCAGGCCGTCGCCCACCTCGCGGCGTCCGGCGGCCGCGGCAACTGGGAGGCGGTACAGCACACCTGGACGTTTGAGCACGGGCCGGTCGAGAACACGCCGACGGTGCGAGATGCCAGCGGTGAGCCTCGTCCTCTGTCATGCGCGACCACGACAGCTGACACTCCTTCAGGCCTGCCGATAACGAACCTGCACAACATTCGCTCCTCCACGCACACCTTCCACATCCCGCACGCCGGCGTCTGCCACGGCCTGGCGGGCTACTTTGAGGCGCACCTCTACGGCGACGTGCACTGCTCCATCCATCCCGATCCAGCACGCGGCTCGCCAGACATGCTCAGCTGGTTCCCGATCTTCTTCCCCTTCCGCGTGCGTTGCGTGCAGCTCGCCGCCATCGCGTCCAGCTGACATCCCTCTGCAGGACCCGCTCTACCTGCCCGCACAGGCCGAGCTCGACGTGCACATGTGGCGCTGCACCTCCGGCCGCAAGGTCTGGTACGAGTGGGCTGCCGAGGCATACCTCAGTGCCGCCGCGCTGGCGCCGCCGCCGCTCGGCGCATCGGGCAGCACGGCCAGCGCACACACCGTCTCGGCCGGCGCGCAGCCGCAGCGTGCCGCGTCCGGCACCTCGCACATGAGCGAGGGCGCCGAGAGTCTGGCGTCGGCCACGTCGTCCGCGCCGCCCTTTCAGAACGCGCCGCACACACCCATGCTGCCCTCCGTCGGCCTGCCGGGCGGTGCCGCTGCGTCTGAGCCGCCCAGCCTCGGCATGGGCCAGCCGCCGCGCGCGGCCTCGACGAACGCTGGCGCAGTGCAGTTGCAGCGCATCAAGATCGCGCAGACGGCGCTGATGAACCCCGGCGGGCGGAGCTCGTGGGTGGGCATGTAGAGCACGCCAGGCGCGGGCCTGTGCGCGCGCCTCTGCGAGCGCATGTGGCCCTGCACGTCCGTCTCCGCACAGCACGACTGCACGCAGGCATGCAATGCAATTGTCATCGATCCGGGTCAGTGCGAGGAGGGTATCTAATGCGGCGTGTATCGTGGAGTGAGGGTCAGGAAAAGGCGGGCACGCCGGCTCGAGGCAGAGAAGCCTTGCCCTGCTGCTTCGCGAGAGCGCGTCGGGCAAGGGCGTCTTCTTCGCGCTCCTTGCGCACTAGCGGTTGCGCGATCGCGGCAAAGAGGCGCTCCTCGCCGCCAAACAGAGTGCCGCGGAAACCGAGACCGCGGCGGTGTGGTGTGATGGCGCTGCGGGCGCGGTGCAGCTCGCCTAGGCGGCTCGGCATCATCGCCGTGCGGCGGCGCTTCGACGCTCGCGAAGCGGCTGGTCGCTCACGCGCTCCCGCCGCGCAAGTAGCGTCTGTCAGCGCAGCCTCGTAGATCGAGTCGATAGGCGCTTCAGGCAGAGCACCTAGCGACTCGACAAGTCGCTGCCAGGCCTCATCGGCGCAGGTCACGCGGAGACCGTCGACGCCGAGCTTGCGCAGACGACTGGGACGAGCTCGTGGAGCCTTGGCGCCCGGCCCGGTGGAGCAGAAGCGCTCGAACGTCGTGATTGCGGCCTCTTCTGCTCGCTGCAACTCGAGCTCGAGACGCGCAAGGCGCTGCTCTTCGCTTGCAAGCAGCGCGAGCACGTCGCCAGGAGTGAGCGGTGGCCTGCCGGGCACTGGCGTGGCAAGACAGATGACGTGGTGCGCCTTGCGCTTCGGACCCGAATGCGATGCGGCAAAGGACGTGCCACAGAGCAGACAGCGCGGCAGAACACGAAAGCGCGCAGGCGCAGCAGCGTGCAGCTCCGTAAGCTCGTCGCTGCGGGAATGGCGATGAGCACAGGGCCGCCTGCGGCTACGCTCTGCCACGTCAGACTCACGTGTCCGGCAGCGCAACCTGAACAGTCAGCTTGCTCTGTACCAGCTTGGCGCGCAGTGGCTCGTCGGCGCTGCTGTCGCTCGATGAGCTCTCGCTGCGCTCTCGACGTCGCCGGCGTGGTGTGACCGAGTTCTGCGCCGCCGGCGCGATATTGTCCAGTGGCAGGAGCGCGCGCTCGTCTTGCTGCGAGAGCCGTGGCCGCTCTTCTGGCGGCTCGGCCACCTCGCAGACAGGGCTTGGCGCCCGGCCCGCGAGCCAGGCAACGCGTTCCCTCTCCAGGCGCCGCTCCTGCTCGCTGACGCGGTCGCGTTCGGCCTGCTCGGCCGCCCGCTCGGTGCGCGCCTGCTCTTCCACTGCGGCACGCACGCGAGCCTTCTCTGCCGCAGCCGCGAGACGGATGGCAGTGAGGTGCTCGAGATCAAGCGACGACGACGCCTTGAGCACGGCGCGCAAGCACAGCTGCGAGGCCGAAGGCGGCTCAGCAGCCACGGCCGGCGGTGGCGCCGACGGGCGCGTGGCGGCAAAGAGCAGCGAGCGGCCGGCAGCGTCGACGTGCGCCGATGACACTGCGACAGCGCGAGGCGTCGGCGGCGAAGAGAGCGGCGCGGGACCTGGCGACGGCGAGCATCGGCGCGCAGGAGCAGCCGCGTCTGGCGGCAGCCGCGATGGGCCCGCGATTGCGAGGCTGGTGTCCAGGCGCGCCGGTGGCGCAGCGGGTCGCTTGACGGGTGATGTGGTGCGCGAGCGCTTGAGCGCGCCGCCAGCAGCCGGCGCCGCGTGTCCAGGCGCACGCTTGGCGGGCGAGGTGCTGTGAGAGCGCGCTGGCGGAGCGGCAGGCGCACGCACCGGCGCGGCCTCCTCCTCGTCCGAGTCGGGCACGTAGATGACGCAGGGTCGCGATGCGGCGGCAGGTGCCGGCGCCGGTCGTGCTGCCGCAGCGGGCGCCGGCACAGCAACAGGAGCATACAGCGCAGCCGGCGTGCGGCGCGGCGGCGGCGCAGAGAAGACAGAGGCAGGCGCAAAGTGGCGCGCCGGCGCGGCGCTGCGGAACGCGCCCTTGGAGCGCGGCAGGCGCGGCGAGGCGGGTGCGGCAGGTGCAGACATGGCCGTGTCTGTGCTGCCGCTGCTGCTGCTGCCCGACGCACTGGCGGCGGCGCAGCGGGCCAGCGCGCTGCTGTGCAGCGACACGGCCGGCGCGACGCAGCTGAGGCCGAGCGGGCGGGCGCGCGGGCGCGGGCGCGGGCGCGGGCGCGGGCGCGGCGACGGCTGCTGCTGCGGCGCCCGTGCGCCGTGCTGCGGCGGCGAGGGCGAGGGCGAGAGCGAGAGCATGGCGGCGGCAGCAGCGCCGCGGCGCAGGCGGGAGGATGGAGGCGGGAGGCAGGAGGCAGGCTGCTGGCGCGCGGTGTTGGCGTGCGGAAAGCAACAGATCGGGGCGCGACACGATGCGCTGCACCCTGGCGGCGGGCGCGTGCGACTCCCGCGCGCCACTTTCGCTCCACAGAGCGACAGACTCAGCTCAATACAAATCTGTGGCTGCATTCAGCTCGCTGTATTCCCACGCTGCCTGGCGCTGTCGCCGCCTTCGCTTCCTTCCTCCACCCCCGCTGCTCGCTGCCGCACACCATGAACGCTGCCAAGGCATCCGCCGCATTCGGCGGCGACGGGCCCTCGGCGCCGCCGCCGTCGTCGTCGTCGCCATCGTCGTCGGCCGTCGCACTCGCCGATGCCTCGGGGTCGGCGGCGCCGGCGCCGTACAAGGCGCGAGCGGCGCGCAAGCAGATCACCACGGCGCGCCTCGCCGCCATCCGCCAGGAGGCCGACAAGAGCGGCAACACGGGCCAGGCCTACAACATCTGGTACAACAAGTACAGCGGTGGCGAGCAGGGCGACAGCATGGGCAACAAGACCAAGGCACAGACGCGCTGCGACGTCGCGCGCGACGCCGGCTACACGCGCGGCGACAGCGCCGCCGTGCGCCCGTACATCTGTCTCTTCTTTGCGCGCGGCTACTGCCCGCTGGGGTGAGTGAGAGCGGATGCGGACGGCCGTGGAGAGGCAGTAACGGAGGCAGCTGCGGTGGAGGCATGCAGTGGAGGCAGCTGCAGCCGAGGCAGAACACGCTTGACAGGAACACTGGCTGCTGTCGGCACGGCTGCACACGCCCGCAACCAATCTCCACTGCTGGACCGCGCTGACCGCACGCACAGCTCGGAGTGCAACCACCTGCACCGGCTACCGGCCGCCGCCGGCATCTCGGAGCAGGGGCGCGACATCTTCGGGCGCGACAAGCACGGAGACTACCGCGACGACATGGGCGGCGTCGGCTCGCTGCAGCGCGTCAACCGCACGCTGTACGTCGGGCGCATCATCGAGGAGGCCGACTCCTTCTCGCGCCCGCAGAGCGCCGGCGGCGGCGGCGCCAATATGCCCGCCGGCGGCGGCGGCTGGGCCGGCGGCAAGGTGCTGCAGCAGGCCAAGGCCAGCAGCGGCGCGGGCGGCAAGCTGCGCAAGGAGGGCAAGGAGCAGATGTCGGGCACGGAGCGCGTGCTGCGGCGGCACTTTTCCGAGTGGGGCGAGATTCAGCGCAGTGAGTGGCAGCGCGGCTGTGCGGCACGGCGGCATGCTCATCTGCCCCCAGTCAAGGTGCTGCACACGCGCTCGTGCGCCTTCGTCACGTACGTGCACGAGGCGCAGGCGCAGTTTGCCAAGGAGGCCATGTCCAACCAGTCGCTCGACCACGACGAGGTGCTCAACGTGCGCTGGGCCACCGACGACCCCAACGAGGGCGCGCAGAAGCGCGACCGCGACGAGCGCGAGAGTGAGGGCCGCGCGGCCATCGAGCGCAACCTCACCGACGAGCAGCGCGCCGCAGGCGCCGCGGTGCGCGCCCTCGAGATGGCCGAGCTCGAGGAGGAGAGCGACGCCAAGCGGCGGCGCCTCGAGGAGGAGGCGTACGCCAAGCTCGTCGAGGAGAACGAGCGCAACTGGGCGGAGATGGAGGCGCAGGAGATGCTGCGCCTGCAGGCCGAGGAGGAGGCGGCGCTGCAGCAGCAGACGAGCCGCTTCGTGAGCCGCGAGGCGCTCGGCGGGCTGCTGGCGCTGCGCAAGGAGCCGCCGCCTCCGGCGCCGAAGCAGAGCGCGCTCGGCGGGCTGGCGGCGTACGGCAGCGACAGCGAGGAGGAGTAGCCGGCAATCGCATCCACTTGCAGGCTACAGCGTCTGGTGCTGCATGAGGTGTGAGGTGAAGTGAGTGTACGTGCTGCTCACCACGCAGCGTGCGTCACGCTCGGCACGCAGGCGCACACTGCAGTGCAGGCAGGTACATAGAATTGCATCCAGAGACGATGCTCAGCGGCGCAGGCTGGAGGCATTGAGCGCGCGCGTGGCGGCAAGCAGCGTGCGGAAGCAGAGCACGTTGCCCGTCCACCACAGGCCGGTGCGGATGAAGCTGGCGCGCAGGTCGGTGATGCCGAGGTACGCCACGGCAAACGCGACGCGCACGGCCAGGTACTTTGCGGCGAAGCGGTTGATCTGCGACGCGGGCAGGCCGGCAAAGACGCCGAGCAGCTGTGGCACGGTGTGAGCGCGGACAGGACAACGCGGAAGGTGTCATGTCGCCCACACAAGGCGACTGCTGCAGCTGCTGTGCCCTCATGTCGCCAACTCCGTGCATCAATGCATCACGCGTCTCTGTCATCGCCATGCTGCGCGTGCTGCCCTCATGCAGCTACCCCCTGCAGCTCACTCACGACGCTGCCGATGAAGAGCGGCAGGTGCTCGATGGCGTTGGCGTGCAGGCCCTCGTTGCGCTCGAGCAGCGCCAGCTGGGCGCGCGAGATGCGGCGGCGCTGCACGGCCGCCTCGCCCTTGCGCGCCGTGTCGCCGCGCGGGCAGACGTTGTCGTCGATGCCGTAGATGTTCTTGAGCAGGCGCGTCGAGCACACGACGTGCGAGAGGACGTAGGCGGCGACGATGGCGGGGCCGGCGGCATGTGCGGCGCGCCCGGCGGTGAGCGCGTTGCGGTCGAGGCCGGCGGAGATGCTGCTGGCATGAGTGCGGTGCGCGGTATGCGGCAACGGGCGACTCACACGGACATGCTGGGCGGATGTGCGAGAGTGTGGGTGCGAGTGAGGGTGAGGGTGAGGGTGCGAAGGCAGGGTCAGCGGTGCGCCTCGCCGTCTGACCGGCTCCGCCGTCGCCGAGCCGGAGCAGCGCGATGCGGGGCACTGGCAGGTGGAGGCGGCTGCTGACGTAAGCGCGAAGGTGCCGCTCAGGGTGCGCGCTTCCTCCTTGCTGCGCCACTCTTCTTCTTGCTGCCACCACCACCATGGACGCCGACGACGACCTCTCCGGCAACGGCGCCGCACTCGTCGCACAGGGCGCGGCGAGCGAGAAGACGGCGCACCTGCGTGCCGACCTGCACCCGGCCGCGCCGCTGCCGCGCCAGGAGCTGGCGGCGCTCGGTGCGGCGCTGCAGGCGCACCTCGACGATGCTGTGCGGGCCCTCGGCTACCTGTGGCACCGCGAGCGGCCGCGCATCCGCGTCGCCGCCGACGGCGCTGCGCTGCGCCTCTTCCTGCGCACCGGCGCCAGCCTCGACGACGAGTGGCTCGTGCTGCACCTGCTGCGCCGCGCCCAGGCGCAGCCGCGCTTCGCCGGCCTCGCCGCCGCCGTGCGCGACGAGGACGGCGACGTGCTGCTCATCGAGGCCGCCGACGCGCTGCCCGAGTGGCTCACGCCCGAGTGCGCCGCCGGCCGCTGCTGGCTGTGGCAGGGCGCCGTGCACCTCGTCGCGCCGGCCGCCGGTGCGGCGCCCGCGCCGCTGTCCGCCGCCGAGGCGCTGCCCGTCGTGCGCTCCGGCGCCGCGCTGCACCCGGCCATCACCGCGGCGGCGTTTGCGCGCCTCGCCTCCTACCCGTCGCTCGAGTGGGCCAAGCTCTCGCTGCACTCGACGCTCGCCTATCTGCCGCGCCGCGCCGCCGCGCTGCTGCACGCCGAGCCGCAGCTCATCAGCGCTGCCGCCGAGGCGCTCGAGGGCCGCGAGGGCCCGCGCGATGCGCGCGTGTGCGCCGCCATGGCCGTCTTCGGCCCGGGCGCCGCAGCTGGAGCAGTCTCGTCGCCTGCAGCTGCGTCGCCACACCCGCCGCAGCTCGGCACGGCGCTGCGCGACGGCACGGTGCTGACGCCGCTGCGTATGACGCGCCAGATGTACGCGGCGCTCCTCACGCAGCGCTTCTTCCCGCCAAAGCCCTTCGGCGCCGAGTGGCGCTCCGCCGTCGAGCTCTGGTGGGCACTGTGCGACGAGGAGCGCCACCCGGACGCAGAGGGCCGCCGCAGCGTGCTGCCGAGCGACGAGGAGGCGCGCACCAAGATCAGAGAGGAGGGTCGCCGGCGAGACCTGGGCGCCAAGCTCGCCGCTGGTCTTGAGATGCTCTACGCGCAGGCGAAGGAGCGCGGGCCGCGCAATCGCCACATGGCCGTGAGTCGTGAGGCAGCTCCGCGCCTGTGCGGCACTGACACCCGTGCGCAGGACGACCCGCGCAGCCTGCCGGAGTACAAGAGCTTCCTTGCCTCGCTCACCACGCTGGGCTACTTCGAGCAGCAGCTCGAGGGCAGCGCGCGCTGGCAGGAGCTGGAGCGCGCCGCGGTGGAGAAGTGGGTGGCGCTGCAGCCCGAGGGTGACGACGCGGAGGACGAGGGGTGAGTGTGTCTTGGCTGTGCTGTGCAGCACGCTCTGACGCCTTGCCGCAGCCATGTCAACGACGATGCATTTGCGCTGGTCAAGCGCTTGCTCGCAGAGACTTCGGAGCAGGCAGCCACGCTGCAGGGCATCGACCCGTCCTCCTCGCGCGCCGTACTCAGCGCTTACGAGGACCCCGACGGCTTCCTCGATGACGAGCCAGACGGGCTGGCGGAGCAGGATGGAGAGCAGGAGAACCCCGAGGAGGCGGCAGCCGAAGAGCAGCTCAAGGCTTTTGCCGAGCGCCTCGAGTCGTTCGTCGACGCTGACGGCGACGTGGACGGCGCGCTCTTCGACGACGAGATGGGCAGCGACGATGAGGAGGATGCGCTGGCGCAGGCCAAGGCTCGCGTCGCGGGCATGTCGGCCGTCGAGCGAGAGGAGGCATCGCGGAAGCTCGTGCCCGCGCTGCAGGAGAACGAGTGGGGCGCGCGCAACAACGAGGATGTCAAGCGCGCTGCACAAGAGGCACGCAAGGCCGCAGACGCGATGAACGTGGATGATCAGCGTGCGGCGCCGCACGCGCCGGCTCCGGTGAATGACCCATCAGCACAGGCGAGCAGCGCGCCAGCGCAGGCGACCAGTGCCTCTGCACAGGCACCCATGGAGACATACGAGCCGCCCGAGGACCTCTCGCTGCCCGAGGCGAATGCCGCCGCGCAAAAGGCTGCTCGCGCGGCAATGGAGAAGGCCTCGTCGCGCCTCACTGCCACCAAGGTGCGGTACGATGGCGCGTCAGACTCGGAGGAGAGCGTCGACTCGGAGATCCTGCGTGCCGGCGAGACCGCCGAGGAGCGGCGCGAGCGCGCGCGCTGGCTCGACATGGAAGAAGAGGAGCAGGACGACAAGGAAGGCGATGACGAGGAGCTGGGTGACCCGAACATGGAGGACGAGCTGGCCGGCTTCCTCGAGTTCACGCGCAAGAGCCTCGGCCTGTCCGACGAGCAGTACGAGGCGATTCTCAGCGAGCGGCGCGGCAGAGGCGCCTTCGTGCCCAACGCGTCTACATCGTCTCAAAAGGCTGCCAGCAACACGCCTGCTGCGGACACTACGGACGAGGCGACGCTGAAGGGCAAGAAGAAGGCGCCCACACGATTCGACCTGCACGATCCGGCGGTCATGGAGTCTCTGCCGGCCTCGCGTGTTGCCAAGCGCGCTGCGGGCTCGCCCGCACCCTCGCAGCCGACGCCGGCGCCCGGTGAGCGCGGCGGCACGCCCAAGCCACTGCCAGCCAGCGCCGCTGCCGCAAGCAGCAAGAGCAAGCTCACCAGCTCGAGTGCACCGCGCACCTCGGCGTCAGAGCGCGCTGCGGCGGGTGCGCGTGCTGAGGCGGTGGCGCAGGAGGCCGAGCGGCGTGCGGCGCTGCGCCAGAGCAGCGAGGCGTCGGGCCGCGCTCCCAACGCCGAGCTCAACAGCTTCGAGAAGGTCATGGCCGCGCTCGACGCCGAGCTGGCCAACCACAAGCTCGGTGCACGCCCGTCTGCGCCTTCCGCCGGCGCAGCAGCCAGCTGGGCCGGGCCGCAGGCGAAGCCCACGCTGCCGCCGCCACCCGCGCCGCAGCCACCACGGCGAGCGCGCTTCGAGGACGATGACGGCGACGCACGCATGGGCGGCAGCGACGACGAGGAGAGCGACGACGAGGAGCTCTCCGCGCAGGATGCCGAGCTGCTGGCGAAGCTCTCGGGCTCGGGCCTGCCCGCAAGCCTGCAGGCGCTGAGCGGCGAGGGCGGCGAGCAGGCGCAGAGGGAGATGCTGCAGAACCTGCTCATGAGCTTCAAGGGCCAGGGCGCGGCGCCGGGCCCCGTGGGCAACCTGGCGGGCCGCCTCGGCACGCGGCTGCCGAGCGATCTGGACCGGTGAGCCAAATGCCATACCATTACAGTGCGACTGCCGGTCACTTGTCCCACACCTGCACGCTCCAGACGAGGAAGAATGTGTCCTCTCGCCGAAAGTCTGCGCGGCGGCGGCGTCAGCAGCCGGTGGCGCTCCCGCTGTGCAGCACGCACGCTTGGCGCCCTGCTTCTCCTGCTCGCTGAACTCCTGCCGCGTGGTCTCCACCTTGACGTGCTTGTCCGGCAGTGCTGTCCTCCACAGCGCCTCGAAGCTGGCCTCGTTGTGGGCCCAGCGGTTTGCCACAAGCGATGAGTGCACGCCGTCGGCCGTGGCCCATGTGCCGGGCGACGGCAGCGCAATCTGGCGGCCCAGCACGAGCGACGGCGCTGCAGCGGTGCCGGGCGCCAGCAGCGCGCCGAAGTGTCGTGCCAGCTGCTGCTGTGCCTCTGCATCGAAGAGGTGGAAGAGCGAGGCGGCATAGAGCACGCGCACGCGGCCGCTCAGCGCCGAGAGACTGTCGGACGTCGCGGACGCGCCGGTGCCGAGGAAGGCGGCGTCGAAGAGGTCGCCGAGCAGGAAGCGCACGCCGCAGCTCTCAGCGTCGTCGCGGAAGAGCTTGTGGCCGTGTTCGAGGAGCACAGGCCGCAGCTCAGCCCCGACGGCGCGGCCGTGCCAGCCGTGGTGCGCCAGCCAGCGCGCGTCACTGCCGAGCGCACAGCCGACGTCGAGCGCGACCTGCTCGGCGCTGCTGCTTGCCGCCAGCTGCTCGACGAGCGCGTAGGCCGGGTGCATGGCGATACCAAACTGCAGATGCAGGAACATGACTGTGTGCGGAGATGTCTCAGTCCTGCACGGTGCAACGTGTCGCTCCTGGCGCACTCAGACACGGATAGTCGACGTCGGCGTACGCGGCACGAGACGCGGCCACCAGGTGCTCGAGCAGCGCATCGTCGGTGTGCGGCTCGTGCGGCACGATGGTGCGCAGAAAGGGCAGCGCGTGTGGTGCCTTTGCCAACGCCGGCTCGAGCAGCGTCGTGCTGAAGGGCGTGCCGGGCATCTTGTGTCTTGCGAGGAGTGGTGGCCGGAAGCAGGGCGGCGAGCAGCGCTTCCGGGAGCCGACCGTCTCGAATGCCCCGTGCGCAGCCGCGCTTCCTCCGCGCGCGCCGCGGCTGCGGTTCTTCCGCATCGTGGTCTGCACTCTGACTGTCTGGACCACTATCTTGGCCTCTGACAGCCCTCGCAGTCATCCTCACGGTCACGAGTACAGCACACAATTCGCCTGAATCTCTCAGCTTGCACACCCATGTCTTTGGGCTCCCAGATAGGCACACATCGTTGACGTGCGTGCGTTCACAACGCCTACAGACGGGACACGCGATGGGAAGCATCGTGCTCGTACTCGATGCTGTTGCACAGCGTGCCGATGCCGCCGCTGATCTCCACCTGCGCACTCGTCAGCAGCAGCACATCATTTGTGCACAGGGAGCTCACCTCGAACTCGTCGCCGTGCTTGAGGGTGACTGGGGGCTTGAAGAAGGTGCCGACGCCCGCCGGCGTGCCCGTGAGGATGATGCTGCCGCGCTCCAGCGTCGTGCCCTGCGAGATAAAGGCAACGGCGCGGGCGACGGAGAAGACGAGGTTGGAGAGCGGCGCCGACTGCACCTCGCGCCCGTTGAGGCGGCCGCGGATGCGCTGCCCGCTGCTGCTCGGGTCGCCGAACGCGGCGGCCGACACGAGGCAGGGGCCTGAGGAAGCGTGAGCAGGGAGATGCGGAGCGGTGGAGGGCTTGCCTCACCAAGCGGGCATCTGAGCTGGCGGTGTCAGTGCTTTGTGCAATCAGCACTCGCCACGCACACTCACGCCGTGTCAAAGCCCTTGCTGCGGCTCCTGCGAGCAGAGCGTGCGTCAGCGCAGCTGCTCACTTCGCAGACTCAAGGCCGCGCACCACTGGCTCGTCTCGAACTGCGCCTTGCGCGCCGAGATGTCGTTGGCGGCCGTGTAGCTGCCGGCGGGTCAGCGCTGCGCAAGAGGGAGGGGCAAGCGCGTCTTACGCGAGGACGTAGTCGAGAGCCTTGTCCTCAGGGACGTCGCGACCTGCGGGACGTGAGCAGGCGCACAGATGAGCACGACGGGCCAGCCTCACAGTCCTGGCCGATCACTGCGCCGCCGGTGTCAGCCACTGCGCCTGCACCGTCGCGCCGCACGCACCGATGACAAGCTCGGCCTCGTAGTCGCTCTGCTCGTCCTGCACACACTTGGGCACGCGCACCGCGCTCGGCCACGGCCCGGCGAGGGCGGTGCGTGGCTTGTGGAAGAGCGTGGGCACGCTGGGCAGCGGCAGGCCGGCCTCGCGCGCATGGTCGACGTAGTTGAGGCCGAGGCAGCGGATTGTGTTCACTTCGAGCGGCAGCAGCGGGCAGAGCAGGCGCTTGACGTCGACACGGGTGCCGGTGGGCCGGGCGTCCCACGGCGCCGAGCCCTCGAGAAGGCGAGCGCTGAACGGCTTGCCGTCGCGGCTGGCGCGCCCGACGTCGAGCGTCGCATCCTCCGGCTCGCCCATGTGCACCTGGCCATCGGCGCCCTCGAAGCGGATGAGGCGCGTCCAGGCGGGGCGAGCACTCGACATGGCGCGCTGCTGCTGGAGAATCGGAGCGGCCTTGGCGAGGAGCGGGCGCATGTGCTGTGCTGTGCCGTGCGTGGCCCTTGACCTTGATGCTGCGGCTTGTGGTGAGAGTTGGCCGAGGCTGCTGCGAAGCGTGTTGGATCTGCCGACGGCACGCCGCCCCTCCCTCCACACGGCGCTGCGGCCGTTGGCACGCCTCGGCGTCTTTCTTCGCGCTCGGCACGCCGAGCATGCCCGGCACGCCGCAGCATGTGATGCGCTGCGTTCTTCGCGCAGAATGCCCGCGTCGGGGGACAGCACATGCCGACGCTGCAGCAGACTCGAGAGGAGCGAACTCGGAGCGCCCGGACTTCCGAGGCGCCGCGAACACTCGCCAGAAACCAGAAAGCGCGGAGCGCTCCTGCGCGCGCGCGCTCAGGGGCGCAGTGCCGGCGGCTCGAGTGTTGCACTCTGCCGCGCGCGCGCCGCACTCGCCGCTTGCCTCCGCACCACCACCACCACCACCACCACCACCTACACGCCTTCGGGCATCCAGCCTCACAGGCCCCACGGCTGTTTGCCTCCGCACCCAAACCAGCATGTCCCGGCCCACCGGCGCCGCCTGGCGCGACGACGGGCCCTTCGACGACGCCGACACGCTCCTCGCCGCACGCCGCACGGGCGCAGACAGCGCACACCAGCCGCAACCTTCGACCTCGTCGTCAACGGCGCACTTTGCGCAGCCACTCTCGGCGGCGACGGCCTACTCCGAGCCGGCGTACGGCTACCCGCCGGGCGCGCACCCCGCGCCGCACCACGCCCAGGCGCCCGCCTACTCGGCGCGCCCGCACGACGGCGCCCAGTGGGCCTACGGCGGCCCCGGCCACGCCGGGCCGTCGCACTCGCGCGCCGCCAGCCCGAGCCCCAGCGGCGCCACGACGCCGGCGCGCGCCGAGCGCCGCACGCGCCCGCACATGCCGCGCAAGGACTCCGAGGGCTGGGCACGCCTGCTGCGCGGCGCCGGCTACGAGGGCGCGCCGGGCGACGACGACGAGCGCGACGCCGACGACGAGGCCGATGCGCACCACTCGAGCAGCCTGCGCCGCCTGCTGCGTGCCATCCACGCGGGAAGCATCGTGCTCATGTGTCTGGGCGCCGCGCTGCTATTCGTGCCGGCTTTGGTTGCGCTCTTTGCCTACGACGCGCGCCCCGCCAACGACTTTGCGCGCCCTGAAGTGTGGAATGTCGGCATTTTCTGGTGGTCCATCTGGCTTTGCGGCGGCGTGTGGCTGAGTTGGTTCGCGGCGAGAATTCTCTCCGCTTTTGTGCCAGCTATCGCCGCGCGCACGCTCGGCGGCATCGCGAGTCTCAAGGCCCCTATTGCCTACCTCGGCGCCGTGCAGAGGTGAGTGTATGCGTGGACCCCTGTCAGCTGGCTGCTGATGCGCTGTGCGCAGGTACGCGGCCATCTTCCTCTGGACCGTGGCCGTGTGGGTCGTCTGGATTTTTGCCATCAGTCGCCACTACCGCGGCGCGAATGACGCCGCAGCCGTCAGCCAGGCCTCGTCGACCGACCCGCTCTCGACGACAACGAACGGCACCTCGACGACGGCGACGATCGCAGGCGTGAGCAGCACGGGCAACCTCATTTTGACGGGCGGACGCCTGTGGTTTGGCTTTGTGCTGTGCGCTGCACTGCTGCTGGTGAGTGCCCTCTCATGCCCCCAGATCGCGCTGCGCCTCTGACATGCCACACGCAGGCCGAGAAGCTGGCGGTGCAGTGGGTCGCCTTCAGCTTCCACCGCGTCTCGTATGAGTCGCGCATCGCACAGTCCAAGCTGCACGTGCGCTTCCTGATCGCGCTGTACAGCGCCTCGCGCTCGGACCTCGTCGGCAAGGGCGACAAGCTGGCGGCCGAGGCCGGCCAGGACGCTGCCGGCGGGCACACGCGCCGCGACTCCAAGGGCAACCTGCTCTCCGCGCCGCTCAAGCTGGCCAAGCGCACGGCCGCCGGCGTGAAGCGCGCCGGTCGCACATCCACTTCGGTGCTTGGCAGCGCGGCTGCCGAGATGACGACGCTCGGCGGCAGCACGGGCAGCCAATCCTTCCTACCCAAGGCGATCGTGCTCTCAGCCCTCGGCAGCGCGGCCGAGACCCGCAAGCTGTCGCGCCGCATCTTCTACTCGTTCTCGAAGCGCGGCCCGGACGGCACGCGTGTCATGCGTCTTGATAACCTGCGCATGGTCTTTCCGGATTCGCGCACGGCTCGTGCAGGTGAGTGCGCCGCAGTTGCGGCCCAGTGCCGTGCTGACTCCTTCCACAGCGATGGAGATGTTTGATGAGGACGGAAACGGCTCGGTCGTCGAGGAGGAGTGCGAGATGGCCTGCGCCAACGTGCGGCGCGAGCGCAACGGCTTGACCGCCAGCATGTCGGACATCGACTCGGCCGTGGCCAAGCTCGACTCCATCTTCGTCTCGTGCTACCTCATCGTCTGCCTCGTCATCGTCTCAGCATTACTCTCGACCAAATTCGCGACCTTGGCGGCGAGCTTCGGCTCCATTCTCCTCGGTCTCAGTTGGCTCATCGGTGCCACAGCCAGCGAGGCGCTCTCGTCGATCATCTTCGTCTTTGGCAACCACGTCCTAGACGTCGGCGACCACTGCCAGATCGAGGGCCTGCTTTCCAACGCTAGCGGATCCGACGCCACATTCATCGTGCACGAGATCCAGCTGCTGTCGACAGTCTTCAAGACGACGGCCGGCAAGTACGTGCAGTGCAGCAACGCCGTGCTGCGCCAAAAGGTCGTCGTCAACCTGCGGCGCTCCGGCCCAATTGCTGAGGACTTCCAGATCGATGTCGACTACGGGGTTGAATTAGCGCAGATCGAGCGCTTGCGCGGCGACATGCTCGAGTGGATCCAGTCGCAGAAGCGCGACTTCCTGCCGGGCCTCGACGTGCAGATCGTGACGCTGGCGGACCAGAGCAAGCTGCGCCTGCAGTTCGACATCCGCTACAAGTCGAACTGGCAGACGCAGGCTGTCAAGAACCGCCGCCGCAACCGTGAGTCTGCGCTCACTCTCTCGGCTCATGCGCCCTGTCGCTGACACTCACGCACAGGCTGGGTCCTGACGCTCAAGGAGCTGCTCCACAAGAACGCCATCTTCGGCCCCGGCGGCGACCCCGGCGCCGTCAAGATCTCGCGCTATGCGCTCGTCGATGCGCCGGCACCCGCCGCTGCCGAGCCGGCCTCGTCGCATCGCCACGAGCCGCCGGCGGCAGAGCGCGAGCTCATGGACGAGCCCGGCTTCCGCTCGTTCGACCACAACGTGTACGGCGAGACGGACAGCGGGCGCCAGACGCCCGCCGCGATGCTCTCGCAGCCCGCGAGCCCCGCCGTGACGCTGTCGGCGCTGCCGGGCCGCGCGCAGCAGAGCGGCATCGCGCTGGGCCAGCCGTCGCCGCTGCACCGCGGCCGCCCTGGCCTCGACGACGTCGAGATGGGCCCGCGCCGCTAGTTCTCCGTCGCGCGACCCGCGTACCCTGCCTCCTATCTGGATTTCTGTCTCCCACCTGGACTCCCGGATTAGAATTCGATTCCGTTCAGAAGCGCGGATAGCGCCGCTCGATCTCCGTATGTGCCCATGCCCGCTTCTCCGGCCCAAAGGCACCGGCCGTCTGCGGCCCCGGTCCCTCGGCCCGCGCGATGTACTTGTAGATGACGAGGCCCTCGAGGCCGACGGGGCCACGCGCGTGTGTCCGCCCCGTGCTGATGCCCACCTCGGTGCCGAAGCCGTACCGGAAACCGTCGGCAAAGCGCGTCGAGGCGTTGACAAAGACGTTGGCACTAGCGACGGCGCGCGTGAACTGCGCCGCCGCCGGGTGCTCGCTCGGCGCCGGCGACGCCTTGAGCGCAGCGAGCGGCGCGCAGAAGATGGCATCCGTGTGGTGCGAGCCGTGCGAGTTGATGTGCGAGACGGCCTCCGCCACGCCTTCGACCGTCTTGACGGCGAGCGTAAGCTCCAGGAACTCCGTCTCGTAGTCCTCTTCTGTGGCAGCCTTGACCTGCTGCGACCGCGAGGATGCCAGACTGCCGAGCGCAGCCAGGCTGTCCGGATCGCAGCGCAGCTCGACGCCGGCGTCGAGCAGGGCTGTGGCCAGCGCCGGCCACAGGCTGCCGCTGAGATGTGACCGCTGCAGCAGCAGCGTCTCGACGGCGTTGCATGCCGCGCAGTAGTCCGTCTGGCGCGCGGCTCAGCAGGCGATCTGGCGCGCTCGCCACACGCACTCACCTTGGCATCGACCACTGCCGCCACGGTCGTCGCCTCATCGGCATCGTCGTGCACATAGATGGCGCATAGGCCGTCGGCATGGCCCATGACGGGCATGCGGGCGTCGCGCTGGATCGCACGCACCAGCTCGTTGCCGCCGCGCGGGATGACGAGGTCGACGAAGCGGTCCTCATTCAGCAGCGCGGCGACCTCGTCGCGCGACTGCACCGACTGCACGAGGTCGCGCGGCAGGCGCGAGCCGCCGAGGGCCTCGGCGACGAGGCGCGTGAGCACGGCGGCCGTGTGCGCCGACTCGCGGCCGCCCTTGAGAATGGCGGCGTTGCCCGACTTGATGGCGAGCGAGGCAATGTTCACCACGACCTCGGGGCGCGCCTCGAAGATGCAGAGCAGCACGCCGATGGGGCAGGTGACGCGGTACAGGTCGAGTGCGCCGGCGGCGGGCGTGGCATCGGCGAGGCGGCGCGAGTAGGTGCAGTGGTCGAGCGGCGAGGGCAGCGCGGCGACGCCGGCCAGGCCCGCCAGCAGCTCGGCCCACTTGCCGGGCTTGCTGAAGAGGTCGAGGCGCGCGACGAGCGAGCGCGACAGCGAGCCGGCCTCGACGGCGGCGTTGGCGGCCTACGCAGGGGTCAGCTGAGGGGCAGCTACGGCGGCCTGCCATGCAGCACCACCACTGCCATCTGCTCACCTGCATGTCCTTGGCGTTGGCGTCGCGCACCTCGGCCTCGTGCGCCTGCAGCTTGTCGCGGATGAGCAGCAGCGCCTCGCTGCGTGCGGCGTCGGCCTCGGCGCCGCCGGGCAGCGACGCCTGTGCCGCGTCGAACGCAGCCTTGGCGCGGCGGGCAATGTCGGCTGCAGCAGAGGCCATGGTGTGGGGTGTCGTGGGTGGGAAGGAAGGAGCGAGGCGGGCAGTGCGGCCTTGGCGAATGACTCGGCGGGCGTGGGAGCGCGCACGTGACGCCCGCCGCTGCTCCACTTGGCCTCGCTCGCTGCGCTTCTTCTTTCCTGCGTACCACCACCATCGCCCTCCATGCCCGTCGCCGTCCCACCCGCATCGACGTCGCAGGCCAACATCTGGGTCGCCGCCGGCGAGGGCGACCTGGCGCGCGTGCAGGCGCTCGTCGAGGGCGGTGAGTGCCCGCGCACGACTGCCACCGCCAGCCACACCCTCACACCGCCGCAGGCCTCTCGCCGACGGTGGCCGACAGCAACACATACACGCCCGTGCATGCCGCCGCCTCGTACGGCCAGCACGCCGTCCTGTGCGTGGCATGTATGCGCTGCCTTCACACAGCCGCTGACGCGCCCAGCAGCCGCTACCTGCTCAGCCACGCCTCGGCGCCCGCCGACGCTGCCAACGTGCGCGACTCGGACGGCGACACGCCGCTCTTTGTCGTCGAGGACATCCCCTCGGCCATGCTGCTGCTGCAGCTCGGCGCCGACGCCAAGCTGACAAACGAGGCCGGCGAGACGGTGCGTGGTCTCTTGCTTACCCCCTGCCGCAGTACTGACACCCGCAGCAGGCGGCTGAGACGGCCGAGGAGAATGGCCACGAGGACCTGGCGGCGTACCTGCGCAGCCTCACCGGCGAGAAGCCGCTGTACGACCGCAGCGGCGCCGCTGCAGCTGAGGAAGAGGCGGAAGGCGCAGCAGAAGGCGCCTCGGGCCTCTCCGCCGAGGCCGAGGCGGCTGCCGATGCGCGCGCCGACGAGCTCATGGCGCAGGTCGAGGCGCTGCTCGCCGCCGCAGCGCTGCGCACGGGCGGCGGCACCGACGGCGAGGAGCTCGAGCTGACGCAGGACGAGGAGCAGCGGCTGCGCGACCTCGTCGGCGAGAGCGTGCTGCAGCAGATCCGCGAGGGCTGGGTCGGCGCCGAGCAGGCAGAGGCAGACGGTGCAGGCGAGGCGGTGCAGGCGAGTGGTGCGGCAGAAACAGCTGAGGCGGCAAAGGCAGAGGACATGGACGCTGCGTCAAGGAAGCCGGACGGGCCAGAGAGCAGTCGCGTCGCCGACGAGGCATGATCGCGCACTCCGTAGCTTCCGCAACTTCTAGACCCGCACAGCATACCCGCCTGGCTCTAATCGCATTACTCTCGCCTTGGCGACGGCGGTGCATAGCGATACAGGCGCGCCACAAACGTCGTCGTGGCGGCGTTGATGATGGCAAAGACGAAGAAAACGCTGCCGCCGCTGCCGCCGTCGTGGCGCGCGCACCAGCTGCGCAGCGGCAGGAAGAGCGACGCGATGGCCAAGTTCGCCGCCCAGTTCAGCGAGATGCCGAGCGACGCCGCAGCGCTCGCCGCCTGGGAGATGACGTGAGCGATGTACGGCGCATGCAGCAGACAAGACGCACCCGCGGCTCGACGAGCTCAGGCAGGATCAGGAACGGCACGGGCCCCAGCCCGATGCTGAAGCCCGCCACGACGGCCACGAGCGCCACGGCGCTGAGCCACGGCACGGCATAGAGGATGCCGAGGCCGAGCGCCAGGCTGGAGAGCGCCATGCTGCTGCTCGAGCTCAGCAGCAGGCCGCGGCGCCCGAGGCGCGACTCGGAGATGAGGTACATCGGCGGGAAGCTGTGCGGCGTGTCAGTCGGCAGCATGCCACGGCCCGGCCAGGACGCACGTCATGAGAGCGTTGACCACCTGCTGCGAGTGTCAGCACAGGCTGCAGTGACGACGAGGCGGCGCACGCACCGTGATGCCGAGCGCGATGAGCTTTGCGTTGCGTTCGTTCTCGCCGCCGCCGAGCGCGTCCGCCATGATGCTCGACTGTGACACTTGTGTCAGCCGCATCGCCTCGCTTTTCCCTCCCTCCTCTCCCTCACCGAGAAGTACAATACGGCGTTCACTCCGCTCAGCTGCTGCGCGACGAGCGTGCCCATGATGAGCACGACGCCGCGGCGCGTCTCGCGCTCGCGCACGTCCTTGCCGCCGCGCAGCGTGATGTTGAGCAGCGCCGGGATCTCGAGCGGCTCCTCCGCTGGCCACGCTGTGTCGTTACGCGGCTCCGAGGACAGCAGCGCCTCCTCTTCCTCGGCGGCGCCCTCGCTGTGCACGTCGGCGCCGAGGCGCGCGCGCAGCTCGACCCGCTTGTGCGCCGGCGCCTCGGCGGGCGACTCGCACGCCAGACTGGCGCCCAGCAGCTGCAGCAGCTGCACGCCGAGCGAGAAGAGCGGCACGAAGCGCCAGCGCGCAAGGCCGCCGGGCTGCGGCGCGCTGGACTCGGCGGGCGCGCTGCCGAGCGGGCTGACGCCGAGCGCCTGGGCGAGCAGGATGCCGAGCACGATGGAGAGCTGGTTGGCGACGCCGACGGGGCCGCGCAGGGCCGGCGGCGAGATGTCGCTGGCCGCGCGTCTCAGCAAGGAGCCCAGACGCTCGACTGGCGGCGACTCACTTGAGATAGCCCGGCACGACGGCCACGCCAACACCGGCGCCCATGCCCATCAGCGCGCGGCCCGCACCCAGCGCCGCGACGCTCCACGAGAAGGCCTGCAGCGCGGCGCCCGCACTGCCGACGACGGTGGCCGCGAGCAGCGTGGCGCGCTTCGTCAGCCCGAAGCGGGCGCGCAGCGGCGAGAGGAGCAGCGAGGAGACGAAGCCGCCGAGCGTGAAGAGGGCGCTGTGGTGCAGGAGTGAGCAGGCCGTCTGTCGCAGCGGACGATGCACGCACGTGAGGATGCCGAAGCCGGCCTCGGAGAGGGCAAAGCAGGCGGGCAGCCAGCCGTGGGGCGCGGCGCCGCGGCAGGTGAGCACGCGCTGCAGCGGGTTGAGCTCGGACTGCGGCAAGGGTGAGCGTGGCGCCGCCGCTGTGCGTGCATGGGACGCACGATGCCGAAGCCGACGCTGCGAGAAAGGGTCAGCACGCGGCGGGCAGGTGCTCGCGGCGCGGCTCACTTGAACGTCGACAGCACCACCCACGGCACCTGGCGCAGCGTCAGCGCGGGCGCAAGGCGTGCGCAGTCCGGCGGCGCGCACCATGAAGAAGAGCAGCGGCGAGCAGGAGCCTCGCGAGGCGGCGGCGGCGGCGGGCATGGCGCCGGGCTGCGGGAAGAGAGCGTGGTGGACGGGAGCGGACCTGGACGCGCGTGAGATGCGGGGCAGGCGCAGCGGCGCGGCATCGGGCGGCGCGCCGGACAGGAGCGCCGCCGCGACCCAAGACCGCCAGCAGCCGCCGCGTTGGCCACTGCTGCACGGCGCAAAGCACAGCTTGACTGTGCAGGTGCAGGGCCGTCGCTGCATCGACAGCTCGCAAACATCACGCATACATGCTGTCCGGCGGAGTGCCGCGTGCCTTGACAGCGCAGGTGCTCGCGTCATGCGCCGCGGCGCCGTCAGGGGTCCAAGCCATGCGCGCGGCGAGGTGGAGGTGCGCTGCTGCGCCGCGCGTGTCGCTGTCGAGGCTGTCTCTCGACCACCACCATCCTCGCGCCATGCCTGCGCCGCATGCCGCCTCGCCGCCAGCGTCTGGCGAGACGGACATGCGCCGCCTGCACGCTCTGCACGCCGCACAGCAGCGCCGCCCCGCGCCCGCCCTCGCCGCCAGCCTGGGCGCGCTGCTGGGCACGCAGCTGCGCCGCCTCGCGCGCACCGACGCCGCCGTCGCCGAGCTCGCACGCGGGGCGCAGCAGCTGGTGCACGACGCTGGCCTGGTGTGCAGCGCAGCATGCTCCTCCTCTACAGCTCCAGACGCATCTGCAGTAGCGGCGCAGCACCGCCGCCTGCTTGCGCGCTTCGAGGCCGCCTGCGCCGCCGCACCCTCGACCTCCTCTGCCGCATCTTCGCCGCTGCTGCCGCGGGCACTGCGCCGCCTTCTTTCGCGGCCCGAGCACGCTGCCGATGCGCTGCCGCTGCTCCTCGCGCCGCACGCCGTCGGCCAGCTGCTGCGCGTCCTGGCACGCGCTGCCGGTGCTGCCGCAGCCGGCCGTTTCGCCGAGCGCCGTCTGCTGCGCCTCGTCGCCGCGCAGCAGCAAGGCGCACAGAAGGCAGACATCGAGCAGGCCGTACTAGAGCTACTCGATGCGCTGCATGCCCTCGCGCTCAGCGTGCCGAGCCGCGAGGGTGGCAGCGCAGACATGGACATGACGGCCGCGCTCGAGTTGGCCCTGCTCGGCGTGCTGCGCGAGGCGCCACCAGAGCTAGCCGCGCTTGCCAGCAGCCCTCGGCGGCCAACAGGCAGCTCAAACGGCGGCAGCAGACACGTTTCGGCGCCGCTCAGCCCGCGTCCGCCGCAGACAAGGCCTCGGCGCGGCAGCTCGCCGTCGCAGCCGGGCAGCCCGCGCACAGCGGCGGCGCAGTGGCAGGACACGGCGGCCGAGGTGTGGGCAGGCCTGGGCAAGGGCGTCGAAAGCATCGCCTCGCTCACCGGCAGCATGAGCGGCTTCTTCAGCGCCAGCACGGCACCGAAGTCACCCAACGCGCCGACTGCAGTGGACGCAGCACCGTCCGAGAAGAAGCCTACGGGAGCGCCTGCGTCGCTGTCCCTCTCGCGCTTCATCTCGCCTGCAAGCACATCGCTTGCGACTCCGCCGGCGTCGCCAATGGCAAAGCGCACTGTGTCTGGCTCCACGCTCGCAGCGCTGTCCGAGGACTCCGCCGATGCGCACGCCACCTTTGTGGCCCGGCCCGGCGACGCCGTCGAGGCACTGGCTGCTGTTGGCGGCGAGGAGCGCGCTCGCGAGATTCGCGTCAGCGAGATCCTGCCGCCGTCTCAGGCCGCGCCAGACGTCAAGGAGGTGCTGCATGCTCTCGCTGGCAATGGGACCGGAGGCATGCCGCTGATCAAGTGGCTGCTGTGGCGCATGCTGCACGTGCACTTCCCGCCGACTGATGCCACGACGCACCGGCCGCTGCTGCTCCTGCTGCTCGTGCGCTGGTACGCCTTTACGCATCTTCGCCGCTTGATCTGCACACCGCCTCAGCAGTCCGCCACGCCGGCGCCCACGCTGAGTCTGGCGCGCGATGCGGACGACGATCAGACGCCAACGCAGGCGAAGACAGCCCGCTTCTTCGAAGGCACCTGGCTGCAGGGCGGCCGCGAGCTACGCGCGCTCGGCGAGACGCACCGCGCTGTATACGGCGACGTGGTGCGGGCGCTAGGCTTGGGCAACGGCGAGGCGAGCCCGGAGGCGCAGCGACTCGTTGCCACGTTCGCACAGGGCGCAGAGCTAGTGGACGAGCCGGCTCAAGGCGTGTGCGTGCTGCCGATGCAAAGTGCCGAGGCTGCTGAGCTGCTCCTCTTCCTCGAGCCGCTCTTGACTGCATCGCCCGCTCCCCAATCAAACGGCATCGGGCTGCACCTCGGCTCCTCGCCTGTTCCAAACGGCACATCGGATGTAGCGGATGCTCAAGTAAAGCTGCCAAAGCTGCACATCGACACGTCTCCCGATCCTGGTGCTGGCAGCCACGCTGTCACGCACGAGCACGTAGCTGCTGCTGCGCAGGCGCTGCGCGATGTTGGCGAAGAACACGTTGCGGTGCTATATGTGGGAGCTAAAGCGAAGGACAAGATCGTCGTCTCGTGGACTCTGGAGGCGCTCGACGAGCAGCTTTCCGCAGCGAGGGCGCAGGTCGCGATGCAGGCCGCCACGGTGGACAGCGCTGCGCCCTCACAGCCGTCATCTTCTCTCGCAAGCGCAGGCGCCACGTTCCCGCCTTCGGCGGCGGGAGCCACCCTGCCGCAGTCGCACACCAGCAGCAGCATCTCGACGATCGCGCGGGGTGCTTCAGGCGACTCAGGCTGGGGCAGCCCACCGCACACGCCGGACGAGCGGGACGAGTTCCTATTTGAGCCTGCGACGCCTTCTGCTGCTCCTGCAGCACTGCCGATGCCCGTGTCCGCTTCGCTCGAAGCGCGCCGCAGCGGATCCGAGACGGCCTCGCCGCCGACGCGCCGACCGAGCAGGCGATCCGCCAATGCACCAAGCTCGTGGCGTGCTGCCCTGGGCAGCGAGAGCTTCTCCTTGGCGCCGCCGCCGCGCCCGGCGCGGGAGCCAGAATTAGGCGAGGAGCTCTTCGACGAAGTGCGCCGCGGTCTGCTTGGGGTGCTGCGCAAGGGCTACTGTAGCGACGCCTCGCGCTTGCCCTTGCTGGTGCTACGAGATGCTGAGCGCATCGCAACGCAGAGTCATGCGTTTGACGATGCGGCGCTCTTCGCTCGCACCACTGCGCTCCTGCAGCACATCGCTGCCGCATTCCCATCTCTACGCGGCTCAGCGGCATCTGAAGAGGCAACTTTCGCGCCGCTGCTCGACCGGATTGCTGCACCGCTGCGCACTGCAGACGCAGCGGCCGAACAGGCGGTGCAGATCGCCACGCTGCGGCTGCGCGAGGTGGAGCTGCATCGTGTGGCGCTCATGGAGCGTGCCCGCGAGGCGTACGCGACGGCTCACGAGGCGCGCACGCGAGTGTGGTACGCCTCGGAGATTCGCACTGCACCCGCCTTTCGCGACTCGCTCAAGCTGGCGCGATCTCACCTGCACGCTGGCGACGAAGCGCCGCAGGACGAGAGCGGCGAGGACTGGATGCAGCGGCTCGGCGTCTATGACTTTGGCCTTCCACCGCCGCTGCAGGGGTACATGCGCGATCTCGACGGCGCCTTTGGCGTCATTGCCGGCGACGCGGCGGCGTTCTTTGCACATGACCTGTTCGCGCGCGAAGCGAGTCTTGCACTGCCGTATCTGCGAGGAGCAGGACCTGGCGCCGAGGAGCAAGACAAGACTGCGGTGCTGACCTTTGGCGCCTGTCCGCCGAGCCTGCTGCTGCCCGGAGAGATCAAGGCTGCCGCTCGGGTGGCGCTCGACGAGTTCCTGCAGCGCACCCAGCTGCTCGCTACCGGCTTCTTCCTCTCCGAGGCGCTCAGCCATCTGTCGGTCGTCGCCATGACTACCGCCAGCGCTGTGCCGTCGGGCGTCTCGCAGGCGATCCTCGCCGAGCTACGCACGGCCGGAGCGCCCGAGCTGTTGCGCCGCTTCGAGCTGCACCCGGCGCCGCGCGCCAAGATGCGTGCGTTGCTGGTGCTCGAGCGGCTCATCGTCGCGCTCCTCTCGCGCAGCGCCGACGCCGCCGCCACGGGCACTCGCCCTCGCGCCGCCAGCATCGTCTCGCTCGCCAAGGTGCGCCACCGGCGCGCGCAGAGCAACGCGCGCGACTCGCCGCCGTTGAGCGCCGTGTCCAGCACGCGCCCGCTGAGCCTGCGCAGTCCGGCACGCGCCCGGCGCGCCCTCTCGATGTACGACGACGAGGATGACGAGGAGGCGGGCAGCGCGGACTCGCCGCTCGAGGGCAAGGGCATCCACGCGCTGCTCGAGCGCCTGCTCAAGGGCAACGGCGGCACCGAGCCGGCGGCCAGCACGCCCGCCGAGGCAGAGCAGCCGGCGCCGCAGCGGCTGCGCCAGACGTCGGCGCCCACGACGGACGATGTGGTCGGCGTGCTCGAGGGCCTGCTCGCAGACGCGACGTGCCGGCCGCGCGATCTCTTCCTGCACCTCCAGGTACGTCATGGCATTGGCAGCTGCGAGGACAGCGCAGAGCACGAACGCTGACTGCGTGTGCACCGCAGCTCGTGGCGGCTTTCACGCCCGCAGCGCTGCTGTCGTTCCGCGAAGAGGCGTTCTGCTTCTGGAACCTGGGCTGTGCGGCGCTCGCCGTGGCTGCGCCCGCCGAGGAGGGGCATCGCGCCGCTTCTTGAAGCAGCGGTCCGCTGCTGACGCATACCCCTTTGCTGCATCTGTGCACCGGCTTCGCAATGCATGCGCTCACCCAAACGCGGCGAGCAGGTCTGCCAGCTCGTCCATCGTTTGCTTCTTGCCCTCCTCGATCTGCGTGTGCGCGTGAGCGAGGCCGCCGGTGGCCGACCGGGTGCGCCGCTCACCTCGCGGCAGTTCTGCCAGCGCTCGGCAAACTCGTCGAGCCCGATCTCCTCGCACGTGAGGTCTGCGAGCGCCTCGCGCTTGGCCAGCAGCTCGGTCTGGTACATCTGCGCGCGCCCGCCGTGAGCCCTTGCGCGGCCGATGCTGCGCTGCACTCACATCGACGAGGCCGCCGACGTGCTTGAGCGCCTGCTGCGGGTCCTGCCCGACGCTGTGGCCGCGCGCCTCGGCGGTCCATGCGTCGACGTGGTAGACGAGCTCGACGAGGGCGTCGACGGTGCTCTGCAGCGCCGCGAGCGTGTCGCGCAGGGCGCCCAGTGCCGGCTCGGCGGCCTCCTCGCTGGCGGCGCCGCGCAGGTGCGCCACGGCCGGGAAGGAGCGCGCGAGCGTGGCGTGGAAGTCGGCAGCGAGGGCGTCGGCGCGCGACACGAGCGGCAGCAGCGGCGGAGCGCCGGCCATGCTGGGCGTGGCGGTCGGTGTGGTGAGCGGGAGCAAGGCGCGCAGGAGGCGTGGCGCTTGGAGAAGGAGAGCAACACCGCCGCCGCTGCACGAGCCACGCGCCAAGCTCCACGGGCGCATGAAGCCTGCCTTCCCACCACCACGACACCCGCAGAGGCGCAGGCGCAACTTCGACACCCGGCTAGCGCCCGCAGCTGCACGGTCTGCGTGCCTCATCATCGTCAGACCGCGTCGTCAGTCGAGCTGCCGCGATCTCACTACGCCTCGCCGCTGGCCGCAGCTCCAGCAGTGCGCCATGGCACCCCGCACGCCGGCGTCGCGCCGCCCGTCGAGCGCGCCGGCCCTCGAGGCAAAGTCGTCGCTCGTGCGTGGCGGCATCGCTGTGCGCCTTAGCTGCACTGTGCTGACTCCCGACGTGCGCAGACGAGCAAGCTGCTCGAGTCGCTCGTGCACGAGCTCATCGTCGAGTGTGCCAGCGGCGCACACAAGGCACAGCGCCTCAGAGAGGAGGCCGAGACGCTGCACGGCGCCGGGTGCACCGACTGCGGCACGCTGTGAGTGGTGCGAGCGGTGTCTGGTGGGTAGAGGTGGGTGGAGCGCAGAAGTAGGGAGCTGCAGCGTGGCCCTGCACATCATCCATAGCGCCGTGCCTGGTGATGCTCAGTTGGAGCATGTGTGCGGCGCAGGACTGCACAGGTTCAGCCATTCCCCGCGCAGCGCTTCTGGGAGCTAGCCCATGATATCCCTGCTGCGCAGTGCTGACAGACATCTGGCGCAGCTGCCGCGCCTCACACCTCGCCGTGCTCAACGGCGTGCAGCCGCCGGCGCTGAGCGGCAAGGACAGCCTGCTGCCGCCCGAGCCGAGCGCCGCGAGCAGCAGCAGCAGCGCCACGAGCAGCGCACCCAAGGCGCTCGCCGCCTACTCGGACAACCCGCTGCTGGCGTGCGTCGTGTGCGCGCGCGAGGTGTCGGCCAACCGCTACAGCTACCACCTCTCCAAGTGCGTCTTTGGCGCCAGCGGCGCCGGCGGCAGCAAGGGCGCACGCCGCAAGCTCGGCGCCGCCGGCGCGGCGGCCAGCGGCGGCGCCAACGCCGCGGCCGTCAAGCAGGCCAAGAAGATTGCCAGTGCGCTCGAGGCGCGGCGGCGCGCGGGCGGCCTGGGCAGCCGGCGTAACACGCCGCAGCCAAGCGACGAGGAGGAGAGCCGGCGAGGTGAGTGCTGCAGTGACTTGCATGCGGCGGTTTGCTGATGCGACATTCGCGACAGGCACACCAACGCCAGCGCAACGCCCTCTGATTGTGCTCAGCAAGAAGCGCGCTGGAAGCCCTGGCTTCTCCTCCTCGGCGCCGGCGTCCACCACCGGCGCATTCAAGAAGGCCCGCACAAACACACGTGCGTACGCTACTGCTCAAGATCAGGTGCGCTCGACTGACGCATGACGCTTGCAGCACCACCGGCAGCAGAGAGGGACCGAGGCATGGTCCGCGTAAGCGCCGCACTCGGACGCGCACATTGCTACGTGCTCACACTTCGTTTGCAGTCCTCTTCGACGCAGGCCATCTCCCACACAACCGCGCCGCTCCTCGGCTCGCCGCTAAACCCATCACACAAGGCCAGCGCGAGCCTCGACGGCCGAGGGCGCGGCAGAGGACGCGGTCGGCCACGCGGGTCAGGACGTGGCGGTGGGCGCGCAGGCCCGAGTGCGCTGGGTCGTGCGACGCCAGAGACGCAGGAGACGAGGGACAGCGAGGAGGAGGGCGAGCTGCAGGACGATGACGAGGAGGAACGCAGCGTCAGTCCCGTCAAGGCTGCTGCGGACCGCCTGCCGCGCATGCGCACCGAGACGCTGGTGAGTTTAGCATGCACTGTGCCATCAGCGACTGCAGCTGACGCCGCTCGCCGACAGAGCGCGCAGGCGTCGCCTATGCTGTCCGACGCGTCAGTCGACGGCGATGCATCGGAAGACGAGGCAGATCAGGCCACGGCTGCGGCCGCCGCCTCAGATGCCGACGATGATGATGCCGATGACGACGATGAGCCGGACGCGTCGGAAGACGACGACGATGACGATGACGAAGACGAGGAGGGTGCAGCCTCGTCCTCGGGCTCGCCAGCCTCGGGTCACGGCGGCGCGGTGCTGTCAAACTCGGACCGCGAGAGCAGCGCCGAGATCATCCAGCCGATCAGGCGCAAGGGCGGCGCCGGGACGGCAAGCAGCAAGGCCACGCAGGGCATCGTGCGCAGCCGCGGCAGCGACGGCGAGTTCATCGGTGAGTTGCACGGCGGTGCCGTCTGCCGATGCCCCAGCTAACGCTGGTGCCGTAGATGTGGACTCGGCATCCGCGCAGAGCGACGACAACGAGAGCTTCTGAGCTGCGACGGGCGACGCTGCCACCCTCAGCGTTCGTACAACATTGGATTGCATGATCATTTTGGGAGTCAGTGCTGAGTAATAGGCTTCTATGCGCCGCGCGACGAAGTATGAGGGTGTAAGGATAGGGCAAGGGACAGCGGTGCAGGAGCGCAGAGGGGTTTGCTAGGATGCTGGAGACGACATAATGATAGGCCAGGCCGTCGCAGCGAGCTGCTGCTCACAGGCGCTCCTTGGCCGGCGGCTCGCTCGGCGCGCCCTGCTCGCACGCCTTGCGCATCGTGCGCAGCGCGTCGACGAGCGCCGCGGAGAAGTCGGCGAGCGGCGTGCTGCTCCATGGCGCCGAGCGCTTGGCCTCGAGGCCGAACTTGAGCAGCGAGGCGCCGGCGAGGTAGTTGGTGCCGAGGCCCTCCTCGTAGCCGGAGCCGAAGCCGGTGCCGCTGTGTCGGGCGTCAGCGGAGCTGGATGCTGAAGGCCACGACAATACTCACGAGAAGCGGTCGCCGGCGCTCAGGCCGCTGGTGCTCAGCAGCCATGTCTGGCTCTCGGCAAGCAGCTCATCGCCGAGCAGCAGCTGCGCGCCGTTGCGCGCCGCCTCCTCAGGCGCACCGTCCACGGCGGCGTCGTAGACGAGGCGCAGGCCCGTCAGGTGGCGGTCAAAGCCGCGGCCCGTCGACGAGGCGCGCGTGGCGTCGTTGTGCGCCTTTGTGGCCGCCGAGAGCTTGCGGTACACCTCCTCGGCGGGCTTCTTCTCGCGCACGGCCTGCACAAAGTCGTACGCCTCGTTGCTGAAGCTGCGGATCACGTCGGTGCGGCCGTGCTTGAAGCTACGCGTCGAGGCCGTCTCGTACGTGGCCGTCTGCTTGCCCGTGGCCGTGGCAAAGGCGAGCTGCAGCGCCATCTGCAGGTACGCGTCGGGGCTCTGCTTGCCGACCTTCTTGATCCACTCGGCGCCGTACTCGTCGAACCAGAGCATGCCCATGTCCGAGTTGTCGCACAGCTCCTTTGCCGCCTGCTGCGCGCGCGTAATGGATGCCTCGATCTGCTCGTCGGCGTGCCACTCGAGCTTGCGCCACGGCGTCGCCGCGTCGCCGTTGCCGCTGATGTGGCCCGGGAAAGGCTCGTCGGGCTTCGGCGCCGGCTCCGCCAGGGCAAAGTCAATGACGATCGAGGGGATCAGCGCGTCGCACGGCGAGTGCTCGCCGTTGATGCCGCCGCGGCCGTTGGGCTCCATGACGACAGTGAGCGCCTTGTCGAACCAGCGGTTGTGGCCGCCGCGTCCGGCGCCCGAGACGTTGCGCGCGTGGACGTGCACCGACGAGGGCGTGGCGGACGAGAGCGATTGCGGCGAGCTCGTTGGCACGGGGAGCACGTCCGAGTCGAGCGAGAGGCAGAAGAGCGAGTCTTCGAGCGAGCGCACAGCGTCGACGTTCTTTGGCGAGATGGACAGCAGGTGCTCGCGGTCCTGTGCAGGCCGATCAGCGCATGGACCAGCATACATACGCTAGGCCGCGCTCACCTTTGCCCAGCTGTCGCGGTCCTGCGAGCCCAGCACGCCGACGGCCTTGCCGTCGGCCTTCTTGGCGTCCTCGATGATCTGCCAGAGGCCCTTCTCGATGGCCGCGAGCGGCAGCGTCTCGCCGAGCGGCTCGACGAGCACCTCGAGCGCATATACGTTGTTGCGCGCCATGACACTGATGTGCGTGGCGCGCGGCGGGTGCGGCGCGTTCGTGTTCCAGTCGTGCGGCAGGGCAGGAATGCGCGTCACGCCGAAGAGCCTGACAGGAAGGAGTAAGCGCCGCACTAGCAGGTCTTGCACACAGTCTGCACGCACCGCGTGTACTGGTGCATGCAGAAGGCCGACGTGCGCGAGGCGTCGGGCATGATCTCCTCGCTGCGGAGCTCGTCGTCAGCGCAGCTCCTCGCACGCTCTCACACGCGCACTCACCGGTCGAGGCGGCGCTTGAACTCGAGCAGGCGGCTCACGACCCACGTGGCGCGGCGCACGCCCCATTTGGCGTCGCTCCAGTCATTGGCGCCCATGGCCTCGGCGGCGTCGAGGCTGATGCGCCCATCGCCGCGCACCTCAGGCTGCACATCGCCAAACTCAATGGCGCCGGCGGGCGTGCCGCGCTCGGCGCGGAACATGAGCCACCAGTTGGAGTTGACGAGCAGCGGCACGCGCCACTCGTGGTAGGCCTTCTGCAGCCAGAAGCGGTCGTCGAGCCAGTTGGTGGGCGTGGTGCGGTCGACGTCTGTCGGGAGAGGTGAGTCTGTGCTGCCACCGCTGCCCTTACGTGCTGCCACTCACCCTGCAGGCGCGTCTGCAGGCGCTGCGTCAGGCTGCCCGGCGCGAGCGCCTGCTCGATCCACTGCTGGCGCTTCTGCAGCTCGGCCTGCGCACTGCTGCCCATCGGCAGCTCGCCGCGCGCCTCCTTCTGGCGCAGGATGGGCTCGAGGCTGCGCAGGTAGCGCGGCAGCGAGTCCTCGAGCGCGGGCACGGGCAGGCGCGGCAGGCTGTCCTGCCGCGAGAAGGTGCGCGGCGACGCCTGCGCCGCGGCGGTCGCCTGCGTGCGGAAGGGCGTGAGGGCGAACATGGCGCGCGGCAGGCGAGGGGTGCGGTGACTGGAGCTGCCGCTGGCAAAAGGCGCGGCGGGCGCACAGGCGAGGTGCTGGCGCCTGCTGCTGCTTGTGCGGCTGCTGGTGCTCGCGCTGCGGCTGCTGCTGGCGACGCTGGAGGATACGCTGCTGCTGGTGCTGGGACGGAGCGAGCGGGCGGCGGCGACGAGCATGAAGGCGGCGCGGGGAGATGGGCCGCAGCAGAGGCGGCGCGCGGAGCGAGAGAGGGGCGCAGCTGGGCCGGCCTGGGCTTGAGTGGTGGTGGTGCGGTGACAAGATGTGGCAGATGCAGGGATGGCGGTGGGCGAGCAGCAAGCGAGCGGATGCGGCGAGGCGAGGCAACGGCAGCGGGCGCGTTGATCGGCGCTGCCCCTGGCTGCTGCGGGGAAGCATCGCGCGCCGCGCGCCTCTCGCAGCCGCACCGCCCACCGGCCAGGCGCGCTCGCCCGGCCCGGCCGGTGCGGCGTGAATACCGCTGCTGCCGGCGCACGTGATGTGCCGCCCGGCGCTGCTCCCACGCATGCCAACCTCGCTGCTTCCCTTCACTCCACCTCCTCGTCGGCCATGGAGACGCGCACCTCGCCCTTCCTGCCGGCGCTGCAGCTCAGCGTCGCCCTCTTCGCCACCGCGCCCGACGCGGCAGCAGCGCTGCACGCGGCGCTGCTCGGCGCGGCAAAGGCGGCGCCCGAGGCGCAGGCGCGCATGCGCTACGCCTGCCTCGACGCAAGCACGCTCGTCTCGCGCGCCCACATCGACGTCGCGCTCGACGCCGCCGCACTGGCGCTGGCGCACGGCACACAGCGCTGCCACACGCGCGAGGCAGAGGTCGTGTTCCGCATCGCCGCCGGCAACAATGTGAGTGCGGCTGAGGGGCAGGCACGGCGGAGCGGGAGAGCGAGGTGGAGAGCACGGAGTGGACCGCCGTGTGCGGCCAGCGCGTGCCGCGAGCTGGCCGGGCGAGGCAGCCGGCACGCAGCGCATCTCGCCACGAGCGTATCACCCGCTATCGTTCATGCTGACTCGCTGCCGCCAGATCGGCGACGCTCTGCGCACCTTTGGCCTCTCGCCGACGTCGACGCACGTGCTGCTCGTGCACCTCGGGCCCGCGCCCGCGGACGGCGGGCGCAGCGCCGACGCCCAGCTGGCACACATGCAGGCGCTGCTGCCCGGCGCCGAGCTGCTGCCGCTCGAGCAGCTGGGCGCGCCGCACATCGTCGACTGGGCACGCGTGCGCAAGGCGTACAAGCTGCGCGACCTCGGCGCGGGCAGCGACACGAACGACGCGGCGCTGCAGCGGCGGATACGGGCGCGCGAGATCGATTGCGTCGTCGGCGCCGTGGCGTGCAAGGCCGTCATGTGATACAGCAGCGGGACGGGGATAATTAGAGACGTGTCACAGTAGATAGAGGAAGGGCAGGAGGGAGGTCCAGGCAGGCAGCACACTGCGCGCTCAGGCGCGCGGCTTGAAGGAGACGTGGTACACAAACGCCGGGTCGATGGGGTGCGTCAGGCTGTCGGCGTACACGGGCGGCTTGGCGCGCAGCTTCTCGTGGTCGTAGACGACGTCGAAGCTGCGCAGGATCTGCGCCGTGACGGCGGCGCCCTCGTACGTCGCCAGCGTCTGCCCGAGGCAGAGGCGCGGGCCGGCGTTGAATGAGTGGAAGATGAAGGGGCTGAACGTCTTGATGCTCTGCCGCCCGTCCTTCTCCTCGAGGAAGCGCTCCGGCTTGAACTCGCAGCAGTCGGCGCCCCAGAGCTCGGGCAGGCGCGCCATGGCGTAGTCGGCCCACACGACGCTCTCGCCCTTCTTGACGATGACGTCGGGCAGGCGCTGCTTCTGCTCGGGCAGCGCCGCCAGCAGCTCCGCCGAGCCGGGCCCGTACGGCCGGATCACGTCGTCGGCGACGACCTGCTTGACATTCTTGGGCACGGCCGGGTGCAGGCGCGACGCCTCGTAGAACGTGGCGTGCGTGTAGGGCATCTGCTTGAGGTCGTCGTAGTTCATCGGCCGCGCGTCGTCGCCGGCGCCCAGCACCTCGTCGGCCTCGGCGCGCAGCTTCGCCACGACGTCGGGCTTCGTCGCCAGCTCCCAGAAGAGCCACGCCAGCGTCTGCGCCGTCGTGTCGCGTCCAGCGATGATGAAGTTGAGCACGACGGGGACTGTGCGGGCGCGTCAGCAAGCGCCTCACGCGCGCCTGTTCGCCACACCACTCACGCAGCTCCTCGCGCGACAGGCCCTGCTGGATGAAGAGCTCGAGCAGGTCCTTGCCGCCCTTCTCGGCGCCGCCGGCCGTGCCCTTCTCGCGCGCCTCGATGCGCTTGTCGATGGTGGCGTAGCAGAAGCGCTTCAGGCGGCGGATGCTGTCGCGCATCTTGCGGCCCTGCGCGTTCCACGGCAGGTACTCGAGCACGCCCTTGAGCGGGTCGACGAAGCGGTTGTCCATGATGCTCTGCGTCGAGTCGAACGCGACGGCGAACTCGACGCTCTTCTCGAGCGCCGCCGGGTCCGTGGGCAGGCAGTCGATGTCCGCCGAGAAGGCCATCGTGGTGAACGTGTCGAGCGTGAAGCGGAAGAAGAGGTCCTGCAGCTCGACGCGGCGGCCGCTCGACGCCAGCGCGCCAAGCAGCTTGTCGAGCTTGCCGAGGTCGTGGTGCACCGTCGTCTGGATGTGCGAGTTGAAGTTGGCGACGCTGAAGATGTGGCTGGCCATCTTGCGCTGGCGCTTCCACACGTCGCCGTCGGCTGGCGGCAAACGCGGCGTCAGCGGTGCGGGCTACGGGACAGCGCGCGGCGAGACGCACCGACAAAGATGCCGTGCAGGCCGAGCACGTCGCCCATGGCGTTGCGGAAGAGCGAGCCCTTGACCTGTGTGCCGCGTCAGCACTGGCCACCTCAGCGCACAGCCCTGCGAGCGCGCCACACATGCCCTGCCCACTCACGTAGTTCTCAAAGCTGGAGCGCCCCGCGTCAGCATCACTGCCGCAGCTCCTGCCTGACGCAACTCACTTGGTCTTCTGCACGTGCGCAATGTACAGCGGGTGGTTGAGCACGGTGATGCGGCCGCCGAGCGCGGGGAACGTGGCGGTGAGCGGGAAGTTGCCCTGCCCGTCGGCGCGGTCGAGCTCGTTGCGCTGCTCGCGCAGGATGGCGTCGAGCAGCTTGTCCTTGCCCGTGCTGCAGCGCAGGATCCACAGCGTGTTGCCGATGAGTGGCAGCGCGCCGGCAATTGTCGGCACGCTCTTGCGCGCGTGCGTAAAGACGAGGCGCTTGGGGTACGCGAGCGCCAGCAGCACGAGCACGACGAAGAGGCCGTCGAGCGAGAACATGGCCCAGTCCTTCCAGTCGAGGCGCAGCGACTCGAGCAGCGAGACGCGGTGCACGTCGCTGCGGAACATGCCGGGCACGGGCGGATGTGCCGCGGGCATCTGGCCCTTGAAGCCGAGGGGGCACTGGCCGGACATGGTGTGGTGGTGGAGGTGAGGAGTGAGGATGCGGGGCGGCGGTGCTGCGCGACTTTTCTCGGTGCGCCGAGCTTTTGATAGGCGCGCCCCGCATCGGAAGCCATGCCGTGCGGGCAGAGGGCTCGCAGCACCGCACACAGCACCACAGCACAGCTCAGCAGCACGTCTCCCTCCTTGCCTTGCAGCAGCTCAGCAGCGCTTCCGCCAGCGCACGGCGCATGCGCGATTTGCAAGCAAGCGCCGGCGGCCGTGCGCATCTGACGCTGCGAGCCCCGCACCGCAGCAGCTTTCTTTTCTCTCGGCGCTCCTTTGCCGCACCGCTCGGCGAGTTCACAAGAGGCAGCTGGCCGAGAAAGTAGTGCCTCGAGAGCGCCGCTTGGCAGCACGGGCGCCGTGCCGCTCCGTGCTCTCACACATCAGCAGCGGGCATCTCGGCGGCGGCCAAGGCAGCTCGCGCTTGTGCCGTCCTCGGCCTCGGGCATGCGCGCTCTCGCGGCGCCATGACGCTTCCGCTCATGCGTCTGCCGGCTCTGCAGCGGTGCGCGGGCGGCCAGCAGCGGAACCGGCACACAGCACCGTCAGAGCGCAGCACAGGCATGACAGCTCGGATGGAGGAGCGCGTCCGCCTCGCCTTCTCGAGCTCCCTCTCACAGCCGTGCAACGATCTCGCCTCTGCCGCAGCTGCTCATCATGATCCAGCCGCCTGTGAGGGCAGCATCGAGTCTGCATGCTGAGAGGAGAGTGGCAGGGCGCTTCTTGCTGCGCGCCGTTTCACAGCTGGGCGCAGGCGTGGGGCCGGCATGCATGCGGCTGCTCCGCCGAGTCCCGCCTCCCGACGCCTGAGAGCTCTGCTTGCCCCCCTTGCTCCATCCCTCCCCTGCGGCTGCACGCTGCACGCTGAATGCCAAGGCTGTCTCATCCTGCATGCTGAATGCTGAGATGCATGACATGCAGCAGCCATGCGTGACAGATGCGCCGCTGATGGCGCTTGCCCGAGATCGCGGACGGCGCCGGCGACCCGCTGTGCAGCTGGCGCGCGTCGCTGCCCTCGCATCACTGCCGTCTGCTTCGCGCTTGCTCCCCACAGCGCAGAGCATGCGGGCAGTCGCATGGTGTGCACCAGTCTACCTCTCGCACACTTCAGCCCCTCAAAGGAGATAGGCATGCTCGAGCACAGTGCCGCTGCTGGCCGCTGGCGAGGCTGAAGAAGGCGGGTCCGGGACGGGGCGGCGTCGTCTCGTGCGAGAGCCGCGCCGCGCCAGAATTTTGGACCAGCAGACGTCCGTCGATGGCGAGCACGCTGCTTTCCGCCACGTCCACCAAGCCCTCAACGTCGTTCAGCTGCGCATCCACCGCTCTAAGCTAGCTGTTCTCACAAGCCACCGCAAGCACTACTGCTCTCCGCCCAGTCGAGACTTCGCAGCACCATGGCGCGCATCGGGGCGCCGCGCGCCCTCTCGCGCAGCAAGGGCGCCGCCGCTGCATCCGCAAGCCCGTCGTCCAGCGCACCGGCACCGGCCAAGCGGCGCAGCGGCGGCGTCGCGCAGAAGCCAGGCATCAAGGCACAGGCAGCGGCGGCGAGCAAGCGCCGCCAGGGCGCAGCTGCTGCCCCCACAAGCGCGTGGCAGCAGGGCGTGACGCGCAGCCGCGACGAGCGCCGCCGCACGGCGCTCGACGGCGGCGCCGGCGTGGCGCCCGAGCTGCTCAGGGGCGCAGAGACGAAGCGGCCAGTGAGTGCGAGTGAACTGGCGATGACAAGCGAAGTGGTGGAGAAGATGGGCTGCGTGTGCGAGCTGGAGCGCAGGCGGACGGGTATGGTGCCGCATGCTGGCGCTCTGAAAAGACAGCCGCTCCTCGTCCCGCTCGACTCGTAAACGCCTCAGTCGCAGCAATGCGCAGCTCGTTCTTGCGCTTCGCTTTTTGCTGACACCGCCTTGCTCCCTTGCGCAGCGGCCAGCACCGCGGCCACCAACGCGCACGCAGGCCACGTCCGAGCTCGGCGCCGCCCTCGCCGCCCTCGACGTCGGGCCGCGCAAGTAAGGGTCCTCTCCGTCACGCGCACTTTCGTTCGACTTTGGTACAATGGGAATATTGCAGACCGCGCAGCGCACAGGGCAGACGAGGAGAAAGTGGTGATACAGGTGGAGAGAGATAGAGAGAGTGCGGGCACTGCGCGGCGCCAGTCTAGATGGAGATGGAGCAGGGCGCCGCTCGTGGCCGCGGGCTCAGCGGTACTTGTCGCTCCAGCGCGCGCCGGGCGACGAGGGGCGCGGCAGCTGCTGCTGCTGCGGGTGATGCTGCTGCTGCTGCTGTTGCTGCACTTGCTGCTGGTACTGCTGGTGCTGCTGCGCCTGCTGGCCGTGCTGGCTGTGCTGGCTGTGCTGACTGTGCTGGTGCGGCTGCACGGGCTGCGGCGGCATGCGCTGGTATCCGGCATACGACGAATGCGCCGAGGGCGGCGGCGAGCGGCGCGAGGGCATCGGCAGCTGCGGCGCAGAAGTGGCGGTGGCCGACGTTGGCGCAGACTGCGAGCTGCCGGGGCGCGACAGCGGCGAGCGCTGCGGCGGCTGCTGCTGTTGCTGCTGCGCGCTGTTCGCCACCAGCGGCGACGGCGGCTTGGGCATGCTGCCGAAGCCGAAGCGCATCGGGCCGGGCGATGGCAGATAGGCAGACGACGGGCGCGCACTGCTGCCGCTGTGGCTGCTATTCACGCCAGGCGAGGGCAGTGGCGAGACGGCACCCGAGCGAGAGGACTGGCCGTACGGCGACGAAGAGGCTGAGGCGCCGTCGATGGTGACACGCGGATGCATCGACGGACTCGCGCTGGGCTGGTGCCACGCGCCGGTGCGCGATGTTGTACCGGGACTCTGGCTGTGCAGCACGGGCGGCGCAGGCTGCTGCGGCGCCCGCTGCTGCTGCGAGGTGGCCGAGGCGCCCCAGTTGCTGGTGCGCGACTCGCTAGCGACCGACGAGGCGCGCTCGTACATCGCGCCGGGAGTCGAGTACGCCTGGCGCACGCCAGCCACGCCGCCCACGCGCTCGTCGCCGCGGACGTGCGCAGGCATGCCGCCGGGCGAGTAGGCAGTCAAGCGCGGCGCCGGTGCGTTGTACGCTGAAGGCGGCGGCGGCATGGCGCTGCGCGGCGCAGCCGGGCCGACCGAGGCAGAGCGGCCGAAGTAGTCGTGCGTGTGCTCGGGCCGGCGGCCGAGGTGCGAGACGTGCTGCTGCGGCGTCGGCGGCGTCGCCTGCTGCGAGTGCGCGCCGGGCGTGAGGTAGCCCTGGTGGGTGCTGCTGTGCATAGCCGTCTCGTGTCCGCTCGCCGTCGCCGGCCGAGACATGGTGCGCACGCGGCCGCCAGCAGAGGATCTTGGCCGAGCGTCCTCGTCGTCCGTGTCATCGCCGGCGTCGTGGCCACTCGCAGACCGCTGCGGACCGTCGCGCCCGCCGAACCAATCCGGCACGGCGGACGGCGCCCGCTTGGCCGCCGGCGCAGGTGCAGGAGTGTCGTCGTTGAGCAGGCTGTTGATGCGAAGACCACGCGGCCCGCTGTCGTCGGCGGCCGAGTCGAGCGACATGCCGCCCGGGCCGGCAAAGTAGCCCGTGCGCGGCCCCTCGGCCTCGGCGGCAGCCTTGCGTCGCAGCGCCAGCGTCTGTGCGGCCTTCTCGCGCTCCTCGAGCGGCAGTTCCGAGTTCTGGTCCGCCAGCGCCGCTGCCTCAGCAAAGTCGACGTCCACGGCGTTGCGCGAGAAGTAGTTGCGTGCCTGCGCCGCCGACTTGCTCGTCAGACTCGCCGCGACGTTCTCCCAGTCCTTGCCGACGACGGAGAGCGCGCGCAGGAACTCGTTGCGCTCTGCGATCGACCAGTACGACGAGGTCACGGCGCGTGGACGCTTCGGGTCGTCGGGCATGCCCTCCGTCGGCGTGCCGGGTATGCTTGACGGCGAGCCCTTGGCGGGCTTGCGAGCCTTCTTCATGCCCTTTTCGAGTGCCGCAGCCGCGGCAGCAGCAGCTCCGCTGCCCGGTCCGCCAAAGGCGTCGCCCGAGGCCATCTCGCTGTCCATCGGCGTGGCAAGCGGAGTGACGGCGCCCGACGCATCGGCAGAGCTGGCCTCGTCCTTGGCGGATGCAAGCGCTGCAGAGCCCACTGCCGCTGCCGTGCTCTTGCCCTTCTTCTCGCCCTTGGCTCGCTTAGCGCCCTTGCCACTGGCCGCGCGCGGCCGCCGCTCCTCTGCCGGTCCAGGGCTGTCGTCGTCGGCGCGCCGCTTGCGCGAGTTCGGACTGCCGGCTCCCGCGCCCTCTTCCTCTTCCGCAATGGCCTGGATGCGCGACTCCGCCGAGCCGGTCAGCATGCGTGCGCGCCCGGCCGTCTTTGCGCTGCGCGGCGCGCTGTCGACCGAGTCAGGCGTCTCATCGTCGTCGCCGCCGTCGCCCTTCTTGAGGTCGGCCATGAGCGCGCTGCCCTTGGCCTTCTTCGGCTTGACGCGGCCGCTCGACTTGCGCTTCCGCTCGCGGTTCCGCGCCGCCGTCATGGCCTTGTAGTCGTGGCCCGGCAGCTTCTTCGTGAGGTAGTAGTAGCGCACGCACTGCGCGGCCGTCTTGTCCGGCAGCGAGGCGGCAATCTTGCCGAATTGCTTCGGAAAGAGCGTGTAGCGGCGGTCGAAGATGGCCTTCTCCTCCTCGGACCAGACGTCGGGGTCGAACTCGGACAGGTAGAAGGCGACGGGATCGCGCACGAAGCCGTTGTCGTCGTCGTAGTCCGAGAACATCAGCTCGTCGGCGTCAGGGTTGATGAGCTGGTCAGGCGCCGTGGCCGTCGTGCGCGCGGCGCGCACGTTCGGGTCCTGCATGTCGGCGGTCTCGAGCGACGCCAGGATCTCGAGGAACTCTGCCTCGGATCGCACCGCGTCGCCGAAGCCCGCAAAGCCGGCCGGGTTGCTGCGCCGATTCGCACGGCCCATGCCCATGGACGCCAGCAGACCGCCCGTGTTGTCGTCGACTGGCTGCGCTGTGACCGGCGTGCTGACGCCGCCGCTCTGCACTGCGGGCCGGCGGTTCTCGCGCAGCTCGGCAATGCGGTCAAGACGTGCGCAATGACTCTGCCACTCGTCGTCGAGGGAGCGGTACTGCGTGCGCAGCGTCTCGACTTTGGCATGCAGGCGTTTCTTGCGCGCCACCTCACGCTCCATCAGGCGCGGTCGGAGACGCTCCGATGCCTCGTCGAACTCCTCGAGCCAGAGCTTGTCGTCCAGCGTGCCGGGCGGGCCGAAGATCGCAGAGTGCATGACGCTCAGCGTCGTCTGCGCCGCGAGTGTCTTGTTCTCGCGCAGCGTGCGGACGACGACTGACTCGTCCGGCTTCATCTCGCGGAACAGCCGCAAACGCGTCTCCTGAGCGACCTCATCGCGGTCTCGTTGCGTACGCGGCGTCATGAGCGGCCGGCTGGCAGCATCTAGCGGCGAAGATGAGGCGTGGCTGCCCTCGAGGTCGAGACGAAGATGCGGCGGGCCTTCGGCGCCCTCCTTCTCTTCCGCCTCGGCAGAGCCAGACGCCATTTCCTCGTCTTGAGACGTCGTGGGCGCGAGTGGAACTGGCGGTGGCGGCATGTCGCTTGAGGCCTTTGCGTCGACAGTGGAGGTCTCCGGCTCACGAACAGGCGCGCTGTCTTGAGCGGCAGCAATCTGCGAGACCAGCGAGACGCGAGGCGGCGGCATGGGCGCAGTCGTCTCAAGACCTGCGACGGGCGCATCGTGGGTCCCGTTGGCCGTGGCGGCGAGCGGCATCGGAGCCGAGACGGGCTCGCTGGTCACCAGGCCTGCGTCAGGCTCTACGACGGCCTCTGCGACGGCATCCTCAATTTCCATCTTGACTGCTGCCACAGCGGCGGCCACCGAGGCCGGTGCGGACACCTCGGTTGCTTGCTGCATCTCAGCGTCCGCTGCCGCCGCGGGCTGTGCTGCTGGGCTTGGTACCTGGATGACTGCCTCCGCATCGAGAGCAGGCTTCGCCTCGATGGAAGCAGAAGCAGCATCGACAGCCGACAGCGCTTCTGTGGGTCGCGCAGCCGGCGCTTCGCTCATGACCACGTCTGCAGTGGCGGACGTTGGCGCCGGCGCCTGCTCGCTCTGCACCTCCGCGACGGCTGCAGGCCCTTCGTCTAGCGCAGTCAGCTTTTCGGACGGATCTGCGAGCATCATAGGAGGCCGTGGCGGGGCATCGATGACGCGCGGTTGCTGCGCGGACGGCTGAGCTGCGCTTTCGGACGTCGCTGACGCCGCAGCAGGCGGCGGCGAGGGCGCTTTTGGCTTAGCAGTCGTAGAAGCGGCGGGTGGCGATGGACGCGGAGGCGTCTTGGAGCGCGGCGGCGTCCGCGAACGCGGAGGCGTCTTTGGCCGTGCAATGGGCGCCTCTGCAGCGCTGGTCGGCGTGCGCTCAGCCTCTTCTTGCTTGACGCTGATTGCCGCAGGCGCCTGCGCTGAAGCCGCGGCCGAGCCATTGACTGCCGAAGCGGAGCGCTCGCGCTGCACACTTCTTGCGCGCTCCTCGGCTCCCTCTGAGCCGTGCCGCGGCCGCCGGTTGCCATAGCCCGAGTCGCGTACGGTCGGCTCGAACGACCAGCTCGAGCCCGGACGTGATGGCAGCGCCGCAGCTGCCGGCACCACCGAGGCATGGCGCCGCGGCGAGCGATCCCGCGAGAACGAGCGACGTCGTGGCGCGCCCATGCTTGTCTCGGGACTGCGCCGCAGCAGCGATTGCCGCGAGTCGCGCCACTCCTCGTGCGAGTTGGAGTGCACAAAGGCGGGTCTTGCTTCGCCAAACTGCTCGTCGGCTCCGATGCTTGGCGAGTGAAGGCTGAAGAGAGGGTCAGCGATGCGCATGTGCACGAACGGGCGTCCGTCAACTCGCGAGCCATTGCTTCGCCGATGCATATCGCCCATCGATGCGCCGCTGTCTTCTCGCGCTCTGCGCGCCTCGGCATCCCAGTCGCGCGACTGACGTCTAGGCGGCGCCTCGCGCGCATTGCCGCTCTGCCAGCGTCCGCGCCACGGCGAGGCCGCAGGCGGAGCAGAAGAGGCAGCCGCGGCGGGCGTGGCTTGAGCACCAGTGCCCCAGGCGCGCATGACAGGCCCACCACCAATCGCAGCCGGTGGCACTGCGTTGACGCCGGAGAGCGGCGCGTTTGCCGACGTTGGCGAGGTCAATGCTGGCCGCTCGGCCGGTCCAGGCACCCAACGTTCCCGCACGCGCTCGCGCTCGTCGATCGCCGATGCTGGGGAGCGCGACTCGCGGTCCCACGCGCTGCGGCTCCGGTCCCAGTCTTCGGCGCCGCCAAGGCTGGCGGTCCGGATGGAGGGCCCACCGCGATGCGTCGAGGGCCCGGCTGCAGGAGCAGCGGCGCCCGGCCGATACGTGTCGGCGATGCGGCCCACGCGCGGTCTGGCAGGCAGAGCGGCGCCGGACATGGACTGGTAGCGCTCGCGAGGCATGTCGAGGCGCTGGTTGCCGGGAGCGGGCACGTAGTGCGACTCTCCGCCGCGGCTCCACGAGTCGTGTCCCGCGCGTTCGGGATGGGAGAAGCGCGGCGAGCCAGAGTGCGGCAGCGCACGCGCACTGCTCGTGCTTGGCTCGTCGTCCTCGTCGATGGCGCCCTCCTCCTCGCTCGTCATGCTCTTCGATGGACTGGCGCGCTTGTCAGGACTGCGGCGCCGCGGCGGGAACAGGTTCGGGCCGGGCGACGGCGGCCGGCCAGACGCTGAGGGCGTGCGGCCGTTCGTCGGCAGCAGGAGCGACGTCTGCGGCACGCGCGGCTCGCTCGGGCTGGTCGAGTGCTTGCGCGTCTGCGCCGGGCTGAGGCTGCGTGCTTGTGGGCCGCCTCGGCCGCGGGCTGCGTCGCGGTTGATGCTCATCTGGAGGTGACACATGCTGGTCAGAAGCAGCACACATGCACGTCGGCGCCCGAGCTGACTCACTCCTGAAGCGCGGCTGCCCTCGCCCGCAGCGCCATCGTCGACAGGCGCAGGCGATGCGCTCTTGGCCCGCGCACTGACGTTGGCCGGACGTGGCGGCGTGCGAGCCTTGGATGGCAGTGGTGGCGTATTGGGCCGTGGTCGCGACGGCTGCCCCTCCGCCATCGTGGCGGCTGCGCGTCCATCGGCGGCAGTCCCTTCGCTGCGCGGCGGCGTTGGCAGAGGAGCGGCGCTCATGCGAGCCCAGCGGCCCGATGCCAGCGCAGAAGCCCGTCGCTAGGGCGCGCGCTTGCCTGGCGCAGCGCAGCGCTCAGCTGCAGCGCGGATCTGTGTCTCGGCAGCGCAGCGAAGGTGTGCGCAGTCGTGCCGGGTGCGCGGTGCCGAGCTGATCGAGAAGAGGCGAATCGCTGAAAGAGGTCGCTGGTGCACGGGGGCCCGCGGCGTCGCGACGGCGCGAGCGGACGCGCTGCAAGTCGGAAGGAAGAAAGGAACGAAGGGTGCGAATGTACACAAGGCGAGAGCGGGCTGCGGCGGCGACGAATGGAAAGGGTGACGGGGCGGGTGGGGACGAGACGTGGAGATCGCGGAGCAGGCGATGGGGCGGCCGTAGGCGGCGTGCGACCAGCGAGAGAGACGGCGGCGCGCGCGCAGCCGAAAATCGAGCTTGTGCGTTTCGAGCCGCGCGGCGCCCTGCTCGCACACGGCAGCCGCCACGCCCACGCTCGCCCTGCTCCCTGCTTTGGAAGCGCGAAGCATGAGCCATGACCGGAGGCCAGCTCAAGAAGCTGGTCCAGTCGCACGGCTGCGAATCTCCGCGGACCCAGCGCGGCAAACGGTCGACCGACGCAAAATGTCGCTGCCGGGTCACGCGAGCAAGACAGCCAGCACTAAGACTTCTCCTGGCTGCCAAAAGTGTGGACCACCGTCCTCAGGCACTGCGTCCTCATCACACAGCAGCGCACAGCGGATTCATCGACTTTCATGTGTGTAGCGGCGCGTCGCAGGGTGGGTGCGAGGTGAGCCCGGGAACGGTCGTGTTGAGGAGGCAAGGTGGTAGGGTAAGACGGCGTGTGGAGGTGTGGAGGGGGGATCGAGAGGACGAACGACCAAGTACGAGAAGGGTGGACCACCACGGCGAGGCGGACTAGTTCTACATTGCGGACGGGAAGCGCACGCGAGGAGCAGCGGGGCACTCCAAGCGCCCACTCCGGGACCGGACGGCGGCGACGTGACATCGTGAGAGCGCGAGACGTGACGTTGGGCGAGCTGATGCGCTTTACATGGCGTATCTGCGGAGCAGAGGTCAGTCGCTGGGCTTGCATCGCGCGCGGCGCCGCACTGCTCACTTTCTCGTCCACTCGCGTGCTGTGCTCTCGTAGCGCGGGCGGTCGGTCTTGTACAGGTTCGCAATCTCCGGCACCAGCGGGTCGTCGGGGTTCGGGTCTGTGCAGCAGTGTAAGCAGCCGAAGGATGCAGACGAGACGCAGCGTGGACGTACCCGTCAGCATCGAGCAGATGGAGAGCAGCACTGTAAGAGAAGTGGCGTGAGCACGATGCTCGCAAGGAAAAGGCGGGAGGGAGGTCAAGCAACGAGCCACGATGAGCATCGCAAAGGGCTAGCCTCCTTTATACCACTCGCACGGCCCACCGCCACAGCCTGTCGCACGCACCCTTGGAGATGGTCAGCGCCGGGCTCCACTGGTCACGCAGGATGTCGAGGCAGATCGAGCCGTTGGAGTTGATGTTCGGGTGGTAGATCTTGGTGGAGAAGGACACCTTCGGCGGCTTGAACGGGTAGTCGGTCGGCTGTGCAAGGGCAGGGCGTGAGCAACGAATGGCACGACACGGCGGCGCAAGGACGCACGAAGGTGATGCTCATGAAGAAGACGCCACCCGAGTACGGCGAGTCGCCCTGTATTCATGCGTCAGCCGGGACGTTAAGGCAGCAGCGCGAGTGCGACGCACAGGCCCCATGATCGTCGCCTGCCACTGAAGAGGAGAAGCAGTGTGAGTTTGAGCTCGAGCGCCACGCCTGCTGACGGCCACGCACCTGGAACATGTTGTCGCCAGTGGGGCCGGCGCTGCACGACGAAGGCGGGTCACGGCCGAGGTCGAGCAGCTCCTGCAGATGACAAGTTGGTGAGCGAGGCACGCAAGGCGTACGGCATTGCAGCACGCACCTTGTTGATCCGCTTGAGGGCCATGGTCTGCACAGGAGGCGGTGCGGCGTCAGCATGTGTGAGATGGTCGCCGGGGAGGTGCACAGCGCGCCACCACGGCCAGGCGCTCTGCCACTGCGCATGCCGCAGCGACACGGCCGCAGCACAACGACAGTCATGGCACCATCTTTCTTCGCCACAAGCATGGCAGGCCGCTCAACAGCTCATACGCACGGGCTAGCGGGGTCGCGGACGAGCGACGAGACGTGCAGGTGTGGGCTCGCAGGCGGCGGAGAGGGCGGTGCAGCGGCGCGCAGGCGCAGTGCACGGCGAGGCAAGGCGTGGCGAGACGCGGAGCAAGTAGCGGTGTGAGCGCGGCGAGGACGCGGCGAGGGGCGAGGGTGATGGAGGTGCGGCGGAGAGAGTGGAGCGAGCGGCGGTGGGCTGCCATCGCTGGCTGGCCTCAGCGCCGCCGCGCCGAGCCTCGGCAGCGCCAGCGAGGGTGCGGCGAGGCAGCGCAGGCCGGCAGCGGAGACAAGGCCGCGGCGCGTGGCGACTCTCGGCGGCGGCGCTGCCTTCCTGTGCCTGATTACACCTCCGCGCAAGGCAAGCAGTAATGTGTGACTACAAAGCGGTGCCTGGCCGCGCCGCCCAGTTGTATTCGCAGCTCAGAGCAACATCAGCCTTCGACGGAGAGGCGGCATCACCACGCCTCGCGCCCCTCTGAGACCCTTTTTCGCTGCATGAGGCAACGAGTAGGTGCGCCAGCTGGCTATCACCGTGCTCCATGCCGAGTACCAGCGGCGGGCAAGGCCAGCCTGGCGCGCATGCCTTTGTGCTCGGCGGTGGAAGGATGCCGACGTCCGGGGCGCGCGCGTCACGTGCGCGTGTCCCTCGCAGGTGCTCCCACGCTCCCGCTGTTGAAAGGTGGAGGCCCGCCGGCCTTCAGCAGCCGAGAGCGGGAGACAGAGAGCAGCAGCATGACGGGCGCAGCGAGCGGGCAGACGGACGGGAGCTGCAAGATGAAGGGCGTTGCGAGAAGGCAGCAGCGGCGGCAGCGGCGCAGCAGTAGAGTGGGCACAGCGCCGCTGCGTTTCACACGGCAAGCCGGACTCCGGCCCTGGGCGCAGTCAGCCTCATCAGCCAGCTCTTGCCTCTCACCACCACAGCCGCAAGCACGCAACATGGCATCGCAGACATCAAGCAGCAGCCGCGGCGCCGAGCGTCTCGCACAGCCGCTCACGCTGCCCTGCGGCCGCACGGCGCCCAACCGCCTGGCCAAGGTGCGTCGCTGCGGCTGCCGCATCTTGTGTCGCGCTGACACCACACTCAGGCGCCGATGGAGGAGATGCTGGGCCACTTTGGCGGCAGTGCGCCGACGCCCGCCATCCTGCGTCTCTACCGGCACTGGGCCAAGGGCGGCTGGGGCATCGTCATCACGGGCAACGTCGCCATCGACTCGACGCACCTCGGCATGCCGTTCGACATGACGCTGCCGCCGCCGCCGCACCGCTCGCCCGCGCTGCTCGAGGCCTTCCGCGCCTACGCCGACGCCGCCTCGGGGCGCGACTGCGGCGTGCCGGCCGAGCGGCGCCCGCTCGTCGTCGTGCAGCTCGTGCACGCCGGGCGCCAGTCGATGCGCGGCGCCGGCCGTGCGCCGTGGCGGCCGTCGCTGGGGCCGTCGCCCGTGCCCATGGCGCCCTCGGCGGACCTCGGCGCCGTCGGCAAGGCGCTCGACTGGGCGCTGTTCGGGCCCGTGCAGGAGCTGAGCATCGCGCAGATCGAGGACCTCGTCGACCGCTTCGCCTCGGCCGCCGAGCTCTGCGCCAAGGCCGGCTTCGACGGCGTCGAGATCCACGGCAGCCACGGCTACCAGCTGGCAGCGTTCCTCAGCCCCAAGACGAACCTGCGCACGGACAAGTACGGCGGCGATGCGCGCGGCCGGGCGCGCCTGCTCATGGAGATTGTCGAGGAGACGCGCAAGCGCGTGCCCAAGGACTTTGCGCTCGGCGTCAAGGTCAGCGCTCCTGTTGCGCGGCCTGCCTGAACTGCAGCTGACATCCATCTGCAGCTCAACTCGGCAGACTATGTGCAGGGAGGCTTGACGGAGGAGGATGCGCTGCAGAACGTGCAGTGGCTCGCCGAGCAGGGCGGCGTCGACTTTGTCGAGATTAGCGGCGGCAACTATGAGAACCCATGTGAGGCGTACATCCGCTCGTCTTGGCTGCAGCAGAGCTGACGATGGCCGTGCAGCGTTCATGACCGAGGGCTTCGACGCCGACGCCGAGCTGCGCAAGCTCGCCGGCGACACGACCGTCTCTGCGCCGGCGCGCGTCCAGGAGGCGTCTGCGGGCGGCAAGAAGCCGAGCGCACGCAGCCAGGCGCGCGAGGCCTTCTTCCAGTCCTTCGCCAAGCGCTGCCGCGAGTCGCTGCCCGCGGACAGCAAGATGAAGCTCATCCTCACTGGCGGCCTGCGCACGCGCGGCGGCATGGCCGGCGCGCTCGAGGGCAGCAACGTGGACGCCGTGGGCATTGGCCGCATGGCGGCCGTCTACCCGGACCTGCCGCTCACCGTGCTGGACACGAGCGTGCCGGACGACAGCGCGCAGGCCAGTCCGCCGCCGTACAAGATCAAGGGCGCTGGCGTACTCGGCAAGCTGCCGCTCAAGATGGTCGGCGCAGGATGGGGCACGTGAGTGGACCTGCTAGAGCCCGTTGCGTGCTCGGTGCTGACCTGTCCTCCAGCCTCTGGCACAACGGCGCGATGACCTACCTGGCGCAAGACAAGCCCGTCAACGTCAACGCCGGACCGCTGCGCACCGTCGCCGGCATCCTGGCGCCGAGTCTGTTCAACAGCCGCGTCCACGCCGCCATCATCGCCCTCCTCGTGGCCCTCCTGGCCTTCTTGCCGGGAATTGCGCGCCCGAAGACGGCCTAGAGCCGACCTGTGCCTATCTGCCACGTCTAATGCACCGCATGCGCTGCGAGTGCACGCGCGCGGAGCCTGAGCGTCGGGAAAGCGTGTGATTGAGGCAGGGTAAGAGCACGGGCAAGGAGGGGTATGAGTGTTGTATGGGAGAGCAGGGAGAGCAAGAAGCTAGCGCAGCTTGGCGAAGGGGTCGAGCGTCGAGGAGGCCGCGGCGCGCGACTCGAGCTGGCTCTTGGACGGCGTGTTGAGGTCCCAGAAGCGCAGTGTCTCGTCGCCAGCGCCGCTGACGATCGTCTCGCCGTCGGGGCTCATGGCGAGGTAGAGGACGCGCATCGTGTGGCCGGTGAGCGTGGCGATCTGCGACATCGTCGGGTAGCGCCACACCTGGATCTGGTGCTGCACCTTGCCGCCGGAGAAGCCGTGCGTCGAGATGAGCTCGTTGGCCGTCTTGCTCCACAGCAGGTTGCACACCTGCGAGCCCGTGTCGATGTCGGAGAGCAGCTGGCCCGTGATCGTGTTCCAGAAGCGGATGCGCATGTCGGCCGTGCCGCCGCCCGAGGCGAGCAGGCCTTGCTGGTGCGGGCTCCACGCAATCGCCTTGACGGCGGCCGTGTGCTCGGTGAAGCGGTGCAGCGGCGTCGTGTTGAGGCCGTCCCACACGAGCAGGCGGTTGTCGTTGCCGCCCGACGCCAGCTGGTTCGTCATCGTGTTCCACTTGAGCCCGCACACCTCCTGCCGGTGCCCGCGCAGCAGCGCCATGTGGTGCTCCGGCTCGCGCGTGTCGCGGTGCAGGATGGAGCGGTCGCGCGAGCCCGTCGTGAGGATCGGCGAGTTCCACGCCAGCGCGCCGACGCGCGACGAGTGGCCCGTCATTGTGCGCACCTTCTTCTCGTGCTCGGCGTCCCAGACCTGCACCTCGCCCGAGTTGGTGCCGACTGCCAGATAGCGGCCCTGCGGTGTGGCGTGAGCGTAGGCGAAGCACTGGTGCACGCTCGGCGACTCACATTGCTTGACCAGTTCAGGCCGGTGATGCGGTCTGTCTTGTCGCGCCCCTCTGACAAGTCGACCAGCTTCTTCACGTTCGCGTCCTTGGCCGACCACAGATAGACGCACTGGCCCAGGCCGACACCCATGACGTTCTGCGAGCTCCAGTCGACGAGATTGAGGTAGAAGTCGTCCTGAATGCGCCGAGTCAGCGAGGGCTCGTGCTCGCGCACCTCGGGCTACTCGCGGCAAGCTCAGGCGCATCGAGCACCTTGTACGGCACCTTGCTGAGTGTCCGCGGCGCTCTCCGCGGGCTGAGCAGCATGCGCTGGCTCTCCAGCTTGACTGGACTGAGGCTGTATGCCGAGTGGTGCGGCGAGTCGAGCGTCTCAGCCGCGCCGCCCAGGTAGCCGCCGCCAAAGAGGCCCACGGGCCCGCCGGAGCTGCCGCGCCGCTCGCCAGGCCCCACGCCAGTGACGCCCGGATAGAGGCCGATGCGCTCGGCGCCGCCGCTGCGCCCTGGCGTGCCGACGCTGCGCGAGCGCGACGACGATGGCGAGGGACTGTGGTAGGAGAGCAGGTTCTTCTTCGTCGGCGTCGCCGGACTGCCCGCAGCCGACGCGGCATGGCGCATGTTGCCAGTGGCACCAGCCGCACTCGAGCCGTAGGCTAGCTGCGCGGCGTGCCCATTTGCGCCAGCTCCATGCGAGGAGCCAGTTGCTGTGCCGAACAGCTCCGTCGTCAAGAGGCTGGAGAAGGCCTGATTTGCTTCCTCTGCAAGCGACACCTGTCAGCAAGTGACTCCGTTCCGTGTCCCAGCGCTGCTCACCCTTCTGCGCATCCATGTCCACCGCCATCTTGCGCTTCTGCCGGCTTGTCGACGTGCCCTCATCGCCCATCAGCTGGTACACAGTCTGCATGTCGCTGACATCGCGACTCGGAATGTATCTGGCACACGCCCGCATCAGTCGCCGCACGCAGTCTTTGCCGTTTGCTGGGCCACTCACCTGTCGGCATACGCCGGCACCTTGTGGCGCCCGGGCGTTCGTGGCCGATCGCCATTGAAGCGGGGCCTCGCTGGCTCGCCACTTGCCTCGCGCGTGCGTTCCAGCCCTCCGGTGCTCTCACGACGTGCGCCAGCTCGGCTCGGCGAGGCCAGCAGGCCGGCGGCGCCGTCCAGGTGCTCGTCGTACAGCGAGCCGATGCCCGTCGACGTGGATGCGCCCGGCGTCACGCCGCGGCGGCTCGGCCCGGCACTGCTGCTGCTGGCGCCGTGCGAGTCGGCGCGCAAATGTGCCCGGCTAGCGCCCGACGGCGACGCCGAGCCGCTGGCGCCGCCGGCTGCAGCGCCGGCGCCCGAGGACTGCGTGCGCAGCCGGCGCCCGAACTCGGAGTTGTACATCGCCGAGCTCCGTGTGTATGACGGCGCGCGCGCAGAAGTGCGGGGGCGCGGTGCACGGGCTGTGGTGCGCGAGAAGTGCCGCAGCAGCAGTGATGCGCTAGCGGATAGCGAGGAGAAGCCGCTGCTCGCGGCTGCTGTGCGGTGCGGCGGTGATGGGCCGGGTGTATGCGCGGCGCAAGGGTCGCCAGCTCGCACGACACGCGCGCCGTGGGCCAGGCGCGGAGAGGCTGCGGCCGCGGCGTGCGGGTGCGCAGAGATGCACGCTACTGCGGCGAGACAGCGGTGCCGGGTGCACGGATGCGCACGCGAGGAGCAGGCCTAGGAGGAGATGGTGGTGCGGAGCAGGGCGCGGCGGCGCGGCGGTGCTGCAGGTGGAGCGGCGCGCATCGGCGACGACGCCCGAAGCACAACAAGGGCACGGCAGCGCTGACGACGCCGCGCCGCCGACCGCTCCGCCGCGCCGCGCCCATCCGCGCCCCGCATAAGCACCTCGCAGCAGCACGCACGCCGGGGCGCAGGGCTGGTGTCACAATCTGCGGGGAATAGTGGCGCTAGTGCTGCTCCACTACCTTAGCCCGTCATGCCGATGGCGCCTCAGCAGGCCGTCGCGCCGTCTGTGCCGGCCTTGCTGCGCGTGTGTCCCCTCCGCGTACGCCGCCTCGCAGTCTGCCGACAGCAAGCTAGGCGTCTCTCCGCTGTCCGAGGTGCTTCTGGTGGCAGAAGCCTGTCAGAGCGGAGCGCACGTACCGTCGAGCTCGCGCTGTCGCCAGAGTGCGGGGGTGGCAAGGCCGTGTCGCAGAGCTTCGCGCTCGCGCGTCGGCCTCGGCGAGCGCACACGCAAGAGCATCGACGCCGAATGGCCGCCTGAGACGCGGCACGCAGACGCCCGAGCATGTGCCCCGTGGGGTCGTCGGTGTGTGACCAAGACGCACTTGCGAGCGCCGGCGATGGAGTCGAAGCACGCAAGCGCTACGCGGCCGGCGTCCACAGCAGGCGACGCTCGGAGGCCGCGCTCTGCGACCCCTCCGCTCACGCTAGACGACGAGCAGGAGTAAGAGTCCAATCTCGGACACATCGCGCGGCCAAGCGTGCCCCTGCCCTGCTCCGTGAGCCTCGGAGGCCAGCTCGCCAGGCCGGCTGAGCCCACCGAGCCAGCTCGGGGGACGCATGGCAACGCTGCCGCCGGCTCACGCAGCGTGCGCACGTCGCAGCGGGTCTGGGCCGTGTTCATGCACCCGCTGTGCAGCATCCGAGGGCCCTGCGCATGCGCATAGCTGATGCGGCAGCTCTTGAGAACGCTCATCAGGAGAAGTTCAGCTGCGGCGTCCATGGCTGCGGCGCGTGCCAAACGCAGCCACGCGCACGGGACGGCAGCGTGCGTGCGCCACAGCGGCGTCTTTGGGTGCGCTGAAGGGCGCAGAGGAGAGGAGGCACTCCCGCGCCCTTCTCTCGAGCCTCTTTGCCCTTTTCGCGCCTTTGCCCGCTGCTTGGCGCGCCTCGTGCTGCGCGGAGCTCCTCTCTCGGGTCGCGCGTGTGCGGCGCGCGCGTCGGACCGGGGGCCGCTGCCTCGGGCGCACGCAGCACACATGGCGCGGCCCTCGCAATCTCCTCGCCGGCGGATGGGCAAGCGTGGCAGGAGGAGCGAGCTCGCCGCACCCGTTGCGCTGGTGCTGCGGCGTCTTGCACGGCGGAGCTCCCGCGGCTGGCTGCTGTGGCACGCACGCTCCGGCGCATCTCTCCCGCATCCGCCGCGCACGCGCAGCGGGAAGGCGCCGTGCATGACCCGGCGGGAGCTGATCCGATGCGGCGAGACTCGACTGCCTCTGCGACCTGCCCGTGACCCTGTGGTGCCAATCGCACGGAGTCCGGGCATCGCTGTTTGCAGAGAGGGCACACCATGCGCAAGACAAGGCCGAGTGTGTGTGAGAGGCTCGAGCTGCGACGCCGATGGGCGCGCGTGTGCTTGGCCTGTGGCGCCGCCATCTGGCGCTAAGATGGGCGCGGCGGCTAGGCGCGGCAAAGGCGGCATGGACCCTAAGCTAGGCGCAGGCGTCGGAGGCCGTGAGACGAGACTGCCCGCGACCCAGGATCAGGATGCTCGACGGCGACGCCGATGCGCGGGTGTGAGCGGTGCGTCTGGCGGTGCGCAGCGACGACGACGAGCACGTCAGAGAGAGCAAGCAGGCGCAGCGGTGCGAGGCGCACGCGCAAGGCGAGGACGCCGCACGTTTGATGCGCCGCCAGCCATGCGCCGCAGATCTTTGCGCGCCTGCGAGAGAACCTGACGCGGCGGCGCGGCGCAGCGCAGCCAAAGCCAGGCCAGGCCAGCGGCGCCTCTTCTACCCGCACTTCTCACCGCACCTCCTGCCTCCCGCCCACCTCCTCCGCTGGCCTCACCGCACACCCCTCCTCGCCGGCGCACCGCCGCGCGCCCAGCATGGAGCCCGTGTCGCCGCACCTCTACAGCCTGCCCTCGGCGCGCGCCGTCGCGCGCATGTCGCCGTCGAGCAGCGTCTCGAGTGTGCCGGCCGTCTCGTCGCCGCTGGCGTCGCCCGTGCTGCGCGCCGCCTGCCGCACGCCGCCGTCGCCCATCCTCCTCTCGCGCGCCGCCGCCGCACCGGTCGCGGCCGCCGGCTTCGAGCCGCACGCCTGGGCGCTGCTGGCCGTCGCGCGCGACGCGCAGCGCAGCCGCTCCCTCGTCGTCACGCTGCTGCACGCCGGCAGCCAGGCGCTGTATGCGTGGCCCATGAGCCTCGACGCCGACGCGCCCGCCGGTGCGGGGCCCGGGCGCGTCTTTGTCACGCCGCCGTCGCCGGCGCCCGAGGATGCGCCCGCCGAGCACCTCACGAGCGAGAGCCTGCGCGTGCTCGGCGCCGTGCTGGGCGCGTGGATGCGTGCGCGCCGCCGTACCGCACTCGTCGGCGCCGCCGGCAGCAGCAGCAGCAGCGGCAGCGCCAGCCCCGGCAGCGACGGCGACGAGGCCGAGCTGCGCGCCGTCGAGCGCGACGTCGGCCTGCGTCCGCTGGCGCGCCTCGAGCGCAGCGCCCACCTGGCGCGCCAGGCGCTGCCCGACATGCCCGCGTCGCCGCCGCTGAGCCGCCGCGGCAGCGAGGACTCGTCGGGCCGCCGCACCGTGCCCTCGTCGCCCGTGCAGCGCACAAAGGCCCTCGCCGCCGCCGTGGTGGGTGAGCGCCCGCGCTTCGGCCGCGCCGCCAGCTCCGAGTCGCTGCGCTCGGCGCCGCCGTCGCCCAAGCCCGCCGCAGCCGTGGCCGCAGCCGCACCCGTCAAGAGCAAGGCCAAGCCCAGCCTCACGGCCATGCGCATCTTCAAGAGCTTCACCGGCACCACTGGCAGCAGCAAGCACGACGCCGCCGCTGCCGCCACTGCCGCCGCTTCCACGACCTCGCCGCGCACGTCGCCCGACAGCGGCAAGCGCGCTACCAAGGCCGCGTCGTCCTCGCCGCCGCGCCGCTGCAGCGCGCTGCCGGCCTCGCCGCTCGCCTCGCCGGTGCCGACAATCGAGGTCTCTGCGCCTCCTTCGCCGCTCCTGGCGCAGTCCTCGCCGCTCCCGCCGCTGCGTCTGCCGCTGCGGCATCCGCGCTACGACGCGCCCGCGTCGGCCTCGTCGGGCGCCAGCGGCTACGCGTCGCTGCCGAGCGTGGCCGGCGACGCCTACATCTCCCAGATCTCGGCGCGCGAGAGCGGCCATCTCTTCTCGGCCCTCTCGCGCTGGGAGAGCAGCGGCAGCAGCCACGAGGAGCGCTCCACCGCCGAGCCGATCGCTGCCTGAGCCACGTCTCCAACCATTCCCTCGTTTCCACGACGCTTCTCGTCTCTATCGTCTCTCGCCTCTCCCTGGTTGTACCGTCACCTAGTCCCCTAATCCAAGGGCCCGCGGCACCGTCTCACGTGGCGTGCCGACGGCTCCACGGCCGTAAATTCCCTAGACCCTGCCCTCACTCGAGCATCGCTCGGCGCACACACCACAGCCTCTGTAGATATCTAGATGGCCCCTAGATGCCCACCTGCGTCTTCCGCACATAATCATACGCATTCACGACCATGCGCAGAAGGAATAGAGGTCATGCGTTGTCCAGCTGTCCCGGCACGTCCGGCTGTGCGCTATCCGTGGATCTGATTGTCCTGCAGAGCAACAGCTATCAGCGAGGCCGTGCGCTCGCAGCCACGAGCTCTCTCACCTTTGTCGTCTGCACCTCGTCCTCACACACTGCGCGTCTTGCCTCGCTGCGCCACTCGAAGTGCCTGCATCGATCGAGAGTCAGCAGCCTGTCGCAGATCCCTGTCTAGCTCGGCACGCACGCTTCGAACGGCAGCGGATGGCTGTTGGCTGCCGACGTGAACGCCAGCGTGTCCGTCTCCTCGGCGGGCACGGACGACGTGATGTTGAATGCCCACGCCAGGCTGGCGAAGTTGATGAACAGGCTGCGATTCGCTACGTGCATGCCGGGACTGCAAACAGTACTGGCATCAGCATCCGCACCCCTGCGCCTTGCGATTGTGTCACCCACCAGATGCGCCGTCCAAAGCCAAAGGCGACGTGGCCGTCCTGCGGCGAGAACCAGGTGCCCTTGCACTGGCCTGTCTCGTCAAGGAAGCGCTGTGACGACATGTGGACATCAGCAAGAGGTGCGCTGCAGGGGTTCGACGAGCACGCACCTCGGGCTTGAACACATCGGGCTCCGGGTACTCGTTCTCGTCCAGCGAGATGGACCTGGTGCGCCGCATCGTCAGTGCTGCCGAGCCGGACACGTCGACGTCACGCACCAGTGGTTGCCGATAATCGACGAGTCCTTTGGCAGCGTGTAGCCCTCCCACTGCACGTCCGCCGTGAGGCGGTGCATGAAGCCACCGGCCGAGACGGGCCGCCAGCGCATCGTCTCCTGCACGCACGCCTGGATGAAGGGCAGCGCGGCCTCATCCTCGAACGTCGGCATCCGCTTCTCACCCACAACGCGGTCGACCTCCGCGGCGGCCTGGCGCAGCACGTGCGGGAAGCGCAGCATGGCCATGACGAAGATGGAGAGCGCCGCCGCCGTCGTGTCGCTGCCGGCGCCGAAGAGCGAGCCGGCCATGTAGCTGGCCTCCTCGTCCGTGAGGTGGATCTTCTCCTGCCGCTCCTGCAGCTTGCTGCTGAAGCTGGCACTGCCCTCGCCGGCCTTGACGCGCGTACGCACGGCCTGGTACTGCGAGAGGAAGAGGTCCAGCTCGCGGGCGTGCAATTGCTTGCCGAGCTTGACCCAGGGATTGAGCGGCTCGGGAATGTAGTAGAGCAGCGGGAAGCGGTCGAGCATCGAGGCGCCGGGCCGCACGTAGCGCGCCAGCATGCCGAGGCGCTCGTTGACGGCGCGAACGCGCGGGTCGTCGAGCGAGGTGACGGGCTGGTCGTACGTGACGGTCATGATGACGCTGGCAGCATACGTGCGCCACACGTTCTGCCAGTCGGCGGGCCCGTCGCCGAGACGCTGCATGGCCAGACGGCTCTCCTTGACCTGCACAGGCTCGTAGGCTTGTGCCGGGCGGTCTGCCAGCGCCTCGTGCATGACCTTGCGGTATGTGCCTGCGGAAGTGCGTCAGCGCTGCGTGCTCGGAGCATCGCGGCAGCACATACGCCATCGGTCACTGGACAGCAGTGTCAGCGACTCTTGCCGCGAGATGCACGCCGGACACGCACTTGTGGTCCATGATGAGCATGCGCTTGCCGCCTGCGGAGACGCAGCAGTCAGCGCCGTGATGCGCCTGCGCGACGCAGCGCCCGCACCGGACATGAGCTCGCCGGCCATGATGTTGCGCGGGCGGCCGCTCGAGACGCCGGCCTGCTTGTTGAGCAGCGCATGGGCGGCGCGTGCCGTGCCGACGACAAAGAGCAGCTGCGCGGGGCCCACGCGGACGGTGCACACGTCGCCGTAGCGGCGCGTCCACTCGGCCATGGTGCGCCACGGATGCGTGTCGGGGATGGCCGTGCCGGTGAGCAGCGAGTGCGGCGGGCCCGGCGGCAGGCGGCCGCGCACGGCGAGCAGCGGCCGCAGCACCTGCATGGCGAGCAGCAGCAGTGCAGCGGCCAGTGCCGCCAGCGCAGCCGTGCCGAGTGGCGAGACGGAGAGTGCCATGGCTTGTGCAATGACTTGAGGCGCACGCCGGCGCATGTGGTCGGAAGGCAGGCCTTTATGGGCGTGCAGCGTGGCTTGTGCGCTGCTCCACAGCGGCGAGCACGCTACGGATGTAGCGGTAGCGTCTGCGGACCCCAGACTCCGCCGGGCGCCGGGCTCCTGCTTGAGCCTGGCAGTGAGAGTCCTCGACGGCTGTGTCCTGCGCTGCTTCGCTGTTGTGTCAGACGAGCAGCGAAGCCTTCTGCTGCTGCTTGCAGGCTGCACCTGGTGCTGCGTTACCCCGCATCCGCGCGTCGGAGGTGCGGCTGCCATCCGCCGGTGCTGACCGACGAGGTGTATGAAATGCTCCTGCTGACCGTGCAGGCGCATGAAATGCAGCGCCACTCGCCGTTTCTGCCGAGGCGGGCGCACTCGCACCCTTGTCACTCACACACGCCCGCCACTCACGCCGCGTCAGTGCGTTTCATCGTCAATTTCGTTTGTCTTTTGGAGGAAGAGTGCCCGCTCGGCGCACCGCGTGGAGGGGAAACACACAGCGGCGAATGGGCGGAGGGATGCGCCCGGCGCAACAGCGCAGAGAGAGAGAGCAAGCCGGGCAGCATCAGGAAGGGAGGAAAGGGGAGCACGTACATGCATGCGAGACGGGGCTGATAAGAGAGGGAAAAGAGGCGGGTCTAGGGCTAGCGCGCCCGGGAACACTACACGGTCTTTCTCTGCTCTACAGCTCGTCGTGGCCGCCGTACGACAGCGGCTCGTCGTCGGGGTCCGTCGGGCCGCTGCTGCTGCTGCCGCCAGCGCTGTCGCCGTACACCTTGGACGTGATGGGCGCGAGCGTCGCCTGCAGCTCGGACAGCTGCTCCTCGACGTCCTCGGCCGTCGCGCTCTCGCCGTTCTCCTCGAGCCACGACTCCGTCTCCTTGAGCGCCGTGTTGATGGCGTCCTTGTCGCTCTTGTCGAGCTTGGCGCCCAGGCCCTCCTTGTCCGACACCGACGAGCGCGTCGAGGCGACGAGTGCCTGCAGCTGGTTGAGTGCCTCAATGCGCTTGCGGCTGGGAGAGGCGTGCATCAGCAAAGACGTCCTTGCCAGGCAGCTGCTGCGGACACTCACGCGGCCTCGTCCTCCTCGGCGAACTGCTCGGCCTCCTTGACCATGCGCTCAATGTCCTCGGGCGTCAGGCGGCCCTTGTCGTTGGTGATCGTCACGGACTCCGAGCGGCCGGTGCCCTTGTCGGCGGCGCTGACCTTCATGATACCTGCGCGCGCGGGTGTGAGCTTGGCGTCTCGGGACATCGCGCCGCTGCTGCTCACCGTTGGCGTCAACCTCGAACGTCACCTCGACCTGCGGGACGCCGCGCGGTGCCGGCGGGATGCCGGTGAGCTCGAACTTGCCCAGCAGGTTGTTCTGAGAGCGCACAGGAGTCAGCGACTGAAGCGAAAGTGCAAGGATTTGCGCGCAAACTCACGTCCTTGGTCATGGACTGTCGGCAAGGAAGAAGAGTTTCGTCAGCGCCACGTCAAACACTCTTTGCGCGCAAGAGCACTCACGCGCTCGCCCTCGTAGACCTGGATCAGGACGACAGCCTGGTTGTCGGCCGCCGTCGAGAAGATCTGGCTCTTCTTGGTCGGGACGACGGTGTTGCGGGGAATGAGCTTCGTCATCACACCGCCAGTCGTCTGCGCGCGCGAGGGAAGGTCAGCTCCGGCGCAAAGTAAGCAGCGCGCGTCAGACACGCACCTCAATGCCGAGCGTGAGCGGGTTGACGTCGATCAGGAGCACGTCGTTAAGGCCCTTCTCGCCCGAGAGCACACCACCCTGAACGGCAGCGCCCCAGGCGACGGCCTCGTCAGGGTTGATGCCCTTGGAAGGCTCCTTGCCGTCGAAGTAGTCCTGCGCGCGGGAGCGAGAGCGTGAGCATGGCACGTCGCGCAGGTCTCTGCACACGCGCGCAACGCACCTTGAGCAGCTGCTGAACCTTGGGAATGCGCGTGGAGCCGCCGACGAGCACCACGTCGTCGATGTCCTCCTTCTTCACGCCGGCGTCCTTGAGTACCTGCTCAACGGGCTTCATCGTCTTGCGGAAGAGATCGGCGTTGAGCTCCTCGAACTTGGCGCGCGTCAGCGTCTCGCTGAGGTCCTTGCCCTCGAAGAAGCTCTCGATCTCGATCTTGGTGCTCATCTGGCTCGAGAGCGTGCGCTTGGCGCGCTCGACCTCGCGCTTCAGCTTGCCGACGGAGCGCTTGTTGCCCGAGGCGTCGACGCCCTCCTTCTTGCGGAAGGCCTTGAGGATGTACTCGGAGACGCGGTTGTCGAAGTCCTCGCCACCCAGGTGCGTGTCACCGGCCGTCGCGAGCACCTCGAACACTCCGTCCTCGATCGAGAGGAGCGACACGTCGAAAGTGCCGCCTCCCAGGTCGTAGACGATGATCTGCGAGTCGCCCTTCTTGTCGAGACCGTAGGCGATGGCTGCCGCAGTGGGCTCGTTCACGATGCGGAGCACTGTCAGACCGGCAATCACGCCCGCGTCCTTGGTGGCCTGACGCTGCGCATCGTTGCTGGCAAGAGAAGCGCGTCAGCGTGCCGGTCACCCAGAGACATGTGCGCGCGGCATGCTCGGCAGCGCGCGGGCCGCGCATTCGCACTTGCGCGCGCGCGCGCGAGCCACTCACAAGTAGGCCGGCACAGTGACGACGGCGTGGGTGACCTTGTGGCCCAGGTAGGCCTCGGCCGTCTCCTTCATCTTCTGCAGCACCATGGCGCTGACCTCCTCGGGCGTAAAGACCTTCTTGGACTCCTTGATCTGCACCTGGATCGCCGGCTTGCCGGCCTTCTCGACGAGCTGCAGGGGATGCGTGAGCGGTGCTGTGCGCAGACAGAGAAACGCGGCAGACGCACCTTGAAGGGGAAGTGGCGCAGGTCCTTCTTGACGTCCGAGTCGCCCCACTTGCGGCCGATGAGGCGCTTGGCGTCGAAGCTGCGGCGCGCGCATGAGCATGTGTGCACAGGCCATGCATGCCTCGTGCCGCGGCCAACTCACATGGTGTTCTCGGGGTTCTGCGCGGCCTGGTTCTTTGCGGCGTCACCGATCAGGCGCTCGCCCGAGGGCGTCTCGAAGGCGACGTAGGACGGCGTGATGCGGTTGCCCTGGTCGTTGGTGATGATCTCGACACGGCCGTCGCGCTGGACACCGACACATGAGTAGCTGTGGGAGACGAGGTCAGCGCTGCCGCGGCGCAGCATCCACACACGCGCGCCACTCACGTCGTGCCCAGGTCGATGCCAATGACGGTGCCGTACTCGCTGCGCTTGTTGTTCTCCTCCTCGGCGGCCACGCCGGCGGCGAAGACGGCGAGGAGGGCGACGAGGGCGAGGAGCAGCGTGGCGAGCGAGGGCAGGCGCAGCGCGCTGCGTGCCCGGCGGGAGGCCATGGCGGCGTGGATGGTGGGTGGTGGCTTGCGGAGAGAGAGACGCGACAGTGGGTGCGAGGTGGGAGTGGCTCGCGGCGCCTTTGTAGGTGGTGGTCGGAGGCAGAGAGGCGAGCGAGCTGCGCGCGGCGGCGTGGAAGAAGCCCCTGGCTGGCGCGGATGGCTTGGACGCCGCGCGCCGCCTGCGCCTCCTGCGCTCGGCGCTCCCCGCGGCACGCGCGTGGCGGCGAGTGCGCGTCTCTGCTGCGCTGGCCGCCTTCAGCGTCCGACGTGGCAGCACCTCCGCGCATGCAGCATGCCCATGCCCGAGCTTCTCTCTCTCTCGGCCGCCGCGCCACGCAATTCTCCGCTCAAATCAGCACGAGCTCGCACCGGCTGCGATGTCCGGCCGTCCGAGGCTCGCCGCCGACGTCGGCGCCGTGCAGCACCACCGCGCGCCGCGGCGACACGTCACACAGGCGCCGTGCCCGGCGGTCCTTCCAGCGTCTTCGCCGCGCACGGGCGTCTGGCGCGTCGCTGCTGCGAGCGACACGTGGCGCAGCGCTGGCGCAGGCTGCCGCCGCCCAGCTGCTCCCACGCTGCAAGCGAGCGCCGCACGCTTTTCTGTTGCGCGGCGCCTCACGTGCGCCCGCCAAGCGAGCCCCCTTCCTCCGTCTGCACCACATCCTTCCGCCTGGCCGCCGCGCCTGCGCCTCTGCTCCGTGAGTCCTCTCAGCCTCGCCTCGCTGTCGATGAAGACTACACAAACACATTATCAAGCTCAACAATCCGACGGCCTGTTGGCCGGTGACGATTACCCTACTTCTGCAATTCTGAGACGCGTCCTTGCGCCATTCGGCCCTGTGGACACGGCACTGACACCGCGCACACAGTGTCGCCGGCCATGCCCAAGGCGCGCAAGAGCGACTCGGCCAAGGCCAGCTCGAGCAGCGCGGCGCCGCGCAAGAGCGATGCCGCCGCCGCCGCCGCCCAGCCGCTGCTCGCCGGCTACCAGCCGGTGAGCGTCGGGCGGCACTGCATCTACCTGCGCGCCCACGACGGCGGCGACGGCCGCACTCTCTTCGTCGTCAATCTGCCGTCGGACACCACCGAGCGCCATCTGCGCCACCTTTTCTCCGCCGCCGGCCCCGTCGAGCGCGTCTCCTTCCTCGGCGAGCGGCCCGTCGCCGGCAGCGAGGAGCTCGACGAGGAGAGCGAGGCCGAGGACGAGGCCATGCCTGCCGCTGCTGCAGAGCCATCAAAGGGCAAGGGCAAGGCAAAGAAGGGCTACACCAAGGTCGTGCTCAACAAGGCCGGGCCGCCGGCCATCGTGCCGCTGCCGCCGCTCGACCCGCGCGGCGTGCATCGCTTCCACCACACCTCCACCTCGGCACACGTCGTCTTCCTCGATGCCTCGTCCGTGGCGCGGGCACTGGCGCTCGCGCCGCAGAAGGCATGGCCCGAGCCGTGGGCGCAGGTCGAGGCCGCGGCCGTCTCGCTCGCCGACGAGGCCGAGGGCGCCGCACAGCACAAGCCACGACCGCGCACCGGCGCCGAGGCTGCGTTGGCCGCCGGCGTCACTGCGCCGCCGACAGGTCTGGCCTTCCTGCTCGCGCGGCATGCCGCGCTGCGGCCACTGCTCTCTGCCGTCAAGACGCACGTCGACTCGGCCGTGGCGCACTACGCCTGGGTGCGCGCGCACCCGCCGCCGAAGCGCGCCGGCATCGAGGGCGTCACCGTCGGGCCCGACGGCGAGCTGCTCGACGCCGATGGCTTCACCATCGTGCAGCGCGGCGGCAAGTACGGGCGCACCGCCGAGGAGGGCGGCGGCGCCAGCATGCGTGTGGCGCGCCCCGAGCAGCAGAGCGGCACGGCGCGCCCGCGCAAGAAGAAGGCAAAGGAGCTCGAGGACTTCTACCGCTTCCAGCTGCGCGAAAAGAAGCGCGAGGGCCTGGCGCAGATGCGCGCGCAGTTCGAGGCCGACAAGGAGAAGGTTGCCAAGTTCAAGGCCTCGCGGCGCTTCAACCCGTACTAGCGAGGTCATCATCCTGCTGCGTCTCTCTTGCTCTCTCCATGTATCACCACCGCGCGTCATCTGTACTTTTATCAATCATCCGCATGCTCCCTCTCTCATCCATGCGTGCGTCTGCAGAGGTGACGGTTGTATTCCCGCATGAGGCAGCTCGAGCAGGACGTGCGAGGCTTCATGTGCACAAGGAGGCCGAAAGCATGACGGAGGCGAGGAGGAGACCAAGGAGAGAGAGGCGCGATGCAGACCGCCGCGCGTGCCCGTTTTAGTGCACGGCTAGCCGAACCACTGCTGCGTGCCGCCGGCGCCGCCCATGTTGTACGAGTTGCCGTTGAAGGCGCCCATACCGCCCTGCTGCTGGAGCTGCTGTTGCATCTGCTGCAGCTGCTGCATCTGCTGGAGCTGCTGCAGCTGCGGCTGCGCATACGACTGCTGCTGCGGTGGCTGCTGGTACGCCTGCTGTTGCATGCCCTGCGGCAGGCCGCTCATGTATGCGTTCGGCGCCGGCGAGCCGCGCGCCGGTGACGCATCGCTGGGCGTGGCGCCTGGCCCGGCGCTGCCGGGACGGATGAACTGGTTCGTCATCGCCGGTGTCGCCACGCCGTAGCTCTGGCTCGCCATGGGACTGGCGGCCGCGCTGCCTGCGGCGCCGCTCATCGAGAGGCGCGGCGTCGGGCTGCCGATGTTGCTGCTGCCTGTGCCGTTCATGGCGTGCATCGCCGGGTTGAAGCCGGCGTGCGACGAAGAGGGCATGCGCCCGGAAGGCGAGCCCATGCTTGCAGGCGGGCTCTGCGCCACTGAGGTGCGCCGGACGTGGGCCGGCGGCTGCTGTGCGCCTTGCTGTGCGGCCAGCTGCGCCTGGCGCTGGCGCTGCACGGCGAGGTTCTGCGCGTTCTGAAGGCATCTTCGTCAGTGCTTGAGGCTGACCGCGTGCACTCGCCAGACACTCACCGTCATCGCCTGCAGCTGCTGCTGCACCGACATCTGGCGGAAGTTGGCAATCTGCGCCTCCATGTACGTGATGATCGGCTGCGGCTGGCCCTTGAAGTGAGCCTGCAGCGAGTTGAGGTTGCTGATGGCGTTGGGGCCGAAGGCTTGCATCAGCGCCGCAGCCTGCTGCGCGCTCGGGCCGGACGACGTCTGGAAGCCTGCTTGCTGCTGAGCCTGAGCCTGCTGCTGCTGCGGAGCGCCCATCGCCGCGTTCATGGGATTTGTCGGCGTGGCGGGCTGCGAGGCGTGCCCGTTGGCCATCGTGTAGCTCGGCGGCGGCATGGCCTGCGCCTGCGCACTCGGTGTCATGCTCCGTGCCGGAGTTTGCGGGTTGGAGCCGTTGGGCTGCGGGCCCTGCGTTGCCGACTGCTGCTGCTGGTGCGGGAACTGCTGCTGTGCTTGCTGCTGCGGCTGCTGCGGCTGAGCACCGGGCTGTTGTGCACCCTGTGCTGACATTGGCCGGCCGCGTGCGTTCTGCATGGCGCCTGCCGGCCCGGCGTTTGGCGTCGACGGTCGCGCGAACGCTGCTGAAGCCTCTGTGGAGCCAGTCGGCTGAGCAGTAGGCGTGGCAGCACCCACTGCGCTGCCCGCTGGCGACGGTGCCGAAGAAGTGCCACCGCCGATGGAGGTGCGAGTGGCCCGCCGCTTGGCATCGCCGCCCGGCGTGCCCGCGTCGAGGCTCTGCTCTCGGGAGCGCTTCCGCCCGTCCTCGGAGGCCGGCGCGCTGGGCGTCAGCGTGGCCTTGAGGTGTTGATAGAGCGTCGGCAGCATCGTGTCAGGCGCCAGCGGCGTCGCGGGAAAGGGCTCGGCGCGCGGTGGCGGCGCGGGACCGGCGCTCTCGCCCTTGCTGGAGCGGTCCGCCATGCCGGCCAGGAAGCCGAGGTTGCCTTGCAGACGCAGAGCAGCCCTGTGGCGGAAGCGATGTCAGCACGGTGCCGGCGACATGCGCTCCACAGCACTCACTCTCGGTATATCGGATCACTGGTCAGTCCGCGCGTCGTGAGATCGATGCATAGCCGGATGAGCTCCTTGTTGATCTTGAGCACCAGCGACACTCTTCGCGCGGTGACCTCTTCGCTCGCACCTGGCCCAGAAGCACGGCGGACTCCGTTGGGCGACGGCGCGCTCTTCGGCGATGGTGCGGCAGACTTGGGCGGCGAGGCGCCGGCCACAGAGCCGCTAGCAGACAGCGGCAGCGGCGCCGTGGTCAAGATCGCGTCCGTCGACGAAGGAGCGGAGGCGAGCGACGCAGTCGAGGTCGGCGGGCCCATGGAGCCCGGCGCTGATGAGGGTGGCGGCAGCGCAGATGTTGCGACATCCGCCGAGCTGCTCGTCGAGGCTGCAGACGTCTCTGGCGCAGATGCGGGCAGCGCGCTGGCGATCGCAGTCGGCGCCGGCGGAACTGCGGCGTGCGTCGACGTTGCGGCAGCTGCGGCTGGCGCAACGGCGTTGCTGGCCACGGGTGCCGCAGGTATTGACGGCGCCGAGGCGGGCAATGGCTCAGCCGGAGCTGCAGAGGCGAGAGGCGCAGTAGGGGCTGCCAGCTCTCCAGCTGCCGAGGCAGGTGCGGGCGCGGCGGCGGCCTGTTGTGGTGCCAGCGTCGAGCTTGCTGCTTGAGCAGGCTGCACTCCTGATGGCGCGGTCGGCGCTGCGTCGTCTGCAACGCTCGGTTGCGCGATGTCCGCCGGCTTCGTCAGATCGGCGTTGGGCTGCGATGCGTCGTCTGCGGTCGATGCTGCCGCGCTCTTGGACGTGTCGCTCTGCGGCTCAAGCGAGGGCGCCTGCGCCTCGGTGTCGTTGATACCAAGCCGATCAGGCGCCGTGCCTGTTAGAAGAGTGGGCGCGCTTGGTCCAGCTTCGGCTGCCGCTTCTGTCGGCGCGCTCTGTGGCTGTTTTGGTGCTGCTTCTGCGGCAGAAGACTGCCCTGCGGAAGCATCGATGGCACTCGTAACCGACGACGGCGTCTGGAAAGCAGAGAGCATGGGCGCCTCCTCGAGAGGAAACGTCGATGGCCCATCCGCAGCGCCGCCGTCGGCAGAGGCCACGTCCACGGCGCCTGCAGTCTGCCACGCATCCTCCGGCATGGCGAAGAGCGCATCGAAGTCGTCCTGCGGCGGCGAGGCGCCAGTGCTGGGCCCCGGCTCGCTGCCCGGCAGGTCGACGGCAGGAGCGCCTGTGGCACCTGTCTGCGGCGCGCCTGATGGCGCACTGGCAGCGCCCTGCTCGAGGTTCGCAGATGTCGAGCTCTCGGCAGGAGCGAGTGCTGGCGCGCCCGACCCACTGCCGGCAGCGCTCTGCACCTGCGGCGACGCGACGGCGGCTGACGCACCTGCCGCGCTCTCGCTGGCACCTTGCGGCGCCGAGGCTGCCGTGGCAGGTGCAGCAAGCTCTGGTGCCGTGGATGCAGCGAGATCGCTCGTGGGCTCGGCAGTGCTCACCGATGGCGGAGCAGGCGCATCGTCCGCGGCCCCGGCATCGCTCGCAAGCGCGGCAAAGTCGACGCTCTTCACCTCGGCCGCAGCGTCAGGCTGTGCTGCTGGCTCGACGACGGCCGCTGCATCAGGCGCAGGCTGCGGCGCCTTAGTGACGGCGTCCAGCGGCGGCGAGGTGCGCAGCACAGCTGCTGCGGGCGACGCAGCCGGCTGCGGCTGCGGCGGCAGCGGCGCGGCGGAGAGGTCCATGTGTGCGCCGGCGCGACGGCGCGAAGGCGGCGACGGCGAGCTGGCGTCGCGCTGGCGGAGTAGCGAAGCTTACCGAGAAGAGCCACTCGGCAGTGCAGCCGAGTCGACGTTCCTGGCGCTGTGCCGGCGGCAGAGCTTGCCGGGATGAGGGCGCAGGCCGGCGGATGGGCCGCGGCGCGGCGACGAGCGGCGGCTGGCGTCGACGCACTCGGACTCCGGCCAGGCCAGCGACGGGCTGCAGCAGCCGGCGGCGGGAGCGGGCTGCTCGATGCGGCGGCGCACGGACGGATGGACGGACGGATGGGCGAGGGCGGCGCAGCAATCAGATGCAGAGATAGCGTCGCCGCAGCAGGCGGAGCGCGCGTCCGAGCGAAAGGTTGCAGAGAGCGGCGCTGGCGGGCGCGGGTGCGGGCTCGGCCGGTGCCTGAGTGGAGCGGGCACGGCCTGCTGCTGCGTCTGCTTCTCGATGTGGCGCAGCGGCCGGCGACTAAGAGAGCGATGGGCGAATCTCGGGCGGGCGCTGGCTGCGTTCTGCGGCGGGCTGCGGGGAAGCGTGGAAACGGACGGGAGCGAGGGGCAGCAGCGGTCGGCGGGCGCGGCGCCGAGCACGCATCGCCGCACGCCGAGCGCGCGCGAGCGGGGCGCCGACGCCGCAGCCGATCGCGCGCCGCCGCCGGCGACGAGGCGCCGCGCGCACCGCGAGCGGCAGCATCGCAGAAGCACGCCGCCGCGCACCGCGCATATGGCGTGGCGCCAGGCACACGGCGCCAGAGACGAGATCAGCGGCCGGCCCCGGATGAGGATGGCGCAGGAGCAGCATGGCAGGCTCCGCTCCTCTCTCCTCTCCGAGTCCGCGGCTTGTCGTTCGTCGAGGAGGCAAGCGTCATCTCATGCACCCTCCGCAGCGGCACGACCCTCCACCCCGCGTGTGGCAGCGCAAGGAACGAGCCGGGATAAGCCAAGGTCCGAAACGGCTCTTCTGCCCTGCTTCCTCTCCTGGAGCATCAGCAGGCAGAGCAGAGGCAGTGATGAGAGCCCCTGTCCCTGCATCCTGTCCCTGTGTGCGCCATCCTTCATGCTGCGCCTGCCGCACGTCACGCCTTCCCTTGTCGGCCGCCGGAGACGTCGCGCGTGGCTTGGCGCGCCGCTCCGTTCCTTGCAGTCTGAGTCGAGTGTGGAGCTGCATGATGGCATGCTCGAGCTCCCATCCTGAGCCGCTGCCTCTGCACCTCTGACTCTGCAGCTGCAGCGTCGAGGTCCCACACGACTCTCCAGACTTTGTCCCATCGGCCAGCCTTCTGCTGAATGCAGACGGGGAAGGGATGAGACGCCGTCTCTCGAGCCTCACGCGCCTGCTTCGCGAGCGCGCGATCATGGGCTCCAGCAGGTGCGCGCCTCGTGCTCTTGCGATCATCAGCAGTGCCGTGCTCCAGGCATGATCCGAACAAGTCTGTAGATTACGGCTGCATCAGCGTAGAACTGGCTGCCACCCTGAGGGACGAGGAGGCATGAGCAGCTCTTGGGCCGATGCTGGCACGTGACACGACCACCTGGCCCTGACGGCGCTATCGGCCGCGCCCGCCCGAGGCGCCGGTCGACTTCCAGAGGCGAGACGCGTTTCGCCGCGCAGAGGCTCGAGCGCGCACCTGGGAAGCGATGCTTGCGGAGTGCGCATCTCACACAGCCGGCCGCACACCACCACCTCTCCGCACCCACACCTCACACACCATGGCCGAGCCACAAGTGGCATACGCCCAGGATGAGCACGGTGCGTGGCCCTGTATGTGTGTGCACATGCGGCCGCCGAGCTGACGGCGCCTGCCTTGCCGCCTTGCAGGACGCCCCTTCATCGTGGTCCGGTTCGTGCCGTCAGGTGAAACGCAGGAGCGCAGCGCTGACGCAGTGTCCACCACAGCGAGCAGGGCAAGAAGACGCGGGCGCAGGGCATCCAGGCGCTGAAGAATCACATCTCGGTGCGTGGCGCTGTGCCGCGCCTCATCCGTCCACGCTGACAGCCTTTCTCTCTCTCCGCAGGCCGCCAAGTCCGTCGCACAGATCGTGCGGACATCGCTCGGCCCGCGCGGCCTCGACAAGATCCTCGTGTCGCCCGACGGCGACATTCAGGTGACCAACGACGGCGCAACGATCATGCAGAACATGGAGCTCGAGAGCCAGATTGCACGCCTCATGGTGCAGCTCTCCAGCAGCCAGGACAGCGAGATTGGCGACGGCACGACGGGCGTTGTTGGTGAGTGCGAGAGGCCGGCGATGGGAGAGGGTGAAGCGCTCGAGACGGAGGCGGACAGGAGGTGTGGAGGCAGGAGGCGTGTGTCAGGTGCCTTGCAGCCTGGCGTCTCGAGTGCTGGCCTTGTACACGCAGCGCTGACGCCCCTGTGCAGTCCTTGCCGGCGCGCTCATGGAGCAGTCCGAGGCACTGATCGACCGCGGCATTCACCCGATTCGCATTGCCGACGGCTACGAGCGGGCGTGCGGCGTGGCTGTCAAGGCGCTGGAGAAGGTGGCTGACCGGGTGGAGTTTGGGCAGGGCGCGGGCGAGCAGGAGGAGCTGATGAAGACGGCGCGGACATGCCTGGGCAGCAAGATGTGAGTGTCTAGAGGTGGTGGAGTATCCGTGACAGGGCGTGCATACTGGGGCTGACGCGCTGCGCAGCGTGTCCAAGGCAGGCGACCTCTTTGCGCGCATCGCCGTCGACGCTGTGCTCTCGGTGGCGGACCTGGCACGGCGCGACGTCGACTTTGAGCTCATCAAGGTCGACGGCAAGTCGGGCGGCTCGCTGGAGGACACGGCGCTGGTCAAGGGTGTCGTTGTCGACAAGGACTTCTCGCACCCGCAGATGCCACGCGAGGTGCGCGACGCGCGCATCGCCATCCTCACGTGCCCCTTTGAGCCGCCGCGGCCGAAGACGAAGCACAAGCTCGACATCAGCAGCGTTGAGGAGTACAAGAAGCTGCAGGAGTACGAGAAGCAGACGTTTGAGAACATGATCAAGCGCGTCAAGGACTGCGGCGCCAACCTCGTCATCTGTCAGTGGGGCTTCGACGATGAGGCGAACCACCTGCTGCTGCAGCACGACCTGCCCGCCGTGCGCTGGGTCGGCGGTCCGGAGCTCGAGCTCATTGCCATTGCCACGAACGCACGCATCGTGCCGCGCTTCGAGGACTTGAGCCCGGAGAAGCTCGGCCGCGCAGGACTGGTGCGCGAGGTCGGCTTCGGCACGACGCGCGACAAGATGCTGGTCATCGAGGAGTGCGCCAACCCGCGCGCGGTGACGGTGTTCGTGCGCGTGAGTAGGCTGGGGTGTAGACCAAGCGTGCCTGCTGCTGACTCGCTTGCTTGCTCTGCTTGCAGGGCTCGAACAAGATGGTGAGCAGCGCCGTTCTGCCTGCCACTGCCAGCCTGTCTGACGCCGGGCCCGCACAGATCATCGACGAGGCCAAGCGCGCGCTGCACGACGCCATCTGCGTGGTGCGCAACCTTGTGCGCGACAACCGCGTCGTGTACGGCGGCGGCGCTGCCGAGATCGCAGCCAGCATTGCCGTGACGAAGGCAGCCGACGAGGTGCGCCTTGTGCCGTGCTCTGCTCTGCCACCTGGCTGACGCTCTCCATCAGATCGCGACGATCGAGCAGTACGCTATGCGCGCCTTTGCCGCCGCGCTCGATGCTATCCCGCTGGCGCTGGCCGAGAACTCGGGCCTCAGCCCCATCGAGACGCTGGCCGAGCTCAAGAGCCGGCAAATCACCGAGGGCACGTCGGTGCTGGGCGTCGACTGCATGCTCACGGGCAACTCGGATATGCGCAGCGCCCACGTCTTCGACCCATACCTCGTGCGTTGCGAGAAGCCGACCTGCGCGACTGCTGTGGCTGACCTCTCTTTGGCTGTGCAGAGCAAGCGGCAGCAGATGGAGCTGAGCACGCAGCTCTGCCGCGCCATCCTGAAGTGAGTGGAGCCGGCGTCTGCTGGTAGACTTGCACAGCTGACGGCCTCCTGCAGGATCGACGACGTGATTGAGCAGCACAATGTCGAGTAGGGGGTCTGGCAGGGGACGCAAAAATGACTGGGCGGCGAAGCGCAATAGAGAGCCCTTTGCACTTTGCGCCTGCGTTTGGGGAGCGGCGGGCCGCTAAGCAGCATCGTATCGCCATGACTGGTGTGCGAAGCAGTGTGAGCGCACGAGGCGCTCAGGCATCTGATCGTGGCCGCAAGCCACGAGGAGCAGCCCGGGAGGCGAGTCACAGAAGAGTCGTGACGGCCACCGAGCGGCCGTGCAGCGCTGCGCTCCAAGCCACCGGCCCTCGGACCGGCCGGTCCGGCGGCTTTGCGGGGGCTGCCGCAACGCCGCCAGCGCCGACGCAGACCGCATGTCTTCTCGTTGCCGTCCTCCTCAGCGTCGGAGAGCAGTCCATGGCGGAGTTCGACAGCTCGCGGGCGTGCGCACGTCGGAGCGTGCATGCATGCTGCATGCGCGCCTTCGCCTCCATCCCGGGCCGCCACGAGCCCCCAGACTTGGAAGTTTGCAGGGCCAGGCGGCTTTATGCGGGCGCTCACTCTTGCCAGAAGGCATGGAACGTGGACCATATCTGCAGCTAGAGCCACGGAGGGCGCCGGGTTTGCGATCATGAGAGCAAGACGCGATGAATCCTACTTGCCGTCGAGACTGAGCGGGCTCGAGCAGCTCTGCTTGCGCGGCTCATGGTGAAGACCCTCACTGCGGCCGCGCGCTGCTGCATTCGACGGCGAGCTTGAGGCCTGCAGCACCCTGCTTGCGACTGCATCGCATCCTCCGTCCGAGGGCCCTCGCTGTCGCGGCGAGGCGGCGCGAGGTTCGGAGGGCCGGCGGGGGCGTCTGAGCTGCTCGCAGGCCGGCGGCCGAGGCGGGCGCTGCGACGTGCTGCACGCTCTGCAGCCGGTGCAGCTGCTGCCCCGCAAGCTAGAAGCGGAGGCTGCGATGGCGCTGAGGGTGTTGCTGCACCTCCTCCTCCTCGGCGGCAGCGCCGTGCCCCTATTTCCGTCCCCAGCGTGCGAAGATGTGTGGCGCGCGGCCCGGGCCGCACCGGACGCACTCGCGCAACTCTTACTCCGCCTCCGCCCGCGCCAACACGCGTGCGAAGGCTGCTTGCGCGCCTTGTCCTCGACGAGAGGGTGCGCGTTGCGCGCGGTTGGGGTGGACATCACTTTGCGGAGAGACGAGCCGCTCGCTCTGCACCCTTGCCGTCTGCACCTGCTCTCTCTGCTGCCGGCGTGCCTGCATCCGACGCGCGAGCAGCTCCACACGCTCATGCGGCTGCCTCGCCCTTGCGCTGCTCCCGTGCCCGGCCCGGTCACGCGGTCGGGGACATGGACCGTGCGTGCTCTCCCACTTTCCTGCACGCCTCGAGCGGGACTGCACCGCAGCGCCGGTGGCCGGCCGTGCACCACACAGCAGCCCTTGACGCCTGACTCGGCTGCTCGGAGCTGTGCTGAAGTGCCTCGGGGCTGTCAAGCCGCACGCTGCCGGGCGCATGCTCCGGCTGCTGGCGGCCCGCTGGGTGATGCGCGCCCTGCGTCGCGCCGGTCCTCTTCCTTCCCAACCACCTCCATCCCACGCCTGTCCACCTGCACCGACCTCATACCCGTCAGCACCTGCCCGTTCCTCGCGCACCCCCTCGCCTCGCCATGTCCGCCACGACGAGCCAGCCGCTGCCGCCAACAGGGCCCGCCGGCGCGCCGCAGCGTGCCAAGCCGTACCCCTTCTGGCTCGGCGGCGCCAGTGCCTGCTGCGCCGCGACGATCACACATCCCCTCGACCTGACCAAGTACCGCCTGCGTGAGTGGCGCGCAGCAGAGGGCCAGTGCGGCGCCAGCCGGGCGCATGCCCATCCTGCCTGCCAACTCACGCGCCCGCCGCTGACGTTCCGCCTGCCTCCACGCAGAGACGGCCACCGTCAAGCAGGGCATGGTCAAGACCATGGTCGACACCGTCAAGGGCGACGGCATCACCGCGCTGTGGCACGGCGTCAGCGGCACATGGCTGCGCCAGGCGAGCTACTCGTGAGTCGCGACGCGGCGTGGGCAGCGGCAGGGCGGTGCGGATGGGCCCCTCGCGGCGGCGCGGATGCAGCGGCAGAGGCGCAACGTCGCGTGCTCTGTGGGTCCAGCGGGCGAACAGGCCTTACCCCGCATGGCGCGTGCGCCGCGCTAGCAAGCCACTCCGCCGCCGAGCGCCGCTCCCGTCATCTTCCGGCAGCGGCTGACCGCGGCGCCCGCACAGCATCACGCGCTTCGCCGTGTACGAAAAGACAAAGGAGAGCTTCGTCACGCCCGACAAGCCCAAGCCGACGTCGCTCGAGCTGGCGTTTGCTGCCGGTCTGGGCGGCGGAGTCGCCTCGGTGAGTTGCGGCGCTTGGCCGAGTGGTTGTCCAGCAGCTGACCTGGCGCGCCTTCGCAGATCGTCGGATGCCCGGCTGAGGTGGTGCTGTGAGTGTAGCTGTGATAGAGCTCGCGACTTTGCGCTGACTCTCTGTGCTTGCCAGTGTGGTGCGTCTTGCCTGTCGGCACCTCATCAATCCGCCCACGCGCTAATGCTGGTCTTCTCTCTAGCGCATGACCTCGGACCTCAACCGCCCGGTGGCCGAGCGCTACGCCTACCCGGACGCCGTGCGCGGCCTGGTGCAGCTCGTGCGCGCCGAGGGCCTCTCGAAGCTGACGCTGGGCATGGGCCCCAACGTCGCCAAGGGTGTCTTCCTCAACGTCGGCCAGTGAGCAGCAGCCCGCAAGTCTCGCGTGGTGCGGCCTCTGACAAGCGCTCTGCAGGATGGCCGGCTACGACTTCTCCAAGGACGTGATCCAGCGCTCGGGCCTGCTGCCCGACAGCCTCGTCGTGACGGCGGCCACCTTCTGCGCCGGCACTGCGGCCACGACCTTCGCGCAGCCCGTCGAGTGAGTGCAGAGAGCAGAGCTCACGGCAGAGCTGCCTCGCTCACGCACGCTGCAGCTTCATCAAGTCGCGCGTGCAGGCGGCCAAGGGCAACACGTCGGCGCTGGCTCTTGTGCGCGAGGCCATCAAGAAGGACGGCCCGCTCGTCATGATGCGCGGCTTTGTGCCGGCGTGGATCCGCCTGCAGCCGCAGAGCACGCTGCTCTTCTTCTTCTTGTGAGTAATTGTCGACATGAGAGAGGCACACGAGTCTGTCTGGGCGCTGTGGTGTTGCCAGAGCGGAGAATGCTGACCGCATCGCCCCTCGCAGCGAGTACTTCAAGGGCATGATCGACAAGCAGCGCGCCGCCGAGGCCGAGAAGCTCGGCCGCCGTGCTGCGGCATAGTCTGTGGAGCTGGGCTCCCTTCCGAAGCTCGCGGGCCGCGCTGCAGCTGCACAGCTAGGGACGCAATGCTGCGTTCCTCGGCTCTCTCCGGCCCCGAGCATGTCACCGCCTGTCATCCAATCTCGAGCCTGCGCGTCTGGTGACGCGCTGCGCAATGCTACCATCTGACCGTCTGACGTTGCTCTCTGCCTTGTCGATCTATGTAATTGCGGAGATAGGCCTACAGCTCGTCGTGCCGAGGCGCTGGCTCGGCGTCCAGTGCCGGCTCCGGCTCTGGCTGCAGCTCCGACTCTGGCACTGGCAGCGCCACCGTCTCGTTGCTCGCTGCAATGTTGTCGGCAAGCAGTTGCTGAGAGGCTAGACGCTGCGCCAGACGCGCAACCTCGTCGTCGTACGCCGTCCACTCGGGAATCTTGCGCGCGCGCTCCAGCTTGGTGCTCTTTACCGCCGGGTTCTGGCACAGGTCGATCGTCTTCGCCGCTGCGAGCGATGCGTCGCTGCACCACGTCTCGCACCAGAGCCAGCTCTTGTCGAGCGTGTGGATCGGCAGCTGGAACTGCATGTTGTTCGGCAGACTGCACGAGCATGCGTGTCAGCTAGGCATGGCCACCTGACAGCCGCAGAGCGACTCACTCCTGGTCGAGATTGGCGAGCGAGCCGGGGTCCGAGCTCAGCTGCTGGTACTGCCCGCGCAGCTGGTCGCCGGCGGCCACGCGCCGGAAGCGCGCCAGGTCGACGACGTACAGCGCCGAGATGTGGTACGGCTTGCCGCGCAGGAATGTCTTCCAGTAGCCCTGTTTCCAGAAGCGGAAGCCCTCGACCTCGGGCCTGTCGTCGCCCATCGGCGGGTAGCCGTACGGCGCTGTGGAGAAGAGGTCAGCGCGGCGCATGCAGAGAGTGTGTCGTCCATTCTCACCGCCCTGCAGGTTCGTGTCCACGAGCTCCTGCAGATCCACGCGCACGATCTGGTCGGCATCGACGAAGATGACCTTCTTGAGGTCCAGCGGGAAGAGGACGTCGAGGAACAGAATCTTGTAGCCCCAGATGCGGCGCTGCTTCTCGCGCTGGCTGCGCAGCCAGTGCGGCCAGGCGTACGTGATGAGCTCGTAGCGGAAGCCGTACTCGGCCGCGAGATGCGGCAGGAAGGCCTTGAACGAGGGCGAGAGCTCGTTCTCGATGAACCAGAATTTGACGGAGCTCTGCGTGTGCTTGAGCACCGAGAGCACCATGATGCTCGCCATGCGCTCGTACAGGTGCCCGCTGGCGACTGTGAAGATGTTGATGTCGGCGTTGGCGCCGTCGCTCGCCGGCCGGACAGGCTTGACGCGCTCGGCCTGCTGCTTGAGGCCGCCGAAGAAGTTCTTGGCAATGCGCAGGTAGCCGGCGGCACCCCTCTCTGCCTCCGGCTCGGGCACAGCTCCCAGGTCGAGATCCTCGATCAGGCTCTCATTCTCCTGACCCTCGCGCCGCCGGACTTGCGGGTAGATCGTGAGACCGTGCAGCGAGGTCAGAGTGATGTCGGTGCCCGTGACCTCGACGCTGGGGCTCTCCCATCCGAGATTGCCGACGCTGCGCATCTCATAGAGCTCCTTGCTGCGGCCGTCACGGATGCGCAGACGGTAGAGACCCGGCGAGGGCGGCAGGAACTGCGCGTAGCCGAGATTTGCCATGACAATCGTGTCCAGCTCCACGGCGCCGTCGGGTGACTCCAAGATGAGCTCAAGGCCGCGCGGGATGCCAGACTGCCCCGCTTGGTCGGCATCGCGCACGTGCGCTGTGAGAGAGGGTTAGCAAGCGATCAAGACGTCATGTCAGTGGGCTGCACGCACCCTCGAGTAGGATGTGCTTCAGAGCATACTGTGCACGGACGCCAGCTGTGCGAGCATGCGCTGGGATGTCGGCCAGCCGGATGTTGTCTAGATCGTACACAGCCTCGTCTGACATGCAGAGCCACGACGGCGGGGTGTCCAGGCCCAGTGTCAACACTGCTGCCTCGGGCAAGCCGTGGAACTCGAGCGTGGCGCCAGTCTGCTGTCCAGTCAAGTCGAAAGCAGGCTGTGCGGGCGCGGCAAAGCGATAGAAGCGCTTCAAGGGCAGCTCCCGCAACTTGGGGCGCGGGTTGAGCAACACGCGGATGTGCGTGTCGGGCAGCTCGGCCAGCATCCGCAGCACGGGCGCCCAGGACTGCGTGCGCTCCGAGAGCGGGTCAAGTACGACGGAGAGGCGCGTGCGGGCAGTGCTGCGCTTGCCCACCTCGAACGTGGCGCGTGCGGCAAAGACGGAGTCGATGACGCTGTTGCGGCCCGTCTGCGGAGGCGTGAAGATGCCCTCGGCCGACTCGTCGACGAAGTACGCATGCGACATGACCGACGTGGCAAGCATTACAGTGGTGGCGTGTGCAGCTGGCTCCATCTTGGCCACCTCGACGCCAGCTTCCTCGAGGCCTTCGACGACAGCGTTGATCCTGCGGACGGACTCAAAGGCGACGAGCGTAGTGATGTCCTCGGCAAACGTGGCGTTCGGATCGAAGTCAGTGAGCACCTGCACGGGAGCAAGTTAGCCGCCATCCACTCTCAGCCGCAGCAGCTCAAGTACTCACCCTGCCGTTAACGACCAGGCCAATCTGTCCGCTCTTGACGCCCAGCGCCCGTGCGAGGGCTGGCGCTTCGCTCCAGAAGCCGTTGGCAGAGTCTGCACCTGGCGTTGCCCAGCCGCGCTCGCTGAGCCAATGCGGCACAGTGCTGGGCTCGGGGCTCTGCTCATCAGCTTTCGCGCGCAGCTTTGCGCCGGCGACTGCCTTGACGCCTTCTGCAAGCTGCGGACCCGAGACTGCATCAGCTTGGCCGGAGGCCAGTAGCTGAGCCAGGAAGGCAGACAGAGGGCCACCTTGTCCACGAGTCTGCGGCACATGGATGAGGCCCAGTCGATACGAGGCCTTGCTCTGGAACACAGAGGTCAGCTTTGCACCGCCGTCAAGACGGAAAGTGCTCACTAAGCCCTTAGCGGCTTCATAGACGAGGTGAGCGCCGGCGACAGAGTCGAGGTCTCCGACGACCCAGAGCGTTGCATTCACGCGAGCACCTGCTTCAGGGTAGACGAAGGTCTCCAGCGGTGCCTTGAATGTCGCCTTGGCTGATAGGCGGACGAGATCAACGGCACGCGGCTTGTTGCCCGCAGGTGCCGCGCCCGTGTCGGCAAAGACGAGAGCCGAGCGCGTCTTGAACGTCGTGGGCAGGTCGTAGAAAAAGTGCGAGACGTCCGGCGTGTTCTCGCTGTCGATCTTGCGGTAGTACACCAGCGGCGCAAGGACGCGGGACTGCGCCGTGACGGCGGCGTGCATGGCGTTGATGAGATTGTTGGTGAGCGGGATGCTCTCGCCATTGAGCATGACATGACCGCCGCGCATGCTCTCGTCGAGCTCGAGATGCAGGCGCCGCACGTAGCTGCGCGTCATGCGCTCGCGCGACGCCAAGCCGGGATACTCGCCGGAGCTCAGCGCCTCAAAGAGAGCAGGGAAGTCCTCGGCGGGGACGGCGTTGTGAAGCTGAGCCTGCAGCTCCTCACGTGCGGTGTCCAGACTGATGCGTCCTCCTTCGATCCGCGAGCGCGCCAGCCGTCGCAGCCACTTGGCCACCACCTCGACGCCCCAGTTCTCCGACAGATACCAGAACATGCGCGCGAGCTGCAGGGCTGCGGTAGCGACCACGTCAGCCAGGATGAAGCTGAGACTGGTGCTAACTCACACGTCTCGTCCTTGCCTTCCAGTCCGCCAGGCACGAGACCCCAGCGCAGGCCAATGCGCGGGATCGTCGGGATGACGGACTCGGCCAGGAAGCGGCATGTCCCCGGCTGGCCAAGGTCCATCACGAGCACGACGTTGAACAGATTGCGCGCAATGTGCGGGAATGCCCCGGGCCACAGCGGGCGGATGAGCTGGTCACGACAGCTACAGTGTCAGCAGGCCGGCAACAACGCGCCAGCAGTCGTGACGTACCGCCTGCAAGCTCGGCGACCACGACTCGTAGTGCGAGTCCTTCTCGAGGTCGTTGAACCATGACAGAACGCCGGGTGCACCGGCTTGTGCGCCTGCCGCTGCACGCTCAATGCGGTCGCTTGCGTCAAAGAGCAGCGAGCCAGCGGCGGTCAGGTCCTGCGCCACGCCAATGGGCGCGTACGAGAGCAGATCGAGAGCAGCCTCGTTCGACATGTTGAGCAAAGGAGATGTCAAAGAGGCAACGTGTGCATGATCCGCCCTCAGGGCCGGGATGATGCTGGGCGCGAGGCGTTGCAAGTCAGAGCCCGCACCACACTACGCTGACACGACTTCGCTTACCCAAGAGGCGTGATCTCCTTCTCCGTCAGTGCCTTGCCATTGAGCCAAATGTCGCTCGAGCCGGGGTCCATCGTCTGCGACTGAAGCTCGGCCAGCTCGGAGAGCAGCGCCGCGTCAGGCTTGGGCGCCCGTCGCGCAAGCGCCACAGCGTGCAGCGGGAAGTCCTTGACCAGCTGCTCGAGCGCACGCAGAGGATCGGACGACGTCGCGATGACCTGCGTCGCAAGAACGTCGAGGTCTTGAGGGATGTTGTCAGCGAGGACGCACGCAAGCCGCTCACACTGGCCTCACCCGCGAGTTCTTCCTTCGTCAGGCTGCTTAGAGCCTGCTCGGCGTCCTCCGGCTGCGCCCCGATCTGCGCATCGAGCCAAGCGCGGTCGCTCAGCTGATCGTCAGACGATACAGCACCGTCCTCTCGCACATCTCGCACCGCACTGCTGTCCTCCTGCAGCTTGCGGTCGTCGATGACGAGGTAGTCGACCTTCTTGAGGTCCAGCGTGGCGCCGTAGCCGGCCATCGTGGCTTTGGGGCCCTCAGTGCCCTGCGCGCTCGGACGCCAGCGCAGCACGTAGCGCAGCGGCGGCACGTCGGCGCCGCCCTCAGCCACGACGCGCGAGCCCAGCACATGCTCCAGCAGCGTCGTGTGCAGTGACCAGAAGTTGGCCGAGGTCACGTCGGCGTAGAGGACAGCCGTTGGCTGCTCGTCCAAGGTCGAGCTCTCGGCTGCGTCAGGGTGCGAGAAGATGTGGTCGAACGCGACGGTGTGCGGCGAGCTGATGGTGATGCACGGCATCAGCAAGTCGAGTCAGTGCATCGGCCTAGCCTACGCACCTTGGAGCCACGCCTGCCGTGAGCGCCCTGACGAGCTCCTGCTCCGTGCAGAGCACCTCGTCGCCCCACGCGACCCAGCTGGCGCACTGCGCCTCGCGCCCCACCGCCGCGGTGGCCCACTGCCTGGCGGGCCCGCTGTGCTCGTACAGCTGCCAGAAGGCGGCGATCTTGGGCGCCTCGGTGTGCAGTGCCAGCGCCAGGTTCCACATCTCGCGCTCGCCCGGCGCGCCCAGCAGGCCGTGCTGGTCCAGCAGGCGCGTGGCTGCCGTGTGGTACGCCTGTGCGCTGCGTGGCGCAGTGGCGGTGCTGCCGCGGCTGTCGTTGAATGCCCATGGCCCGGTGAGGTGCGTGAGGAGCGTCCAGAAGCCGTCGGGGTCCTGCGTGTGCGCGGCCTCGAGCAGCTCGAGCACCAGCGGCGGCGCGGCCCAGGGCGAGACGAGGCTGACGGAGACGGGTGGCGACGAGCTCGAGCTTGCTGCAGCTGCCAGCGAGCCGCTCAGCAGCAGCGCTGCGGCCTGCAGCGGCGCCGTGAGCCGCATCGCAGCGCTGCTTGTTGGCCAGGAGGATGGGAAGATGCGCACGGGCCGCAGAGGGCGGATGCCGGGCCGACTGGTGCGGTCGTGAGAAGTGTTGACGAGAGCCAAGTCTGGGTGCAGATGTGCTGCCAGCCGCAGCAGACGCAAGAACAGCCCGGCCTGGCTGTAGGCGTGGAGAAGATGTGGGCAGGAGACAAGACGCTCGGCGAGAAGGAGGCGCCTGACACGTAAGGATCGAGGAGGCGCCTCGGCACTCGGGAGAGACGCCAGCCACCTCCGCGGATGAGCGGTGCCTCCACCTCCGCAGGGGCCACCGACGACCCACAGCGGGCTGTCCTGCCTCTTGCCTCTGCTCCTTCATCACCCCGCTCGCATGCTCAGCCGCACCGCAAGCAGCCTGCTCCGCGCCCTGCACCACACCCGCCGCCGCACGCTCGCCCTGCCGCTCTCTGCCACGCCGTCGCGCCTCGCCGCCGTCCGCACAATGGCCACCTCCGGCTCCTACACCACCACGCCCCTCACGCGCATCGTCTGGGGGCCCGGCTCGCTCTCGCAGCTGCCCGAGCTGCTCGATGCACTGCCGCACGTGTCCGGCAGCACGAGCAGCGACGGCCCACGCCGCGCCCTTATCCTCACCGGCAACAGCCTCGCCAACAAGACCGACGTGATCCGCCGTGCCGAGCAGGCCCTGGGCCCGCGCCACGCCGCCACCTTCACGGGCATCGGCGAGCATGCGCCGGTGGAGGGCATCAAGGAGGCCGTACGCCTGATGGAGCAGCACGGCGCCACGGCGCTTGTTGGTGAGCCGTGCCGCTGCCCTGGCCCTGCGGTCCCTGCTGACGCTGCGCAGCCATCGGCGGCGGCTCGCCCATCGACGCCGCCAAGGCCGTCAGCTTCTACATCCACCGCGAGTCGGCGCACGCCGACAACGACGACGAGCGCAGCTTCGTGCCGATCATCGCCGTGCCCACGACGCTCTCGGCCGCCGAGACGACGCAGAACGCCGGCTTCAAGGAGAACAACAAGAAGACGGGCGTGTCGCACCGCTCCCTCGTGCCGCGCGTGCTGCTGCTCGACGGCGACGTGACGCGCCACACGCCCGAGCGCCTCTGGCTCAGCACGGGCATGCGTGCCGTCGACCACAGCATCGAGCTGCTCTACCGTCCCGACGTCTCGCCGCTGCTGCGCGGCACGTGGCTCATGGCCATGCGCGAGCTCTTCACGCTGCTCCCGCTCTCCAAGGCGCAGCCGGACAACGTCGACGTGCGCCAGCGCCTGCAGCTCGCCGCCATCGCGAGTCTCTGGCCCGAGAGCCGCAAGGGCGCGCTGGGCCTCAGCCATGGGTGAGTGCCGGCTACATGCAGCATCCTCGACTCGCCAGCTGACGTTCTCCGCTATAGCCTCGGCCACGCTCTCGGCGCAACGTACAAGGTAAGCACCGCGGTGGGCATGTCAATATCTTGCTCTGACGTTCTTCTCCGCTGCAGATCGGACACGGCATCACCTCCTGTCTCACGCTCGGTCCCGCGATTCAGCTCACAGCCGCGCTGCCCTCCACGGGCGCTGAGCAGCTCTTGGCACTAGCAGACGCCCGTGCCTTCATCCCGGCGCCCTTCGCCACGCCCGTGCCCATCGGCGCCACGCCCAGCTCGCTGCTGCAGGGCAAGCCCGACCTCGACGCAGCACGCAAGCAGGGCAAGGAGGTCGGCGAGGCCGTGCAGAAGCTTGTGTGAGTGTGCACCGCTAGCGTCTGACATGCCAGAGGCTGATTCGGAGGCCTCAGGGACGAGCTCGGCCTGCACTCGCGTCTCGAGCCGCTCGGCGTGCCGCATGAGGATCTGCCCACGAGTAAGTGGCGCCGTGCCGCTTCAGCTCTTGTGCGGTGGCTGACGGAAGACTGCTCAAAGTCGCTGCGCACGTGGCCGGCGACGACAAGGAGAAGGCGGCCGCGGTGACAGACTTGCTGGAGAAGATCTTCAAGTGACGTGTGGGCGCCGAGGCGCGTAGTATACAGGTGTGCAGCTGGGTCGGGTCTGACTAGCGAGAGCGGAAGTGATGGGGACGAGCGGCGCGGCGCAGCGCGGTGGATGAGAGACGGACAGAATACAGCAAGTGTGTGCCGGGTCATGAGATCACAGCTCAGGGAACGAGCCCAAGCTCGTGCTCCAGGTCTGCGACGTGGCGCTCGCGCAGCTCGAGGATCGACGCGTAGCGAATGAGTGGCTTGAGATCCTCGCATGCCAGCTGCGCGAAGCAGCGATGTCAGCATGGGGCGTTGCGGGCAGGATGCACAGGTCTCACCTTGATGAGGCGATCAGAGGCGAAGAGCTTGGACGTCATGGAGTGCATGAGACTGTAGAAGGCCGCTGGCGACGTGGCGGCCAGCAGGTCGGCCTCGTTGAGCTGCAGGATGGCGACGGCGATGCGGAAGAGCACGACCATGCCCTCAACGAAGAGCACGTCCCAGACTCGGAACAGCGTCTGCGGAGGCGAAAAGGTCAGGGCTCGGCAGGTGTGGACGCGCGGCCGGCATGGCACTCACCTCGACGGGCAGGCAGTCGGTGTACAGCGACAGGAACCACGCGAAGGTGACAGCCGGTAGGTCGACGCCAAGATCGGCAATGTGCTCGGCGAGGCGAGGCAGCAGCTCGTTGATGAGCTCGAGCAGCACGCGCTGGTCCGCCTGCGAGACGAGCAGATGCGATGTGTAATACTCGGAGGGCAGGATCCGCTGCAGAAGCGTGTCAGCGCGGGCCCGAGGCCATCACACTGGCGCACGCACCTCGATGATCATGACGAGCACCCAGAAGGCCTCTTCCTCCGTCGCGTGCGTGAGAAGCAGCGTGGCTGCGAGATTGTTCATGCCTGGCAAGGGCCGGGTCAGCAAGTGCGCGCAAGGGAAAGAGCAGCCGACGCACCTTGGCAGTAGCCGCACGCCGGATTGTACCACGAGAAGGCGACGAGCAGGCGGCGCAGCTTCGGCACGCCCGGGCCCTCGCCGCCGAAGTAGACGTTCGTGGGCATCGTGCGGTGCACGTCGAGGTCGATCTGCTCGGTGCACTGGTTGGACTCGCCCTCGTGCTCGGCGAGCAGCTCCTGGTAGCGGCCCGGCTCGGCGGCCTCGATGGCGCCGGAGCATTCGGCCCACACTTTGGCGCGGTAGCACAGCGGAATGCCGGCCTGGCACAGCCGCAGGAACTCCTTCCAGTGCTCCTTCCCCGTCTTGGTGTCGCCCAGGCGGCTGACGCCGACGAGCCCCTGGTCCCACGCCGCCTCCGGCGTGTCGCTGTCGGCGGTCTTGCCGTTAGGGTGCAGCGCTCGTCCGTTGCCCTGACCGGCTGCGAGCGAGGTCGCAGGGCTGCTGTGCTCGGTCACGGGCTGCGCAGCCTTCTTCTGGCCGCGCGCCTTGGGGCTTTGCCATCTGCGCCGCAAAAAGTCGTCCCACTCTGCTTGCACCTCGTGCTGTTGAGTCTCGTGCATCTTCTGCAGCTGGCCGAGCAGGCGCCTTACAGTCTGCGACGCCGACGGCGGCTTGCGAGGCGAACGTGGCGGAGGCGCCTCGTCTCCCGCGCCATTGGCAGCACGTGCGCCCTCGCTCTGGAACTGAAAGTCGCGCTCCTGCGACGGACTCGTGGGCCCTGATTCGCCGGAGGGTTGCGATGGCACGCTCAGCGGCAGCGCGCTCGTGACTGGCTTGGGCGGCGCGATGGAGAAGACCCCGCCGGCAGTCTTGCGGGAAGAAGTTGAGGCGCTCGCAACGGAGGTCGCATCAAGCTCAGCCTGCAGGCTGCCGTCCTCTGCGTCGTCGCCGACCGGCGAGAGGTCCTGTTCCAGGTCCAGGTCCGACTCCTGGCTCGCAGCGGCGTCCTTCTCCTCCTCGCTTTGGCTGTCCGTGCCACCGCGGGCTCGTACGCCTACGCGGATGCCAGTGAGGCAAGCGGGTGCAGGCGTCGCCGCGCGGCGGGCCTGACGTAGAAGGCGCACATCGCCGGGTGTTGCATCGTAGACGAAGCCGTATCGATCTGTGAGGAGCCGTGTCGCGTCCTCTTCGCGTGCACTGACAGGCTGCGGCGGCTCAGGCCGAGCGAGGCCCTTGCCGCCGTACACCTCGAACTCGTCGCCCGAGGTCTCATCTGACTCGGAGCTCGCTGTCGTACCTGCCGTCTTTGTGCGGCGTCTGTTACTCCGAGGCAGCACCACGTTGGCCCGACGCGCGAAGATTGCCAGCGACGGCGGCTTGACATCGTTGGGCACGATCGGCTCGAGCTCGACTGGAGGCGCAGGCAGACGCGCCGCGGCATCGTCTGTCGAGGGTCGACGCGGCTGCACAGCGACGTCGTTCGCATTCGCCGGGCTGAAGCGGAAAAAGTCCGGCAGACGCGTGACGTTCGGCTCAGTAAGATCCGGCTGAGGCGCCTTCTTGCGTGCTGTCCTTGTCGCCTGCTCGCCGTGGGGGCGCGGCAGGTCCGGAGATCGTCGCGCTGCTGCAAGAGTCTGCTTGCCTGGTGCAGCTCGAGTTGCGGACGCGGCACTCGCTGGCGCGGAGTTCGTATCAAGCTCTGGCAGCTTGTCTGACGAGGCAGCGCCGCTGGCAGGGATGACCAGAGTCGTAGGTGCCCGGTCCGCCTCGAGCACCTTGCCCTGCTCCTGTGCCGTGCCTACTAGCCGCAAGGCCAGGTCTGCGATGACGATAGACGTGCGTTTGCCCGAGTCGAGCAGCAGATTCGATGACTGCGTCGGGTTGAAGATGCGCGTCGCGAGCAGGATGGCGCGGAAGTGCGTCGGCTTCGGCAAGTCAGTCGGCGCAGCAGCTTGCGACTGCGCCATCAGCTGTGCTTGCAGACGCTCCGTGACGGGTGAAGAAGGCGCTGAGCCGATGGCCTCGTGCAGCTCCAGCAGCAGGTCCCGGCTGTTGACGGATGCCTCGAGGTGTGGTGCGCTCTTGACGTCGCGCAAGACGGAGGACGTGTCAGTCTGGCCGGCGAGTGGCGCTGCAGGCAGTATGTTCGAAGGTGACCGTGCCGGAGTGGGCCGCGCCGGAAGCGTGTCGTTCGAGTCGTCGCCGACGTCGCCAATCGGACGGCCGCGGATCGTGTTCTTGCCCTCGTCGGGCTGTGCCTCTCGATAGCGCTGCGCCTTGGGCTTGCGCCGCCAGGCAAGGCTGCCGAGACTGAAGGCGCTCATCATGCCGCGCGGCGGCTCCTTGGCATTGACGATCGCAGCGCTCAACGCAGTGCCGGACACGGACATCGAGCGCCCGTGCTGTCGCCCTGCAGAAACGTCTGTCGCAGCGGGCGTGACCGGACCGCCGCCGTCCGACAAATACCCATCCGCAACGGCAGACGGGCTGACTGCTGGCACGCTCAGTGCGCCTTTCTTCGCACTGGCACCCGACGCGCCCCACAGGCCCCAGGCGAAGGAGGCATTCTGCGAGCGGCTGCTCGTAGCCGAGCTCGAGCTAGGCGCAGAGGTCGAGAAGCCACTCTCTGCAGCGTACTCCTCGCTGGCACGCGCGGCCTCGCTGATGAGCGCGTCGCGACGAGCACCAGCGGGCGAGCTCGGCCCGGATGCGTTCGCGTTGCTTCGCGCCGACGCCGAGCCTGTGCTTTTGACGCTTCGCGCAGTGCGCATCGAGGCCTTGCTTGGTGATGCATCCCGCGGCATGCGGCTGTCAACCTTGGCGCGCAGTGTGTTGAAGTCGCCCTCCTGGCTGCTGGCCCGGGTCGGCGGTGCGAATGCCTCGCCGAAATCCTCCTGCATGGCCTCCTGCAGCGAGTGCGGCAGCAGCAGCGCCTCGGTAGTGTCGTCGCGCACCTCGTCCAAGACGCGAGCATTGATGCCAGCCGTTCGAGACGGACCGCCCTTGCCCGCCGAGGTCAATGGCGAGCGGACTGGAGGAGGCGAGGGGCGCCGGCCCTCTGCTGGGAAGACCGGCACGTCTGCTTGCGATGTCGCGCTCAGCAGAGCGCGCGTCACGCGTGCCTCGGACACGCCCACCTCCTTCAGGATCGCCCGGAGAGCCGCCTCGCGTGCATCGTGCCGCTTCTGCTGCGAGTTCAGAGCCGAGACTTGCTGCCTCCGGAGAGCTTCCATCGAGGCGGCATGCTCCTGCGATGCTTCCAGCGCGTCGCTCAACGCTGCAGACAGCTCGGAAACAAGCGCCAGCCTGGATTTTGCTGGATCAGGGCCGGCCAACGACAGTGCAGAGGCTCGGCCGGACTCGATGCCGTCGCTCGCCTCAACGCCAGTGCCGAGCCTTGGAGTTGCGAGCTCTCTCGAGTCAGACTCAGGAAGGGCGGCGGTGTCGGCAGTAGCGCTGACCCGCTCGAGGTCTGCAGCGCCAAGAAGATGAAGCGAAGAGAGCAGCTGCAGGCGTGCCTCCCGCTCGTTGACCTCGAGAGCGTCCTCATCGCCTATGACTGACCGCGGCGCCTGCGCTCGCCGCTGTGCGAAGAGACGCACATCGAGCCCAGACGCATCTGCCGGCGCGAAAGGCGGCGGCGAGCGCATGCTTGTACGAGACGGCGGGCGCGCCCGCACAGAGCCGGCGACGGTGCCGGCGCGCGACGACGCTCGTGAAGGGCGCACCTTGGCGCGCAAGCTCGGCAGCGCATCCTCGACGGTATCGTCTGAGTCGTCGGACTCATCGGCGTCGCCGAAGAGCGAGGTGGAGCTCTGTGAGGGCGAGAGGCGGCGCGTGCTGCTACCGCTGGCGCTTGCGGTGGACGAGACCGAGGCGTGCCGATGCGGCTCTGCGAGCTCGGCCTGCTGCGCCAGTCGCTGCAGGTCGAAGTAGCCAGGGCGGACGCGCTGCGCTTGTGGCTCGGCCGGCCGGAATGCGGCACCACTGGGCATCAGGCGCGGCGATTTCGGGCCAAGGTATCGCTCAATGGCCGGCGGCGAGGTGGCATAGGATGTGCTCGCGGAGCTGCCGCCATCTTCGCTGGCCGCGCCGAGCGGGTCGAGCGCGAACGCGGCAGGCAGCGCCGCTGCCGGGGCCGCGGCGGCGTCCATCGGCGGGCGCGACGGCGGGGCAGACGCCTCGACTGCAGCGCTAGAGGCTACGATGTCAACTACTCAAGGACGTCTTGAGGAGCCGGAACCTCGGAGGCGGAGCAGCCGCAAAGTGCTGAGTAGAGAGTGCGTCCGGCCTCGATGGCAGCGCGCGCGAGAGCTCGACGCGTGTGGGCCCGCCGGCGCGCCGATGCGGCGCTGGCGCAGAGCAGCACCGACGATAAGCGAAAGGCTGCGAGAACTGAGGCGACGCGAGTGAGAAGAGACGGGTGCCGACGGAGTCAGAGATGGGCAGCGGTGCGGGTGAGTGAGTGAGAGGCAGAGGCAGCGGCAGCGGCAGCGGCGAGGGTGTTGGAGTGGAGTGAGCGAGGCCGCTGCGCCCCGTGCGTCACTTCAACACGGCGCCAACTTTGTATTCGCCCGCTCGCGGCGCAGCTGTACTCGCCCTTTCCCGCGGCCTGCTCTCTGCGCGTGTCACGTGTTCATCGGGGCGGCCCCTTGGTCGCGCTGGGCGCATGCGGCGCTCGTAGCAGGCAAGGCACTGCGCCAGTGTCGCCGCTGCCCGCGCGCTGCGCTCTCACGCCCGCCGAAGGCATCCGGCGCCCTCCATCCACCCAACAGCACTCCACTCTCGCCGCTCCTTCTCTCCCTTCTCCCACTCGCTCCTGCACTCGCCGATCGCACTCCCAACGCCCTCTCGTCGCCATTGGCATCGGCCTGGCGCGTCCACCTCGCCTCTCCGTCGCGTGCACTCGCACCGCCCAGCTGGCTGTGCCGCATCCGGACCACTCTGCGCCGCTCCACCACCCTCGCTCCTGGCCTTCGCCGCCCGTCGCCCTCGTCGCACCGCTCTTCTGCTCGCCAGCTGCTCTCCAGTAGCCTAGCCGCGCCAGCACTCCGCTCTCAGCTCGTTCTGCTGCGCCTGTCTCCCTTGTCCCCCGTTTCCCTTTCGCGCGCACGCCCAGCATGCAGGCGGCCTTTCTGCGCGAGTACAAGCTCGTCGTTGTCGGCGGCGGAGGTGTCGGCAAGTCGGCCCTCACGATCCAGTTCATCCAGAGGTGAGCGGCACGTGTTGTGTGCTGCTTTGAGCTGGTCTGATGGATGTGTGCCGGCTGCAGTCACTTCGTCGATGAGTACGACCCGACGATCGAGGGTGAGTCTGCCGTTGCGCCTCTTGACTTGTGCCCGGCACTGACGCGATAGTTGCGCGCCGCAGACTCGTACCGCAAGCAGTGCGTGATCGACGAGGAGGTTGCACTGCTGGATGTGCTGGACACGGCCGGCCAGGAGGAGTACAGGTGAGCCGCACACAGACCTGCACTGGATGGCGCAGCGGGCGCTGATATGCGTGCCATCCACAGCGCCATGCGGGAGCAGTACATGCGGACGGGCGAGGGCTTCCTGCTCGTGTACAGCATCACGTCGCGCAACTCGTTCGACGAGATCTCGACGTTCCACCAGCAGATCCTGCGCGTGAAGGACAAGGACTACTTCCCCGTCATTGTCGTCGCGAACAAGTGCGACCTCGAGTACGAGCGGCAAGTGGGCAGCCACGGTGCGTTGCACGGCTGATGCGTGCTGCGTTGCAAACCCTCTGACACCTTGCACAGAGGGCCGCGAGCTGGCCAAGCACTTTGGCTGCCGCTTCATCGAGACGTCGGCCAAGCAACGCATCAACGTCGACGAGGCCTTCTCGAACCTCGTGCGCGAGATCCGGCGCTACAACAAGGAGCAGACGATGGGCCGTCCGGGCGTCGCAGGACCGGGCGGTGCCGGCGGGCCGGGCATGGAGCGCTTCCAGCAGGAGGGCGCAACGAAGAAGGACGGCTGCTGCGCCTGCTGCGTGGTCCTGTGAGGGAGCCCACTGCACACACGCTCGCCTATCCCCTCGTCGCTGCTGTGTGCATCTTGTCACGCACGCTGCGACACCTCATGCCCACCTTTCATCTTCCGCGCCGCTCCACCGCAGCGCGCCTTCTTTGTGCCCCTTCCTTCTTTTGTTGCGCCCACCCCAGCACAAGGCCCTCTTTCCCGTCACTCTCTTACCCGGCAATCCCACTGCCACGTTCACACACACATGAGCTAATGAAAAACGCCGCATGTCAATCCCGCTGTGGTGGTGTGCGGCTCACGGCTGGGCGCACAGCTCCTGCGCCGCCTCAATGACGGCGGCCACCATGCGCGGCGTGACGATGTGGCCGACGCCCGGCTCGAGGGCGACGCTGACGCGCACGCCCGCCTGCGCCAGCTCGCCGGCGACGGCGTGGATCTCGGCGGGCCTGAAGTACCGGTCGCCCTCGCCGCAAATCAGGCGCACAAAGGTATGCTCCGCGTCGGGCACGGCGCTGCTTGGCGGTGCGCTGCGCTGGGCTTCCTCGGCCGTGAAGGTGCCGGCGCGCCGAGGAAAGGGCGGCAGAGAGGCCAGACGCGTGCCTGCGAGTGCGAGCACGTAGGCCGGCCGCAGCACCTCGGTGTTGTCGGGCTCGCGCAGGGCGCAGAGCATGTACGTGTTGGCGAGGTTGGCGCCTTGGCTGAAGCCGACGACTGGGATGGGACGGGGTAAGTGCGGCGCAGCAGCTTGCGGCGCAGCAGCACGCACCGACAACGCGCGTCGGCGGCACGCCGCACTCGGCCAGCTCGCCCAGCGTCTTTTGCAGGCACAGCAACGACGAGTACACGTATGGTCCGTTGTACTCGAGCTGCTCAGGTTTGGTCACTGTGGTGGGCAGGCAGCGTAAGTGGCCGTCAGGCGACGCGACCGCGTGCTGCCTCACCGCTGTGGCTCTCGGGATACCAGATGCCATCTGCGGCCGCGAGGCTGATCACAGCCACGTCTGAGCTTGCCTCGTCGCCCTCCTCGAGGCGCTCCTCGGCGCCGCCGAAGCAGCGGTGCAGCGCGGGCAGGAAGGCGTCGGCAAAGTCGGCCGCGTTGTCGCCGCGGCCGTGCAGCAGCACCACGGCGGCGCGGGTCCGAGGCGTCGGGCGCGAGAGGTACGCCAGCGCTGGCTGCAGTGCGTGCGGCAGAGGGTCGTCCCAGTCGGGAGCCTGCATGCTCGGCGACAGTCTGGCTTGATGTGGTGGTGTGAGGCCGATGTGCGCGGCTGCGGGTCACCAAGTCACGCGGCGCGCCGCGTGGCCAGTGCGTCGACGCGCTCGAAAGGAGCTCTCTTCACAGTCGACCCGGCGCATTCAGCCCGCCTCTTTGCTCAATAGGCGCCGTATCCAAGAGCTTGCTTCGCACAGCATTTTGGGCTATACCCGTGGCGCAACGAGCCGAGCGCATGCTCGGCAAATGGCTTCGCTCCTCGGCAGCGTCGAGTCAAGCGCGTCGCGTCTGAGGCGGGTGGAGGTGCCTCCACATCCGCTCCTGCCCACGGCTCAGGAGGCAGCCTCCCGACCCTCACACCCCGTCAGCAGCATGGTCGCACCCAACGAGTCGCTCAGCGAGCGCAGCGTGCTCATCACCGGTGCGCTTGTCCGCGCCTGCCGTGTCCATACAGCCTCTGACGCCGCGCACAGGCGCCTCGAGCGGCATCGGCGCCGCAACAGCCGTGGCGCTGTGCACGCGCAACGCGCCGCAGGCGCTGGCGCTGCACTACAACTCCAACACCGCCGGCGCCGAAGCCACGGCCAAGCAGTGCCGTGAGGCCGCTCCAGGCACGCGCATCGAGACGTTCCAGGCCGACATGGGCGACGAGCAGGCCGTGCAGCGCCTCTACGACGAGGTGCGCAAGGCATTCGGCCGCGTCGACGCCATGTTCGTCAACGCGGGCAACAACGGCGGGGCTCATCTCGGGCCACAGGGCGACATCGAGAATTTGAGCGTCGCGCAGTTCCGCAAGACCTGTTAGTAGCCTGGCTGCGCCGCCGTCGCAGAGCCTCACCTATGCTGCTCGCAGGGGAGGTCAACACGCTCGCGCCCTTCATTCTGACTCGCGCGGCGCTCGGCGAGATGGCACAGGTGAGCTTTGCGGAGACGCTGATGCTGACGTGTGCTGACTAGCAAGCACAGCGCAAGTGGGGCCGCATCGTGTACTGCAGCTCCGTCGCGGCTCTCACTGGCGGCGTGGTGGGTCCTCACTACGCCTCGTAAGTCTCAACATGGCCCGTCTCGATCTCGCTCTGACATGCGCTTCATAGCTCCAAGTCGGCGCTGCATGGCATGCTGCGCTGGACGGCCACGCGGCACGCCAAGGACGGCATCACCTGCAACGCCGTCGCGCCGGCGCTGATCGACCAGACGGGCATGATCGTGAGGCCTGCTGCGTGCCTCAAGCGCATCAGTAGCTGACTGTCCACATCAGGACTCGTCCAAGATGGACGCCTCGACGAAGAGCTCGCTGGAGGGCAACATCCCTATCGGCCGCCTGGGCCGCGTGGAGGAGTGCGTCGATGTGGTGAGTACGCCTCGCTGCTGGTGCTGCTCGGACAGCCTGCTGACTCCGGCGTTTGCAGATCTTGCTGCTGCTCACCAACGGTGAGAGAACGAGAACTCGTTCGCGGCGCAGACGGATACTGACCACCTGCGATGCCAGCCTATATCTCGAATAAGGTGCGCAAGCAGCGGCAGGAGCATGGGAACAGCTGCTGACCAGCCTCACACAGGTCTGGGCCGTCGATGGTGGATGGACGATGCAGTAGGGGCGGCACACGACAGCGCTCTGCCACGTCCGAGGCGAGCCTGGTCGCCCTTGTGACACAGCCTTCGGCGTCAGAGAGTTCTTCTGCGGATGATGGTGGTGCAGCAGAGAGTGCTGCCGCTCGCCCGGCCATGTGTGCAGCGCCAAGGGCGACTAGGCGGCCACCGCTGAGAGTGCCCGAGATACCCGCGACAATAACAAATGTGTGGGCAGACGAAGGAGCGCTCAGGCATGCGTTGACACATGCGCGCAGCAGCCGTACGGACAGATGCGCCAGCAGTCTTGTCTGGCACACGACAGCCGCAGCAGCTTGCAGCGAGAGGGGCTCCTCTGGCCGGCATCCCCGCGTCGCGTTGGCGCGCCACGGCAATCTGCGAGAATGCCGCCGGCCAAGCGGCTAGCCCGAGCCTGCGGTGCAAGTGCCGCGATTAATCTTGCGCCCGGCCGCGATTACTTGCGATTACAAGATGGCAGCTGCGCGCTTGCACCGGCCGCCGGTGCGCCCGGAGCCGCGCCCTGCCTCCACAGCGGATCTTCCTGCGTGCTGCGGGCGGCAGCGCAGCGAGAGGCAAAAAGCTGCGCTCTGGGACGCTCCGCACGTTGGCGATGCCCCGACGCACGGGTCCTGCACCTGCCGCTGCACGCTCGCTGCACCTGTCTGTCCCGCTCCTCGGATGCCGAGGCGGCGGCGGCGAGACGTCGGCGGCCCGCCGTGCACATGAAGAGGCCGAGATTGGCGGCTGCTCCGCCCCGCATTCCCCACATCCCTCTCTCCTCTCCCGTGTGCCACCATGAGTGCCTCCGCCTCCTCCTCCAGCGAGACGACGCGCTACCCGCACGACCGCTTCCTCACCACGAGCGTGTCGCCCGACTCCTTCTGGTGAGTGCAGCTTTGGCTCCTGCATCTGCGATGTGGCTCGTGCGCAGGCCGCAGCTGCCTTGCCTGGGCCTGCACCCGCTGCGAGCTCCTCGTCCATGCACCTCCTGCTCCCTGCCGCACAGACTCACATTCTTTCCAGGGGCCGCTGGCGCGATGCCGTGCGCGAGGTCAGCCTGCCCGTGCAGCTCAAGCTGCTGAAGGACACGGGCCGCTACGACTGCTTCGACCTCAAGCCGATCCCCTACTACAAGAAGCCGATGGACGTGTGGCCCGTGCCACAACATCTGTTTTGGGAGTCGGACTGCGCAAAGTGAGGGAATTGAGTACTTTTGCGACAGGGCGCTTGACTGACAGGCGGGGCCGCAGGATCATCGAGGCGCTGGCGTACCTGCAGCCCGAGTACCCGGACAAGGAGCAGCGCGGCCACATCGACCACCTGGTCGACCTCATCGAGAAGGCACAGCAGCCCGACGGCTACCTCAACGTGCACTTTGTCGTCAACGAGCCCGAGAAGCGCTGGAGCAATCTGCGCGACCTGCACGAGCTGTACAACGGTGAGTTGCGCCGAGAAGCGAGAGCCAGAGCCGCGCTGACAGCTTCATCTCCACAGGCGGCCACCTGATCGAGGCGGCGCTGGCACACCACAAGCTCACTGACTCGGATCAGTTCCTCAACGTCATGCTCCGCTTCGTCAAGTACGTCGCCTCCGTCTTCGGCCCCGAGTCGGAGGGCAAGACGCCCGGCTACCCGGGACACCCGGAGATCGAGCTGGCGCTCATGCGCCTCTACCACCGCACGGGCGACAAGACGAGCCTCGACCTGGCGCGCTACTTCATCACCGAGCGCGGCCGCGACGGTGGCAAGTACTACGTCGACGAGCAGGCGCGGCGCGGCGAGCACCCGCAGCTGGCGCCGGCGATGATGCCCAAGAAGGGCTCTTACTGGTACATGCAGGCCCAGAGCGTCAGTACGGCTCCAGAGCGTCAATGCGGACCTCGCTGACATGCGCACGCACGCACAGCTCATCAAGGACCAGCAAGAGATCGAGGGCCACTCGGTGCGCGCCATGTACCTGCTCACCGCCGTCGCCGACTTTGCCGAGACGTGCGAGTCGGCGGGCGTCTCGGACGCCGAGGCGGCGCCGCTCAAGGAGGCCGTGTACCGCCTCTGGGACAACATGGTCAGCAGCAAGATGTACGTCACTGGCGGCATCGGCAGCATCAAGCAGTGGGAGGGGTTCGCCATTCCGCACTTTCTGCCCCAGGGCACCGACGAGGGCGGCTGCTACGCCGAGACGTGCGCGGCCATCGGCATCATTATGCTCTCCGAGCGCATGCTCGCGCTGCAGCTCGACTCGCACGTCGCCGACGTCGCCGAGCGTGCGCTGTACAACGCCAGTGTCACGACGGGCATGTCCGTCGACGGCAAGTCGTTCACCTATGAGAACCAGCTGGCGAGCTGCGACAAGGACCTGTGCAACCGGCACGAGTGGTTCGAATGCGCCTGCTGCCCGCCCAACGTGCTGCGCACGCTCGGCGTCATCGGCGGCTTCTTCTGGTCGGCGCTCGACCAGAAGAGCGTCGCCATCCACCACTACTTTGACGGCACGATCACGCACGGCGACCTCAAGGTGACGCTCAAGACCAACTACCCGTGGAGCGGCAAGGTGCAATTCGACGTCAAGGCGTCGGCCGGGCAGAAGGTGCTGGTGCGCATCCCCGACTGGGCCGGCGACGAGTACACCTCCTCGCCGCAGGTGCAGCGCGCCGGCAACGGCTACGTCGAGCTCGGCGCCGGCGAGACGACGCTGGAGCTGCCGCTCAAGCCGCGCTTCTCCTTCTCGCACCCGCACACGGGACAGGACCTCGTCACGCTGCACTACGGCCCGCTCGTGTACTGTCTCGAGGACACGGACAACGCGTGGGTGCAGAACCACTTCAAGGACCTCACCATCTCGGCCAGCTACGACCTCTCGGCCGCCACGGAGGAGGTGCGCGACGGCGTCACATACCTGCGTCTGCCCAAGGCCGGCTACCACCGCGAGCCCGTCGCGTACGTGCCCGCCGTGCGCAGCGGCGCCTCGCAGAAGAACGGCGCCTCGTACGCCCGCGTCACCGCAACGATGGGCGGCATGTCGCCGGTGCCGCAGTACGTCGAGAAGGAGGGCGAGGGCAAGTGAGTACTCGCGGCAAGGACAGACGGCCGCCACCGCTCGATTCGTGCTGACTTGAGCTACCTCTCAGGGACTTGCTCTTCATTCCCTACTACTTCAGGGCGAACCGCGAGCGCAAGCAGAGCGTACACATGCGCACGTCGCTCCGGCGCAAGATCTAAGGCTATGTCATGTGTCCAGCAGAGTACCCCATCTAATGCCATACATGCCTCGCATTCAATGCTCGAGTGCCTCGCTTGTGTCGTGTGGCCTGCCTTACTGGGAACACGAGCGCATGCACTGCGACACGCGCTCGGTCCGTGTCGCCACGCCCGGCTTGGCTCAGCCGTAGCGTCCGGCTAGGCCTGCCGACTTGCCTAGCCCGTGTGGCGAGGTGACGCCGTCGAGCATGCTGCAAGGTCCCCTCCACGAGGCCTCGATGCAGGTACCACCCTGCCGGCATACATGCAAGCTCCACGACGACGAGTTACCCGAACGCCGAATCACCCGAGTTGCTGCCAGGGCTGCGAAGGAGCAACCTGATTGCGCTGGCTGACGCGAGCGCGCAGTAGCGATGATCAGCGAGGCGGCTCGCATGCCGGTCGCCGACGTTCAAGTTGCCCGAGAGAGCAGACGTGGCGCCTCGCTCGGCCAGCGCCAGCAGCAACGACAGGGTCGGGCGATCTCCATGCTCTCTCCGCCCGGCACTCCATGCGTGCTGATGGGCCGGCCGGTGCCTCGATCCTCGGCTGCCCGGCATCACCGTGCAGGCGTGCGGAGGCATCCGTCGGAGGCTCTGTCTGGGAATCTCTTCTCCATACTTGCCCCTTCGCCCGCCTTTCTCCGCAGCCGCGACGGCGGCGAGGGAAATGTCAGGCAATTGCGGGGTCCCCAGCTCCGTGCCGTGTGGAGAGCCGGCGGCCCGTGGCCGGCTTGCAGCGGCCCTAAGGCCCCAGATTCCCAGTGCGCGGCAGGGGCGCGCTGGGTGCCCATGGTACGCTGCGCACGGCTATCTGATGGGCCGCTGACAGCAAGCGGCATGCACGCATGCACAGGGCGAAGATCTCCAGGCCGAGGAGCGACAGATTCCCGTCGCCCGAGCGTTCATGCCGCCGCGTGCCGGGCAGCGTGCAGGTGGGACAAGGCGTGAGGGGCCAGCAGCGTGGAGGAGTGCTGCCGGCCGTGGCACGAGCCCCCAAGCGGAGCGCGAACGCTGTTGTGCGGCCAGCAGGCTGCTGACCCGGCATGCGCTCTGCCGCCGGCTGACTGCTGGAGGCCTTTGCCCCGACAGCCCCGCTGGCGCTGCCGCCCGTCGGCTCCCCGCACTGCCTGAGCGCGCCGGCGGGCCCGGCATCGCGGGAATCTCCACCCCCGCATTGCGTACCGAATGTCCCGCTGTCACACGCCTCGCTGCCGCAGTGCCCGTTCGGCGCTACGCGGCCCATCAAGAGGCAAGGCGCGGTCCGGCCACCCCTGCGAGCGCAAGGCACGCCGCCAGCGCCGCCACAGACGCATGCAAGCCGGCCGAGGCCGTCGAGATGCAGCGGGCGAATGACAGGCGCGCAGGGGCACAGGAGCGCTGCGTCTGCCCAGCCGCTCTTGATGGCGCCAGAGCTTGCGCCGTGCCGCCGGGCGACGAGTCTGGGCCTGTCTCTCCTGCCGCCGTGCCGCTGCTGCCTGCCGCCGCAGCGGCGGAGCGCATAGATGCTGCAGCGCCGTGCCCACGGCCCGCCGTCGAGGTGCGTTGTGCCGCCGTCGGGGCTGGTGAGATGCGCGAGGGTCCGGAGCACGGTGGCCGCGCGCGAGTCACCCCATGCTCCGCATCTGCGCTGCTGCCGCCGCCGTACACGCGTCCATCTGGCACCACCCCGCGCGCCGACGCCTCGTGCGCGCCTCCTGCGCCGCAGTTCTCTGTGCGCATGATGGCATGTGGGGCTCCGCACCGCCAATGTCACAAGCGGTGCCTGGAGCGGCGGGCTTGCGAGGGCGAGCATTGCCGAGGCGGGCGCCACGGCGCGGCGGTGCGCGCAAAGCGTGGCGCCATGGCGGCGTGCCGCGAAAAGAGTGCGAGCCGCGCGCACACAGCCGAGGTGCGCGGGCGGCGGCAGAGCAAAGCGGAGACGCGCGCGCCTCGGTCTGCTGCCGCCGTGCGCACCTGCGCCGCCGCCGTGCCGCCTGCGCCGCCGCGCCCTTCGCGCTTCCCGCCGCCCTTCGCACCGTGCTCTCACCGCTCCTCCGCCGCGCCGCCGCCGTCCCTGCCCCACTGATCGCTCCTGCAAGGCCCAGCTGCGGGGTGCAGCAGCGTGCAGCAGATCCCCGACGCCGCCGCTCCTGTACATAAGGCGCACCTCTTGGCCCCTCCGCCCTTCCTGTCTCCCCACACTCTCTCACCCACTCCCCTCTCCCTCACCCACCATGAGCGAGCTCAAGTACGACAGCGAGGGCCAGAACGCCCTGCGCATCGAGCACGAGGACGAGCAGCGCATGCGCGCCACGCTCGGTGCCAGCTACGACCAGGTCGTCAGCGGCGCCAAGGCTGCCGCCGACGCCGAGCACGTCGACCTCGGCGTGTTCGCGGCGCTGCGCACGCACTGGAAGGCCACGCTCTTCAGCATGGGTCTCTCCTTCGCACTCGTCATGGAGGGGTGAGGCCGAGCCGCGCGTGCTGCCACTGCTGCTCCGCATGCTGACCCACGCGCCCCAGCTACGACGTCGTCGTCATCAACTCCTTCTACGGCCAGAGCCAGTTCATCAACACCTTCGGCACCGTGCTGCCCAACGGCGAGAAGGTCATCACGGCGCCGTGGCAGACGGGCCTCAGCAACTCGGCCCTGGTCGGCGAGGTCATCGGTCTCGGCCTCAACGGCTGGGCGTCGGACCGCTTCGGCTACCGCAAGACGTACATGGTCTCGATGGCCGTCATGATGATCACCGTCCTCGCACCCGTCCTCGCCCGCTCGCTGCCCGCCCTCTCCGCCGGCGAGGTGCTCATGGGCATCCCGTGGGGCGTGTTCCAGACGCTCACCACCGCCTACGCGTCCGAGATCGCCCCCGTCATGCTGCGCCCCTACCTCACGTCCTTCGTCTGCGCCTGCTGGGGCCTCGGCATCCTCCTCTCCTCGATCGTCGTCAAGCTCACGCTCGTCATCCCCGGCGAGTGGAGCTGGCGCCTGCCCTTCGCCCTGCAGTGGGTCTGGCCCATCCCGCTGGCGCTCATCGCCTTCTTCGCACCCGAGTCGCCGTGGTACCTCGTGCGCCACCAGCGCTTCGACGACGCCCGCAAGGCGCTCAAGAAGCTGCAGACCAAGAACAGCGGCGACGACCAGCACATCGAGCACCAGGTCGCGTTCATGAACCACACCAACGCCCTCGAGAAGGCCGAGCAGTCGGGCGCCTCGTACTTTGAGTGCTTCAAGGGCACGTCGCTGCGCCGCACCGAGATCGTCGCTGTCGTGTGGGCGCTGCAGTGGCTGTGCGGCAACCCGCTCATGTCGTACGCCGTCACCTTCTACCGCCGCGCCGGCCTCGACGAGAACACGGCCTTCTCGCTCAACTGCATCATGAATACGACGTACCTCATCGGCACCGCCTCGTCCTGGTTCCTCATGCGCTGGTTCGGCCGCCGCACCCTCTACCTCGCTGGCTGCGTCATGTGCTGCGCGCACCTCATCGCCATCGGCACGCTCGGCTTCTTCTCCGGCGAGGCCGTCTCGTGGGCCACCGGCTCGCTGCTCATCACCTTCGCGCTCGGCTACAACTGCACCATCGGCCCCGTCTGCTACACGATCGTCGCCGAGATCCCGTCGAGCCGCCTGCGCGCCAAGTCGATCGTGCTCTCGCGCCTCACATACGTCCTCACCGGCCTGCTCACCAACACGCTCACGCCGCGCATGCTCTCGCCCGACGCCTGGAACTGGGGCGCCAAGGGCGCCTTCCTGTACCTCGGCACGTGCGCTCTCTGCGGCATCTGGTGCTGGTTCCGCCTGCCCGAGACGGCCAACCGCACGTACGCCGAGGTCGACGAGCTCTTCGCCCGCGGCATCGCGGCGCGCAAGTTCTCCACGACGCAGGTCAACCTGTACGAGACGGAGAAGCGCCACGCCGTTGTCCGCGCCGACTCGCTCAACGACGACAAGGTGCTCGACGACAAGGACCTGCGCACGGCCACGCTCGATGCCTAAGCCTCTCTTTACGCTCTCCACGTCATCTATCTCTCTCGCTCCCGCCCCCGCTGTATCCCCTGCTCCGTTTTCCCCATCGCCGCCCCGCCGCGTCGCCTGCTCCCGCCACCCTGCTCCCGCCTGCCGCTGCACGCCGCCTGCTCTTCACTGTCACGCTGAAATAACAATCGATGCCACGCACTACCTGCCTGTGTGAGACTGCCGCGGCCTGCCGAAGCTTGTGCGAGGGTCAAGCGTCGGCGGCAGCCGTTGCCGGACGATGGGCGGACGGGGCGCAGCGCCTGACCGCCGCTTGCTGCGGCACGCCGCACGCGCCTCGGCTCGCGCACGTGTCGCCTGCAACGTCCGCACCACCAGCATCAGCGCCGCTCTGACACAGCCATGTGCTGTACCACTTCTCTTGACGGCTACTCGTCAGCTGCGTCTAGCTTGCTCGTCATCGACACGCTTGTTCCGCCGCGAGATGGCAGCGCAAAGGCAACAAGGAAGTGTCGTCACGAGCGCGTGTCGTCGACCGACTCCAGCACCCTCGTGTCCTCGAGGCGCCCACTCGCCGCGCCGCACTCGCCATTGAGTCGCCCTTCCTCATCGCTTTGTCCAGCCTCTTATCGCGGAAGCTCACGGCAAGCACCTCATCGTCTTTGTAAGCAGCGGCAAAGCCGACTTTGCCCTGCCGCTGCATCGAGATGATCAAGAGGAACGAGCGACTCCTCGGCCGCCCTGTGGCGCGTGCCTCACGCGTCGTGTACCTCATCGCAGCACGCCGCATCGAGGGCGAGTGCGTGCCTTGAAACGTGCACGCTATCGCACATCAGTGTCGGAGTACGTGCCTTGCCCTCGCTCAAGGTATCAGGGACCGAGACGAGCGCCACCGACGTAGCAGCGGCTTGGAGGACAGTAGCACGTACACGCGAGGTCAGGATTGGTGACAAGAGCGCGCGCAACGAGGGGCGCGAGCAGAAGCAGACGATGCTTTGTTGCCGTTGTGACACGCTGCGCAAGCGGTGCTGCGGCTCAGGGCAGCCCATCTGTGTCAGGGGCCGCCAGCTGATGGAAGCGCCCCTATGTAGATCGCCGCATTGCCCCTGAGCGATGCCGCCGCTGGCCTGGCACTCCGCCGCCGCGCTCTCTTCGCCGCTTGCTTCGTTCCGGAAGACTCTGGCCCACTAACATCAGCTGCCCCGCAAACTGAAGTGCGGCGACACCCTCGCGGTCTCTCGAGGTCTCCAAGTCTCGTCGGTTGCGGGACAGGGATGACGATGCTCGACTTCTGGGCAGCGAGATACGCCGCGTTCCAGCGGCAGCTGCGCCCTCTCCTGTGGTAACAAGCTCGGGGCCGAGCGAGCCGCCGGCACCAGGCACCGCTCGAGGACCGAGCACGCACCGACGGGCGCAGGTCCCGCCAACTCCTTCCGTCGAGAAGGCAGACAGGGGCGGCCGATTCAGGCACGGACTTCATTGGCCAGCTTCATCAAGCGGCTGCGCGCGTCCTGCTTCTCTTGCAGCATGCAGGCGGCAGCGCATGGGCACGCCTGCAGCTCATAAGCTGGAGCTATACCTCCGCATCGCTCCTAGCTGCTCCTCCTCTCTCCTGTCGCCATCACCATGCCGCAGCGCCAGCCGCGCCGCGACTCGCTCAAGTCGACGACGGGCTCGGTGCACAGTGCCAAGTCGGCGGGCAAGCGTCTCAGCGCCCTTGTGCGCTCGCCGCCCGTCGAGGAGCCGCCGGTGCGCCACATCGACGACCCACAGTCGGCGCTCGCCGGCGTCGCCCGCCTGCTCACGCGCGACAAGACGCAAGCACGCCGCTACCCGCCCTCGGCACCGTCGAACGCCCGTGCCCGCGACCTGCACAATGCCGAGCCGGCGCCCGACAGCTCGACGCCAAGCAGCTCCGGCAGTGCGCGCAGCTTCAACCCGCTGCAGCTGCTGCGCAGCGCCTCGATCAAGAGCCAGCGCAGCGTGCAGGAGCACGAGTCGCAGACGCTCGCCACGTCCGTCGACGTGCCCGCACCGGAGCGACGGCGCAGCTCCAGTCCACCTCGGGCGCCTTCGGCTCAGCGACGCAAGCGCAGCTTTGACGCAGCCAGCATGCTGATGCTGCGCAAGCGCTCCTCGGACCCGAACAACACGTCCGAGACACAGCTGCCCGCCAGATGGACGGAGCGCAAGCAGGAGGCCAAGACGATCCTGCGCACCGCCTCGCCGCGCATCAGCGGCAACGGCAAGGCCGCCGTCAGCTTCTCGCCCGCTACGGCACACCGCAGCGAGAGCCGCACGCTGGAAGAGGCGCTGCGCGAGGGCAGCTGGAGCAGCGACTGGTCGCCCACTGCGATCGAGCACCCGGCAGAGCTGCGCAGCGCCGGCTCCAAGTCGGCCGGCATGCCCAGCCGCAGTCCTACACGCAGCCTGCCGCGCTCGCCCAACACGTCTCGCGCTGTCCGGCCGTCCACGAGCGACGGCAGCTTCATGCCACGTGCGCCGCTCGAGCGTGTGGCGCACCTCGACCGTGCAGCGCAGTTCGCAACGCCGCCGAACCGCGCTCGTCCACGCACGCCGCTGAGCGTGCATGGCGACGCGGCCTCGGTGTGGACACAGTGCAGCGGCCGCAGTGTCACGAGTGCGCGCAGCACGGCCGCTCGTCAGATTGTCTCGCCAGCGAAGTCGCAGACCACAGGCTGGACGGCCGAGCCCGATCCGCTGTACATCGGCCCACGCATGCCTCGACTCACGCTGCTGCAGGTCGTGCAGGACGACCTCGACGACACCTCGTCAGTCGCTGCATCGGCCAAGTCGCGCAATCCGAGCACCAACGGCTCGGCGCGCGAAAGCATGAAGAGCCACACCAGCGACTCGTCTCAGCCGGACCGTCTGCGCCACTCGACGAGCGTGTCGGAGCGCCTCAACTCGCTTGTCAACAGCGCGGCCTCGGCCATCGGCCTCTCGCCGCGCAAGTCGGCCGGCACGTCGTCAGAGCGCAGCGGACAGCTGAGCAGCTCGTCCTCGCTGCGTAGCCAGCAGCGCTCACCGTCGAAGTCAATCGAGCGCAGGTCCATGGCCGCGCCCGTTGCGACCCGCCGACCCATGACGGCACCGCACGATGCCGGCAGCAAGCCGTTTGCCTACATCCCGAACCACCTGACGCGCGAAGATGTCAACAACTACATCGACGTCGGCCTCCGCTCGCCGCTGCTCGCAGCGCTGTCCACCGCGACGCTGAGCATGCGGACCATGTCCGTCGACCTGCCTCTGTCTGCCGTGTCCACCGACATGCCCCTCTCGCCGCGCTCTGGCACCTCCAGTGTCGACCCGCGCGACACCTCGCGTCTCTCTGCCGCTTCGGTCTCGACGCGCGGCCAATCACGCCTCTCTGCCGCCTCGACGCACTGCTCGTCGCGCACTGGTGACATGTTCCTGAGCGCCGACACCCAAGACGACGAGTTTGCACAGGCTGGGCCATTCCGACGGCCGAGCGAAGAGGAGGATCGTGTTGCGGAGGCAAAGAGCGAGGCCGACGGCGCAGAAGAAGCACATACGACGCCGCGTGCTCGTGAGATGCCGCTTCTTGACCTCTCGACAGACTCGGGCATGCAAGAGCAGAGGTGAGTGACAAGTCTCTCGGCAGCGACAGACCTTCGCTAAGCATCAGCAGCTATGATGTGCCCGAGCAGGAGCGGGAGGCGTCGCCAGAGCCCGTCGGTACTGTGGTGCCGAGCCCGAGAGAAGATGGTGCAGGAACACGTTTCACGGAAGCGCTGGAGCCGAGCCCACCTTCGACGCCGAGCTCGCCTGTGACTGCCAAGCTGAGCGGCGCTGAAGGTGGCACGAGGACAAGAGGAGCGTCGCTATCTAGCTCCCGCATGCTCGTCGCCTCGCGGCAGCGCATCGAGAACATCCTCAGTGCCGGACCGCAGCCGCTGAAAGGCTTCAAGGCGCGGCGGCCGCAGGAAGCTCCGACGTCACCGAAGCGAACGACACGGCAGCGTCTGCTGTCGCTCTTCCGCGGCTCGAGCTCGTCGGCGCCGCTGCAGCCACTGCCCGCACGAGGTGTCCGGCGTGTGCCTTCTCAGCTGAAGCAGCCCGCTGCCACGTCGCAGCTCTCGAGGCAGGTGTCGAGCAGCTCCACCGTCAGCTCGGAGGCTCTTACCGACAGCACGACGCAGATCATCACGGCGAGCGATCTGCCGCCGCCAGTGCCTGACAAGTCGGACCCGCCGTCGCCGCAGGTCGAGCAAGTGTCGCAAGATGCTCCCACCGAGCAGCTGACCAGTGAGCTGGGCCACAGCCGGACAGAGTCTGGCAGCTGTGTGCCGCTCGAGCGCCTCTCCCAAGAGCAGCTCAGGCGCCTCGCAAGATCCTCGCAGCTTCTGTCCATCTACCTGGACGACGAGGACGAGGACGCTCGAGAGTCTTCTCACCTGCACGGCAGCTCCGTCGAGGACGAGAACGCGAGCGCTGCCAGCGAGTCGCGCCACCTCAAGCCTCCGAGTCCGCCGCCGAACCTCGAGCTCAACCTGCCGCTCGCTTCGCCGCTGCGCTTCACCTTCGATGGCGACGAGCTCCGCGTGCTTGAAGACAACGAGCAGGCCAGCCAGGACAGCAGTGCGGTGCGAGAGGACAAGCGCCCCGGCTCGCCTTCGCTCACGAGCTACGAGACTGCGCCGCCGTCCAGCCCCCGACGGGCCTCGCCGCCGCGATCGAAAAGCAGAGCGGGAGCTCGCACGCCTGACGCCCGACGGGCCAGTCGGCTGTCCAAGAGGATGTCTGGTGTAGCCCGCGTGCGCAAAGCGGCGTACTTTCGAGGCTCGAAGCCGCCGCTGCCGCCGCGCCGCGACACGGGCTCTGCGCACATCGATCGAGCTCAAGCGCCCGTTGATGCGGATGACTCAAGCTCGTCTTCCTCATTCTCGGACGAGGCCGAAGAAGACGAGGAGGAGGAGCCCTCGATGCCTGGATCGCTGCGCGCCGCCTCGCCTTGCTTCAGCCGCCGCGAGAAGGTCCGCGTGGAGTTGCAGCGCAAGGAGCGCAACCGAGCGCGCGTCGATGCGCTGCACAGCCTCGAGGGCATGGGCAAGCAGCGCAATGCGGACCCGAGTGCCGACGCCGAGACGATTAGCAGTACGGCCCAGAGCGACGACGAAGCGGCATGGGACTCGGAGTCGTCGGCGCTCGCTTTCAACACTGAGCTGCTGCTCAAGGTGCAGAGCGCGCTTCCGACGCTCGTGCCAGGCACGTCCGATGCTCAGAGCGTCGCGGCAGTGTCTGAGAATCTCTCAGCGCCGAAGGGAGTGACCGTCGACCCTTTTGTCACGCCCAAGCCGCCGCGCAAGCTCGTCGTGCCGCCCGAGGACGCCAAGCTCGAGCACGAGCAGCGCGGCCTGCGCGATCTGGAGGACGCCGAGCGTGCTCGAGACTACGCTCGCAGTCTGCATGTGGACCAGCCGACGCCGGGTCGCTTCGCTGCCGACGCTGGAGTGGCGCCTTGAGACGTACCAATGTTATTACAGAGTGCGAGAGTGTGCGAGAGTGAGGCTACTGCGTGCACGGCGGCAGCCCGCTAGCATCGCTCGAAGACGCGGTCTGCCCAGGAAGTTCAGCAAAGAGCGTCGCGACGAATGCCTCGCCACTCACATAGGTCAGGAAGCGATGCGACTTGTACGACGTCGCGCTCGAGCAGCTGAGAAGCACATGAGCGACGCACGAAGACGCGCAGCCCTTCGCTGCACTCACCTGCTTCGGCGCCACCCAGGGCACACGGCGCATGGCGCTGAACCAGACGTGCTGGACATTGAAGTGCTCCTCGGCCCGCGCTTCCTGCTCGATGCCGTCAAGCGAGTCGCGCGCCTCGTTGCCGGCCGAAGGCGGAACGTGAGCAAAGGCGATCTCCCTCGCGATGCTGCGGAAGCACTCCTTCTCGTCTGTCCAGTCCACTTGCGGGCCGAGGCGCAAGAGTAGCGTCGGCAGTCGGTCGAGCGCCAAGGGTGCACGCGAGGAGAGCACAGACGGGATGGTGTGCAGCGTGCCCGAGTCTGCATCGATACGCAGAGAGAAGTACTCGTCGAGCATCTCGGCGCGCGCGATCAGCAGCAGCGCGATGCGCTGGTGTATGAGCGTCAGCGCGGTTCACGCCGGAGCATGCAGGAGCCTCACCTCAACGATGTCGTCAACGCTCATGCCCGCCTCGTCAGCATCGGGCTCGGCCTCGACGCCTATCCGAATGAGGTCTCGGATGCTTGGTGGCGGCTCGAGACGGAAGCGACCTAAGCTGCCGAACTGGCGAAGCACGAGCTGGTATGCGAACTCCTCGCTATGCACGAGTCAGCCTTGTGAGCGTCGTACGGCGTGGCATCAGAGGCGCACTGACATGATGGCAGCGTGGTTGACGAGGTACAGCTTCGTCTCGTGCTGCACGAGCGACAGACCCATGTCGAGATCCACAACGCCGACGAAGGCGTGCCCTCGGAGCACCTCGCTCAGCCCTGCGACGAGGTGCATCAGCAAAGCGCCAAGGCTGCGGGCATCTGGTGACGCACCATTGTGGCGCGACTTGACCGCTTCTCGGCGCAGCTCGCGCACGCTCGTCAACAGGCATTCGCTTTCAGGCACTTTTGCAGCGCCATTGCTCTTCGAGCCCTCGGCACGCGGCTGGTCGTCGCTTCCTGCCTCCTCTAGCACTTCTGTGTTGTCCTCTCGCCGCGTTGCAGTGAAGCCCATCGCCTGCAGCGTACGGGAAGAGGCGTCGGTGCGGACCTGGTGCTGAGGATAGCCCTTCTGCGTCGACATCGGCCCTGTTTGCGCTAAGCACGAATGGTCAGTATCGATCGGCTGTGGTGGGACGAGCCGGCTCACTCTCACGAGCCTTGCCTTTTGCGGTCTCGGGCGGCGGCGCTCCCGGCAACGTGGCTTGCTGTTCAGACGAAGCGTCAGCGGCTTCCTTTCGCTTGCTTGGGGCTTCACCCACGCTGAACTCGAAGGTGCGGCTGGAGTTGGAGCCCGAGAGCACGTCCTGTGCGTGTGCGCAGACCTCCTCGATGACGTCCTCCTCGTCCAGGAAGTGCACCTGCGAGCCGCATTAGCTTCAACACTCTACTCTGGTCCGCAATGAAGCCTGGCTCACCTCGCTCTTTGTCGGGTGCACATTGACGTCGACCTTCTCTGGCGCGATCTTGAGAGCGATGTACAGCCACGGGTGGCCACCGCGCGGCAGGAAAGCCGAGTAGAGCGCCTCGAATGACTTCTTGAGACCCGGGCAGTCCACCAGACGATCTGCAGGGAGAGTCAGCAGACAGCAGTAGTGTCGCGCAGTGTCAGCTCACCGTTGATGAAGCACAGGAACGTCGTCTTCTTGGCGCTCCAATTGGCTCCGCTGATGTAGCCCTCGACGGAGAAGCCGAGGCGCTCATTGCGCAGCGGCGTGAGGTGCAGCAGCTCGCGCGAGACCGCACTGCCGTGCAGAGCACGGATGGCGTCGATCGTCTTGGTCGAAGGAGAGGCGGGCGTGCTGAGATCGGCGACATTCGAAGAGGCCTGGCGATGCAGGCAGAAGTCAGCACCCAAAGACCTTCGCCCTGAGCTCGCATCGCGCACCTTGCGACAGACGAACCCAACGCCTCGTCCGCCGTAGTGCAGCGCATACTTGGCCGCCACGTCGAGGGCGCGGTTGTACTCCTCCGTGGCGCTCTTGAGGGCGCGCAGGCGCTGCGGCACGTTGAAGAAGAGATCCTCGGCCGTGATGAGCGTGCCGTCTGTGCCTGCGCATGGCCGCGGCGCAGAGGACTGGCCGGGCTTGGGCGGCACGAGTGCGCCGCATGCATACGACGCCCTGCAGGGAGTCAGCAAGCAAGCCTGGGGGAGACACGCAGCACGGCTCACTGGTAGGCACACGCAGCGTCCTTCGTCTTGCTGACGACGCGCATTGAGGCGCTCACGTAGCTGATGCTGGCCAGTGCCTCGCCGCGAAAGCCAAAGGTGGACATGCGCGAGAGATCATCGAAGTTGCGCAGCTTGGACGTGGCGAAGCGCTCCGCCAGCAGCGGCAGGTCGGACTCCTGCCGGGAGCGGCGTCAGCGCGCAGTCAGAACTGGCGAGGATGCGACGTACTCTGACGCCGCAGCCATTGTCCTGGATCTGCAGCGACTTGAGGCCGCCTTCCTTGAGCGTGATCTTGATGAGCGTGGCGCCGGCGTCGAGACTGTTCTCGATGAGCTCCTTGAGCGCGTTGGCCGGCCGATGGATGATCTGAAGGTCGTGTGAGCCCAGTGCGGCACAGTCCGGGCTGCACGCTGCCACGCACCTCGCCGGCAGCGATGCGGTTGACAACCGCCTCGTCGAGACGCTGGCCAAGAGGGAGCAAAGTGAGTTTAGCCGTGCGCATCGCGGCCCGAGCGCGTGTATGCGCACCTGGATGGGCTGGCGCACGAGGTGCTGCACCCGCTCCTCAAGCTGAGCATCGAGCGGCTCCTCGGGCTGCTGCGCCTGCGTCGGCGAGGCCGAGCGCCGCTCGCCGACGACCGAGGAGCTCGCCATGGCGCGCGCTGTCCGCCGCCGCGGTGCGTGAAGCTTCTGCGGCCGCTTACGCGCTGGCGTGCAAGGAGAGCTGCGGCAGCTGCAGCATGTGGCCCAGCCGTTGCGAGAAGAAGGCGAAACGAGCGCTGCTGCCGCACGTGCACAAGAACCGGCCCCTGGTGCGGCTTAAGGCGTGGCGCTGCTGAGACTGATGGAGAGGGAAGGGAGGCCGCGTGCACCCTGAGCAGCAGGCGCACGCTCCTCTCATGCACGGCGCGGAGCGCTCCCTCTCGCGCGCGTCCACGCGTCGTGCCGGTGCCGCAGAGGAGCCCTGCGCTGCACATCCGGCGTGAGCGAAGACGGATGTGAAGATGCTTTGAATGAGCAGTCAGTGACTCGGATCAGCCTCACCGACCAATACTTGCCACGCTGGCCGCAGCAGGCCGCAGGAGCGTCAGGAGCACGCAAGGCGCACAGCCAAGCCCTCGCTCGGCGCGGCGGAGCTGCAGGCGCGCCACGAGGGCGCCGGGGGCGGGCAGGCGGGCAGGCGGGCGGTGTGCGCGTCGCTGGCGGCGGCTGGCTGTCGCCCGCACGCCGCACGGCGCACCGCACGGTGCTGGCAGCGCAGCCGAGGCGCCGGCGCCGGCAGCGCACAGCCGTCGAGGTGCAGCAGGCGCCATGTCCCATCTCCAGCACCCCTCTCCACCACGCCGCATCGTCCATCCCAGCTCGTCCTGCTCTGCCCGTGCCTCGCCGTGCCCCGCCGTGCCCATCGCGCCCGCCGCACCGCCGCCTGACCCCGCCTCGTGCGCTGAGCGCGCGCGTCCGTCGCGCTGCCCGCCATGGCGCGCCCCCACTCCTCCTACGGCGCGCCGCTCGACGACTACTCGCCGCGCCAGGGCCAGCAGCACATCATCAACATGGGCGGCATCGACGGCGGCGGCCACCACGCGGGTGCGGGCGGCGGCTCGGCGGCGGGTGCGTACCGCGCCGCGCAGCGCTCGCCGCTCATGGCCTCGTCGCCCTACTCGCCCGCCGGCGCGTTTGACAAGCAGCCGGGCGCACCAGGCTCGTCGTCCGCATACGCCTCGCCGCGGCAGGCACAGCACGGCGGCAGCCTGGCGCCGCAGCAGCCGCCGGCGGGCCAGAGCTCGCTGAGCCGCAGCCAGTCGCTGGGGCACCACGTGTACCAGCAGCACCAGCAGGCGCAGCAGCAGCAGCACGCTCAGCAGCAGCAGTATGCCCAGCACGGCTCCAGTCCGGCGCGGTCGCACCAGGCCGGCGCGCGCGGCTCGTACCACCGCTCGCGCGAGTCGGCGCAGCCGTCGTACTCGGACGGCTCCGGCGGCTCGTACGGCACGCCGCAGGCCGGCAGCGGCTCGTCGCGCTCCAGCCTGGTGGGCAGCGGCAGCCTGCTGCCGACCATCAACACGCAGATCCCCTCGGGCAACTTTGCCTCGAGCCCGTACAGCCCCAGCGGGCGCAACTCGATGTTCGCCGAGTCCTCCACCTCGACGTACAGCGCGCAGCCGCCGATGTCGCGCTCGCCGGGCCACGGCAAGAGCGGTGGGAGCCCGTACGCCTCGACACAGGCGGCGTTCAGCTCGAGCAGCCAGTTCCATTCGCCGCAGCAGCCCGGCTCGCAGCACCGGCCGTTGAGCATGCTCGAGAGCGGCACGTACTCCAACTTCCGTGACCGCTCCGGCACGAGTCCGGCGCAGCACGAGAGCGCACGCCTGGCGCATCGCACCTCGAACACGGCGCTGCGCGCCTCGGCGTACGAAGGCGGGCTGCCAACGTACCATGCGCCGGCGCAGTCGGGTGACTCTCTGCCGTATGCGTACAGCACCTCGGCGCTGGCCAGTGCCGCTGCGGGCTTGGGGCAGACGGGCCACGCGCCGCCCTCGCTTGGCGCTGGCGGGCCACCGCCGCGAGGCAGTGCCTTGTATGCGAGCGAGAAGGACCGGAGAGGCAGCATGCCTGCCACCACGTCCAGCGGATACGATCGCGAATGGCAGCAACAGCAACAGCAGGGGCCCTCGAAGGTGCCGCAGCGGCCTGTGCCGCAGGTGGGCTTCAGGCGCGTGCGCGACACGAACGACCTGAGGCCAAACGCGCAGGCTGCGGCACAGGGCTTTGGGCGGAGAGCAGACCCGGCAGGCGGGCATGTCAGCGTGAGTACCTCGGACGAAGGCTGAAGTGCTGCGCTGGCCGAGTGCGCGGATGCTGTGCTAGGCGGACGGGCATCACCATGCTTGTGTTGTCAGAGTCCGTGGGTGGTCTGGAGCGCAGAGCGCGTGCGCTGACCACGCTCTCCTCACAGCCGCTCAAGGCGATGACGACGTATCTGCACCACACGTACCACCTTGTCAACCCGGCGTTCTTCTACGAGCTCTCGTTCAACCCGCGGCGCGTGCTGACGAAGCCGAGCAAGCCGATGCACAACGACGGGCACGACAATGAGGACTCCGACTACATCCTCTACGTCAACGATTGGTTGGGCGCAGAGGAGGGGAACCGGTGCGTCTGCCGGGGTGCGCAGGGCTCGTGGCATTGACTGACGTTGCGCGACAGGTATCTCATTCTTGACGTGCTGGGCCAGGGCACGTTCGGACAGGTGGTCAAGTGCCAGAACATGAAGACGCACGAGATTGTCGCCGTCAAGGTGATCAAGAACAAGCCGGCCTACTTCCACCAGAGCATGATGGAGGTGACGATCCTCGAGATGCTCAACGGCAGCTGGGACCCCAACGACGAGCACCACATTCTGCGCCTGCGCGACACATTCATCCACGCGAAGCACCTCTGCCTCGTCTTCGAGCTGCTCTCGTCGAACCTGTACGAGCTGATCAAGCAGAACTCCTTCCGCGGCCTCAGCACCAGTCTCGTGCGCGTCTTTACCGCGCAGCTGCTCGACGCGCTGACGGTGCTGCACGAGGCGCGCCTGATCCACTGCGATCTCAAGCCGGAAAACATCCTGCTGAAGACGTGCGTGCGCCGGCTGAGCTCCTGGCGTCCCTCGAGCTGATCTCCGCCTCCACAGTCTGCAAACGCCGTCCATCAAGCTCGTCGACTTCGGCTCGGCGTGCCACGAGCGGCAGACGGTGTACACGTACATCCAGTCGCGCTTCTACCGCTCGCCGGAGGTGCTGCTTGGCCTGCCGTACTCGGCGTCCATCGACATGTGGTCGCTCGGCTGCATTGCGGTTGAGCTGTTCCTTGGCCTGCCGCTCTTCCCGGGCACGTCCGAGTACAACCAGATCTGCCGGATCGTCGAGATGCTAGGGTGAGCAGCGCTCCATGGCCTTCTTTTCCGCCAGCGCTAACCCATCTGCCTTGCAGTCTGCCGCCGGCGTTCATGCTCGACCAGGGCAAGCAGACGGGCGAGTTCTTCTCGGTGCACAGCGACGAGTACGGGCGCAAGACGTACCGCCTCAAGTCGCTCGATCAGTACTCCAAGGAGCACAACACGCAGGAGCAGCCGTCGAAGAAGTACTTCCAGGCCACCACGCTGCCCGAGATCATCAAGACCTACCCGATGCCGCGCAAGAGTGGCCGGCCAGCGGACGTGCCAAAAGGTGCGCTGCCCGTTCCGCACTTTATTTGTCCTCCGCGCTGACGCTCCCTTCGCAGAAATGGCGTCGCGCACCTGCTTTATCGACTTTGTCACTGGCCTGCTCAACATGGACCCCGCGCAGCGGTGGACGCCGCAGCAGGCGCGCAAGCACCCCTTCATCACCAACGAGAAGTTTGTCGAGCCGTACAAGCCGCCGCCGAACCCATCGAGTCCGACGACTGCGGCGCGCACCAGCAAGGCTGCGAACGCGACTGTCGAGGCTGCCAAGCACCCGTACGGCGGCCTGCCGCAGACTCCGTCACGGCAATCGGGACGCGCCTATCCAGACGCTGCGGCCTACAACCAACATTTGGCACAGCAGCAGGCGTACAACTCGGCGCATCAGGCACGGCAATCGCAGCCTCCGCCGGTCAACAACCCGTACGCGCAGGACGCTCAGGCGCAGGCTCAGGCGCAAGCAAAGGCGCAAGCAAAGGCCCACGCACAGGCGCAGCAGCAGCATCAGCAGCAGCATGCGCACGCTCAGGCGCAGGCACAGGCGCAGGCAGCTGCTGCTCACCACGCTGCCGTGTCTCCGCAGGGCTACGCGGCGCCCCCTGCGAATGCCACAGGCGTGCAGACGCGCAGCCGCTCGAACACGATGACGCGCATGGACACGGTGCCGCCGCAGCTGGCCAAGCTCGGTCTCGACTCGACACCGCACTCTGGCGCCAACCTGCACTCGGCCACGCCGGTGCTCACGCGGGAAGAGTCACTGCGCGAGTGGGAGCGGCGGCAGCAGCAGAACGGCGGCGCTGCGCCGATGCCACAACAGCTGGCCGCCGGTGGTGGCGCGACGGGCAGCGGCAAGGCACGTACGTCTTCCAACTACGGGCATCTCGACCTGTTGCAGCACGGCACCGGCGCGACCGGCTGGTCGCAGCAATGGAGCGGCGCGGGCTCGTCGGCGCAGCGGCATAGCTCGCAAGGCCAGCCGAGCGCCTACACGTCGCCATCGGGCAGTGCGATCCACTCGCCACCCGGCGGGCAGCCGCCAGGAGCATTCTCGGTCATCGTCGACGGGCAAGACCGGCGAATGGTCAATCCGCACGACGCGATGAGCGCCAGCTCGGCCATGGCCAACATGCCGTCGCACGGCGCGGGCGGCATGTCGGGCATCACGCAGCCGCCGCAGGCGGCCTACTCGAGTGCCTCGAGCGGGCCGTCGCAGGCCTCGCGCTACCAGCCGCCGGCGAGCAGCACATACGGCGCGGCGGGCATGTCGTTCGACCCGTACGACACGGGCATCGCGCAGCTCATGCCTGCGCTCAAGCCGACGCAGTACCAGGGCAGCCAGGCGGGCGCAGCGACGCAGCGGCACTCCGTCGCCGTCACGCCGGGCGGCGGCTCGTCGTACGCAGGGCTGCAGTCGGTCCACACGGCGGCCAGTCCGAGCGGCATGCGCGGCGACGACGGCTTTGGCATGCAGGGCTTCGACGGCCGGCGGTACTCGCAGCAGCAGCACCCGCAGATGCAGCAGCAGCACCCGCCGGCCGCGTCGCCGCAGGGCCACCAGCGCTTCTGAGGCCCGGCGTGGCCCGCTGCTGCTGGACTGCTCTTAGATCCGCTCTCTGTGTCGTCGCCGCCAATCTCACACCATCTGCGTGCTCACCCGGGCCTGTACACGTCGCCATGCTCCCTCTCTTCGGCGCGGCGGACGCCTGCAAAGCGATGTCATACCCCACGATGGAATTGCGTGGCCGTGCCCCGTCCTTTTGTGAAGAGCCTTTGCGTGAGAGGAGAGAGAGCACAGTGAAAGAGGCAAGATTACGAGGAGCAGTGTGTGGCGAAGGATCGGACAGTGCAGCGGAACGAGCAGCAGGGTTGGTAGGGGGGCGGAGCGTAAAGTCGTCTACTCTTCTTCTGACTCGTCAGAGCCCTCGGACGCCTCGAGATCGAGCAGCCCGCCGCCCTTGCCCGTGTCCGAGTCCTCATCCTCGTCCTCCTCCTCGTCCTGCAGGGAGATTCGTGAGCAATCGGGCGCTTGGCCGGGCAGACGGCCGACTCACCACCTCGTCCGAGTCGTCGTCCAGCTCGCTCTCGTCCTCGCCGTCCTCCAGCACGTCCGGATCGTCGCTCTCCTCGTCCGCGCTGCCCTCGGCCGAGCCAGCGTCGATCATCTCAACATCCGAGCCCGCCGCGCTGTCGTCGTCGGCCTCCTCGTCGCTCTCGCCCGACGTGACGCCCATGGACGTGCTGGCGCCCAGCGCGACGTCCTCGACCGAAGCGTCGTCGTCATCGTCGCTCGCCTGGCCGAGCACGTCCACCTCGTCTGCGTCCTCATCCAGGTCCTCGTCCGACGCGCCCTCGGCGGCCTCGCCGTCGCTCTCCTCGTCGCTGCTGCCCTCGACCCACCGGCCGGCCTCGCGCACGGGCTTCGGCGCCGCAGCGGTGCGCTGCTTCGTCTTGAGGCCCTGCACAGGTGCGCGTGCGGCCGCATCGGCAGCGTACGCAGTGCGCAGCTCGATCTGCGCAAGCACGAGCTCGAGGCGACCGGAGAGCGCAAGCAAGCGGTCGTGGGCCGCCAGCCGGCTCGACAGGACGGTGTGCAGCGAGGCGAGGCGCGTCACGAGGTTCGGGAGCTGCAAATGACAGGCCCGTCAGCCGAGGCTCCAAGAGAAGAGCAGTCATGGCCAGTCTACTTACAGACATGAGATACGCGGTGTGCGCAGCCAGCGTGGCACGCACCCACTCCACCAGGCCTCGCGCACGCTGGCTGCCCAGTGCACCTCGCGAGCGCTGCCCCTGGCCCATGCGCACGACTGCGGCCTCGAGCAGGCGCACAGCCAGCGGGCCAGAGATGCGCCGCACACTCTCGCGGATCAGCTGCGGGTCGTTGTGCACCAGCACCGAGGAGAGCAGTGCCGTGTCGTCCGAGTGCAGGGCCTGCGTGAGGGTCTGCGCGAGACTGATGCCGCCGCCGAGAGGCGCACGCGGAACATCCTCCTCGTCCTCATCGTCGGACTCGGAAGCATTACCGTTGGCGAGCGCCGCACTGCCGTTTGCGGCGCCGTTGCGCCCTTGCTTCTGGCGGACGTCAAGACCCTTGAGACGAGCAGCGAGTGTCGGCTCCGCAGCGGAGGCGTCCATGTCTGCATCGAGGTCTGCCTGCGCATCGGCACCGGCCGCGGCGTCGGGCTGCGGAAGCAGGCCCGAGTCGTCGGCCAGCACAGACGAGCTGGCAGCACCGCTAGCGCGCGCAGCAGCGCCACTCGGCTCGGCATAGCGCTGCGTCGCGGCGATGCCGCCAGCCAGGGCAGCGTCGCCATCCGAGAGCAGCCCACCGGCGGAGCCAGCGCGCACGAGCTCGATCACTGGCGGAAGCGCAGACGAATCATCGAGCAATTGCTGCGAGCGGCGCGTGTCAGCATTCGCCAAGCGGTGCAGGACGGAGGCCACTCACTGTCCGCTCGAGCACGAGCTTCGCACCCTTGACGAGCGCGGCGACATACAGCTGGTTGCCCACCTGTGCCGCGTCCAGCAGCGGCGTGGCCTCGGCCTTCTTGCTCGCCTTGAGCGTGACGGACGAGACGCGCTCGAGCGCCGGCGTGCGCTTGGCGCTGCCGTCGAGCGCAGCAGGCACGGCGTAGATGCCGGCGTCGCCAGACGTGGTGATGGCCAGCACGAGGGCACGCTCGGCAGTGCTGAGCGCAATGATCTGGCGTGCCGGCGCCGTCATGGGCAGCGTGGCCAACGGCCGTGCGGCCTGGCCCCACAGCGTCAGCACACGGTCGTTGGACGCAGCACTGACGAAGGAGGCAGCGGGTGCCGGAGCAGCGAGCGCAGTGAGGTGCGTGATGGGCGACGCATGGCCTGTCCAGCTCCGCTTCGCGCCGCCGAGCTCGTCGATGGCATGCGACGCCGCCAGCAGCTCGCTCGTCTCGCCGAGCGCCGAGACCTGCGGCGCCGGCGTCCGCTCCGGCGGCGCGTCCGGCGAGGTGAGCGACCACTTGCGCACGACCGAGTCGGCGCATGCGGCGTGCAGGCTCTGCCCGTCGTGCGAGAAGTGCAGTGCACGCACGCCGCGCGGGCCGGCAGCGGGCGCCTTGTCGCTCAGCGAGCGCAGCACGCGGCCGTGCGTGGGCGAGAAGAGCGCCACGGTGCCGTCGGCGAGGCCGAGCGCGACGACGGGCGTCGCCGCCGAGCTCGACGAGGCGACGGCGGCGGCATTGGCGGCGGCGGTGCCTTTCTTGCGCTTCTTGGGCGCCTCGGGCGACGCGGCCGATGACGAGGCGTGCGGCAGCGCGCCCCACGCCAGCGCCTCGGCGCGCGCCGCCGGCAGCACGTAGTCGGCGGTGAGGCGCGCGTCGGGCGAGGCGTAGATGCGCAGGCGATGCCGGTCCAGCGCCTGCGTCAGCAGCGCAAAGAGGTCGGCGCGCGGCGAGAAGGCCGAGAGCGTGGCGGGCGCAGCGTCGGGCGCGGCCTGCGTCGCACTGGCAGACGAGGCGGGGCGCGACTTTGGCGGCGCCGAGGCGCCTTTTGACTTGGCCATGCTGGGTGCAGGGGCAGGTGCGCGGAGGGTGCGGAGGGTGATGGGAGCGGTGAGAAGGAGCGGCGCCTCGCACCTCTCAGCTCTCCTGCCGCCGTGACTTTTCTGGGTCACGTGCGGCGCCGTCCTTCCAACGAGCGTGGGAGCAGATGCGTGGGAGCTGTTGGTCTGGCGGGAAGCGCGTAAAGAGGCGCGTCTCGAGCTCGCTGTGCCTGGCATGGACAGCGCCCGAGGGTCTGCTCCCACCACCACCACCACCTCGTCCTCCTGCGCCGCCTGCCACCTCTCGCGGGGCCGCTGCCCGCTCCACACTTCGCCAGCGCGTGTGAACGGTGCGGCATGCGCGCAGCACGAGCGCTGCCCTCCTCACTCGTCACACGGCCGCGGCCTCCACCGTAGCCGCGCGGTCAGCCAGCGACCCCAGCCACCGGCGCCATGCCCGCCCCGGCCGGCGACACCGACGAGGAGGAGTTCGAGTGGGACGCCGAGCAGGAGGAGACGATGGCCGCCTACGAGGCCGAGATCGCCACGCAGCACGCCCGCGGCGGCTCGGCCGTGCCGCAGCAGCACGGCAACGCCGCGCCGCGCCCGCAGCCGCGCCAGCAGCAGCGTGTGCTGGAGCAGGCCGAGGCCGAGGAGCAGCGCAGACGCTCGGGTGCGGTCCAGAATGGCACATCGCGCACGGCGTCGCGCCCGGCCGCCTCGCTGTTGCCATCCTCGCACGCCGGGTCGGCAGTCACGTTCGACGCCTTCTCGCCGGGCCACCCTTGGGATCATCCGCCTGGCACCGCGGCGGAGCGCTCCCTCTACCTTCGCCAGGATCTGCTGTCCGACGACATGATTCCACAGCCGCAGCCGCCAGCAAAGAAGCCGCGGCTCGGCATGGGCCGCGCGCTGCCGCAGCCACCACAGCGCGCCAACGCACTTGCGCCTTCGCAGCGCCCGCCTGCGCCGGGCCCCGACGAGGTCGTGATCTCGCGCAACGGTAGACTGGCCGCTGCGCCGGACGAGGAGTTTGACGATGAGGCCCTATGGCAGGATGAGGAGTCGCTGCGGCTGGTCGAGGAAGAGGCCGTGCAGCAGTCGCAGCGCAGCTCGCAGCCCACCAGGCCTGTCGCTGTCGCGCGTGCCGCCCAGCCGCTCGGCGCTCGAGGCCCACCTGTGCGCTCGACTTCCAGCCCCGCCGGCCGAGTCGCTGCCGGGCACGCTGGCCCCGCTGCGGCGAATCTGAATGGCCGAGCTTCGCTAGTCGCTGGTCCTTCGATCCTTGAGGAGGGCCGGCAAGTCCGAGCGCCCGCACCAGCTCCCAATGCGAACGCGGCGAAGCTCGTGGAACAGGTGAGCGAGCGTGGCGCTCGGGCATTGACGTCGTGCTGACTGTCCCTTTGCAGCTGCGCGCCCAGCTGAAAGAGAAGGACGCCTCTATCCGCACGCTCACTGAGGCGAAGCGGCAGCAAGAGGGCGAAGTCACGATCGTGCGCAAGAACAGCGAGACGGCCAAGCTGAAGCTCGAGCAGCTGCAGCAGCAGCTGCAGGAGGCAGAGCTGGCTCACAAGACGGAGAAGGAGCGCCTCATTCGCGAGCACGACGAGGAGCGGAGGAGCGCCGAGAGTGTGGCGGCGTTCAACGTGAGTTGCTGGGCGTGACGAAAGCTGACGACTCCGGCTGACGCCTTTGTCGACAGCACATGTCGCACACCACCTCTCGCCGCATGATCGCCGGCGGCAGCGTCCCGCGCCGTCCGGCTGCCTCCTTGGTGCGCGACCCCAGTGGGCCGAGCAGCAGTGCGGCGCAGCGTGCGGGCTTGACGACGCCGACGCGGCGTGGGCGCAATGGCCAGCGGGAGAGCCGTGCGCTGGGACACGAGGCGGGAGACGAGGAACGCAGTCCGAGTCAGCGCTCTGCGGCGGCCAAGAGGACCAAGCTGCAGACGCCGCAGGGTCAGTGCCGCTGCCGCAGCGCCGTCGTCTTGAGGCTCATCCCCGCTGCAGTGCCGTTCCCGAACCTGCGCAACTCGTTTGCCCAGCCCGGCCGAGTGGCACGCAACGGCGTCCTCAACTCCGCCGCGAAGGGCAAGGCTGCAGTGCGGGATGGCGATGGCTCGCCCGACGTCGAGATGGCAGATGCCGCCCCGGACGTCAATGGAGATCGCCAGCCCGTCACTGCGGAACTGCAGTCGCTGCCGTGGCACGATGTGCGCGCTCGCTATCCGCTCATGCAGGCGATCTATGCGCGGCGACGAGCGGCGCTGATGGGCCACGTCCTGGCGCACTCTTCTTGCGCCACCTCTTCTGCACATCGGCAAGCAGGGCCGGCGCCGCGCACCGTGCAGAAGCTGCTTGTGGCTGCGCTGCCGGCGTGGCTGCCAAGCGACACGCATGCGCTGTACGCCTCCGCCACGGCGAATCTGCTCGGCATCCTCAGCAGTGTGGGCGACGGGCCGCAACGCTTCGCCTTCCTCGCGCACAACGCTGCCCATGTGCCCTCGGGCTCGGAGACGGACGATGCGGCGGACTTTTGGGATGCACACAAGCTGTGTGAAGACGGGCTGGCGGGTCTGCTCGACAGCATTGCGGCCGTGCTGCGAGCCATGCTGCAGTGTCTGATGCTCGCGCGGCATGTGAGTCGCTTGGCTTTCTGTCGCTGCTGTTGGCTGACGCATGCCGGTGCAGTCCGAGGCAATACAAGACGTGCTGTCTCTGGCCATGAGTCTCGGATACTCACACCGCACTTTCGTCTACTCTCTCCTCGCGCCAGATCGACAAGCAGCCACCGACGCAACGCAAGCACCACGCACACCTGGCTTGTCATCGGCACAGCCCTTCGCATCTGCGCTCGTCGCACTCGTGCGGCTGCCTGTCGTGCCCGAAACAAGAACCGGCACCATGCCGGCCGAGGCAAAGAGTGACGCGCAGGCGACGCAGAGCAACGCACTGCCGCCGCCGTGGGAGCTGCGTGAAGAAGAGCAGAACGAGCTGCTGGCGTCGGTCATTGGCGTGCTGGAGATTCTCGCGTGGGGGCTGCTCGAGCAGGACTTTGGCCGGTGAGCATAACCCTGGCGTCCGCACACGTAGCACTCCACGCTGACATCACCTTGCGGTGCAGCATCAGAGTCGTATTCGACGCGCCCGGCTTTCTCTCTGGCTTGCTCGACTCTAAGCGTCCAACAGCTCTGCTGTGCCGCACGATGCGCATTCTGACGCATATGGGCCAGTGTGAGTTGGAGCTGGCCACGTCGCTGTGGCAACTAGCGCTGACCATCACAATCTGCAGACGCCAACGCTTGGAGCACGCTCGTTGCCTGTCCGCTCGAGAAGGCGCGCAAACGAGTTCTGCCGCATCGCGTTGCCCAGTCGCAGACGCCGCTCTTCGAGGTGCTGGCCGCACATCTCGTCGATGATCGACGTGCAGACAGGCCAGTGGAAGTGAGCTTCCAGTGCGGGTCTCGTGCACGGCCACCGCTGACTTGCGCCTTCGTTTCAAGGCGCACGCACTGCATTTCGAGATCGTCGTCTTTCTATCTCAGCTCGTCATTCACCATGCCGAAGCCGCAGTGCTCGTCGCCGAGAGCGCCTCGCTGCTTGCTGCATTCGTGCGCTGCCTCGACTGCGACACTGCGGCTGTGTGGCATGACGACGGACTGAGCATCGATGGCGACACCGTCAAACTCGAGGAGTGAGTGACGCGACGCGCGTAGGTCTTCCCATCGCGCTGATGCACGCCACGCAGCATCGTCACTCGGATATGTATGGACGTGCGGTTACTGGCACAGCTGTACACGTTTCCCGACCGGCCACCCAACCTGGCGCGACGGCTGTGCAGCGAGGAGTGCCATGCGATCTACAACGGCGGACGGCACGCCTACGTGCTGGCGCTCAGCCGCATCGCCTTCGCCGACGAGCCGTCGTGGGTGGACGACGCGGAGCGGAGACGCATGCAGGTCGTCACCGGTAAGTCGAGCCGGGCAGCAGACGTCTGGCGCTTGCTGACGTCCGACCTGCAGACTTGGCCGTTGAGCTCGTGGAGCTCATGCTCAATCCCGAAGAGCTCGAGGCGGCGTGGGAGCTGTGCGCCGAGGGCGCCAGCGACGACCGCGGCGATGATGCCTCGTCTGGGTCTCTGACGCAGGCGTCGAATCCTGCCGGCGCTCCTACGCCGGTCGCCAATCGGGCGGCCGCCGCGTCGCAGACCCAGCCCGAGATGATCGTGATTGACGACGACGATGACGACGAGATGGACGACGCGGACGCCGAGGAGGCCATGCGCGGCCACTGACCTGTCCTGTGCGCCTTGCTCTGCTAATTGCCACCATCCTCTTACGCTGCGTCGAGCGTGAGCAGCCAGATGCCCCAGCCCTCGTAGTCGGCGTCGTCGTGCGTCGAGGGGGCGCGGCCTGCGATCAGCCTGGCGCTGAGCCTGTGCGCCGCCAGCGTGTCCCACAGTGCTTCCTCGTCGATGTGGCGGTGCTTCTTCGCCAGCAGGGCAAGTGGCCCAGGGCCGTCCTGCGCTGCCGATGACGAGCTCGAGAGGAGACGCGCAATCGTGCGAGCAAGTGCGGTGAAGGAGGAGGGGTTGTACGTGCAGTCCGAAGCGAGCACGATGTCTGCTGCGGCTCCGTCTGTGCGCCTTAGCTCCGCAGGCAGCTTTTCCGCGTCCCAGTCGAGGAGCAGCGAGCGAACAAGCACGCTGCGATCGTCACGCGCTGCTAGACTTGCCGAGTTGAGACCGATGTTGGTGTCGATGAGCGACAACGCGGGCTCTGCGAGCTGTGCGGTCAGCGCCAGCGGACTGCATGCCGAGACACAGACTGACCGAGGTCGGTGGCCCAGCATTCAAGCGTCGTGCGAGACGGCGCATCGTCTTCTGACGAGGCGGGCGAGCTTGCTGTCCTCTTGTTCCACAGCGCAGCGAGCATGATGGAGAGCATGGCTGTGCCAGCACCGAGCTCTACGACGCGAAGGCTCGGGGCGGTGCAGAGTGATTGCAGATGATTGCGAGCTGTCCGCTCCATCTCAAGGTCCTTAGCCTCGACCTCGGCTGCCCCGGCTGGCAGCACCTCCACAAGCAGCCGACTGAGGTGCATGGCGGCGTCCCAGACGTGCTGCGACAGCGTCAGCACAACCTGTGAGCGCAGACTCAGCCGCACGCACCTTGTCGAGTGCGAAGCCAGTCTGCTCGCGGATCTCCAGCACACGATATCTCTCTTGGCGCCCGAGCGTGAAGAGTCGAGAGGTCGAGTCCACCTTGTCGTTTCCTGCAGCACCTCGGCCCACGCGGATCGGGCCCGTCACGACAGGGATAGGCAGCGCATCGAGAGCATCGTCTGCGTGCCGCCGACTATCGAATGCCGTGCACAGATGCACGCCCAGGTCGGCCTCGCCATTCTTGCGACGCTTGTGCGTCGCCGGCCGGTGCTCGGCCCACATGGCGAGGCGCAGCTCTGCGTCGTGCCGCAGGGCGGGCGCCGTGAGCGTCGTGACGCGGTAGGCATCCTGCGGCCCACTCCATGTGACCGAGACTGGCTCCTGCTTCGGCACGGCGCGCAGCTGGCCCTGCTGCAGCACGACCCACTGCAGCCGCAGCAGCAGCGGCTCGGCGGGCGTGTGCACCAGGTCGCGCAGGTCCGAGCAGATGAGCGGCGACACACCCACAGCCTCGCCCGGCGCGACGCGCGACGGCGGCGGTCGCTGGAAGGAGAGGTACGTGTAGGCCGCCTGCGAGCCGCTCATTCTCCTTGCTTGACGCTGCCTGCTTGTGTGTGGTGGTGTGGAGCAGGATCGAGGAGGCACAACTTCGAGGCGAGGCCACCAAAAGTCGCGTTACCCGACTTCCGAGACGCGCCGCACTTCTCCACCGCCTCTCCGCCCTTGCTGCCTCTTGCCGCAGCTCCACCACCTCCTCGAGTCCCGCCTCACGCTCGGCGCCCGTCTCGCAGCCTCTCTCCGGCGCGCGCCTACCGCATCGAGCACTCGTCGCACCCACAGCAGCCGGCGCCATGTCTCGCGGCGGCCGCGGCGGCGGGCGTGGCGGGCGCGGCGGCAAGGCAAACCAGAACCTGCCGAGCATGGGCGCCATCACCTTTGGCGACCTGGGTGCGATGAGCAAGGAGCAGAACGCGCTGTATCCGGTGAGTCTGCATGCGCTCGTGCTGCCGGCGCCGCGTGCAAGGCTGAGCAGCACGTGTCTGCAGCCCATCGAGAAGATGCCGAGGATCGTGGCGCCGAGCGAGCGCGAGCGGGCGGCGGCGCAGCACCAGCTCGAGATGCTCGCCAGCATGAAGACTAGCCCGTACTGGCCGCGCGAGGACGAGAAGAAGACTGGCGTCGGTGAGTGTTCGTGCGGTGGGGCGAGGCAGGCGCAACAGCAGTACAGATCGGAGCGAGGCAAGAGAGAGGAGACGAGCTGTCGCGCGGACAGCGAGCACTCAAGGGCGAGGCCTCGCGCCCGTTTCGGACTGCTTCCGCTTCCATCTCTGGCCAGTGTGGTGGTCCGCATCGCTGACTCAAGCACTCATAGAGCTGCCGCGCTACTCAGACCGCTACCGGCCCGAGGAGCAGAGCACACCGAGCCTCAACAGCGTGCGCCTGCAGAAGGAGATGTTCCCTGCGGCCGTGTGGAAGAGCTACATGGAGGGCGAGGAGCGACGAGAGAAGGCCAAGGGTGAGTGGGAGTGTGCGGGCGCGCGCTATAGAGAGAAGGGCATATGCGCTGCGCTGGAAGGCAGAAGAGGGGCGTGGCTGCCGGAAGCCAGGTGTCCTGTGCCTGCCAGTGCGGACATGCAGCTCACACAAGGCCTTCACAGCCGCAAGCCGCAGAAAAGGGCGTACGGTGTTGGACTGGGACAATCTGGAGAAGGGCGGCGCGCAGGGCGACGACGGCAACTCGGCCGACGGCTCCAACGCCTCCGAGGCCGGCGAGCTGCACGACTACGAGGACGACGAGGACGACGACTACGCCGAGAACTACTTTGACAACGGCGAGGATGCAGAGGAGGACGTAGGCGGCGGCGGCGGCGAGGGCGGAGAGTACGAATGAGCAAGGCATCTTGTAACAATACTTGCCGGAGCCCGCGACTGTGTCTGCGGAGTGCCGTGGCCATGGCAGGCCGCAAAGCGCTGAAGCAGCGTGCGTTCGCCGTGGGACCTGAGCCTGGCGTACGAGACGTCATCGCCGTGTCTCTCGAAGAAGAAGCGCCATTTCAGCCCTCCGCCGCTCGCGCGGTCCAGTCGGATGGGCCGGTCCTCCCTCGGCGCCGATGAGTCTCTCTCACGTGAGCTGGCCTCTGCGCGACCCGAGCATGCTCGCTGTCGGCGTCTCAGAGACGCCGATGCGGTGTCTGCATGGCTTGCAGGCGGCGGGTGCGCCAGAACGAGGCGCAACGGCTTGTGATGCTGCATCTGCTCTGCGGCCGCAGCGGCCGGGCGGGTGCGATGCGCTAGCGCCGGCCGCGACAGCGAGCGCCGCCGTGCGATGGCAGGCCAACAGCAGCCCCAAGAGCGAGATCTGCCGCTGCAGAGATCGGCGAGAGGTACACCTCCAGGCCGCTGCACCCTGAGCGCTGCTGCTGCGGCCGGCGAGCCACGCCCACGCGCCCGAGCTAAGCGCCGCGCGAGGCTAGTCAAGAGAGGGTGCCGGAGCCGCAAGACGCCCGCCAGCGCCAACAAACATGCCAGAGCGCCGGCGATCTCAGCCCTACCATTGAGAGAAAGAGAGATGAGGCTGCTGCTGGCGCCGCGCCGTGGCCAAGGTGGCACCTGCTGCTGCATGTCATGCTGGCTGCTCTCAGCCGAGCTGCACTCCGCCGCGTATCTCGGCGTCTCGTTCCGCTGCAGCGCGAGGGCGACGGCGACGCCAACACTCTCCGATCCCTTGGGCGCAGTCCAGGCATGAGCAGGCTGATTGCGCCCTCGGGCAGCCGTCTTGCCAGACACGTCGCTCCAGCATCTGCCAGCTCTGTGGAGACAGCAGGTCTGCAGGTGGTGCCGCTGCACGCCGCAACTCTGCGGCTGCGGAGAAGCAGGCACCCTCCTCGCTCACCCTGCCTGCGGCTGTGCGGAGCAGCTGCCTTGCACGCTCTGGGTCCCTCCGCTGCTGCTGCTGCACGCCGCTGCGCGCCAGAAGAAGGCGGAGCATCGCAGCGCAGACGTCGCCCATCCTCGGACCGTCCCCCTCGATTCTGAGCGACACGGCGTTTTACACCCCTCTCCTCTCTGCCCTGAGCCGAGGATGCGAGCCGCTTCGAGCCTCCTCAGGAGCGTGGCCCAGAGAAAGCGCATAATTTCTGCTGCGCGCACTGACCCCTGGCGCGAGGGCGGGATGCGTCCGTGCTCGGGCGTTTGCTGAAGGCGGCGGCGCCCGATGCGTGCCGCCGCCGCCATCTCAGCCCGCACGCCGCGCGTGAGGAGGTGTGTCTTCATGCTCAGGGGCTGTGTGGCTGCGCGCTGCGGGAGCGAGTGGAGTGCGGTGCCGCGGCAGCGCCAGCAGCGGAGCGCGTGGCTGTGCAGCGGCGGCAGCATCAGCGCGAAGAGAACAAAGGTGCATGAGGCCAGCGTTCGGCGAAGGTTCGTGCCGCAGCGGCAGCGCAGCAGCGTGCGGAGGCGGAAGAGGAGCGAGCATGTGCAGATGGCGAGGCGCCTCGTGGTGCGCGCCGTGCGCGGCCCGGCGGCACGGCACCGGCATCCGAGCCGCAGCTGCCGCAGCAAGCCGGTGCCGTGCCGTGGCGCACTGCGCGCGTGCAGGCTGCAGCGCCGCAACGCGGAGACTGCCGGCGTGCGCGCTGCTCTGCGCCGGCGGGCCGCGCGGCGGCGGCGGCGGCGGCGGCGTGCGGGCGGCGCGATGAGGCACGCAGGACGGAAGGCGGCGCTCGCAGGCGGCGTGCGCCGGCCGGCCATGCGCGCCGCGAGTGTCGGTCTTCACCGAGTGCAACACCTCGGCCGTTCGGCAGCAGAGTGCATCAAGAGGCCTTCTCTCGCTGGGCTGCAGCTGCGCGGCTGCTGATGTGCCTGCTGCGGCTGCTGATGCGCTCGCCGCCCTGACGCGCAGCTCCTCTCGTCGTTTGCATCGCCGCAGCGCCGCGGGACCCCTCCGCCCGGCGCAACACGCCCACCGCACGCACGCTGCGCGCCCACGGCCGGCGGCCCGGCAGCGAGCGGCGGCAGGCGCCCAGCAGGCGCAGCGGCAGATGACATGCGCCGCTGTGCCTCCGCAGCACGCAGGCGGCCGCGGCCGCTGCCCGCCGGCCTGCAGCGGCGCCGCCGGGCTGTGTGCTGTGTGCGTGCAGCGTGCGCGGCCGGCACCGCACACGGCGCCGTCGTGGCTGGGGCGGGATTCACTCAACTAGCCGTGCGGCGCGCCCTTGCCACCTTCCCTTCACCCCACTACGCTCTCTCTCTCTCTCGCCTCTTCGCTACTCCGTGCCGCTCGTCGTCTCGCCTCTGCACGTCACGCCCGCACGACTCTCCACGCCCTTCTGTTCTGCTGCTCCGCCTGCCCGCTCTTTGCTCTCGTGAGTGGCAGCGCCGCCAGGGTGCACCACAGCCCGTGCTCACAGACCCCCACGCGCAGAGCCAAGATGCTCTCCTTCAAGACGTTCGGCGTGCTCGCCGCGCTGGCCGGCTCGGCGCTCGCGCAGGAGCCGTTCAAGTACGGCACGCCCAACCCCAACTACCCCGGCGTCGTGAGCGCGAACCGCAACGGGCCGACGAACCCGAGCGCGCCCAAGCTCGGCACGCCCATCAACCAGACCAGCGACGCGCGCCTCGTCACCGTCAACAGCGTCGATGACTGGTGCATCTTCGGCCCGCCCGACGGCGAGACGATTGCCGACGTCGAGGACCGCACGGTGGCGTACTGCACCAAGGCGCGCAACAACGCGCGCGTCATCCCCGACGGCACCGTGACGAGCGCGCACTTTGTCAAGACGCCGCTGTACATCCAGCTCATGGCGCTCGGTGACTTCACCAAGGTGCGTGGTCGTGTGCTGCCGCAGTGGCCGACGCTCTGACTGACCCCGTGCGCAGATCAACTTTGTGCCGGGAGACATGGGCGGCGAGCTCGACCCGCACGGCGCGACCAACATGGGCAACCCGGTGGGCGGCAACGTGACGTCGAACGTGTCGGGCAAGGATGTGTTCTACGAGGAGTGGATGAACTACGTGGCGGCGAACCAGGTGTGCATCCGCATCTGCATTGCGGGCACCGACGTGGCGCCGACGCCGCTCGAGTGCCAGCACACGCTCGACGAGATGGGCTGCAACTGGGTCATGCCGGGCGACTACACCGACGGCGTCTTCGACACGTGCGACGCCGACTCGGCCTACCCGCCGGGCCTGTACCCGCAGGGCAACGGCCAGACGTCGACGTTCCAGCAGTACTTCAGCAGCGTGTACACGGCGCCCGACGGCGGCGTGCAGACCTTCATCAACGCCAGCCCGGACCAGTCGACGCCGCAGGCCGCCTACTCGACGCCCTCGTCGTCGAACTGCGTGCGCGCGTCGTCGATTGCCAACGGCATTGCCTCGATCATCCCGACGACGAGCAGCTCGTCGAGCAGCGCCGCCTCCACCGGCGGCTCGTCGCGCAGCGGCTCGTCGACGTCGTCGCGCAGCGGCAGCGGCGCCGCCGCCACGTCGTCGGGCTCCTCGGCCGGCGGAGCGGCCGGCCTGGTGCCGAGCACCGGCCTCGCCACGGCCTTTGCCGCCGTCGGTGCCTTCCTGGCCGGCGCTGCGCTGCTCTAAGCGTGCGCGCTCTGTGTCTCGTCTCTGCCTCTCCTACAGCTCGCTCCACTCCCTCCCACATACCTCGGCTCAGCGCTCCGCACACATATTTGCCCCTCCCACGGCGCGACTTGCATCGTCGCCCTTGTCCATACTTGCTCTTTCCTCTCACACCTCACCTACACCTCAACTACACGTCTCTCACTCCCTTCCAGGTCTGCTCTTCAGCACCCCACACGCCTCGGCGCTCCGGCCTAAAATAAGCATGACTGCTGCGGCGCGCGCCTAGCAGCGTGCGCCGGCGGTCTTAATCTGGCCACTCTGGAGTGAGAGGGGAGCAGAGAGGCGATGCTGTAGTCTGGCTCGGGCGACGGCGGCACGGGGACGCAAGCATGTAGACGTCGCAGCGCGCAGAGCTGGCCCCTGCTTTGGCGCCTGCGATCGGGAAGCCTCTCCGCAACATGGCTGCACTCCATGCTCTTGTGCCTCAAGGCTTGGAGGTGCAAGCCGAGCCTTGGGTGCCGAGGCTGGTCGCTGCACGCTGACGGCTGGCTTTGGGTGCTTGGTGCTGCCTGGCTGCCAGCACGGCACACGCCGATTGCTCTAGACACTGCTCTATGCGCTGGACCCTGAACTCGATTTCGCGCCGCTCGGCGCCGCACCGCCGCACTTTGCTGCGCCGGGCGCCAGATCGCCGGCACCAGCTCGGCGGCACGGTTCCCTAGCCTGATCCTCTTCGAAGCACAGAACGTCGCCGGCTCGCAGCATATGCAGCTTGTGCTCTGACAGGCCTCGACGGCTGTCGGCTGCCAGCCGAGAGCGGTGCTGTCACGCCCGCCAGGTATCCTCGATCTTCCGCGGCATGCTGCTGTGATGCACGCGATGCAGCGAGGCACGCACGGCGTGTTTGCCGGCCGCGCCCCAAGACACGAGACGCTCAGGAAGCGCATGTGCTCCTCAGGCCTCTCTTTGTGCGCTGCAGACGCCCAGAGCAGGTGCGATGGCGTTCGGAAGAAGTGCAGGCAGGGCGATGCCAGCAGCATCGAACCGAGCGGCCGCCGCCTTGCGCTGCGTGGAGCGCTGGAGTGCCGTGTGGCTGCCGCATGAAGCGCATCGCGCGCATCGCGCCGCGCCCCAACGGCGAAAAGCAACACGCCTCGCGCTCTCGCTCTCCGGCGTGCTCGGCACGCCGAGCCGAAGCGAGGGCAAGCGCGCATCGAGGGGCGACGTACCCTTCTCCTGAGCGCTTCTTCGGGCGTGGTTTGGATGAAGGCTGCTTCTGCAGGCACGCGAGTGCAACTTCAGCGAGCATCATGAGCCGCGGTTCTGGGCCTGAGGAGGGAGACCGGTCGGCTGGCGCAAGAGAGCGAGAGATGTGCGGCGCGCAGCGATGCGGGCGCCACGCTGTGTGCCTGGCGCGCGCCTTGCTTCTTCCGGCGCGCGTGGACAGCGCGAGCGCTGCCTGTCCCACTCGACTCCGCCCGCCGCTGTCCCCACCTTGCTCCTCTCCACCACCCTCGCCCGCCATGCCCTCGACGCCCATATACGACGCCACGCTCGCGCTGCTGCCCGCCTCGCTGCGCGCCGCGCCGCTCGCGCTCTACAGCTGGCAGCCCGGCGCGACGCCGCTCAGCACGGCCACCGGCGCCGCGGCCACCATCGCCGCCTGGCTGGCGCTCATCTTTGGCGGGCGCGAGGCGATGCGCTCGCGCGACGCCTTCTCCAAGAGCCTCAAGTGGCCCTTCTTCGTGCACGTGAGGGCGCGCGCGCGCGTGCGATGCTGCTGCCGGCGACGCAGGCTGACGCGAGGCACGCGCAGAACGTGCTCCTCTCGGCAGGCAGCGGCCTGCTGCTGGCGCTCATGCTCGAGGAGATCCTGCCCATCTGGCGGCGCAACGGCTTCTTCTACGCCATCTGCGGCGAGGGTGCTTGGACGTCGGTGCGTGCCGCACGTCGCAACGGGGTGGTGGTGGAGGAGGAGAAGAGAGGAAAGCTGACGCGTCGTGTTTGCTGCGTGCACAGCACCTGGAGACGTTCTACATTGTGAGCTGCGCCTGGGTGCTCGTCTGGAGCACGCGCTAACCTCGTGGGCGCAGATCAACTACTACTTCAAGTACTGTGCGTTCTCTCCCAGCGCCCAGGCCACTCGGGCCGGCGCGGCCACGCATGAAGGCACCGACGCAGGGCGGCCATTTTGCTTCCGCCCTGACGCTAGGGCCTTCGGCGCGCGTGTGTTGCGCGCAGGGACTGACGCTTTCGTGCGCGTGGGCAGATGAGCTCGTCGACACCGTCTTCCTGGTGCTGAAGAAGAAGCCGCTTGGTGAGTTTGAACGTGGCCCTGAGGGAGAGCGAGGCGTAGGCGCGCGCGCTTGAGCGGCAGGGGCGAAGCTCGTGAGACGCGCTGGCTTCGGACGCGCGCTCTTCAGAGCAACGCACACAGCTTCCTGAGCGCACGCGCGCTCGGAAGCTCGGGCTCGCAAGACGCTCGAGGAGCGCTGGAGCTGCCATGCCCGGCGAGTGAGCCCGTTCGCGAGCTGGAGGCCGCAGGTCATGCTGCCCACCCAGGCGCGCGCAGGAGCTGGCAAACCAAGGCTCGGCGTCACGTCCGGCGAAGAGCGCGCCGCGTCACGCTGGCATGGCACGCGCTGCTCTGGACTTGCTTGCTTGAAGCTGTGCTTCGCCGCTCTGGCAGCGCCTGGCTGGGAGATGGGTGCGCGCAGGTGCGCGGAACGTGCGAGGCGGGCTTCAAGCTCTGCGCATTGGCAGCCGCGAGCGCGCGCTGCTTCTGGATGAAGTGGCCCGCTGAAGCTCGCGCGTGGCCTTCTCCGCTCTGCATAGCGGAGCTGCGCTGCTTCTGCTCTCTCTTTGCACAGCTTGCTGACGCGCTCGCGATTCAGCGTTCCTGCATGTGTACCACCACTCGGCCACGGCGCTGCTGTGCTTCTCGCAGCTGCACGGCAAGACGTCCGTGTCGTGGGTGGTCATCTGCCTCAATCTCTTCGTGCACCTCATCATGGTCAGTCTCTAGCGCACGCGCGAGTTTGCCTGACGCTGCCCCGGCTGACTCGGAGCGCTGCGCAGTACGCATACTACGCCCTCACTGCCATCAAGGTCCGCTGCCCGTGGAAGCGCATCGTCACGACGACGCAGATCATCCAGGTGCGCGCCGGTGCTCACGCAGCAAACCAGCTCGCTGGCTAATGCGCTCCCTCGCAGTTCGTGCTCGACCTCGGCGTCGTCTTCTTCGCCAGCTTCACGCACTGTGCGTCCATCTGTGCCGCACCCTCGCACCAGCAGCTGACTCCGCACGCACAGTCGCATACAAGCGCTTCGGCAAGACGCGCTTCACGTGTGGCGACTGCGCGGGCAAGGAGTACGCAGCCATTGCGGGCTGCGCCGTGCTGAGCTCGTACCTGTTCCTCTTCATTGCCTGTGAGTCTCTCGTGCTTGCGGAGAGCTGGTCTGGCGGCATGCTTACGCGCAAACGACGCACAGTCTACCAGCGCACGTACTCCAAGGCCAAGGCGCAGAAGAGCGCCGCGGCCAAGCGCGAGAAGCAGGCGTCGCTGAAGGCACAGTAAAGGCTGGCCGGCCGCTGCAGCTTCACTGGACCGCCTCAAGCGCGGCCGAGACGTATGTCTGCCGAGCGCAGCCCGACGCCCGCTTCGTCGCCTCGGCGCGGAGTCTCGGGCTCAGTCAGGCCTATCTCTAGCCTCCATGCTGCCGCCATGCAGGCGCATCGCTTCTCTCTTTACCGTCTAGCAACCCCACCTAGATCTGCTCTCCTGTATTCTGCCCACTTCCTTCTTCTCCTACACACACGCACATCGCACCTCTCAAAAGCACAAATCCAGGGATCATAGATTTGCACCGCTCTCCGCACCCGTCACTCGTCGTCGTCCGCCGCGCCGCCCTTCTTCTCCTCCTTGCCCTTCTTCTTGCCCTTCTTCCAGCCCGCGGCCTTCTTCTCCTCGAGCTTGCGCGCCGCCTCGGTCTCGCGCGCCAGCAGCTCGCGCGATACCTCGGCGGGCAGGGCCGAGGACGAGAGACCCTGCAGTCGGCCCGGCCGTGCTTCTGGCTCCTCGGCCTCCTCCGCCGGCGCAGCGGCGCGCACGCGCTCCATCAGTGCGCGTGCCTCGCCTGCCTCGCCTGCCTCGGTGGCGCTGCGCTCCTCCGGTGTCGGCTCGGAGGAAGAGGCGCTGCCGACGCCGGCGAACCAATCTCTCTTCTTGGGTGCCGATGCGGCGTCCTCCGAGGCAGCAAGTGGTGGTGCAGCCGAGGATCCTGCGGCCGGCGCGGCGTCGCCGCCATCGTCATCTGAGTCGCCATCGGGCACGCCGGTCCACTCGCTGGCGCCCGCGAAGATATCCAAGTCATCGTCCGAGTCCGAGTCGGCTGCTGCAGGCTGCGGAGGTGCAGGCGCCGGCTCCGGAGCGGCTTGAGGAGACGTTTCCTCGGGCCTCTCGGCTTTCTTCGACGCTGGCGGCGGTAGAGCCGCTGCCGTTGCAGCAGGCTTCGGCTGGACACTGTCACTCTTCTGCGCCGAGCTCGTCTGCTCGCTGCGTGCTGTGCCTTTCTTGTCGCGCGATGCCGCGGACATGCGCGGCGGCGGTGGCGGCATGGCTCTGCTGTCTTCTTTCCTCGCCGCCTGTTGCCTCGCATCCTTCTCCTTCGCAGCGGCTGCAGCAAGCTCGTCCTCGCTCACTTGCTGCGGCGGCGGCGCAACCTTGCGCTTCTTGCGCATGCGCTTGCCGTCCTTCCAGATGTACTCTGGCTTCTCCTCCTCTTCCTTCTTCGCGCCGATGGGGCGGAACTTGCTCGCGGACGAGTCCTCCAGCTTGCGCTTCGCGAGCTCTGCCAGGACACCCTCCTTCTCTCCCGACACAGGGGCAGAAGAAGCGGCCTCGGCCTCGGCCTTGCCACGAGCGGCGTACGCGGACTCCAAGTCATCGTCGGCAGCGCCGCCGTCGCCGCCTTCGGCACGTGCGCGCTCTTGTGCCAGCAGAGAGTAATCCAGGCCGCGCACCAGGATCGAGTGCTTTGCATCGCCGCCGAGAAAGGCCATTTGCTGCTCCAGCTGGAGAGCAAGAGATTGTGAGAAGGAGCCTCAGTAGCACGCAGAGCCGCCGAGAGGTGCTGCAGCGGCGACGGCAGGCATGGCTCTGCTGTCTTCTCTCCCGGCCGCACACGGCTTCGCCTCCTCTCCTTCGCTGCCTGCCCTGCTCAGTCAACTCAAACTCACCGCCGCGCGCTCCTCCTCGCCGACGTTCTGCATGCGCTGCTCGAACTCGGCCTTGAGGCGCTCGACCTGGGCGAACTCATTCTCCTCGTCGCGCCCCTCGCGGCGCGCCGTGGCGCGGTCGACGTACTTTTCGCCCGTGGCGCTGTTCGTCGCCGGCGCCGCGGAGCGCTTGGGCGCCGCCGACGACGAGGCGACGGAGCGTGGCGCCAGGTCGCGCGCGGTGATCTGCGAGGTGGATGCGGCCGGCCTGTAGGAGTGCGTCAGTTGTGCAGCGCGGCCGTGCGTGCGAGACAGCGACGCACTCGCGGCGGCGCTTGGCGGCGCCGAAGTGTCTGCTCGCCGCGCCGGCGCCGCTGCCGCTGGGCGCTGCGCCGCTGCCCGAGGCGCCGGCGCGGGGCGTGGAGAGGAGCGCACGGAATGCCTGCTGGTCCATGGCCGCTGTGTGAATTGATGAAGCAGCGCGCGTCGAGGAGGGGTGCGAGAGGTGTGGAGGTGGAAGGCAACTGCAAGGCGCGGCGGTGCGAGGCGGCGCATCTCTCCCTGCTGGCGCAGCGCGCACGACACGACCCGGCGCTGCGCCCGGCATGCCCGCCGCTCTTCCTTCTCACCCCCACCTCGCCCGACACCCTCACACACCATGCCCGCCGACGCCCGCTCCCTGCTGCGCGCCGCCTCCTCCTCCAGCGCCGCCGCGCCGCGCATCCACGACGCGCACGCCAGCTACCACCCGCGCTCGGGCGCGCTGCGCTGCAGTGCCTGTGCCTACGCCGCCGTCAAGCACGAGGCGCTCTGGGCCGCACACGTCGCCTCCAAGAGCCACCGCGGCAACGTGGCGCGCATCCGGGCCGAGCAGGAGCAGCAGGCGCGCGCACAGCAGCAGCAGAGCGCAGAGGCGTCGGCCAGCGGCACAAAACGCGCCGCAGACGCAGCCGGCGACGAGGCGGGCGACGAGGCACGCAAGCGCCCTCGTGCAGAGCCGGAGGCAGACGAGGCACCGGCAGCAGCTGTACCAGACGAGGCAGCAGAGGAGGATCCGGAGTGGGCCGCCTTCGAGGCCGAGGTGCTCAATGCGCCCGAGGCAGCCGAGGCCGCGGCGCCGCGCTACATCGACAGCACGACGGAGGTGGCGCCGCAGCTGCGCCGGCCGGGCGGCGGCATTGCGCCCGTGGTGCAGGAGGAGCAGCCGGAGCCGGAGATCAAGGAGACAGAGGAAGAGAGGCGCGAGCGCCTCGAGCGGGAGGAGAAGGAGGAGATCTTTGGACGCCTGATGGAGGAGCAGCGCGAGCAGGAGGAGGTCGAGGAACGGTGAGTTGTGCATGCGAGGCGTGTTCGTGTGAGCCTGCAGGGCTGCACCGGCCCCGGCGCGGAGCTTGTCAGAGCCGCCGTGCTTCGCTGGCCGCAGACACGCCGAGGTCGCCTGCACGCGCAGCAGCGCGCGGTATGGCATCACGGCGGCAGCCGCACCGACGACTTTGGGCTGACTCTCCACTCTATTGCACAGCGCCACGGCCCTGCGCGCACGGCTAGAGCAGATGCGCGCCGCACGGGCGGCGCGTCTGGGCGCCAAGGGCGCCAAGGGCGTCGGGAAGGGCAAGGCGGCGGCAGGCACGGCAACAGACGCCGCTGGGCAATGACACCCTCACGTCACGCATCACCGCTCGGCCTGGTCTGTGTGAGACGCGCGCTGGAGCGTGGCGAGTGCAGAGAAGGTATGAGTTGGTCGAGGTTACAAATACAGAGAGCGAAAGGTCCAGGCGCAAGCCCTGGCCCGCTAGGAGCGTTGCGAGAGAGCGCCAGAGGTGGAGATGCAAGCCCTGCTGGCCCGCAAGGAGCGTTTCGCGCCGCGTTGAGCGCTCAGCGGCCTGCTCCGTCCGAGCCGGCCGTGCCTAGTACTCATATCTCGCCGTCTCGTCCCCTCCTGCTGCCTGCTGTTCCCACCGCTCCTCCTCCTCCCTCCGCCGCTCCTCCTCCTCGGCCAGGTCCTGCTGCTCCACGACGAGCGCCCATACGGAGGCCTTGAAGAGCGTGAGCACGAGGCCCATCTTGCGCTCCAGCACGCGCAGCTGCGTCAGCAGCGACGCGTGGCGCGCGGGCGACGAGAGGGGCGCCGAGATCTGGGTGATCTACAGGCGACACGGGCGAGGCGTCAGCGCGAGGAGCCGAGGCAGACGAGCCGACGCATGGTTGCGCTGGCGCGAGGGCAGACGCATTCACAGCACGTCTACACCTGCAGAAATGCCTGCGCAGCATCGGCAGCGATGAGCCCGCAGACGGCCACCTGGCACGGCCTCGCCCAGCCTCACACCGCCAGCGAGCCATGTATAGGGCCAAGCTGCGGCGCTCCGACGAGCACAGCAGCGCGAGCCCACAGCGCCGGCGCAAATGTGCGTCGCAGCGGCCGCTGCGGGACGAGCCATGTGCCCTCCGTACGGGCAGTAAGACTGCTTGCTGCCCGGCTGCTGCCGCGCCGTCGCCCGGACTCGGCCACGGCGCGCTTCCAGTCGTGCGCCAGCGCGCGGCAGCCTTGCCCCGCCTCTTGCCTGGCCACATGCCCTGCCTCGCTAAGTACGCTGCACCCTACTCACGCGGCGGATCGTGTCGGCGAGGCGCGCGTACTCGCCCAGCAGCTCGGCCTCCTCTGCGCTCAGGGCGCGGTGGTTGGCGTAGGGGTTCTGCCACACGGGCGGTGCGGCGGCGGCGGCGGCGGCGGCGGCGCCATTTGTGCCCGCTGCTGCTGCGGGCGCAGCGATGGGATCGGAAGAGACGAGGGAGGACATGCTGCGCGGACGGGGCGTGGTGGACGGGAGGCGAGCCGCGGGCGGCAGAGCAACACACGCGCCGCGCCCACGCCAAGCGCGTCACACGCCGCGGCGGCGCGCCGAGCGAGTCGCGCGCCGCCGCCGCCGCAAGACGCACCGTCACCATCACCGTGGGCCGCCTGCGGGACACACAGCGCAGGCCAGGCCTCTCCACACACCGCCGCGGCACCGTGAGACATGCTGCCGCACAGCAGCAGTCGGAGTCAAGCCGCCGCCTCACCAACACCTGACGCGGCCGTGTGGCGGCAGCAGCGAGCAGCAGCGGTGTCGCGAGAGAGGCCGCGCACGCCAGGCTCGCCGTGGAGCAGACGGGCCCGCGCGCCGCTCAAAGCGGTGCTCCGAGCGCCGGATGCACCGGCGGACATCCGCATCGCGCAGCTCCGCGCCAGGCTCGCCAGTGCGATGCACGGACCGGCATCGGCTGCTCAGCCCGACCCTCTCGGGCGCCGAGCGACCCATGGGCGCAGCGTAGTCGAAGCAACAGCACACTCTAGCTGTGGCTCGAGGCCTCAGTCGGCAGCAGCCCCACGACGCTCTGCGCACGTTCCGCGCTGACAACTGTGTGAAGACCGCGGCACTCCCTCTCCTCCCTCAACGCACGCCGTGGGCATACGCAATGGGTCCATTCCACGCGCGCGATCCCTCCTCATGTTGGCAAGCAGCACGTCTACTCGTCGTGCTCGGCCGTGAGGCGGTGGCCCTCCTTGCTGTTGTACCACTCGTTCTTCTTCACGCCCCACGAGTACTGCCGCGTCAAGCACGCCGTCAGCAGCTGTTCGCCTCGACGCGAGGTACCTTCCTGCGTGCAGCGACTCACGATGGCGTAGCCAATGCCGAAGGGCACGGCAAAGTACGGCACCTGCGCCATGATGCGCTTGTAACCGAAGAAGAGGTAGCCCTTGAGCGCGCCCGCCATCGGGTTCTGCTGGAACGGCGAGATGGCTGCACGCAAAGCGGCACAGGAGACGTGGTCAGCATGCAGGCAAAGCAGGCGGTCGGAAGGAAGGGGGGCTGCCTGTCCAATGCGCAGGTCGCTGCGAAGCTCTGGGCTGCACCACACTGGTCGCAAACAGCACTGCGGCACCTCTATGTGCGGCCCCGCCCTGCGCTGTCGCAGCGCAGACTTGATAGGTGTGGCAGTGCACATACGCCGGGCGCAAGCGACCGCAGCTGAGGCACGAACGGCTCTGGCATGCAGTGCTGGGAGATGCGCTCTGTGCCGTCGCTCCATTCGCGGCAACAGAGCGCAGCGCCGCCGTTTCGACTGGCGCTTGAAGCGAGACAGCTGCCGTTCGCCGCCGGCCAGTGGGCCAACCAGGCATCGCAGATCGCGCGCGCTGCATGCGAGATGCCAAAGCCGCGCGCGGTCGCATTCTGTAGCATCCCACAGCCCTTGCGTGCACTTGCTGGCCTCGAGGGAGGGCTCAAGAGCAGTGGCGAGGCTGCGCCCCGTCGGCATGGCAGCGCCAGAGGCCCTCGCTGCTGTGCGTGCCTGGTGCGGGATGGCTTTACTTGCTGTGCGCCCATCGCAGAAGACTCTTCTTCGCCGGTCTGTCTTTCTCAGCGCGCACCGTCCCCAGCCGGTCTCTGGCGCCTCTGCCGCCCGTGGCGCACACGCCCTCTCCCCGTCGCGCCCGTCGCCAGCACACTCACAGTACTGCACGATGCCCTTCTGCTTGGGCCCGCCCATGGCGCCCCACCAGCCCATGTACTTGGTGCCTGTGGGCATGCCGCTGTGTGCGGGAGCAGTCGGACGCATGATGAGAGATGCGGAGTGAGAGGTGTAGGTGGTGAGAGGCAGAGGTGTGCGGCACGGTGAGCTGCCATGACTGGCTGGGAGCAGCGCCGCCGCCGCGGCGCCGGCGATGGCCGGGCAGCGCCACGTGGCACGGCGCTTGGAAATCAGCGCCAGGCACGCCGCCGCCAAGAGTCTGCTCCCACGCGCTCAACGCGGACCGCCGCGGCGCGCCTATGCCTCGACCCCGCCTGCGGCTGCTGCCGATGCCGCTTCCGCTGCCAGGCTTGCCTTGCTTGGGCAGTGGTGGTGCCGACGTCCACACGCTCCAGCACTGCCGCCAGCCAAGTCAGGCGCTTCGTGCTGTGCACCGCTGCTGCATGCGGCTGCTCCTCACACTGTGCTGGGTCTTAGGTCGTTGTTCATTGCGCGTCAGATTCGGGGCAGAGAGACAGAGAAGGGATGCGTTGTAGCGACAGCGTGTAGGGAGAGGGGGCGCAGAGGCGCGCCGGCTAGAGAGAGGCGTGAGGCGTGTGGGCGTGGGGGTGCAAGGGCGGGGCGGCCGCGCAGCAGTGCGGCGCCGTGTATAGGGAGGGAGAAGGGAGACAGCGCCGCTCGCTCAGAGGTTCTTGCAGAGCGTGCAGTTGATGTCGAGCGTGTCGGAGAAGATGATCGGCAGCACGATGAGCGCGACGAACACGGCAAAGCTCAGCACAAAGAGGATGCCGTAGCGGATGACGATCGAGCGGCGCTGCTTGCGCGCGCGCAGGCTGAAGATGGGCGCCGCGAGCGAGTGCCGGCTCGGCGGCAGCCAGAAGAGCGCCATCGACTGCAGCCGGTTCATGAAGGGGATGAGCAGCGGGATCGAGAGGCCGAAGAGCAGGATGTGGCACGTGACAAAGTCGGCCGTGAAGAGGGACATCTCGATGATCTTGACGAGGAACTCGCGCGCCGGCTGGCTGAAGGCGTGCCCGCCGAGGCCGCGCCCGTACCAGCGGCCCGTCCACCAGGCGCGGTTCGTCTCGTCGTGCTTGAGCTCGCGCGAGAGCACGAGCGAGATGAGAATCTTGAAGATGGCGCGCTGGATCATGATGACGGCAATGAGGCCGAGCACGGCGTGCGACGTGTTCCACAGCTCGAGGAACCAGAGGAACTCGAAGAACGCCACAAAGCCGATGAAGGCAAACACGTGCGCAATCGACGCCATGACGGAGCCGAACTTGGCGCAGCAGTTGCCGAGCGCCGGGCCGAGGAACATGCTGACCATGAAGAGGATGAGCAGCACGGCCGCGTTCCACACGATGGGGCCGAGCGCGATGATGGCCAGGCGCACGATGGCGCCCATGGGCGGGTCGCCGCGCTCGTGGAACGACTTGACGAAGGCGTACGCGACGGCAAAGATGACGGCCTGGCACGTCGGGCCGATGATCTCGGCGAACGCAATCGTGCGCCAGCTGGCGCGCGGCACGTCGCCCGCCAGCTTCTCGCTCGGGTGGCCGAGGCGCTTCTTCTTGTAGCCCGTGACCTTTGTGCGGCTGAGGCGGCAGTAGCCGATCCACGAGTTGGCGTGCGAGCGCGAGTTGCCGCGCGACATCCAGCGCAGGAACTCGCGGTAGTCGATGATAAAGTCGGGAATGCTGAACTGGTGCGGGTTGAAGAGGAACGGCGCGATGCAGAGCGCCAGAATCGAGATCCAGAAGTAGATCAGGTGCGGAATCCACAGCGTGAGCGTCACGTAGAGGAGCAGCAGCAGCAGGCGCATGCCCGAGTAGATCGACGGGCCGGCGAAGCGCGAGTAGAGCAGCGCAAACGACTGGCGCGTCGTGGCGAAGCCGCGGCCCGTGGCAATGTAGCGCGCGCCGCCGAACGTCAGGTTCGAGATGATCGAGTGGCTGTAGATCTGCGTGCTGAAGACCTCGAACACGGGCGAGAGACTGAGGAAGTGCTTCGCCAGGCGGATCACCGCCGACACGGCGCCGCGCTCCGACAGCTCCTGCAGGAAGAGCGGCAGGAAGGCAATCATGAAGACGAGGAAGATCGAGATGATGGTGCGCCGGATCCACTGGAACACGGGGCTGAGGTAGTAGCAGCCGCCTGTGCCCACCTGGTAGTCGCTGTTCGTCGACTCGCAGATGCTCAGCTGCGAGTTGAGCGTGCCGATGAAGACGAGCGTGAACATGAAGAGCTGCACGGAGAGAATGACGAGGATGTTGTTGATGTGGAAGCCCGGGTGGCCGTAGTAGAAGGTGAGGAAGCGGTCGACGGGCAGCTGCGTGCCGAGGTAGTAGTACTCGCGCGAGAGCATCTGCTCGCCCATGCCGTTGCCGAGCTTCGTCGTGAAGTTGAGAATCGTGCCGAAGCCGAGGTCGCGGCCCTTGCCGCACTGGTAGTACTCGACGTGCTTGATGCGGCCGCCGCGGCCAAAGGCCGTCATGCCGGCGTAGATGTCCTCGTTGAGGTGCAGGCCCTTCTGCGCCTTGCTCACGCCGCCGCGCGTCGTCATGAAGATGGCGTTGAGGAAGTCCGGGTGGCCGTAGTGCAGCTTGCCGCCGATCTGCGCCAGGCCGCGGCCGGCCATCGTGCCGAACGTCTGCTCCTTGCCGGCGGCGACGTCGCCGAGGATGCCGATGTTCTCGGAGAAGATGTACTCGCGCGCGCCGAGGATCGCCACGGGCGCCTTGGCAAACTCGGCGTGGCCCGCGCCGTAGGGGTTCTGGTTCGACACGTTGAACGACTCAAACTCGCCGAGCACCGAGCGGATCTTGAGGCACTCCTCGAGGTAGTTGTCCTGGTTCGCGTCGATGAGCTGCAGGTACTCGCCGCGGTGGAAGACGATGGCGTGGTTTTGGTTGTCCGACTTGCCGTCGCCGAGGATCGGGTTGCCGGGCAGCTCGATGCGGAACTTGGGCCGGCGCTTGCCGTTGGGCAGGATCTCCGAGTGGCCGTCGACGAGCGCCGAGAACCAGCGCGACTCGCCGCCCTCCTTGCGCGGCGCCTCCTCGTCGAGGTAGGCAATCTGCAGGTCCGGGTACGCGCGCAGCAGGAACTCGGTGTTCTCGTGCTCCTCCTTGTTGAACTTCGAGTAGCGCTGCATGGAGATGACAAACTTGAACTTGCGGCGCGACATGCGCTCCAGCTCGCGCTCCAGCTTCTCCGTGTTGCCGCCGAACAGCTGCACCACCTCGGGGTTCTCGACGCGGTAGAGCAGCTTGATGGCCTTGCTGTAGTTCATGAAGCCCGACACGGTGCGGTAGAGCGTCTGGGCGCGCAGCGACGACCAGATGCGCGTGCGCAGCGTGTACTCGGGCGCCGCGCTCTTGAAGCCGATGCAGTAGAAGGGCAGGTCGTCCGTCTTGGAGCTCTTGGTGCCGCTCTTCTCGTCGTCGCCGCCGAACGGCGACGCGCCCGCGAGCGTGTTCGTCTCCTCGGCGAGGATCTTGGTGTCCTTGACGAAGTTGTCCCACTCGATGGGGTGCAGCTGCTTGAGGTACTCGAGCAGCGTCACGCGCGTGTTCTGGTCCTCCTCGCGGATGATCTCGCGCAGCGAGAGCAGAATCTTCTCGCCGTAGTGCGGCACAAGCACGGTGAACGTGGGCATGGCGTCGATGGGCAGCGCCTCGGGCAGCGTCGTGGTGAGCGACTGCGAGAAGAAGCTGATGCGGCGCTCGGCCTCGGAGCCCTTGGGGAAGAACTCGGGCTTCAGGCCCTTGTCCGACTGGCTGATGAAGAACGTGGGCGCGCGCAGCGTGCGCTTGCCCTCGTCGCCCGACGGCACCTGGTGGTAGAGCAGCTTCTGCACGTGGTCGATCGAGAGCAGGTGCTCGCGGTACATCGAGATGATGATGGCGTTCCACACCTGCGACACGAGCACCTTGGGCTTGTACTTGATCTCCATGTCGGCAGTGGCGAGCAGCTTGGCGTAGATGCGCTTCGGCAGGCGCTGGAAGATGTCGCTCCACGGCGTCCAGATCGAGAGGCCCATCGAGAAGGACCAGCCGATGGAGAAGACCGTGTTCCAGATGACGTACCACAGGAACGTGTCGAGGAAGAAGAGGCAGAGGTCCATGATCATCATCGCCGTCAGCGCAAAGGCCGCCTGGTTGGCGCAGAGCGCCGTGCCAAAGTACTTGTCGCTGCAGCCCTGCACGCGCATCGTAATCATGATGGCCAGCGGGTCGCGGAACGAGAGCGTGAGGAAGAAGTAGCTCTCGGTGAGCTTGCTGCCGAAGATGAGGCCCCAGAGCAGGAAGCTGAACACGCGGCGGTTCTTCTCCAGCGGCGCGTAGCTGGCCGTGAACGTCTGGTTGGCGAGGTACTTGCGCGCCTTGCCCGCCACGCGGTCGCCGAAGAGGCGGCCCGACGGCACGAGCGAGAAGAGCGCCGTAATGCAGCCCGAGACGGCAATGTGCACGATGGAGAGGATCTTGCAGATCGAGCTGTCCTTGTCCGTGGCGATGCCGTGGATGTAGACGGCGGGGCCGATCGTCACGGCCAGGCACACGGCGAGGAAGGCCATGCGCCGCGCGAGGTGGCTCGTGTTGTTCCACGTCGTCGGGATGTAGGAGAACTCGGCAAGCGTGGCAAAGATCATGAGAATCGTCGAGACGGCGCCGCCGAGCGCGGCGGCGGACCAGAGCTGCGGATTTGTCGCGGCGCCCGAGGGGTTGTAGATCTTGGGCGCGTTGTAGCTGCACGAGGGTCAGTGCGTGATGCGGCGGGCGGTGCGCGCGGCGCGACTCACGCCGTGTAGTACCAGAAGACGGAGATGTGCAGGATCCAGATGCGGTTGAAGTTGACCAGCAAGTGGAAGAAGCTGCGGATGCGTGAGCAGAGCGTATTAAGCTTGGCCGCTCGCCCACGGACTCACCTGCGCTTCTCCTTGTACGTCTTGAAGAAGACGCGGTTCCAGTCGATCTTGTCGAACTTCATGAAGCGCTGGTTCGCCGGCACGTCGACGAGGCGCGTCTTGTCGTTGAGCACGATGCGGCCGATGCCCTCGGGGTACCAGAAGAGCTGGTTGACGTCGTCGTAGCCGATGATCTGGTCGTGGTCGCGCTCCTTCTTGACGAACTTGCCGTCGATGACCTCGAAGACCTGGTCGCGCAGGAAGCGGTACAGCGGCTTGACGACGGCGCGCAGGTACAGGCCCTCGGGCACCGGCTCCATGCGGTTCTGGCACTCGGGCGACCGGTAGTAGTCGTCGGCGCACTTGAAGATGAAGCACAGACACTCGGGCACAAAGCGCACCTGGCCGCCCTCGCCCCAGCAGAGCAGGTAGAGGGCAATCTGGCGCAGCCGGTCGTAGTCGCTCATGCGGTTCATCGCATCGCGCCAGCGCGTCGCGGCGCTCTCGAGCGACTTGGCGTGCGCGCTGCCCGCGGCCGCCTTGCCGCCGCGCCGGCCGCCGCGCCCGCCGCGCGCCATCGAGGCGGCGCGCCCGAGGCCCGGGTTCTGCGCCTTGCCGATGGCGTCGTCGAGGTCGAGCTGCGCGGCAAAGTACCACTTGCGGTAGTTGGCATTCTCGCCGCCGATGTAGTCGGCGTGCAGCGTCACGAGCGCCTGCGCCGGGCTCATGCGCGACGAGCGCGAGTCGAGCTGGATCATGAGGTGGTCGTACATGTTGCGCATCGAGTCGCGCTGGAAGCCAAACTTGTTGGCGAGGTCGATGAAGATGTCCTCGATCTCCTCCTTGGCCAGCGGGATCTGGTGCTCGACGGTCCACGCCGGGTACGGCTCGCGCTGCCGGTAGCCGCCGGCGGGGTAGTCGGTGTACGGGCTGGAGACGCCCGACGCCGCGTAGCTGCCGCCGTAGCCGCCGGGCCCGGCCGATGCATTGCCGCCGCGCTGCGAGTACGACTCTTGCGAGTAGGGCCCGTTGTTGGCGCCGCCGCCCTCGTACGACTCGCTGCCGTCGTAGCCCTGCCCCGGGATCAGCTCCGCCACGCTGCCCTCGGACTGGAACGTGTCGCGGCGGCCGTAGCCGCTGGCCTCGCTGGCGTCGTCGTGGTACGCCGAGGCGCCCGCGAAAGGGTTTGGCGGCGGGCCGCCGGGCGCGCCGGGCGCAGGGTAGTGCGACATGGCGGCGGGCGCAGCTGCGAGCTGCTGGGACGCGAGTGCCGCTGTGAAGGCGTCAGAGCGGGCGCGTGGCGGGCGAGCCTGGCGCTGCACGCACGACTGCTTTTGGCGAGGTGCGGTGAGTGTGGAGAGTGGAGAGAGAGATCTGCGGTGCGCAGGTATGCGCGGGGCGTGTGGCGCTCAGGAGCGGGCGCGCAGAGACGTCAGGTGGTGGATGCGCGCGGTGCGAGAGAGATGCCACCGGGGCACGGAGCGCAGCGCGAAGAGGCTCGCGAGGCGGCGGAGACGCGCGCAGACAGGTGACCGAGAGAAGGCGGCCGGGTCGGGGTGAGTGAGGCGCCGAGAATGAGTGGATGGAGGGGAAGGGAGAGGCGACGACGAGCACAGCGTGAGCAGCGAGGGGCGCCGGCTGCACTCGCAGAGCAACGCGCGGCGGAGCGCCGGCCTGCCACGCCAAAGCACAGCCCAGCCAGCAGCGCAGGCCGGCAGCACATCACGCCCGCGGCCGCACGGCTCTCGGCGTGCCTCTGCCTGCGCTCTGCGCGTGCGCGCGTGGCGCTGCGCCGCGCATCGCGAGCCCTGCCAGAAGTGCCGCGCAGGGCGGCAGCACCAGCCCAGCGGCCGGCCGCCAGCAGCAGCGGTCAGCGCGGAGCGAGGAGGCGCGAGGAGGCGCCGGCGCGCACAGGGCGGGCACTGGCCGGCCGCCGGCTCAGGGCACAGCACCCCTGTGCCGCGCTACGCCTCGCGACACAGCCTCCAGCCGGGCGCAGCGCGAGTGTGCGCCCTCGCAACGCCGAGCCGCGCGCGGCAAAGGCAGGCCATCGGCGGCGCGGCGCGGAGCGAGATCGTCGAATCATCGCAAACGCACACACGCCGAGCGACCACCACGGCGAGCGCTCGCCTTGACACCGCGACGCAGCGCACGCTTCCCGGCAGCTGGTATTTGCAAGCTACAGCAGCAGCAGCCTCACCTGCTGCGACGGCGATGCGAGGCTCTGCGCGCGCGATTTTTGAGCACGTCTCGGAGCGTCGGACCCTTGCGCGCGCCTGCACGCCGTGCGCGCGTGATGGTGTGCAGCTGCTCAGGGGCTGGCGCACGCACACTCGTCCAGTGCCGCTCGCCCGCGACGCCGCAACTCCGCTGTCGGCGAGGCATGGCAGCGGCAGATGGGCAGCTCGGCGCCTCGCTCGCTGCGCCTGCGCTCGCACCTCCTTCGTGAGCTCGCTGGGAGCTGCGATGCTGTGGTGCTCGCCCGCTGCGCGAATCTGGCGCATGAGAGCCATACCGGCTGATGTCACGCCTGCGGCGGCTGCAGCGCGCTGATCCGCCACACTTGCACTCCGAGCGCCTTCAGGAGGTCGCCGAGCCGCAGAGCGGCTCAGCGTGCAGTCGACGCGCGTGGCTCGCTACGGCGCATCGGGGCTCAAGCTGTGCGCTCGGCCGAGCGCTCGGCGTGTTGACGAGGCTACTCTGCTCTCGGATCAAGGGCGACGCCGCTGCCGAGGCGGCAACGCGATGGGGATGGGCCGAGGCAGCTGAGGTCCCCTGAAGGTCAAGTGCAGGCCTCGCCTCGTCGTCATTTTCGGGTCTTGCGCCTCCTCTCTCGCGCGCAGAGGGGCGCTGAGAGGACCCACAAATAGACAGAGCCCCTCCTCTGCGGCAACTTGGCAGCGAGCCATCTGTGCCTAAGCGGCGCACAAAGCGGCGAGGCCCTGCTCAACGCGGCATGGCGCTTTCTCCTGGCGCCCCAGCGTCCTCGAGCTGCCTCCAACCATCGAGACGGTGACCGTCGTCGCGCTGCCAGCCAGCACAAACTCACGCCGCCGAAGGAGCGGCAAAGAAGACAGCTGCACACTGCTGAGAGCAGCGTGGCCTGACAGGACCTGAAAAGCGCGCGAGCAAGGCCAAGGCTTGGCGAGCTGCGAAAGAAAGTCGCAAGCGCGCTCGTCAAGGGTGCAGCGCGAACCACGAGCTGGCAGCCGCGGGCCGAAGCAGCCGATGCCGATGCCGCCTCGGGGCTTGGCGTCGCGTCGGAAGCGCGCTCTGCTGCCCTGCCCGCGGCGCCGCCGGCGTCTCTCTCTTCCCTCTCTTTTCGCGGATCTGCAGAAGAATGACAAGCGAGTCGATGTCTGATGCTGAGCGCTGCGCACTGCCGCTGCGCTGCATCGTGAGCTTGCCTCGGAAGCCGCGCCTGAAGCTCGCCTGTCAAGGCATCAAGCGCGTCTGCCACCGCTGGTGCGGTGCCTCTGCTCAGGCAGTTCTTACGGCCGCGCCGGCGCGCAAGGGCTTGAGACCCTCGTGGGGGTCAGCCGAGCGTTGCGTGGGCTGCCCGCTGCCGCCTTTGCTCTGACGAAGAGCTCTTCAAGTCGCATCGAGCTCTGTCACAGCGAGATTTTGAGCACTTCATCTCGCGCCCGAACGGCCTGGGAGCGGTTGAAGGATGGTCGGAAGGCGGCAGCGCGGCCAGCTGGACCCGTGCCGCGGTCTGCGGAGCCGTCGCGCCGGAGCGCTGCCGTGCGTTGCGACTTCGCGCGTGCAGGCTCGGCCCTGACGCACAGGCAGGTCGTGCCATGGCCGAGCGTCAACGAACGGCGCGGGCCGCAAGCAGCGTCAGCGTGAAGGTGGAGAAGGGCAGCTGAGGTCGGCCGAGCATGATGGCGGCCAAGTGCGTGCCGCTCGCACCTGCACGGCTTGGCAGATGCGCAGACGTGCGCCGCGCGCTCGCGGGGTTCCGCCGCTCCGAGACGGCGGCACGGCGCACCTCGTGCACGCTGCGCTGCGGCTGTGCCGCCGTGCGGGGCGCGCGACCGCCAGTCTGAGCGCACCTGGACACCGAGGCATCGAGGGCGACGTCGAGGCAGCAGCAGGATGGCAGCTCAATCGTGCGGTGTGCAGCTCTGCAGCTGCCACGCAAGATGACGGCGGCCGGACTTGCTGCGTCAGGAGAGCGGCCCTGAGGGGGCCCTCCGTGCCGCGGATCTGGTGCGCATGACGCGGCGCGGCGCGGCTAGCGTCCCCTGGCACCTTGGCCTCACGGGTCCAGAGTGCGGCACTCGCCGCCATCCTCCTCTCCACCACATCAGCGCCTCGCAAGCTCGTCGCCGCTCGTTCGCCGCACCATCGAGCATCCTCGACGCACGCAGCTCGACGCGCCCTCACACGCACAGCATGCGTCTCGCCTCGCTCTGCGTCGCGGCGGCGCTCGCGGCACTCGCCGTGCTGCCGGCCCGTGTGGCGGGCATTGACCAGATCACGCGGTGAGTGGCAGAGCCAGCTGTGACACTAGCCAGCCACGAACCTGGCCAGCTGTGTCCGTGGGCAGTTGCGGCAAGATCTGTGCTGACGCTGGTATCCACCTTCCAGCCGCGGCAAGTACCTGTACCGGCCCGATGGCACGCGCTTCTACATCAAGGGCATCGCATATCAGGAATCAGCGCCGACGGAGAGCGACTCGGAGACGGGCGGCTTCCCGGTACGTCGAGGCCAGACCTGCAACAGTCGATGCGGAGACGCTCATGCCCTTTGCCCACAGGAGCCCACCTCGTTCGAAGACCCCCTCGCGCTGCCGGCGGCCTGCACGCGCGACGTGCCTTACCTGCAGCAGCTGGGCGTCAACACGATCCGCGTCTACTCTGTCGATTCGCAGCGGGACCACTCGAGCTGCATGCGGACCTTTGAGGAGGCTGTGAGTGTGTCGTGCTCTTGTGGCTGCTCATTGCTCACGCTGCTGCGACAGGGCATCTACGTCATTCTCGACCTCGGCCTGCCCGTCAATGGCTCCATCAATCGCGCCGAGCCCTCGTGGGACACGGCACTTCTGGAGCAGTATCTCTCCACCGTCGAGGCGTTCGGCCAGTACGACAATGTCCTGGCCTACAACGTGGCTAACGAAGTCGTCACAACCGACGCCACCACCGCCGCGCTGCCCTTTGTGCGCGCTGCCGTCCGTGACGTGAAGTCATATCTCCGTTCGCGCGGTAGAAGCTCGCTTGTCGCCTATTCGGCCACCGACGGGCCCTCTGGCCCGTCCGGACGCCGCTCCAGCGTTGCGCGCTACCTCTCGTGCGGCGACGAGGCTGAGGCCGTCGACCTGCTGGGAATCAACAGCTATAGCTGGTTAGTGGAAAGAGGGCTCGCTGCGCAGCCAGAGCACACGCTGACCCGCTGCAGGTGTGGCAACTCAAATGCTGCGGCTGCAGGCTTCGACGACCTGGCATCTGACTTCGAGCAGCTGCCAGTGGCCACCTACTTTGCAGAGTTCGGGTGTGCGACGCAGGGCGCCGACGCGCGTCCGTGGACCGAGGTGGCGGCTCTCTTTTCGCCTCCCATGACGGACTCCTTCAGTGGAGGAGTGGCCTTTACCTACTTCCCGAAGGACCCGGAAGCGGCTGGTCGGGACTACGGCATCGTGGCGTTTGCCAGTGATGCCGGAAACGACGGAGACGTGCGCCAGCGCAGCGACTTTGGTGCGCTCGCCGACCAGTTCCGAAACGCCACCGGACCTGCGGCCCCTCCGTCGCCCGAGCCGACGACGTCGACGACCTGCCCGTCTCAGAGCGACAGCTTCTTGGCGGCCGAGGCACTGCCGCCGACGCCCGACATTCAGCTCTGCCAGTGCATGGAGGACAGCGCATGGTCCTGCCTGCCGACAACGCGCACCGCGGGCGACTCGGACGCCATTGGCACGCTCTTCGACTCGGTGTGCGGCCTGCTTGATCGCAACGACGCGCCTGTGGGCTGCGACGAGGCCTTGACTGCGGATGGCGCCGCGGGTGTCTACGGCAACTGGAGCATGTGCGCGCCGGCGCAGCGCTTGAGCTGGGTAAGTGAGCCGCGTCGACTGGCTGCAACGCCGCTGACAACTATCCCACAGGCATTCGATGCGTACTGGCAGCTGTTCCGCAACGAGCCCAGCGCCAACGCATGCAACTTCGACACTCAGGCCACGCTCCGCGCCGACCCCACCAACAACGACGCCGACGCCGCCGCAGCGACGGCGAGCTGCATTGCTGGTAATCAGGCACCCACTGCCGTCTTCACGCCTCAGCTGCCGTCGAGCACGGCGAGCAGCAGCGGCGGCGGCAGCGGCGGCAGCGGTGGAGGCAGTGGCGGCAACACCGGTAGCGGCGCCTCGACCGGCGGCGGTCCTGACGCCGCAACGGCCCCGGCCTTGTCGCTTCTCGCCGTCGCGGCGGCCTTCGGCGCCGGCGCCTTCATCCTGCTCTGAGCGGCTGCAAGCACGCACCTCTCTCCTTGGCCCTGACCCACCTCTCATTCCTGCTTGCTCATCGCTTCGTCTCGCCGCACTCCGGCTCTGTATCCCGGTCGCCCGTCACTGCGCTTTCTTTGGTCGGTCTCGCACGCCCTCGTGGGCTTCTGCTGCAACCCCTCGTCACTCTCTTCACCTCGATCATGAATGCACGTCGTTCTCCCCGCATGTGTATGTGTCTGTGACCTCGGTCCCCCAAGCCCTCTGCGCCCGTCGCCTCGTCTGCCCGATTGTGAGCCTCAGATCTGCGCCAGGACATCGTCGAGCGCCGCACGGAGCGTCTCGACGACCTCAGTGAGCTGCTCGCGTGTGATGGTGTACTGCATCGCAGCCCAGCGGTCAGTGCCGAGGTCGCCGCGCAGTCTCCGGCGCACGTACCGGGGGACAGATCAGGATGTGGTCGCCGGCGACGCCGTCCGCAGTGCCCGAGCCTGAAAGGAGAGCGTCAGCACGACAGGTTGAGCGAGGCAACGCTGAAGCTCACCGGTGTACATGACGACGCCCTTCGAGATCGCATCGTCGACGACGCGGCTGGACAGCCCGACCTTGGGGCTGAACGGCTCCTTGGTGCCCTTGTCGGCGACGAACTCGACGCCCCAAAAGAGGCCGCGGCCGCGAATGTTGCCGACGTTCGGGCTGCGAGGCTCTCGCGTCAGATTCTGCGATCGCATCGGGGCGAGACGGCGCTCACTGGTCGTCCAGGCAGCGGTGCAGCTCGGCCTCGAGGAAGACGCCCATCTCTGCGCAGCGCTCGACGAGTCTGTCCGACTTCAGGATCTTCTGAACTTCAAGTCCGGCGCGAGTGCTAGAACGGGGTCAGCCTGGCGTCTGGACTGAGACACGGCAAGCTCAGACTCACCCGCAGCTGTAGGACTGGAAGGTGAAGCCGCTGACGAACACTTTGCTGCCGCGCTCGATGGGCTCGATGACCTTGCGACTGGCGAGCACGGCACTCAGGGGCGCGTATCTGCGTGGAGAGCATGTGTTAGCCATTCCTGTGTCTGTGGCTGGACGTCTTAATGAGCTCCACGCACCCGCCGCTGATGCCTGAGGAAGGCGTATGTCAGCCATGTGTCGACGTGCGCCCTCGCGATGTCACCAACCTTTGGCGACGGTGAAGATGTCCGGGATCACACCTTCTTGCTCCCAAGCGTGGAGGGTGCCTTTCGAGTGTCGTCAGCAGCCGAGGAAGTCGCTGACGGGTCAAGAGAACACACCAGTTCTGCCCATGCCCGACATGACTTCGTCGAGGATGAACAGCGCTCCATGACGGTCGCAGACTCGACGACAGGCCTGGAAGTAGCCCTTAACCGCGGGCACGCATCCGGTCGTCGCGCCCACCACAGTCTCGGCACAGAATGCCGCGACGGTCTCCGGCCCAAGCTCCTGGAACTTGGCCTCGAGCTCCGTCTCGAGGCGCGCCACGTACTCGGCCTCGCTCTCGCCCTCCTTTTGGTGGCGGTACGCATAGCAAGGCGAGACCTTGTGGAAGGCGCCCGACGCGAGCATCGGCTCAAAGTGCTTGCGGCGGCCCTTGTGGCCTCCCAGTGCTGCACGAGATGGTCAGCGTGATATTGCCAAGCGCGCGACTCGCAACGCACCGAGGCAGCCCAGCGTGTTGCCGTTGAAGCCTGGTGCAGAGTGCGTCAGTGTGATCAAAGTGCAGCAGTATGCGTACCGCAAGCACCTTGGTCACGGCCAATGAAGTTCGTGCGCTGCAGCTCGCCCTTCTCGACAAAGTGCTGCCGGGCAAGCTTGACGGCGCTCTCAACAGCCTCAGAGCCGCCCAAAGCGAAGTACGCGCGAGCAAAGTCGCCGCCACGCTCGTTGGCTTCGGCACACAGCACCTCGGCCAGCTCCTCGCTGCAGTCCGTGGCCCAGTTGCCCGAGTGCACGTAGTTGACGGAGTTCAACTGCTCCGTCAGGGCCGCGATCATGCGCTTGTCTCCGTGGCCCACCGACACGACGGCCGCACCGCCGCACGCGTCCAAGAAACGACGATTCTCGCCGTAGATGTAGCAGCCCTCTGCGCGGATGGCCTTGAGCGGCATGACGCCGAGGTGCCGGTGCATGACGTGGCTGCTGCTCTTCGTCGGCGCGGCGACGGGTGCGGCGGCCATGCCGGCGGCGATGGGCAGCGAGGCGGGCGCAGCGGCGCCGTCGACGAGTCCGGGCGCCATGGTTGCGAGCGGGCGTCTGAAGGTTGTGATGGAGGTGGTGGTGCGGACGCAAGTGTGGCCGCGCACGAGGGCGCCAAGAGGGAGAGCGGGGCGCATGGCGGCGGCGATACGATAGCGCGAGGCACGGGCCAACCGCGCGTTGCTTGCTGTGCGGGGCCGACGAACTCGAGGCGGAGGATGAGGGAGAAAGAAAGGCTGCGCTGGTGCTGCTCCTGCGATGCTGCTCCGTCTTCTAGCCTGATAAGTTGGCCGACGGCGAGGCGGAGCGAGGGCGCAGCAGAAGAAGAGGCGCTGTCAGGGGGCGAGTCACGGGCGAGGGCACGCCGCCAGCGCCGCAGGACCCGCGAAGGCGCGCTGTGCCTGGCGTGGCTGGCGCGGAGAGATGAGCCGCGGCTATTTGGCGCGCCTCGTCGCGCTCAGAGCGGAGACGTCGCCGCGGCCGAGCGAGCCGTGCCGTCGAGCGCACGCTCCGCTCCCACTCTCACCACCCTCGCCTCCACTCGGGACAGCCTCAGCACCTCTTCGCAGTCGCACACCCAGCAGCACCTGTCGCACACCACCACCGCAGCAGCTGCGCGCAACCACCCGCCGCGCACCTCCCGCGCCGCCGCCGCCATGTCCGTCGCCGCGCAGGCGGCCGACCGCCAGCTGGTGGGCCTCATCGTCGACGAGGACAGCGCCACGGGCCTGCTGCTCGCCGGCGTCGGCGAGGTGTCGCCCGACGGCAGCAAGAACTTCTTCATCGTCGGCAGCGGCACGCCCGTCGCCGAGATCGAGGAGCACTTCACCACGCTCACGCAGACACGCAAGGACATCGGCATCCTCCTCATCAACCAGCACCTCGCCGAGAAGATCCGCCCCATCGTCGACAAGTACGCGCAGGCGTTTCCCGCGCTCCTCGAGATTCCGAGCAAGGACCACCCGTACGGTGCGTGGGCGCAGCCAGGAGGCGGGTGTGGCGTGCTGCGGAGCTGCTGGGTGAGGTGCGGCACGCAGGGTCGCCGGCACGCCGCTGGCGCTCTCTGTGCAGATGCGCAGGAGCTGCGATCGTGGACAGCGCTGCAGAAGTGATGCACTCTGTGCCAGAGCTGCGAAGAGGTCTCGGTGGTCGCACAGCGGCGTGCCCATGTGTAGTCAACGAGGCGTGCTGGCGAGCGCACTGGGTCGTGCTGCACAGAACCAGGTCTTTCTTGGTTGCTCGTGCGCTCTTTCTTGCAATGCTCGCGCGAACCACGAGCATGCCTTTGCTCTCGCACGAAGCTTGTGCAAAAGAGCAGGCGCTTGTCGCTGCGGTGGGCTCGAGATCTGACTCGCCTTGCTGCTCGCCAAGGATGCAGCAAGCACTTGCTCACACGCCCTCTCATATGCAGATCCGTCCAAGGACAGCGTGCTGAAGCGTGTGCAGAAGGTGCGTGCGCTTCGCCGTCCTCTGCCTTTGACGCATTGCTCACTGCGCCGCTCGTACCGCAGCTCTTCGGCGAATAAGCGCATCTCGGCGCATCTGCAACACGGCCTCTCTCATTCTCGCTCCCGCCCATGCATTCCTGACTCACTTGACGCAATCCGACTTGTCACGATCATGCCGCGTCTACTGCGCGCGACTCCGCAGCAGTCGAGCTGAGCGCACCTTTGGCAGACTGAGTGGCCTGTGAGAGCACGACTGGCGGCTCGTACTGTCGCGCTTGAGGGAGAGGCTCGCACGCTGATAAGTGCCCACTGCGTCGCCTTGCCTTGCCAGCGCTGCCAGCGGTGCAGAGACGTGCCCAGCAGGAGCAGGACTCGCTTTTGCACTCGCCATACGAGCATCATCGAAGCGTCGAAGCGTCTGTTCGGCCACAGCTGACCGAGGGGCTCGAGCGAGCATTGTGCGAGTGCGGCAGGCGCCACGTGACGACTGGCTGCCACAGCAGGGTGGCCCAAGCGCGCACGGCGCCGGCTCTCATCAGACAGAGAGCGCACTTTACTGCTCTCTTGGCCCCTGAGCGCGCTGGAAGAAGCTCCAACAGACGAATGTACACAGAGAGAGTGCCCTTGAGAGGCACCTCTGCCCAGCACCAGCGGTCGGGCAGGCGAGGGATGAATCTGCTGGGTTGCAGCGGGAAGGGGGGAAGGGCGAGATAGAGCCGTCGTGCCCTGCTGCGCTCGCGGCTGCGTGCACGCCGGCCGCGGCACGGCGGCGTCATCCCGCGGCTCGTGCTGGCGCGCCCCGCGCTGCAGCATCTGGCCAAGTCGCCGAGCTGGCGCGCCTGCTATCTCACCGCACCACTACCACCATGGCACCGCCATCTCCGAGCCGCGCCACGGGCGCGCCCGCGCCCGGCCAGCTAGGCCGCCGCGCCTCGAACCCCTTCACGCGCAACCAGGACCTCAACGACGAGCTCGAGGCGAGCAACTCGGCCGCGTCCGTCATCTCGCGCTTCCGCAACGCCTCGATTGGCTCGCTCGGCAGCCGCCGCACCAGCGGCAGCTACGGCGCCATCGAGGAGGGCAGCGACGAGGAGGGCCTGCCGCCGCTGGCGCAGCAGCGCACGCCCGCCGACCTGCAGCGCGGCGGCGCCGAGGGCTCGGGCACGGGCGTCAGCAAGCCCGCCAGCGACGCCGCGCCCGCCGGCCTGCCGCTCGAGCCCGAGCTGGCGCCCGCCGGCGGCTCGCAGCGCCACGTCTTTGCCGACAACGTCAAGAGCCCCGACGTGGCGTACGACAAGTGCGCCGAGCTTGAGCAGGCCCGCAGCAGCAGCGATGCGCGGGGCAACCAGCGGAGCCGCGGCCTGATCCGCACGTACAGCATGGTGAGTGGAGGCGGGCGGCGCGTGGGCTGCCGCCGCTCAGACGCTCTCGCAGGCCCAACAAAAGCGCCGGCCAGCGATCATGAACGACGACCGCGTCATCCGCCAGCGGCGTCTCAGCCACGGTGAGCGAGGCAGGCTTCAAGCCGCGTCCGCGTGAGATTGACAAGCGTCCAGACGCCGTGGCTGCGACGGAGCAGCGTCGCTTCATTGTCGATGTGGAGGAGACGATGCGGCTGGTGCTGGAGCAGGAGGACACAGACGGCAACTTCCAGGTGCGTCTCGAGCCCCTGCCGCCCTGCACGGCCGCTCACCGTCTCCGCAGATCAGCATCACGGACAGCGGGCCCAAGGTGCTGAGCCTGGGCACAGCTGCGAGCAACGGGTACAAGGGCGTGGACATCCGCGGAGTGAGTGCGCCGCCGCAGCCATACGCCCGCTGCCGCTGACTTGGCCCAGACGTACATGCTTTCGAATCTGCTGCAGGAGCTCGCCCTGGCGCGCGAGCACGGGCGGTCACGCATCGTGCTCGACGAGTCGCGCCTCACGGAGAACCCGGTGGACCGGCTGTCGCGCATGATCTCGCAGACGTTCTGGCACAATCTGACGCGGCGCATCGATGCCGACGGCCTCGAGGCGATCCTGGCAGACCCCAAGAACCGCAGCGCCAGCAAGTCGCCGCGCATCTATGTGCCCGCCGCGGAAGAGGAGATGATCGAGTACTACCGCAACATCGCCCGCGAGCGGCCGTCGATGGGCCTCGAGGTCGAGGTGCTGCCCAAGGTACTCACGCCCGAGTATACGCGCGACCTCAACGACAAGCCGGGCCTGCTGGCGCTGGCGATGCGCAAGGAGAAGGACGCCAAGAGCGGTGAGGAGGTGCTCAAGGGCATTCCGTTCATCGTGCCGGGCTCGCGCTTCAACGAGCTCTACAACTGGGACTCGGTCAGTAGCGTGGGCCGCAAGCGAGAACCAACAGCTGACTCCCCGCACAGTACTTCATCTCGCTGGGCCTCGTTGTCGACGGCTGGGTCGACATGACGCAAGGCATCGTCGAGCACTTCATCTTCAACATCAAGCACTACGGCAAGATCCTGAACGGCAACCGCTCCTACTACCTCATGCGCTCGCAGCCGCCGTTCCTCACCGACATGGCGCTGCAGGTGTACTCGCGCCTCGACCCGGACAAGGAGGCGGAGAACAAGGCGTGGCTAAAGCGCGCCATCCAGGCGGCCATCAAGGAGTACCACACCGTGTGGATGCGGCAGCCGCGCTACGACCCCGTCACGGGCCTCAGCCGCTACCGCCCCGAGGGCCTCGGCGTGCCGCCCGAGACGGAGGCCAGCCACTTCACGCACGTGCTGCGCCCCTATGCCGAAAAGTACGGCTGCAGCGTCAACGAGTGAGTGCCGGTGTGAGCAGCCAGGGTGGCCTGCGGCTGACGCCGCGGCAGGTTCACGCACATGTACAACCATGGCGAGGTCAAGGAGCCGGAGCTCGACGAGTACTTCATGCACGACCGCGGCGTGCGCGAGAGCGGCCACGACACGTCGTACCGCTTCGAGAAGCGCTGCGCCAGTCTTGCGACAATCGACCTGAACGCGCTGCTGTACAAGGTGAGTGTGCTCGGCCTCCGGGGGGTGGGCATGTTACTCACTCCCTTTGCAGTACGAGGTGGACATTGCGACGGCAATCCGCGAGGTCTTTGACGACAAGCTCGAGCTCGACGACGACTTCACGCTCTGGGCGCCGCTGCCGCCGGAGCTGGCCGACAAGCAGCCCGAGAAGCCGTCGCACTCGCACACATGCGCGCAGTCGAGCGCCGAGTGGTTTGCGCGCGCAGCGCACCGCAAGCGACAGGTGGACAAGTACTGCTGGAACGAGGGGCAGAGCCTGTACTACGACTACGACACGTCGACGGGCCGCCAGGGCTTCTACGAGAGCGTCACGGCGTACTGGGCCATGTGGGCGGGCATGGCGAGCGAGGACCAGGCGGCGAAGCTGGTGTGAGTGGCGGCTGCTGGTTGCGTGCTGTGTGCGGCGCTGACGCCCCATTCCACAGGCACAATTCGCTGCGCAAGTTCGAGGTGACCGGCGGCCTCGTGCCGGGCACGGAAGACTCGCGCGGCCGCATCTCGCTCGACCGGCCGAACCGGCAGTGGGACTACCCGTTCGCATGGCCGCCGCATCAGATGCTGGCGTGGATCGGCCTGGAGCGCGTGAGTAGAGCAATAGGCTGCGTCCGAACTGCTGCTGATGGCTGTGCCAGTACAACTACGTCGAGGAGAGCCGCCGGCTTGCATACCGCTGGCTGTACCTGCTCACGACCTCGTTCGTCGACTTCAAGATGATTCCCGAGAAGTGTGTCGCGCGCCTCGGCTGCCGCACGCTCCCTGTAATCTGACCCTCGACTGCTGCGCAGGTTCGATGCCGTCGCGCTGTCGCATCTTGTCGAAGCAGAGGTGAGTGCGGCGTGTTCGCGCTGCCTGCGTACTCGTCCAGTCGCTGACAACTAATCGCACACAGTACGGTGCGTGAACACTTCAGGCCGCTTGCTCCGCGTTTGAGGTGACTCGAGCTGTCGGGGACTGATCTTGCCCCCCTCACAGGCAACCAAGGCACGGACTGGAAGGAGTTCCCGCGCGCTGGGTGCGTCGAGCGTGACCCGTGAACGAAACCTGATTGGCTGACCCCGCTCGCGCACAGATTCGGCTGGACAAACGCCTCGTACCAGGTGGGCCTGACCTTCCTGACGAGCGCGCAGCGGCGCGCGCTCAGTCTGTGTGCGCACCCGAACGAGGTGAGCTTCGGCGCAAGGATGGCGGACAAGGGGCGTCTAGAAGCTGATCCGCTCGCTCCCCTGCAGGTGTTCGGCACGGGGCGCAGCCAGACCTGATCGCGATGCTGCAGGGCGGAGTCGGCGGCGAGCGCGCGTGCGGCATCTCCGCTCGCTGATTGAAACCAGACAGATCCAAACGCGGCACGCATGCCTGACTGTGATAGACAACCGGCTTACCGTTGACGAAGACCCGAGCGGACAGCCGGGTGACCGAGACGGCGTCAGTCCCCCTTCGAGCCTGCGGGCAGCGAAGGAGCGACGCGCGCTGTTTTTGCCGCGGCCGAAGAAGCGTGTCCGTGCCCTGCGCGCGAGAGGTGGCTTCCTCTTGCCGCCGCAGGCGGCAGCGCAAGCCACCGATGAAGCGCTGGTTGACGAGCTCTGTGCTGCTTTGAGAAGCACTCGAAGCGGCAGGCCGACACGAGAGGGGCGCAAAGGCAGGGCAATCAGATCGCGAGCAGATCTGATAGAGGGCAGATGCTGCACGCGCATGCACGCGTTTCTCCGCCACACGCGTCTGCCTCGGCCTGCCTTTCTTCCCTCAGCGCCGCAAGTCCCTGGTGCCTCAAGGGGCCGCCTCCTCTGCCTTGGCGGCCGCCGGCTCCGACAAATCCTTCCGGCATGGAAGCAGTGTCCCGCCGGCTGAACGGCAGCTACGGCAGACGGACCGAGCGCCGGCACCGCCGGCGCGTGTTCGATGCGCCGAAGAGGCTCCTTCGGGCAGAAGGCACGCAGCCGCTGTACCATCATGCGCCTCCCGCAGCCGCATCAGCACTTCAGAGCAGCAGCCAGGCACCTCTGGCGCTTTGCAGACGTCAGCGATCATCCGCTGTGCACCGGCAGCGAGAGGCAGCATCAGATCGCCGCGGGACGGCCTGCGTCTGCTGGGTGGTGCCCGGGCCTGCCCGAGACGGAGCGCCACTTTTGGGCATCGCCGTCATGGCGTGACAGGAAGGGCTGCATAGCCGGCCGCAGGGGCTTGCAGGAAGACGCCTGGGATCATACAAAGGCAGCTCGGCCAAGCTGCCGACACAGCAGCGCTGCTCTTGCCTCACCACAACTCATACCGGCACCATGTACGTCTATCCATGGGACATCGACGCCAAGGCCAAGGCCAAGTACCTCAAGAAGCTGAAGAAGGTGCGTCGTGCCCTGAGCGTGCCTTCGGTCGCACCGCACTGACGTCGCTGCAGCCCGAGGACCTGCCGCAGCTGGTGCGCACCGTGCAGACGCTGTACCACAACAGCTTCAAGGTGCCGTTCATGTTCGCCTTTGCCATCCTCGGCTGCGCCGCTGCGCTCGTGCTCGGCTGTCTGGCCGTGCGCGTCGTGCGGCATTTGCGCTCTTCTCCCAGCAGCAAGCGCAGTGGAGCCGTCCGCAAGCACTTCGTCGATGCACCGCTGCTCGGCTCGCGCCACGCTGAGCCGCTCACGCTGGTCCCCGGCATCGGCAAGGAGGCGCGTCCGATCATCAGCCTCGCTGTGCCGCTGCGCTCGCACACGACGGTCCTTTTCGTGCTCGCGCTGCTCAACTTCCTCCCGCTCGTCGCCTGCTACTCGCCGACGTCTGTCAAGGACAACTACTACTACAAGACGATGTTTCTGCAGATCATCAAGTACTTCGGCGACCGCACCGCCGTGCTTGCCGTGGCGCAGCTGCCGCTCGTCATCCTCCTCTCCGGCCGCAACTCGCCCGTGCGCACGCTGACGGGCATCAGCTTCGACGTGGTGATGCTGTACCACCGGCACGTGGCGCGCTGGGTCGTGGTGCAGGTCGTGCTGCATGCCATTGCGTACAGCCTCAACGAGGCCGTCAAGGATGGCCACGAGGGCTACATCGAGACGATGAACAAGCCGTACGTCAAGTTCGGCACCGCTGCTCTTGTCTTCGTCGTCGCCATGGTGGTGCAGTCGCTGCGCGTGCTGCGCCAGAAGGCCTACGAGGTCTTTGTCGCCGTGCACATCGTGTTCGCCGCCCTCGTGCTCGCCGGCGTCTGGTGGCACATTGCGCTGCTGGCCAACACGCGCTACGCCCTCTTCTTCGACCTGCTCTGGCTCGCCATCGGCGCATGGGTGTTCGACCGCGTGGCGCGCGTCTTCCTCCTCGTGGCGCTCAACACCAACCTGCGCATGGCCGCCGGCGTGCCGTTCCTCAGCCGCGCCAGCGTCTCGCTGGTGGAGGACAGCAACGCCTCGCTGCTCCACGTGCGCGTCTTTCCCTCGGGCGCGACACTCGGCCGCGCACTCGACGGCTCGAGCGTCATGCTGCACCTGCCTACCGTGCAAGCCTTCGTCTCGCACCCCTTCTCTGTCATGGCGGGCGGCACCGACGAGACAGGCCGTCGCTTCCTCGACCTCGCCGTCCGCCCGCAGGCCGGCATGACGCGTCGACTGCACGAGCGTGCCATCAACGGTGCCTTCGAGTGCGTGGCGCTGCTCGAGGGCCCGTACAGCGGCGACGAGATGGACGTGAGTGTGCCTATCTGCACAGTGCTTGACCAAGACTGACACCAGCGCCAGCTCGGAGGCTTTGAGCACGTCCTGCTCGTCACCGGAGGTATCGGCATCACGCACACGCTGCCGATCTTCACCAAGGAGATGCGGACGCCGTCGAGCAAGACGGATGCCGAGAAGCCTGCAGCGCAGCGGACCGTCGAGATGGTGTGGTGTGCCAAGAGTGCCAGTGCGTCCTCTCGTGCTGCTCTTCTCGCCTGATGCTGACCTCGAGTCCAGGCACCTTCGCTGTCGCTCTCGACACGCTCGAGCGCGAGGTCGCTTCGGCGCGAGCTTCTGGCTCGACGCACACGCGCGCCAAGATCACGCTCTGCGTCACGAGCCAGTCCGACTCGCGTCGCTCCTCGACGCTGAGCGAGAAGAAGAGCAGCAGCGACGAGGAGAAGGGCGCCGCGCCCTTCGACTCGCCCGTGCTCGAGGGCGGCCTGCCGCTCGACTCCATCCCGCAGCTGCTCTCGCGCCAGACGCCCGAAGAGAGCGCAGGCGATGCCGCACGAGTGCGCGTGCGCTTCGCCGCACTGGCGCCCGAGGTGCAGGTGCTGTGGAGCGAGGGCAAGCCGGACGTCGGCGCCGAGATTGCCCAGCGCGGCGAGGCTGGCAGCACGCTGGCCATCGTGGCGTGCGGCCCGCCGGCGCTGCTTGATGCCGCACGTGCTGGCGCCCGCGGCGTCGGCGCCGTCTACGAAGAGGCCGCCTACGGCTGGTAGCCTTGCCGAATGAAGCCCCGAACGAAGTCACGATGTCACGATACAATGATGCATGCACGGATTGATGCAATAGAATTACAGATGCTTTGTTTGTTTGTGCCCGAGCCGCTCAGTACATGTCTGCGGGCGGGCTGTCAGCATGCCGAGGCGAGGCGCAAGATCGAGAGAGCTCACCATTGTCGTCGCTCTCTTCCTCCTCCTCGCTGTCGCTCCTCTTCTCTCCCGCCCATCCATTCATCTCCTCCTCCGAGTCCGGGCCCTCATTGTCAGGGTAGTCGTTCCTGTAGAAGCCCTCGTCGTTGGAGTCCTCGTCCTCGCCCTCATCCCACTCCTCGCTGCCCTCGTCCTCCACCTCGAGCTCGTCGTCGCTCTCCAGATCCGCAGCGCGCAGGCCCTCAAGCGTCGCCATGGGCGCACGCTCCGCAGGCACAAGCATGCCCGTGGCAGCGGACAGCGGCGCGAGGGGGTCCGGCAGCGCGTCGGTGCCCAGCGCGCCATCGTGTCCGGGCACCGCGAGCGGGTGCATGCCCGAGTCCGAGCGGCCGGCAGGGCCGCTGCCCCAGCCCTCGCGCTCGCGGTAGTACACGTCGTAAACGTACTCCTCGTCGTCGTCGGCCTGCTCTACGGCATCGGACGGCGAGCTGCCGAGCTGCGGCGACTTGGCGGACGTGTAGAGGTCGACTGGGGGCACCAGGTCCTTCTCTACAAGCGTTCGAGGCGTCAGCAGCTAGCAGAAGCATACGAGCAAGGGCCGGACGCACCGGCTAGGTAGTCGCCGAGCATGTCGGCAAAGCGCCGGTCCAGCTTGGCCATCTCGCTCTCGTCATCGTCTGTGCGTTCCGCCCTTCGCCGACGGCGCGTCTCGTCCGCCGCATCGATGGCAATGGCATCGATGATGCGCATGCGCGACAGTGGCGTGCCGCTCTTTGGCGTGCTGATATTACGGATCAGCTGTGCAAGTCTGCGCAGCGAGCAGCACACTCACCGCGACTTGCCGCGCCGAACGCTGCCCACACTGCTCAGGCTCGCGTCGCTGCCCACTCGCCGCAGCCGGCCCTCCACTCGCCGCTTGCCCATCTTGGCGCCGCCGGCGCCAGGTGAAGCGAAGGCGCCGAAGCCAAGCCCGCCGCTGCGCGCATTGCGCACGACTTGAAAGCGCAGCGCCGCTGGACGTACGGCCTCGGCGTCGCCATCTGCTGCCCGTTCCGCCATGGGCGTGCGAGGCGGCGAGGCGCGGCTGCCCGGGGGCGCCGGGTCCTCTTCCGCCGCTGGTGAGGGCACAGGCCGAGAGTTACGCGCAGCGAGGCGGTCCGAGAGACCCTGCGCCAGCGTCGGGTCCGAGAAGGCAGACATCGAGACAGTCTCTGCAAGACGAAAGACTGCAGCCCAGCACACAGTCAGCCAAGACTGTCCGTCTCGGCAGCGCAGCGCAGATACACACAGTGGCCAGCACCCTGCGGCTTCTCCGTCATGCGCCGCTTGCGCTCGCCGTCGCGCGGCTCCTGCTGCGACGAGCCCTCATCGCCAGCGCCCGCCTCGGCCTCGGCCTCGTCGAGCAGCTGGCCGATGCGCAGCGCATCGACGGGCTCGGCGCCGCGCTTGCGCTTGATGCGCAGGATCACGCCCTGTCCCTGCGCCTGTCCTTGCGTCTGCGCCTGCACGGCGCCCTGCTGCAGTGCCGAGGGCGAGGGCGGCGGCGACTCGGACGAGTGGCGGGCGCCGTCGCGCGGCGTGACGATGCGGACGGGCGTGCGGCGCGCAGGCGTCGTGGCGGCGGCCGACGGCGAGACAGGCTGCGCCATGGTGCCGAGCACGGGTGCGTGGGGTGAGGTGCGAGCACGGCACTGGGGATGGAGGGCGGAGCGACGTCGGGCGGCGCGCCGTCGGCCGCGGCAAGAGAAGCTCGGCTGCGTCGTCTGCGGCACGGCGCCTGCACCGTGACGCGCTTGTCTTGCTTCTCAGCGACGCGTTGCTTCTTGTCTTGCCTCCAGCAGCTCCTCTCACCCTCGCCTGCCCGCCGCACGCCCAGCATGGCCACCCTCTCCAACCCGCCACAGACGTACGAGCCGCGGCGTCCGGCGCCCGTGCGCTCCGCGCTGCCGCAGCGCAGCGCCCTCGCGGCCCTCACGCCCAACAACGTCGGCCAGCTGCGCCGCCTCAACGCCGTCCTCTTTCCCGTGCGCTTCAGCGAGCGCTGGTACCGCGACGTGCTCGGCCGCGACGTGCAGCTCATCAACCGCTTCGGTGAGTGTGGGCTATGCGCCATGGGCGTCGGCGGGTGGGATGGTCGCCGAGGGCCGGGCAAGAAGAGACGAGGCTGTGCGAGGCGCAGAGAGGCGGGCAAGGGCGAAGAGGGCAGACAAGGGCGCCGCGTCGCAGCAGTACTAGGCTCGCCGCTTCAGTAGACGTACCGAACGCAGATACCAAGAGCCGCGGGAGCAGTCCTACAGGCGCAGCAGCCACGCTTGTCGTCTCGAGGTGCCGTCACGGGTCTCGGTCTGTGCGCGTTCTGACAGAGGCCTGGCGTGGTCGTGGTGGGCATCTCGCCCTTCTGCTAGAGACACTGCCCGGATCTGTCACGGGACGCGGGCCCTGCCGTTCCGCGACGAATAGGCAGAACTCGGCGCTGCGCAAAGTACGCTGGACCCCAGAGCGATCTATTGCGTCCAGCCGCTCCGGCACAGCTCGCGTGACTGACACTCGGCTCCCTCTGCAGTCCTCTTCAACGACATTCCGGTGGGCAACATCTGCTGCCGCTTCGAGCGGCTCGACGGCGGCAAGAAGGTGGCCGTGTACATCATGACGCTCGGCGTGCTTGCGCCGTACCGGCGATTGGGGCTTGCGTCGAAGCTCATTGCGCACCTGCTCTCCGTCGCGGGCGTCGGCGACACGGTGGACCTCGTCGACCCCAACGCGCCGGCGCCGACGCCCGTCAAGGGCAAGGACGGCAAGGAGACGAAGCCCGACCCCGTCACCGAGCAGCTCGTCGTCGAGAGCATCTACCTGCACGTGCAGACGGGCAATGACGAGGCAAAGGCCTTCTACGAGAAGCACGGCTTCAAGGAGACGAAGCGCGTCGAGGACTACTACCGCGCCAACATCGAGCCGCGCAGCGCGTGGCTGCTCGAGCGGCGGGACTAGAGAATAGAAGCATTCACAAAGGACAGACTCAGACAGGCAGGGACAGCCGAGAAGGAGATTCGATTAGAGGTTGCCTGCTGGCGGCGTGGCTCAGCCGCGCGTCGTCTTCTTGCCGCCCTTGGCCTTGACGACCTTGAAGCCGCCAAAGTCGGCCGCGCCGGCGGCCGGCTTGGTCGACGACTTGAGCACGTCGCTGGCGCTGCGGCCTGCGCCGAGCGCGGCGCCGTTGGGCAGGCCGGCGCCGATGGCCGAGCGCGCCGCGGCGCTGCTGCCGGCGCCGCGGCCGCTCTGGTCGAGCTTGCGCTTGGCGACAAAGTCGGCGGCGAAGCGGCGCCCGTCGAGCGTGCTGCTGTTGGCGTACACCGACTCGGCGATGATCTCGACGACGTCGGGCGACGGGTCCAGCGGGAAGGAGAGGAGCATCTCGATGAAGTCGTCGGCTGCGGCGCACATGTCAGTAGGCGCACATTCACAGCACGACGCGCCGACTCACCCTTGACATTGAGACCCTTGAGCTGCTCCTTGCAGTACCGCAGGAAGTCGGCGCTGGGCTGGCCCGAGCCGAGCTGCTCGCTGGAGGCCGACGGCGCCACGACCATCTTCGTCTTGATCACGGGCGACTGCACCTTGGCCGCCGGCGTGCCGTTCTGCTTGGCGCCGGCGGTGGCCCACACGCCGACCGGCGGCGTGGCGCCCAGGCTGCCGGCGCGCTGGCCCACGGGCGTAGCTGGCGGACGAGCACTGGCAGGCACAGCGCTGGCGGGCTTGCTCCCGACGACGCTCCATGCGCCGCTGGCGGCGGCGGCGGGCGGCGGCACCTGCGTCTTGCCTGCCGAGTCGGCGTAGCCGCGCCGCAGGGCTGCCTGCTGCGCGGCCTGCGCGTCGCGCGCCTTCTGCGCGCGCTTGCGCTCCTCCTCTTGGATCTCGGTGAGCGTCTTCTTGGCCGTCGGACGCGCCGCACTCCACGGTGCCGGCGAGGCCGAGGCGGCGGCGTCGGCCGCGGGCTCTGGTGCACTCGAGCCCTGCGAGGCATGGCCCGTGGCCAGGCCCCACGTCATCGTCGCCGGCAGCGTGTCGTCGCCCGAGGCCATCGAGCGCGCGCGCTGAGCAGCCAGGGCGCGCTCGGCAGCGCGGCGGCTCTCGGCCTGGCGCGCCTCGGCCTCCTGGATCTCGCGCAGCGTGAGGCCGGGCGCAGACGCGCTCGACTCCGTCGCGGCGGCCCAGGGCGCCTTGGACGTCGTCGGCGTGTTGCTGCCGCTGTCGGGCAGCCAAGCAGACAGAGGCGCCTGGTTCTTGCTGTCCTCCTCTGCACCTCCGGGACGCTTGAACTGCTCCTGCGACACGACCTTGACGTTGCCTCCCGCGGCGCTCGGCGGCGCCTGCCGCTTGCCGACGTCCGCGCCGGCGTACGAGCTGAGGTCAGCCGTGGGCATGGGAGCGCCAGCGGCCTCCTCTGCGCGCGTCTGCTGGCCCTTGCGGCGCGAGCGCTTGCGCGAGCTCGTCGCCGGTCCGTCGTCCATCAAGTTGTTCTGCTGCTCGTGGTGCGCCGGCAGTGGCGGCTCGGCAGCGAACTCGACGGCAGTCGGGCTCTGCGGCCAGACCTCCTCCGGCTCAGGCTCGGCGTGCGCAGCCTCCTGCTGCTGCAGCATCACGGCAGTCTCGCGTTCCTGGCGCTCCTGCTCCTCCCGACGCTGAGCCTCCTCCTCCTCCTGTTGCTGAGCGTCGCGCTGTTGCTGCGCGAATGCCTCTTCTTGCTGCTGCTGTTGCTGTTCGGCGAAGTCCTGCTGCTGGCTACTGGCCTCCTCGACGGGGGTGCGCGAGCGGCGCGGCGTGCCGATGGGCTCCGGATCCGACTTGTGCAGCTGAGCCTCGGCCTGCTGGTGCGCCGAAGAGTCTGACCACGGCACCTGCTGCGGCTGCTGGAAGTGATACTGCGGCTGCTGCGGCGCGGTGCCGAACTGGCGCGCGGGCGTGCCCCACGGCGAGCCCGATGCGGCCTGACCCTGCTGCTGGTGTTGTTGCTGGTGCTGGTGCTGCGGCGTGCCGAAGACGTCGGGCTGCTGGTGGTGCAGATGCGCAGTTGCGGCATTCCAGCCGCCAGGCGCGCTGGCCTCCCAGCCGTTGCCTGCCGCATGGCCGCCAAAGTCCCCACCGTAAGGCGTGGCGAAGCCAAGGCCCGGGCCGGCGTGTCCGCGCGCGGCGGCAGCGGCGGCCGCCTGGCGCTGCTCCTGCAGCTCGCGCTGACGTACCATGGCGAGGTAGTCGTCCTGCCCACGCAGGCCGCCTGCGCCGAACAGAGGCGCGGCGCCGAATGGCGACTGCGGCGCCTGCACAAAGGGCGAGTGCGGGCCGCCGAAGCCGGACATTTGCTGTCCCGGCTGCGCGCCGAAGCCGAGGTCGAGCGACGGCCAGCCGCGCGCCTGTACGCTGGCTGGCAGACCCGCGCCGCCCCATCCACCGCGCGAGAGATCACTGCCAGCCGGCTGGCCCAGCGCATCGTACGGATGACCGGCGTGGTGCTCGCCAAGGCCATTCGCCTGGTGCTGTTGCTGCGACGGCTGGTTGCCGTGCGAAAAGACGTCGTGCTCCGGCTGCTGCTGCGCTTGCTGCGGCTCGGGCGCAGGCGCAGGTGCCGGCGGCGGAACAAGGAAGGGCTGCGCCGGGTGGCCGAGCGAGGCGATGATCTCGCCCAGCGGACGGAACGACTCCTCCTCGGCGCGGCGCATCGGCAGGTCCAGCGCAAAGTAGTTCTGCTGAAACCAGTCCTGCATGATGGTGGCGGCGAACGGGCCCTGGTCCTGCCCTGACGGATCGCGGTAGTACCACTGCGCCGTGTCGGCAGACCACGGCGGCGGCGCGGCCGGATCCGACGTGGGAGCCTCGACGTCGCGGCTGTCGTCGGCAAAGCTGCCGCTGCCCACCGGCGGGTCGTCGTCGAGGCTGAGCGCATTCAGCACAGACGCCGTGTGCTGCAGCAGCGAGTCGCCGCTGCTGCCGCCAGCCGAAGCCTGAGCATCGTCGTGGCCAGCAGCAGCCGCGTCGCCATCGACACGTGCGCCGCTAGAAGAGACAATCTGGCGTTCGCGCTGCGACGAGGCGTGAGCAAAGCTCTCCATGCGAAGAGACGAGTCTGACTCACCTTGCGGTTCGTGCCAAAGTTGCCAAAGCCCGCACTGCCGTCCGTCGGAGGGCCGATTGGGCCCTCTCCCGGAGCGCGGTCGCGCTTGAAGCGGCCAGAGAGGCTGACACCCGTCGCCTCTGGACGTGCGGCCACGCCGCTGCCCGAGCTGACCTCGTGTCCTTCGATCGAGGCAGGCTGGCGCGTGCGTGCGTCGTCGTCGGACGCGCGATTCTGGCGCGGCTGACGCAGGGCATCTGGGACGGCACGTGAGCCGCCTGACGGAGAGTCTTTGGCTGGCCGTTTCCACTCACCAGCGGTGCCATTCGCGCTGTCCTGTCGCTTGCGCGCAGGCGGCGCCACGCCCGACAGCACGCCACCCTGAATGCCCGCGAAGCGCTCGCGTGGGATCGTCGGCGAAAGAGGGTTGGCGGCGCCGCCCGTAATGCCGGCGCCCGTGGCGCTGCCGCGCTGGAAGAGGCCCGGACGGTCGCCGGCCGTCTTGTCGCCCGAGAAGGCGCGCGCATTCAGGCCGCGAGGCTGGTCGCTGATGCCGGGAGAGACGAGGGCGTCCGTCGGGCGACGCGCCGAGTCTCGATCCAGAGCGCCAGCAAAGGACTTTGGAGCAGCAGTCAGCAAAAGCGTCAGAGGCGTCGAGCTGCAGACACACCTTCTTCTTCGACACGGGCGCTGCGACAGACGACGGCATGGCGCCTGCTTCTGCACCCAGCAGAGGGCTTTTCGGCGCCCCGGCGCCGGCGGCCAGAGCGGTGCGCGCGTCTGAGCTGTACAAGCTCAGCAGGCGCTCGCGCGACAGGGCCGACGCTGCGTCTTTGCCAGCACCATCGTCTGGCGCTGCGGCCGGCGACGTGGCACTGGCGCCGACGCCCGGCGTGCTGGCCGCCGACGAGGCACCCGCTGCAGCTGCCCCGCCCGCCGCCGCCGCTGCAAACGAGAAGGCGCCCGGCGAGGTCACGGCGCCGGGGCTCTGCACCGAGCCAAGACTGCCCATCGCGGAGAGATTGCCCAGGCTGGGATTGCGGCGTGCTGCCGCCGAGCCTCCGGGCACGCCGGGCAGTGCCGTCGGCGCCGGCGCACGGCCCGAGGGCGACTCGGAGCGTGCCGCGGCAGGCGCAGCGCCCGGCGTGGCGGTGCCCGACGAGGCGGACTGCTGCTTTGCCGGCGCCTTGCGCATCCACTCGGGACCGAAGTGCAGCGAGGTGGCCATGGTAGCGGCGCGGGGTGTGGGGGAGTAGGAAGGGATGGGGCAGGCGCGACGAAGGCTGGCCTGTGTGGAGAGATGAAGAAGAGGTGGCGCGAGCGCGGAGAGAGGTAGGGGTGACGCTTGCGATGAGGGGCAAGAAGGCAGCGAGCGAGAGATGGGTGCGCTGTCGGCAGATGGACAGGCGAGGCTGCGCGAGGATGTGGAACGAGATGGGAAGAGAGAGGCGAGAAGACGGCCGGTGCCCTCTTGTTGGCCACCCGGCGGCGCGCTTCGGCTGCGCGCAGAGGAAGCTCGGGGGCGCAGCGAAAGAGCGGCGCGGATGGGCAGTCGCTCGCGCCGCCAGCGTGCGCATACAAAGACGCGCAGAGAAGCGCCGACGCGTTGAAGCCGCTCCTTTGCGCCCGGAGCCGCGCCTTCTATCCTGATTAGAGGGCTGCTTGCCACGCTCTGACGACCCCGCTCGGCCCCGCACGCAGCTCCAGCCCACCCGCACCGACGTGCTGCGCAGAGCAGCCCGTTACTGAGCATGAGTCTCTGCGCAGCCAGCAGGCTTCAAGCGCTCACCGTCGACGGCGAGCCCTGCGGCGTGGACGAACGAGGCCAGACGCTCAGCATCACGTGCGGCGGCGCAGGATGACGTCGCGATGTGCGCCGTGCGCGCGCGGCGGCAGTCCTCCTCAATCTCCTTCGCCTTCCATCGCAAAGCTCAGCCAGCTCGGGATCGACAAGTGAGAGCCTTTGTCGAGCCAGTTGGATGGTGTGAAATATCTCTGGCTCGATTCAAGATGTGCGTCTCACTTGCGTTGAGGCCAGGCAGAGAGAATCGCAAGGTGAAGTGGAGCAGCGACGAGGAGCTTGCTGCGCATACCTCCGCCGCGCGCGAGCGAATGGAGGCTTGCATTGCACAGGGGGGGGGAGGGGGCACAGGAGCGGAGCCCAGAGATGACTAGAGTCAGAAAGCAGAGACACTGGCGGGGAGGAAGTGCAAGTGGAGCGCAGGTGCAGAGGCTGTAAGAAAGGGCCAGGAGGTCGCCCGGGTGCAGCACTCGTGGGATTGGCTGCGCGCGCGATGGACCTGTGGGCGCCGTGGCCATCGGGGCTGATGGCACCGTGACGACCACGATGAGGGTGCCCACAGGCACCTCCTCAGGGGCACTTCTAGCTTCCGCGAGGCAGGCAAAGGAGCGTCGCATTGGGCCGAGACAGGTGACAAGTGATCAAAATCGCGGTGCGAGCGCGGGGGAGTAAAGTGGGGCAGTAGCGAAGGCGAAGAGGGTGAAGGTAACAGCAGGAGACAATAGAATAGCCGACGAGTCGGAAGCAGGGCAAGGGGGCACGACGCGCCCGCGCGGAGGGCTCCATGCTGCGCATTCACGACTGGCACGCGGGCGAGAGGCAGTAGCCGTTGCTGTTCTTGATGGTGTTCAGCGGGCGGTCGTTGCCCTGGCCGCCCCAGTTTGTGTTCTTCAGAGTCGACGCGCACGAGCGGAAGAAGGCGCAAGTCATCTGGCCGCCGCGCTTCGGCGCGTAGTCGGTGGCGACCTCCTCATCGTAGTAGCTGGATCCCATGTCAGTCCGAGGCTGAGCATCATCCATCATGCAACTAGACTCACGTGTTGACAAAGTGACAGGCCGACATCTGGCTGCATGCCTTGAGACATGCGTCGGCGGAATCGGCGAGAGCATAAGTGAGATAATTGTCGTTGTCGATCGTGGCGGCGCCGACGACCTTGCCCTTGTATGCGCCGCTGTCCGCGACGGTCGTGAAGTTGGTGTAGGTCACCTGGAGAAGAGCGTCAGCCGGCGTCAGCGGAGGTCAACTGTCACTGCGCTCGGTGAGACTGACCTGGTAGTCGCTCTGGCAGACTGGGCCGCCGGGGTTGACGGCTAGAGGAGCGATGTCAGAGAGCGTCACCTTGCGTAGCGATTTCCCACTCACGCGGCGGGTTCGGCTTCGGGTTCGGGCACTCTGCGGAGCGGTGTCAATAGAGGCCCTTCATCACTGCTCGAACTTGGACGGACCTGGGGTGGGGTCCGGGTACGGGTGCGGGTTGTTCGTGGTCGGGGGCTTGCATCCCGTCGTGGGCAGTGGCGCGGGCGCGTTTCCGCTGCGGCAGAAGGGCGTCCAGGCGAGCAGCGGCAGGCCGCAGAGCGCCTTGTCGCCGCCGTCCCACATGGGCAGGGTCGGCAGCGCGAGCTTGCCGCAAGTGAAGCCTGTCGGGGGAGGGGCGTGTGTTAGAGCCGGGAGGCCACGGCGGGCGTGCAGGCTCAGGACGCACCGGGCTTGCTGTTCACCTCCCACGGACGGCCGACGGCACCGAGGTACTGCTGCTTGCACAGCGGCGTCGACTAGAGTCGTCGTGTCAGCATCTTTGCTCAAACGATGCGTAGCGCTACCAGGCGACTGACCACTCCGCCGAGCTTGGAGGTCAGGCCGCCATGAAGGTTGAGCAGGGGGTTGGCCGAGACCGACGAGGCGACGAGAGCCACCGTGGTGGCAGCGACGGCGAACTTCATGTTGAGAGAGTGTGGGCTTGAGAGAGTGTGAGTAGCAGGGAAGAGTGAGGGAGACGGAGCAGGATGAGGAGATCGTCTTTCGGACCATCGAGCACGGCCCTCTTGTAGGGCACAGAACGAGCTGCCGCAACTGACAAGACAGCGTCTGCCGGGTGCCGTGGCATGCCACGCTCTGTGGTGACACGGCCCCCACACGCTTGTCAACGAGGACAGGCTGCTGCGCCGTGCCGACTTGTCCCGTGTGCAGCTGTCTCGGGCAGCGCTCTCAGCTGCACGCACGTTCTTCTCAGAAGCGGCGGACCTGTGGCGCTGCGGGTCTGGCAACAGCTTCGGGCAGTCAACAGATGGATCTGGCCCACGCGGGGCAGCGAGACACGGCAGGCGGCCTTGGCGACAAGGCAACGCAAGGGCGTGCTGATTCTGCCGATGCCGCCGCTCCGCAGCATCTGGCAGCTCTGCTTGCTGCGAAACGGCCTTTACCTGCATACACACTCGCTAGAGGTCGGCGAAGCGGCACATCTGGACTTCGAGAGTGACACCGCTTGCTTTCCGCGCGGGCTGTCGGAGCCGACGGCACGGGCCAGCCTTGTGTGCTTCCCGTAGCCGTCGCACCGGCCGATCTAGCGTCGGAAGCCCAACCCGAGGAGTGGCAGCAGGTACGGGCCAATAGCTTGTCCCTCCGCGGGGCCGCGCGACTGGCGACGCGGCGGGCGCGAGATGGTCCGTGACCGGCCGATGATCGCCTGCTGTGCCCGACGGCCGCTGCGGCGCAAGCGTCGGAGGCAAGCAGACGCCTTCTTTCCGCAGCGGGTCTCTATGTGAGACCTGCTGCGCTGCAAACAAGCCGTGGCGCTGCGGCAAGCGCAGTTGCCGGCCGGGCCGGGAGCGCGTCGAGGCGAGCGTTTGCGTAGACCTTCTTCGCTTGCGCTTTCGGATGCCGCGAAACGTGGCGGCGGAGCGGGTGCAGGCCAGAAGCAGCGCGCAGCCGCCAGGCGCCGCAGCCCTGGCGCGCTGCTGCAGCAGGTGCCAGTGCAGTCGAGTGCAGCTCGCGCGGATTTTTCCCGCCAGGCCCGTCCAGCTCCTGACCCACGTGAGGGCACCCTGAAGGCCGGACCCGCGGGACAGCTGTCGACCAGGACGGCTCCCACGTGGTCGATGGTCGTGAGCTCTCTTTGTCGGCCGAGATGAGGCAGATGCTATGGACGCAGCGACGACGCAGGGCCTTCAGCGGCCGTCGCGCCGCGGCCGCCGCACCGCGTCGCTCTACGCGCGTCTCGCTCTCCGCAGCCGCTTCCTGCGTGCCCGATCCTGCGCCTATGCGAGCTGCTGCCGAGGTGCCGCGCTTTCCTGCGCCGTCGTGCGCTGATTCTGCTGCCCCGTGTCGATCCAGCGCAACAAGCATGAAACGTGGGATGTACAAGGCAGATAGAGCGTATGGTACGTGTACGGACGTCGTGAGATGCCCGGCTGCGACCGCGCGGTCGCTCGTGGGGCTCGCAGCCAGCAGCGCAGCCGGCGAGGTGCGGGCGTGCGGTGCTGCGCGACGCATCCGTCAGCTGCTTTGAGATGCTCGCTGCCTCTGCCACTCAGCGCATCCAGGCGCTGTGCATCAGCCTCGCCGCGCCGTGTGGGACAAGAGAAGTGCAGCACATGCTGCTGGAGGTCATGTGCAGCATGGTCCATGAGGACTGCACCGCCATTGAGGCGTAGCACCGAGTGCAGGCGTGGGCTGAGGATGCATGGCGAGCGGAGGAGAGGTGCGAGGTCGCGCTGCGCTGCCGCGCTGACCATGCATCTTGACGTCGTCTCCGCGCGATGGCCATGCGGTGCGCGCCAAGGCATGCCGAGCCGGCACGGTGACGGCGCCGTCTGTGCGTGGGAAGCGCCGCGCTCAGGGCCCTGGCGAGGGTGCTACACTGGCGAGGTGCCTGCGGAGCGCCGCGCTGCCGCTGGACGCCGCAGCGCAGATCTCGCTTCGGCGCCGGTACCTCAGCAGCCTTATGTGCCGTCAGCGAGACTCTGACTCGTCTTGTGCCATGTATCGCTGCTTGTCCTCCTGCTGACCTCGCGGCGCGGGATGGAGCGCACGCCCCGCGCGGTGAGCTGCGGCTGTGCTGCCCAGATCTTAGATTGCCTGATGTTGCCCTGCCTGAGGGGCGCGCCCTTCGTGCCTTCCCACCACCACCACCCAACTCAGCACCACGATGGCCTCTACCAACTACGACGACACGCTCAAGAACGCCAGCGGCGCCGGCCCGTCGGCCAACGGCGAGTCGCTCGACTTCAACATGGACGAGCAGGAGGCGCAGTACGCACAGCGCGTCGCCGCCAAGCGTTTGGCCGTGCGCGACAACGCCACCGGCGACAAGGGCCTGCTCAAGGTGCAGCCGCTGCGCAAGCAGGACATGCAGGTTTCGTATGCCCAAACATTCGATATTGAGAATGCCAACAACGGCTTCTATGGCTCGCTGATGAACTGCCTCGGTGTCGTGGCCGGCTCGCTGGGCCAGCTGCCGTGCTGCATCTGCTGCGTGAGTGGCGCGTGCGCTGTCTCGTCCCCTCGATGCTGACGCGCGTTCGCGACACAGCCCAACCCCTTCAAGGAGATCAAGTGCGCTCGTTGACTCAGTCGAACAGTGTACAGGAGAGCTAACCTTTATTTCTCTGTGCCTAACAGCCAGGGCTCCGTCGGTGAGTGGCTGCCGCGGCGCGCGAGTGGCATCCCGACGCGCGCAGCGCTGACGTGTCATGCCCGCTCCCCCTCTTCCTCTTCCCTTCCTCTCTCCCTTCCCCCCTACAGGCCTGGTTAGCCGCTATGGACAGGTTCTTCGAGCTGTAGACCCTGGCCTAGTTCAAATCAACCCTTGCAGCGAGACCTTGCGAACGGTGGACATGTGCGTAGTTTTCTGGACCGTCAGGATGAGGGGAAGTCGATGTGCTGACGCACAGAGAGCAGCAAGATCCAGATGTCCGTGATTCCGAAGCAGACGGTCATGACGGTGAGTCGCAGGACCTCCCTGTCTCGGCTTGTGCATCGCTCATGCTCTTTCCTCCAGCGCGACAACGTCAGCGTCGAGATCGAGTCGATCTGCTACTGGCACGTCGAGAACCCTTACCTCGTCAGTCCTCCTCCCATCGAGCATGTGTACCAGGCACTAACGCATGACCACAGGCTGCGTACGGTATCTCCGACGTGCGCCAGGCGCTCATCGAGCGCGCCCAGGCGACGCTTCGCGACGTCGTCGGCGCACGCCCCCTGCAGTCCGTCGTCTCGGACCGTGAGGGTGTGGCAATCCAGGTGGAGGAGATTGTCGAGACAACCGCCAAGGCCTGGGGTGTGCGGGTTGAGAGCATTCTGATGTGAGTTCGCTGGACTGCTACAGTGTTCGTGTATCGAGCTACCTGCAGAGCTGACCCTCTCCCTCCCACAGCAAAGACGTTCGTGGAGCGTCCGAACGTTCTTTGCTCGCGCCGCTGACTCCTCGCTCCACAGATCATCTTCTCGCGCGAGCTGCAGGAGTCGCTGTCCTCGGCGGCCACGCAGCGCCGCATCGGAGAGTCCAAGGTCATCGCCGCTCGCGCAGAGGTCGACGCTGCCAAGCTCATGCGCCAGGCGGCCGACATTCTTGCCTCGCCCGCGGCCATGAACATCCGCACGCTCGAGGCGTATCAAGCCATGGCCAAGTCGGTGCGTGTGCCTGTTCCTTGCCCGCCTCGCCATCCTTCCACGACCACATCCTGCATGTCCTCATGCTCCTGTCTGCACCTGCTGACCTCACACCGTACACAGGCCAACTCCAAGGTCATCTTCGTGCCCACGGACATGGCGACGGGCGCCAACGCCGCGTCTGGCAGCAGCGCGCTGCAGAACACGGCCGTGCTGCAGCAGCTCGCCGACCAGGACTGAGCGGCTGATGCGCCCTCAGCAGATGCTTCACTCTCGATGCGTCCCTCGCCATTCCTCTGTCCCTTGCTCCTGCCTCGCTCGCTGTCTCGTGCCCACCGCTCTCGCAAGCCGCGCGCGTACCCGCGTGCGGCGCGCGGCGCGCTCGCCTACCCGTCCCGCATCGAATACCTGACGCACGCTCTCGGTCGTCACTGCCGCAGCAATGCGTGCTGGCTGACACTGCAATGTACGCCTGTTCCCCTTCAGTTGTGTTGAGTGAAGTGAGGTCAAGGGCGGACGGCTGTGCGAGCGAGCCAAGTCGAAATCTGAGTCGACCGGGTCCTGCGGCACCTCCGCGCAGACGCGCCGCCGCGGCGCCTGCATCTACATGACGCGCGCCTCATCACCGGCGCGCCGCGCATACGTGCGTCCCACTTCTCTTCCACCTCCACCACACCCTCACTTCCGCGCTTCTGCCTTCGTCTACGCGCACAGCCCTCACACTCTGTTCGCTCCGCGTGCGCTTCCACCTGCGCGCAGGATCATGGGCAAGCGTCGGCGCTCCTTTCTCGACGCAGAGCCGCAGCCCACGCCCGAGCTCGTCGCGAGCGGCAGCGGCAGCGCCTCTGCGTCGCCGGCGCCGGGCACGCCTGCTCGGCGCTCGGCGCGTCTCGCCGTGCCGTGGACAGGCAGCAGCAGCCGCGCAGGCGCCGACCTCAGCGAGCTTCGCTCTCAGGCTACCTCGCCGGACAGCAGAGTCCTGACGCCGCGGTCCAAGTCGCCCGGCCCGCAGCAGACTGCGGCCGCAAGACTCGAGGCGTCACGACAGGCCGACGCGTCTGGCAGCGCCTCGCGCTCCTTCTTCTCGCGCATCGGCGGCGTCTTTGGCTGGAAGCGCCGACGCGTCGAGGAGCCGTCGTCATCCTCGACGTCTAGCTCTGCATCGCCATCGCCGCGTCCGCCGCTGCAGCTCTCTGCCGAGCGGCCCGAGCCATCACGGCCCATTCTGCGCCCGGCTGCCAGCCTGCGCGAGATCGCCGCCATGTTCCAAAGCACCGACAAGCGCGAGCTGGAGCGCAGCACGCGTGCGCGCTCTGTGCACTTTGATGAAGACGAGGACGAGCAGGCGGCAGAGGCGCCCAGCGAGGACGCGCCGCTCAGTCCGATCATGACGCCGAAGCAGGAAGTGCAGGAGGTGGAAGCTGCGCTCGCAGCAGAGGCACCTCCCGCGCCCTTGCCGGTAGCGGAAGAGCCGCAGTCTACAGACGTAAACACCGGCGCAGCAGCTCCGTCCGCAAAAGCTGCCTCAACAGGCCGGCGAAAGAGCAGCGACGCTTCCGCGAAGCGGTTGGAGTCAGGGCCGGTGCCGCCAGCAGCACAGGCGCTGGCAGAGATGGACGCGGCAGAGCCAGTGTCAGTAGTGCCGAAGCGTCTGCCGCAGATGCAGAGCACACTCGGGCCGCACACACGCTCGCCGCGCTTCAACAAGCACCTGCCGCCGCCGCCGATTCCGCCGTTGCTGCACCCAGCACCCGCACCAGCAGACGAGGAACAGCAGGCTCCGGCACCGAAGCCGGAGACTGCTGCTGATGACAGCATGGCATCGGCGCAGGCTCCTGACGTCGACGCAGCTGATGAGGCAATTGGCGCGAGCTCGTCGCCTCCGCCGAGGCCGGACGCAGCTGCACTTGACGAGGCAAAGAGCGTCGTCATGGACAGCGTCGAGGACGAGGCCGCAGCTCTGTCGGAGCCAAGCTCCGCCCAGCTGGCGGATGATCTGCCGCAAGATCCGGACGTGCCTTCCATCTACCCGGCATTGCACTCCTCTCCGAAGGCTACGGCCGCACGCGAGCAAGCGAGCGTCGCAGCCGCCGAGCCCGCGCCCAGCGTCGCCGAGGCGCCGATGCCTGCCATCTTGAGCCACGACGAGACAGACGCCGCGAGCAGCCTCTACCCCTCGCTGCCGTCACTGCAGAGCGAGCAGAACGTCGCCGGTCCTTCAAGTCCGCGAGCCGCGCCCGGCAGCCTGCCAAAGTCGCCTTCAGTCTCATCAGACGAAGACGAGATCCTCGTTCCGCGCCGCTCCACTTCGCAAGAGGCGCCTGAGCCCGTCGCGCGACCGCAGCAGCCTGCAGCACCAAGGCGGACAGCGTCCGCAGAGAAGCGGCGGCGCAGCAGTGCCGGCAGCTTCGCCGCAGATCTAGTCGGACGCGCCGCGGCAGCCGTCGGCGAGGCGATTTCCGACGCGGTGCAGGCTGCGGGCGGCGAGGCAGACGTCGAGGCTGTGCCCGCTGCGGCGACCAGCTTTGAAGCTTCAGCGCTGGACTCGGGCTCTGACGAGGCGGAGGAGGAGCTCGTCGAGGATCAGAGCGAGGAGGACGAGAAGCCATCGGACGAAGAGGAGGACGATGACGAGATCCTGCTCATCGAGACGCAGCCGAGTCACCTCGTGCAGGGCATCAGCGGGCTCGAGGAAGAAGAGGAGCCGTTCGCTCCGGCGCTCGAGGAGAACGAGGACGTGGGAGACGTCGCCAGCGCGGAGGATGAGGACGAGGAGGAGTCCGAGTCAGGAGATAGCGGTGATGACGACGGGGAAGGCGTCGCGCTCGACGACGCGTCGGTCGGCAGCGAATCAGCAGCATCTGGATCAAGCGAAGTGCTCGACGAGAGCGAGAGCACACCCGCTCAGCAGCTCAACGGCCACGATGCAAGCACGTCGCGCTCGTTGTCGCCGTCATCCTCCTCTGCCGCGCTGACGGACCAAGAGAATGTCTTGATGCCGCTGCCGCGTTCACCTGGCGCAGCTGCGGCCGATGTCGAGCATCCCATTGACCTCACAGGTGACAGCGACTCGGAGGAGCAGTCGACAGATGCTCTGACAGACCGGGCACTGGAAGTGCTGCGCTCGACGTCGCCGCGCAAGGTCTTGGCGGCTCTGCCCGCTCCGCGCGTCCCTCGTCCATCGTCAGGCATCCTGTCCAGCGGACCGTTGGCGCGCGCGTCGCTGTCGGGCGCTGCGCAGCTCAACGGATCGCTCGCCCGCTCGCCTTCCGCAATCTCGAGCGTCTCTGCGATTGGCGCTTCTGCTCTGCGGCAACCGCGCCGCTCTCTTTCGCACACGTTCGCTGCGCGCGCCGCGGCCAAAACGCAGAAGCGCAAGCGGGAGCCCATCTTTATGTGGGACCACAAGGTCAAAACGCAGGCTGCCAACGAGCAGAAGAAGCGCGCCACGCTGGCGGGCATGCGCCGCCGCGTGATGGATGCGACGGGACACGACATTCACTCGCTCGACGCCGTCGTCAGCTACCGTACCGAGGTTGAGCGCAAGTCCAAGACCAATGGCGTCATTGTCTCGTCATTCGACTCCGAGCTTACCATTCTTCGCGATCTGCTGGCTCGCCGGGAGAAGAGCGTCTCCCAGAATGCGCTCCGCCAATCCCGGACGCACCTGAAGGAGGCCGAGCGACTTGCAGCGGAGGATGCAGAGCGCAAGCGACGGGCGCGTGGCATCCTCGGCCGCCAGCCGGTGAGTAGCACGTGCATAGTCAGTGCGCAGTGCCTTACTCCCTCCTGCAGTTGCCCGAGGCTCTCACGCCCGAGCAGCAGGCAGTCGTGCAGCAGGCGCTCCGCGACCGCGGCTTCAAGAAGGCCATCACCGGCGCGGAGGCGACGCACCGCAACATCCAGCGCCTGCAGCCGGGCAAGTGGCTCGACGACGAGGTCATCAACTTCCACATGGTGCTCATCAACACGCGCAACGCCGACATGCTGCAGCGGCGCGCCTCGGCGCCGCTGCCGCTGCAGAACACCTTTGCCAACGCCAACGGCGACGAGGTCAAGGCGGCCAAGCTCGCCGCGCGGCGGGCGCGCCAGGCGTACGGCTACTGGAACGTGCACGCCTTCATCACGGGCATGTACACGCGCATCGAGGAGGGAGGGCACAAGGCCGTCGCGCGCTGGACGAAGAAGGTCGGCGACGTCTTTGTCAAGGACCGCCTGCTCTTCCCGATCAACCGCGGGCAGAGCCACTGGGTGTGCGCGTGCATCAACCTGCGCGAGCGCCGCTTCGAGTTCTACGACAGCATGGCCGGCGGCTCGTGGGAGCGCGAGGCCGCCGAGCACCTCTCCGACTGGCTCGTGAGCGAGTGGCGCGCCAAGAAGGCCGCGGCGCACGGCGGGCGCGAGCTCGACGTCTCGGGCTGGCAACGCTACACGTGCCGCACGAACCCGCAGCAGCGCAACGGCTACGACTGCGGCGTGTTCAGCGTGCTCATGATCGAGCAGCTCTCGCGGCGCGACCCGTACGCGCCCATGCCGCCGCCGCTCGACCCGGCCGAGCTGCTCGAGGCGAGCGCGCGCGACGCGGAGCGGGGGCCGCCGCGCGAGGAGGATGTGCTGATCGACGAGCGGTGGAACTTCGAGCAGTGAGTCCCGCATCCCCTGCAACGTCGTCGAGTGCTCGCTGACGCAGTGCTGCCCGCGCCTCAGGAAGAACATTCCGTACTTCCGGCAGCGCATGATCTACGAGATCAGCAGTGAGTACCGCGCTCGACCGTCGGTCTTCTCTGCTGACCCGGCGTCGCATCTACCAGCCGCGCAACTGCTTGACTACTGAGTGCATGTCAATGGTCATTGGGCTCGCAGCTGCCTTTGCGCCAGCTTGTGTGAGCGTGTCGTGTGCGTCGTCTGCTGCCTACTTGGCGTGGGGGTGGAGCAGCACCTGCGCGAACAGGGTGTCAGCGCGAGTCGAGTGGAAGCCAGGTGGGCGGCTCGCCTTCGAGTAGCCCTCGATTCGCTGGTCGAACTTCTTGTAGGCGTCGGGCGCGCCTTCAAGTCCGTTGAGCTCGTTCGAGACGACAAACGACGGCTTCGCCACACCAGACGTGATCACTGAGCGAAGGCGTGAGCTGAGGACGCAAAAGGCGGCGCGGACGGGTGACTGACGGTCGCGGAGCTGACGGTTGTATGACTGCAGAGAGAGAGAGGAGAATGAGAGCACGTACGATGCGGGCATGCATGCTGCGATCCCTCACCTTGACGTTGCACTGTCCAGTGGCGATGGACAGGCCCTTCTCGAAAAGCTGAAGCAGGCGCAGTCAGCGGCCGGTTGAGCTCGTCAGGACAACGGACCGCACCTTGCCGAAGGGAAGGCTCAGCATGCCGAGCGCCGACTCCGAGTCGGGCGCTCCGGGGTCGGAGGGTACCTGCAAGGGGCATGATCAGCCATCTTGGGCCAACATCTGGCACTTCAGTCTCTTGCTCACGTAGAGGCCAGGGCAGCCGATGCCGCCGCACGCGCGCGTGACCTTGATGCACGAGGTGAGGACCGTGTTGGCCGCCTCCGTCCTGATTGGCGAAGAAGAGAGACAGTCAGACGCCTGTCAGTAGCGCGCAGCAGCCGACACGAGAGACTCACTTGCCGTCCGACGTGACGGCTTGGTAGCCAACGCAATCGACACTGCGGTCCACCATGCCGCCCTGCTCGATGATCTGGTCCACCGGGTCGGACTTGGTGAAGTCGATGGGAATGCAGCCGATCGACTCGGCGAGCTTCAGGCGCTCGGGCACGCGGTCGACGACGAAGATCTTTGACGCTCCCATGATCTTCGCCGAGTACGCAGCCACTGCGAGTGCAGCTGTGTGAGCGAGTGGTCGCTGGAGCAGGCAGCAAGACACGCACTGAGGCCGACAGGGCCGGCTCCGAACACAGCGACCGTGTCTCCAGGAACCAGGCCCGCAAGCTTGCAGCCATGCCCTGCCGAGGAGGATCAGCTTGGGCAACCGCGTTCTCCCGCCTGCGTCAACGCACAGCCCGTGGGGAAGATGTCGCTCAGCTTTGGCAGCTTTGTGTCAGCGTTGGCCCCCGAGAACCGCTCAACAGCCTTCCGTCCCTCACCATGGCGTAGTCGGCCTCGTGCTCGGTGCCGGGCGGTAGGATGAGAGCGTTGAAGTCGGCCTGTCACACAAGCCTCGTGAGCCGGTGTCTCTACGCCCGCATCTGCGCGCTCACGTAGGGCACACGCAGGTACTCGGCCTGGCCGCCGGGGTAGGGTCCCACTGGAGAAGCACCGGCCAGTCAGCCTGCCGCGCATGACACACCCTCGGTCGGCCTTACTAGCAACGTAGCCCTGCATCAGAGCTTGCGTCAGCCTGGAGCAGCTCCTACATCCTTCACCTGCCGCTCACGTATGCGGCCCCAGCGAAGCCCTTGTTGGCCTCGGTACAGAACGCAGTCTTGCCCGACTGGCAGTTCTAATTCGGCCAGCGTCAGCGCGCGAGCAGGTGACTGCAAGCAAGAGCACTCACACGGCAGCCGCCGCAGCCGATGTTGAACGGCAGGTTCACCCGGTCGCCCTTCTTGAGCAGCGTCACGCCGGAGCCGACCTGCGCGGGAGGTGTGAGCGTGGAATAGCGCGTGCTCACCGTCGTGGCACGCACCTCGTCTACAATGCCCTGGTTCTCGTGCCCGAAGCACAGACCGGGCTCAGCAGCGGTGCGGCCCTAGCGCGGTGCATCAGTCAGCGAGAAATGGGACAGCCTCGACAATCAGCTCACCTCGTACATGTGCAGGTCCGAGCCGCAGATGCAGCTGGTGGTGATCTGCAGCGAGATTTAGTATGCTGCCAGTCCCGGACGCGCACCGAGGCAGTACAGTACGCACCTTGACGATGACATCGGAGCTGCCGGCGCGGGGATGGCATGTCAGCGAGGCTCATCTCGCGGTAAGACGCGGGCACGCACGCATGCTGGATCGTGGGCTTGGGCACGTCCTCAATCTGAACGTTGTGCGGGCCCTTGTACACGACGGCGCGGTGCGTGACCATGATGGGCAGCGGCTGGATGGCGGTGGGAGTAAGTCTTATTTGAAGCCGTGCGGCGTACGAGGCTGGTGGTCTGAGAGGGCGAGGTGGTGGTGCGGAGGCAAGCCAGACGGGACAAGAAAGGACGGGTCCAAGCGCTGCGGACTTAGCCCCGCATGTTCAACGATTGAGCTGAGAAGGCATCGCCTCGCACTTGGCGCTGATGCGTTCCCCGCCGCCCCAGCAGCAACAGCATCGGCGCTGCTTCCGCGTCTCTGCATTCTCGACCGCCGCTGCAGAGTAATCCACATGCTCGCACTCCAGCTGCAGAGCGCCCGCCTGCCTGAGATGCTCGGTCTGTGTCGCGCGACATCCGAGCAGGGCGTGAGGTGGCTCGTGCACTCTGCGAAGGAGCGGGCTAACCGCCGCGGCGCGCCCAAGTGGAGGCGCCGCGCGGGGCGCGTGGGAACAGCTGCCTCCGCCTCCTCCTCCTGCAAGTCTCTCGCTCACCTCCTCAGACGACTCCCACACGGTCCTGTGGCCAGCGACAAGACTTATGAAGCGATGCGCAGCTCATGAATATATCGATAGGGTCCACGTGCAAGCTGCAGCATCTCCGCGCCGTCGCGCTCATGCCTCGTGTTGCAGCGGCGTCGTCTCGCGCTGCTGCTGCTCAAGCAGCTCGACGAGCTCGCGCGGGCACGCGGGGATCTTGGGCATCTTGTTCTGCTGCAGCGCCAGCTCGGCCTGCTGCAGGCCCGCGATGAAGTCGTGCGCCAGATCGAGGCGCACGTCGGCGCACAGCTCGCCCAGCAGACGGCGCACCGGGCCGGGCACGTCGCTGACGGGCGCGGCGCCGGCGGGCTCCGCTGCTTCTGCGGCTGCAGTCATCTGGGCTCGCGCTCGCCGCACCTCGGCGTACAACCGGTCGCAGGCACTCTCCTGAAGCGCACAGTCAGTGATGGATTGGAGCAATCCGACACGGCGCACTCACCGCCTTCATGCCGCCAGCGCAGTTGCGGTCGAGGATGAATGGATCTGCGGCGTTTGTCAGCGAGTGGGCCACGTCGTGGCTGTGATCTTGTCCTCACCCTGGATGACGAGCTGATTCTGCCGCCAAGAGTCCGGCTCCTCGAAGTTGTCGAGCGTCATGGTGACGTCTCCGTCGCGCGCGGGCAGGGCGAGATCCTCCTGCTCGGCAGCATTGACAGCCTCGTCGTCGGGCACCGCGTTCTCGACATTCGGCAGCACCTCGTCTGCCTCTTGGGCCTCTGCCTTCTGAGCCTCTACCTCCTGGGATTCAGCATCCTCAGCCTCGCTGCCGTTCTCGGCGCTAGCCATCTTGCTCTTGCGCTCGGGTGCTCGCGGCCGAATCTTGCCCGCAGCGATGGACACGGCGCAGCGCGGCAGCTGGTCGAGCCACGTAAAGAAGCCGACAATGGCGGCGCCGAGCGCCACATTCTGGCTGTGCTCGTCCTTAGGCTCTGCGCGAAACGGCGCCGCAGCATGCGGCTTCTGCAGCCGCGCAAACGTCACGTCGTAGATCTTGCCTGGCTGCGTCACGCGCCGATCGCCCGGCCGGGCATGCCCAAGCTGGCGCGCTCGCTCCCGCTCGGCGGCAGTCGCACGGCGGTGAGTGATCTTGCCTGCCTTCCAGAGACGTTCTTGCGGCACTTCGAGCGCCTTGAGCAGTTCAGGCGACTGCAGGTTGGGCAGATCGCCCGTCGACTGCAGGTACTGGATCGCGAGCAGCGTGTAGGAGTACGAGCTGAGCGTGGCGCTGCCGAGCGCGCCGGACGGGTCGTTAATCTGCCGCCGCTTGGCCCACGTCTTGATGGCAGACACGAAGGGCCGGAAGAGCGACGGCCGCAGCTCGGCGTACGTGCGCAGCAGGTCCGAGTTGGCCTGCCCGAAGCGGTCGTTGATGTTCAAGTCGAGCTGAAGGCCGGTCTGCGGGTCGCGGAACTTGACTGCAGCAGGGTAGTCGTCAGCGGACGCAGCGTATTTTACTTGCCGAGCCACTCACCGATCGGCACGGCGGCAAAGACGACGGGCTGCACGTCGACAAAGCCGCCGGCGCTGAGCGCATGGCCGACGACGCGCACGTCGTAGTAGTCTGGCATGTTGCCGCGCAAGCGCAGATTGCGAGCGCGCGAGGGCAGCACGAAGCGCTCCGGCTGTGAGCTTGCAGGTTAGCACGGGCGCATAGGCATCTTTGCTCGCACAACTCACAGTGCCAACGCCCAGCGGCCTCATCGGATCCAGCAGCACGAGGTCAAGATCGCTGTCTGCGCCATACATGCCCGTGATCGACGAGCCAAACGGCGCGACGATCAGGCCGTGCGCGCCCCAGCGCCGCGAGATCGCTCCCTGGACACGAGTCATGAGGCCTCGCCGGGCATTGATATCGGCCTTCGATGCGCGAGTAGACTGGAAGCCATACATCGGTCAGCAGTATGCCGGAGCCTGTCGGGCTGCGAACACTCACGTCCCAGATGTCGCGTGCCTGGCGGCCGACTGCCTCCCGCCAGTCTGACAGCGGCTTGGAGCCAGAGGCCTTCTCTGCCTTGGCGATCGCAGCCGCCTCTGCGCCCTCCAGCTTTCTGAGGAGCGTTGTAGCGTCGGCAAGGTCTTGCGCGATGATCTCGTTCGCCTGTTCCCGTCTGGCGCGCGTGGGAGCGCCCTTGATGAGCGGCGCCATGGCTGCTTTGAGCTGCGCCTCTTCTTGACGCGATGCTGTAGGAATCGGCAGCGTGCCTTCTGCATACGGCGGGTTGCGTGGAATGCCAGGCGGCCGCGGTTGCGCCGGATGCTCATGCGGCTTCGTCGGAATGTAGAGCCCCGCGCTGGGCGTTGCAGATGGACTGGCCTCGCGACCGCCTGCGTTCGATGGGCCTGGCACAGCGACGCCGACACCACCTCCAATAGCCACGCCGGCACTGCGCGGCGCAGGGCTTTTCATGCTTCTCGGTGCATCCGGGATCGCGATGCCTTGTCCTGCGCCAGTGCCGAACACCTGCTGTGCCCGGTTCTGCTCCTCATTGAACGCAAAGGCACGCAGGCGTGCTTCGACGTGCGCGATCTGCGTCGAGGCAGGGCCGCTTCGGAGCGGGCGTTTGGCGATGACGCGAGGCTCAGACGCAGATCCGTTCTTGGCTGCCCCAGGAACACCCAGCAGCGTCCGCGGATCTCTGCACGGCTTTGCGGGCGCGCTCTCCGGGGGTCCTGCCGAAGAGCTGGCGGTGGCAGGCTTGCCAGTCTGCCCGGTGCTAGCTCCAGGCATCTCGACGACGGGCAGTGGCGCGAGAGGCGTCGTCTGCCTTGCTCCTGCTGGCGGGCTGCTGGCACCGGCCTGCTTGGGCGCTCCATTGCGCTGTCTCGGGCCGCGCGGCAACTTCTCGCCTTGGTCCTCGCCCGCCGCTGCCTCTGCCGACGCCGAGCTGCTAGACCCCGCGGCAGCGTTGTGGCGAGCACGCTCGCGAGCTCGGCGCGGCGCCTTGCGCGGCGACGACGACGACGACGACGACGCAGCACCAGCCGCCGCCGCACGCACAGGCGTCGAGGCCATGAGCCGCAGCAGCGACGAGACGGCGCTTATTGCGGCTGCGAGAGGCGCGGCCGCGAGTGCAGCGCAGCGGCAGAGAGGAAGGGCGTGCGAGAAGGAAGTCGAGAGGCGCGCTTGCGCCGACGATGGACAGTTGGCGTTGCGCTCGCAGTCGGCGCTCCAAGTGTATGCGCGCAGCAGAGGTGCGAAGGGGGTGAGTGCTGATGCTGGTGGGGTGAGAGGAAGGTGAGAAGCTGGCTCAGCCAGATTCCAGCGTCAGGAGACGCGGCGACGTCAGCTCCAGCCCGGACGCTGTCGGCCTGCCTTGGCCTGCTCTGGTGGAGGCGCGCATCGTGCGGCGGCACGTGAGGCCAACACCAGGAATTTGGCCTTCGCTCCACTCTTCTTCCTTCGCGTCCACCACTCCAGCTGCCTCACAGACGCACACCTGCGCAGCGCACCGCTCCTCCTGCCACACAGCTCGTAGCTCGTCCTACTTCACGGCGTCGTCCACCGCATCTGCCCGCTGCCGCAGCGCCATGTCGGACGCCCAGGCCGCCGGCGAGCCTGCCGCGCTTGCGCCTGCAGCTGCCGAGCAGCCGGCCGTGGAGGCCAGCACTAGCAGCAGCGAGGCAGTGGCGCAGAAGAGCAGCACAGGCGCCGCAGAGGCCAGCTCGAGCACCCAGAAAGACGACGCCGCCAGCACGCCGGCGTCTGCCTCGGTCAAGCGCGCCCTCTCGCCCGCCGATGCCACCACTGCTAAGCGTGCAAAGACGACGGACGCGCCTGCAGAGCCGGCGCCGGCGCCTGCTGCTGAGGCGCCCATGTTCGAGGGCCTGAGCGAGAAGGACGTGGGCATCACGGCCTATGTCAGCCCGGACCTTGTCGGCCTGGAGGGCGGCGTCATCAAGCAGCGGTGAGTGTGCTGCGATATGCCCGGTGGAGTGCAGCAGGTTTGCCTGTCCTTGCCATGCAGCTTGGACGCTGTTGCTATGCTTCAGTCAGCTCATACTTCGGCCGTAGCTTCTCCGACTTTCATGTCTTCGAGGTCAAGAAGGGCGGCGAGGTCTGCCACCTCACCTCTCTCGCACCGCCATCGCGCGAGGAGGGCGGCGATGGCCTGGCGGAGCAGCTCGCTGCCGAGATTGCAGAGCAGGACGACTCCACTGGCGAGCTGCGAGCTGCGCGCTTGGAACGCGAGCAGGCGGAGCGCACTGCCAAGCGCGAGGCGCGCGAGGAGGCGGAGCGACAAGAGGCCGAACGTTCGTGGGCATGGCGAGAGACGATCAGCGAGGAGCAGGAGGGCCAGATTGCCCAGGTCCTCGGCGCAGAAACGGTCGCGCCGCTGCGGGAGCTGTGGGAGAAGGGCCCGCCGGCGAGGGATGCTGGCGGCCGTGGTGGCCGCGGCCGCGGCGGGCGAGGAGGCCGAGGAGGCCGCGGCGGCGGCAGGGACGCGCCTGATGCGCGAAGTGGCCCGGAGGTGCTGACGCCGGTGAGCAGAGTCTCGAGAGAAAGGGGCGCGACATCACTGACGAGCTGCCCAGTCGCTCGAGTCAAAAGAGCTGCGCACGGCTGCGCATCATCTTGTGCGAGAGCTCTTCGGCGGCCGCCTGCAGAGTGCTGCCGTCGAAGAGAGCGCTGCCCCTCCTCCTGCAGCCGCAGAAGTGGACGAGGACGCACTTGCCAACGCAGCGTCGTCGACGAGCGAGACGAAGGTTGCGGCTCCTGCGGTGCCTGCGCTCACGCGCATCAAGCTCACGTGGAGCTCGGGCGCCAGCGTCAAGCTTGATCCTCGCAATCGCGAGCCGCGCGAGAAGGGCGCTCAGGCTGGTGAGCTGCCGCTGCGTCTGACTCGCGGACCCAGTCATGCTGACAGCCTCGTGTCGCAGCGCAACTGCCGGACTACATCCACTTTCTGCTGCACAAGACCAACCGCGAGACGCAGGACGCTCTTGCCATCCTCGGACGCTCGCTGGGCCTTGGCGGTCCTACGCCTGGGCACTTCAACAAGGCGCTGAGCGACCTCAAGTTCGCCGGCACCAAGGACAAGCGCGCCTCGACGGTGCAGCAGGTCTCGCTGCGCCGCGGCAGACGCACGCTCGACGACGTGTGGAAGGCAGTCAACGGCGTGGGCCGCGAGCGCGACGTGCGTGGTGGCCCGCGCGGCGGACGTGGTCGCGGGCGTGGCCGAGGCGGCTTCCAGCAGGGCAGCGGCGACCGCAAGACTGCGCTGCAGGCGGTGCGCGAGCGCGGCGAGCGCGGCCTGCGCATCGGCCACCTGCGCTACGACGACAAGCCGATGTTCCTCGGCGCGCTCGACGGCAACGAGTTCTTCATCACGCTGCGCAACGTGCAGGTCAGGAGCGAGGAGGCGATTGCCAAGTCGGTTGAGGTGCTCAAGACCAAGGGCTTCATCAACTACTACGGCATGCAGCGCTTCGGCAGCGGCAGCGTCTCGACGCACCACATCGGGATTCCCGTCTTCAAGGGCGACTTCAAGACGGCCGTCGAGGGCATCCTGGCGGCGCGCCCCGGCGACATGGAGGAGGCCGAGGCGGCGCGCGAGGCATACAAGAACGGCCAGTACAACGAGGCGCTGCAGCTCATGCCGCGCGGCCACGTGCCGGAGCGCAGCATCCTCGAGAAGATGAAGCGCAACCTGCACGAGGACGGCACGCACAAGGGCGACTGGATGGGCTACTTCTCTGGTGTGAGTGCTGCGGACGCCAGTGTAGGCCCTCCGCCCGTGACTGACATCTGCTCCCCTCCAGATCCCTAAACTGATGCGCACCATGTACCTGCACGCGTACCAGTCGTACGTCTGGAACCGGCTGGCGTCTGAGCGTGTCGAGCGCTTCGGAGTGGACGCGCCGGTCGTCGGCGACGTCGTAAGCGCTGAGCCGAGCGCCGATGACGAGGCCGGAGACATTGGCGACGACCTCGAGGAGGCCGCCGAGGCGCCCGTCGCTGCTGGTGAGCAGCGTTGAACCTTCAGTGCTCGCACACACCCTGACTAAGCGTGCCTGCGCAGCGACCGGCAGCTCGACCGCACACAAGCACCAGGCGCTGCAGCGCGTCAAGGTGCTCACCGAGGCGGACGTAGGCAACTACTCGATCAACGACGTGCTCATCCCCATCGCCGGCTCCGAGGTGCACTACCCCGAGGGCGGCTGGATGGAGCAGCGGTACCGGGAGATGCTGGCCGAGGACGGTCTCGAGCCGAGCGACGTCGCCATGGCCAAGACTCCGTAAGTGCCTCCGCCTCTCCGTCCACACCCTTCGCTGACCTGGCCATCAGCGAGTACACGCTGCACGGCGCCTACCGCAAGCTGCTGCTGCGGCCGCGCAACATTTCCTGGTCGCTCGTGCGCTACACCGACACGGACGTGAACCTGACGCAGTCCGACGAGGACAAGCTGCTTGGCATCGATGCCGTGCCGCAGCCCGACGCCGAGGCGCCCTTTGTGGCGCTGCAGGTGCGCTTCACGCTCTCGACGGCCGCGTACGCCACGATGGCGCTGCGCGAGATTCTCAAGCAGGACACGAGCACGGCCAGCCAGAAGGCCCTCACCGAGTCGGGCGCGGACCAGCAGTTCAAGGGCTCGCGTCGCGTTGCAGACGTCAACGCCATTGCGCCGAGCCGCGAACGCAAGTGGGGCGCCGCGCCGGCGGCGGGTAGCGAGGCCAAGCCGACAGAGGAGAACGGCAGCGCAGATGCGCCGAAGCACGAAGAGCCGATGCTCAAGGCAGAAGTCTCGGACGCATTCAAGCGTGCCATGGAGCGCCTGCGCAAGGAGCAGGCTGGCCCGAGTCTCTCGGACGAGGAGGAGGCGGCGTTCAACGCAGGCGCAAAGTAATGGTACAATCGTGCATTGCGCTTGTGTGTGTGCTGGATGTGTGCGTCAGCTGAGAGGGTGCGCCTGTGCCGCTGCGCCGGACGGCCGCAGCAGGCCGCGCGCGACTGGTGCGATCGCAGGCGGATAGGCGCCACGTTCTTGCGCAGATCGCCGACGGCCAGACCTTGCTGCTGCTGAAGCTTGGCGTCCTCGCAGCGGCAAGGCGTATCCGGCTTGGTTTCGTCGTGTAGCGACTGCGTGCGCCCGGGCTAGGCATATTGGAGTGGTGGTCCAGTCGCGACGGAGCGAGCGTCGAGTGCGCGAAGACGACGCTGGGCGCGAGAGAGGCTCGAGATGTACAAACGGCCGCGGTAGTGCGGCCTCGCAGGGAAGATGGAGCGTTGACTGGCTGATGCGTGCGGCGAGAGTGGTGGTGTGTAGGTCACGCGAGAGAGCGAAGTTGATCGAGCACTGGTCTGGTTCGTCGAGGCTAGTGATGCGAGTGAGGCCGGCGCCGAGAATGCGGCCGGCCGTCTATGAAGCGTGCGTGATGAGGTTCTTCTGCAGGCGAGGAGAGGTTTAGGCGATGAAGAATATCCAGCCTCGCGCGGCGGAACTCACCTCGAGGATGAACTTGCCCTCCTTGTACTTCTCGGACGTGACGAAGGCCTTGTCCTGATAAGCCAGGCCACGCGTCAGTCCCGCAATGACACCTCCTCGCGGCTCGCTTTCGCCAGGCCTTCAGACTGTAGTCCACCGCCACTGCACCGCTCATCTCTCACTCACATACTTCCACCCCAGCGTGCAGCCGCAGCGCTCGCAGCAGATGTCGCGCACCGTGTGCATGCCCGTGGTCATGTGCCGGTCCTCGGGGTCGCCGCAGGTGATGTTGACGACCTGGTCGAAGAGATAGGCGCGGCCCGTCTGGCCATTGAACTTCTGCGCTCCGGGAGAGTGTGAGCACCGTCTCCTGGCGACGCAGAGGGACGCAGCGAAGCCGGGCGTAGGGCACCAGGCTGGCGGTGATGCGCAACGACTCACAGTGCTGACGAGCGACTCGCCGACGGCGAGGTGTGTGCGACACTTGTGGCAGCCCCACACCTGTGTCGCAGCGAGGAACTGCGGGTGCTTGAGGCCCATGATGCGCTATGAGACGGCAGCAGAGAAGTGCGTGACGCAGCAGCGGACAGAGCTGCGCAGGCACACGGGCGAGGTGGAGGGCGCGTGTGCCAGAGAGCAGGTGCGCTGGAGCTGGCGAGACGAAAGAGCGCTGCTGCTGCGGCGCGCCAGTGATGTGGCAAGGCTACAGCAGTGCAGCAGCGGACAGTGGCGAAGACGAGGGCGTGAGTGACGGCGGACGGAGGAGCGTGGTGGAGAGAGGCAAGCGACAGGGGCCAGCAGCAGGGTGCAGCGCGCGGGGTCGGCTGCGCCAAAATCGCAGGCACGCCGCCTGTCTCCTCTCCTCTCCCGTGTGCGGGGCGTGGGGCGCTCTCACGGGCCGGCAACGGGCCGCCGCCGCACGATAAGCGCACCCTCACCGCCTCGTCTGGCCTGTTTGTTGCTTCGAGGACGACGGCTGTGCTTCATGACCTCGGCGTCAAGGTGGCTGGGCCAGGCAGCTCTGCAGACAGGCTCGAGTTGGACGATGGACCTGAACGCGGCTGGCGAGGAGTGCGGCAGCGGGAACCGCACGTGCTCGAAGGCACAGCTGCCTCAGGCATGACTGGCTTTCTCCCTCTCGCACGCGACCAGCACAGACCCAGCTTTCAGCTCCTGTGCTGGAGACCGTCGCTCCTCTCATCAGCTTCAGCTTCAGACGGGCTGGGCTGGCGAGACAGAGCAGAGCCGCGGTGTTGGCTGCGTGCCGTCTAAGCGCACGGGCCACGCGCGCGTCCTGGCGCGTCGCCGCGCCGCGAACCGATCCCATCATTGGCGACACCTGCGGCAGGGGTCTCATCGCGCTACGCTCGCTGTCGAGGCCACGTCTACGGTCATTATTGCTTGTGATGCTTTCCGGATGCACCGATATGTCCGCTGCTCGACGTCAATGGCTGTGGATGCGCGAGAAAGCCGGTGCGGTGGGAGATCGCCGGAACGTGCTGCTGCTCTGCTCGCGCCCTCGCCCGGCCTCCGAGTACCCGATGATGGCCCCAGGTTCGCATGCGGCCCGCACATGATCGTCCGTACGGGCTGTCGAGACGTCGCACGGGGGATCCTCATGATACTTGCGCTCAAAAGGCGCGGCCGAGACGGGAGGGAGGACAATGGGCCGCAGATCATCGCCCTGCGTCTCGCAAATGCGTCATCGACGAGACCCTCTCGTCTGCCGCAGCTCCTCGTGGTACCCGCCGGCTGAGGGCCGTGGGAGCATGACTCTCTTGGCCGTGCGTCGTCTCGTCCGAGTCAGGCACTCCTGATGTTGTACCGTGCGGCAGAACGCAGCCAGCTGAGAAGGCGGAGCAAAGCCGGAATGAGGGTGCCGCGAGAGCGTGGCCCGGATCGTGGCGATGGCGTCGGAGGCGCGAGGCGGCGGCAAGAAGCAGCGCCGAGGCGTATATGGCCGAAGACCGAACGAGGCAATGCGGTGCAACTTTGACTCGCACGAACGAGAGCCGGCTCGAGCATCGTCCGAGATCGAGCTTTCGGAGGGCTGCGCCGGAGCCCTGCCGTGGAGGATGACCTGCCCCTCGGAAGGTGCGTTGCCGTGAGCGGAGGGTGGCGCGTGGCGCTCGGCGCGTCAGAGCTCCGCCGCGGTGGCTTCGCACGCGGCGCGGCCGTGCCGCCGCTGCGGCGCCCCTTGGCTGCGCGTCTGCGCGCCGCGCGGCGGCGGCGGAGATGCAAGTCGTCCAGCCACACCCCTCCGAGCGCCTCTCGTCCCACCGCATGCGGCGTCCGGACGACGGAGGGCGCCGGACGATGGCACGTCGCGTGCCTGGGCATCGCTCGAGCTTCCTTTGTGCCTGCATATTCCTTTGTCGCTCCGCCGACTCGGTCGCACGCACCCATGGCACGGCATGCATGGTGGCGTGGGCACTTGTCGCCCGCTCGCTGGAGCGATCGCAGAAGCAGCGCCCTCCGCGACGGCCATACCCTGACCCTTGTTCGCTCAGCGTCCGCATGCGCAGCGGACTGCAGAACAGACCGCGTGGTGGCATCGTCCTCCTTTGCTCCGGTGTGACGGACGCAGCGCGCACTCTCCTTGCAGCGTGGCAGCGTTGCAGCTTAGTCACTGCGAGCTCTGTACGAGCGCAGGAAAGTACGTCACGCTCGGCCCTACGAGGCGTTGAGGCGCTGTCCATGAATGCTGCGCTGCAACTCTCGCACTGTGCACTCAGCTTGTTGCGCCGCCCTGGTGCTGAGGACGATGCGAAAGGCGGGCCTTGCTCGCCGTTCTGCCTCCGAAGCCAGCGCGCGGACGATCAAGTGCGGCCTCTCTGTCGCTGTCCGGGCCTTGCCGAGCGATCCCGCTCCGAGTATCCTCTCGCAGCGACTGCAGCATCTCGCAGTACTCAGAGGCCATCATTGCATGCGGTGCGCACCCTCTTCTCAGAGACGTTCGCACGAGTCGTCGAGACCACGGTGCAATAAGCATGCACGAGGCAGCCAGCTCATCGCACTTGTGCCGCGGGCGATGCCTGACGGGCCATCGGTCGATCGCACCCGAGGCACGCTCTTCATGCTGCTCTGCTCCTCAAGATGTGGGGAGACGTGACGCCATCGCCGTCGTTCTTTGTTCTGCATACGCAGCCCAAATACGCCGCCGCTTGCCCTGGCTGTGCTCGAGCACAGCAAAAAGAAGTGAACACAGCCTCGTGTGTGTGAGGAGCAAAGCGCAAGAGGCATGAGGGACGTGGCGCGGCAAGGACTGCAGAAAGGCGTTCGCAAGTCGCATCCGGCGCCCCACCTCTCCAGGGAAACGCCACGCCCACGGCTCAGCCCGCGGGATCGGCAGCAAGATGCATCTCGTGCGCCTCCCGACGGGCTGCTGCTGAGTGCCGCACGTGAGGGCCCTCGATGGTTCTGTCTCCTCACGTGAGCTGGACGAGCGTCTCCTTTCACAGCCGATGGGACCACTTGCATCCGTCAAGGGGGACCGGGGCTGGATGCCATGCCAGGAGGCCCGATGGGCAGTCTCGGCGATCGGCGCTCGTGCGAGAGGCTGGACCTCGCTGCCTGCGCTCTGGGCGTGGCCGCGCGCGCGCAGGCGCGTCGCCGGCGCCGAGCGCCGGGTGAGACCTGACCTGCAGCGGAGAGCGCGTGCTGTCTCCGCTCTGGTGCCCGCCCATCGTTTCGCCAGCTCCATGGCAGCAGCACGCCGGCGACGGCTCGGGCACGGCAGCAGCGTGCAGCCTCTGGGCAAGATGGCTCCCGCAGGACAGCAGTGTGCAGTGCAGCCCATGCGGCGCAGGAGAGCTGGCGTGGGCCCTCGTGTTCAGCCGCAGGCCTTTGTTTGCTCGTCCCAGACGCAGCCTCGCGCAGGCGCCGCAGCGCAAGTGCCCCTCGCTCGTCCCGCCTCGCCCGGAAGAAAAAGCCCCGTCTTGCGCTCAGCCCTCGCTCCCGGTGCCGGGCCTTGCTCGTCGTCGTCGACGCTCGCTGTGGGGCGACCCGCACGGCGTATGGCGTCGCAAGCACTCTTGCATGCTTCTGCAGGCTTTGCAGGCGGCGACGTTGCCTTGCCTCCAGGCGATGTGAAGCGGTGATGGGGTCTGTGCGTTGCTCGCAGCAGTTGCATGTGCTCCGTGCGACGCATCCCGCCCGCGCCTCGAAAGCCAGGCAAAGGCCGCATGCTGCTGCGGAAGCGATGGTGAGATCCCAAGCCTGAGCGGCTGAAGTCACATGGCAGCTGCCGGCTGCACCTCTTTGCCTCCGACGGCACCGCCCCAAACGAGCGCACGGCTGAGCGGAATGCGGCTGCGGCGACCGACGCCTGCCGTCTGCCGGCGGGTGACTCTACACTTGGCAACAGGGCGAAGAGAGGCACGAGATGCCTTTGAGACGCGCCGAGGATCGGCAGATTGTCGACCTGCGAGGAGTTGCGGCTGCTTCCGCTCCCGGCGGTGCTCTATCACGAGGCAAGGGCAGGGCAAGCATGTGCCGAGTAGGCAGCACACACGTGTCCCCCTTCCGTCGCTGTCCGAATACCAGGCCTCGAGGTGAGTCGTTTGAGGTCGCAACGACTCTTTTCTCCGTCGGTCTGAGCAGCAGCTGCATATCAGCTTGTCGAGTCCAAACGAGAGATCTGCGGTGTGGGCAGCACGCCCGAAGGAGCACGCGCAGGGGTCCCTGCGGTGCCAAGTTCGCTAGCGCCAGGGCAAAGCAAGACACGCCTAGCAAACAAGCACGGCCCCCGAGGTGCTCCCGAGCCGAACGACGTGGTGCCATGCCGTCGAGAGCGCAGCAGGGCATACGCCGCATTGACGGCTAGGCACGCGGAAGCGGGCATGCGAATGGTGTCTCTCTGAGCGGCCGGGGGGACGGCGGAGCACGGCCCTGGTGCCTTGCCGATGGGCGGAGAGCGGGGGCGCGGTGCCTGAGCAGCTGGGATGGGAGCGGCCATGTAGTGCTCCGAGGTCGCACGCATTGACTGCGTCTGAGCGCTCTAGACTGGCGGCTGCGAATTGTAGCGTGAGCGGAGGCAGGAGGAGGAGCTGCCGGCCCTGCTGGGCGGCTGCTCGCCGTGCAGCGCCGGCATCGCGCCGCCTGAACCTCGCGGTGCGCTGAGACAGCCGAGCCACCGCCCGCCCTTGATTCGCGCTCCGCAGAGGCCCAGCCTGCCCTGGCAGAGGCGCCGCCGCCGTGTCCTCGTCCGTCGTGCTACGGGCCGGGGAGAGGCCCTGCAGCACTGTGTCTGCTGCTTGCTTCACCCGTCGCTGCGGCGGGAGCGGGAGCAGCAAGAGGCGGCGTGAGGATCGTCAGAGGCAGAGGAGCAGAGAGGCGCCGACCCGGAAGCGCCTCTGCTGCAGCGCAGCAGCACGCAGCGCAGCGCAGACGCGCGGCAGCACCGCCCGCAGCAGACGCCGCTGCGCAGCGCCAGCGGCAGCCCGGCGGCAGGTCTCAGGCGGCGCGGCAATCCGCCTGGCCAGGCATCCCTCCCTTTGCGCCCGCCAAGGCCCATGGCAGCGCACGCTGAGACGGCCATCCCGCGGGCGCTGCGGCAGCACAGCGCAGGAGCACGGCGGGATGCAGGAGCCTGGAGCAGCCGCTTGCCCCGACAAGATGCTTATTGCCCGCGGCCGTGTCGCAGATCTGAGACCCGAGCGGCGGCGTGCGCGGTGCGCTGCTCGCCGCGCCGCCGCCGCCACGCCGCCGGGCCTCTCATGCTGCGTCTGCGGCCCCGACAGAACACAGCGCAGCCGCAGGAAGGAACGACCCGGCCCCCTGGATCCCCACCGACGCCGGCGACGCAGCGCGGCCGCACCTGGTGCTGCACCCGCACACCCGCGCAAGCGATGTCCGCTCCGCACCTCGCCCAGCGTCATCCGCTTGCACCCATATCGCCGCCCCATAAAGGCGGCTGCCTCTCTCGCCGGACCCCGCTGCTGCCTTGAGAACCATCCCGCCCACCGTCCTGCCTCCGAGCCTCCGCCTTCTCCATCTCCCTTCTTGCCTTGCCTGCGATCCATCATACACGCCTTCGCAGCGATGGCCTCCTCCTCCTCCTCTTCTTCTGCTGCGGCGCCCTCGTCGTCGCGCGCCGGCCACCTGAGCCACTTCTCGACGCGCTCCTTCGAGTCGTACCACACGCCCATCAACTCGCCGACGTCGACGGCCCCGCTGCGGCCGACACACCGGCCGTCGCGCTCGCGCACCCTTTCGCTCCTCTCCACGTTCAGCCGGCACTCGCTCGCCGAGCCGGCACCGGAGGCGTCGCAGCCCAGCGTGGCGCCTCTGTCGCCCAAGCGCTCGCTGCGCCGCACGAGCGTGCGCAAGCCGCGCGCCTTCCTCGCCGCCGAGCCCGTCGTCGACGATGCCGAGCGGCCCACCAGCGCCCTCTCCTTCGCCTGCGCCGGCGAGCAGGACGACGACGCTGCGCCCCTCGCCGCCTTCTCGCCCTCGCCGCGCCCCGCCGCGCTGCTGGTGATGCCCAAGGACATCGACACCTACTCGCTCTCCTCGCTGCAGGCCGCCGCCGGCTTCCCCTCGCCGGCGCTCAGCACGTCGAGCTCCAAGAGTGACGACTCGTACTTCTACGCCTCGTCCTCCAACGACAGCACGCCGCGCAACTCGGGCGAGCACTCGCGCTGCCAGCTCGTCGTGAGCAGCTCGCGCGCCGCCAGCAGCCACGGCGCCTCGCCGCGCGGCTGGCACCTGCCCTGCCCGCCCACGCCGACGCTGCCGCAGGGCGACTGGAGCACCTGGCCCACGTACGCCTCGCCGCCCGTGTCGCCCAAGACGGAGCTGCCGCCTCGCAACTCCAGCCTGCCCGTCGTCAAGCTCGACGCTCCCGCGGCCGCACCCGCACCCGCTCCTGTCGCTGCCGCGCCCACCTCCATGGTGCGCGCTCGCTCGCAGGAGCGCCGCAGCAAGGGCCTCGGCATGGCCGTCGTGCCCGCCGTGCCGGCCATCAAGGCTCCGGTCTGCGACGAGGGAGCGCAGTGGACGCTGGCGCTCAACTGGGACGACGACGAGGAGTACTACCGCAGCGCGCGCCTCACCTCGGCCTCGTTCGTCGCCAGCGACCGCTTCCTCGGCCGTGCGCAGCGTCGCGGTGCCTCGCCGCCTCGCGCCGGCGTCTCGACGCAGACGTGGTGCATCTCCACCGCCGTCGACGACTCGGCTGCGCCGCTCTTCGTGCCGCGCTCGCGCTCGCAGCTGCAGAGCAACGTCGCCATGGCCGCCACGCGCGAGGTCGACTCGGACGAGGAGTCGGACGACTCGCAGGCTACGAGCATCGGCAGCATGCCCTCGACGCCGCGCGCCAGCGTCTGGCAGCTCCCCGTCCCCAGCCCCACCGCTCCCCTCAACGTCCGCAAGAAGGCCTCTGCTGCCTCGCAGCCGCGCAAGAGCGCCCTGCGCTGCCCGGCACGCACCAAGGGCGACGGTCGCCGCGTCACCTTCGCGCCCACCCTCGTCGTCTAAAGAAAACCCTGGTCCCCTCTAATCTACACTGTCACCTGTCACCGTCCATACCTCATCGCACTCGCTTAATTGCATGCAAATAGTCACCGCATTTGAAAGAACGCAGCGTCGAGTGATGTGGGCGAGGTGTGAGCAGCAGGGGTGGTATAGAGCAGACGATCCGGAGAGATACAGCAGGGCGAGGAGACTGATCAGCGGGCGAAGGGCGCGCCACTCTTGGCGGCGGCAGGGCGCATGGCGTGCGGATTGGCGGCCTTGATGGGCGACAGATCCATGGGCAGGTCGAGCCCGCTCGAGATGGCCTGCAGGTAGTGACATTCGTCAGCAAGGGCCGCACAGAAGGAAGCCTTCGTATCGCGAACTCACGTCACCGTCGGTGCTAGTGAACTTGAAGAAGCCCGGGCCCTGGGCGCCAGCAGCGCCAAGGAGCCTGCGCTTCTTCTTCTTGAGGTCGACGGGCTCCGCAGCCGCCGCCTTTGCCGCTGCCGGCTTGGCCGCAGCACCCGCGGCCACGACATTGTCCGGCGCCACCTTGAGCGTGCGCACTGGGGCCTTGACCATCGGCGTGGCCATGACCTCGGCCTCGAGCGCCTTGCGCCGTGCCTCGTCTGCCTCGACGCTCTTGCGCTTGCGCGCCACCGTGTGGGCGGCGCCGGAGAGAGGCTTGACGGTGCTGCGCGCCTTGGCCGCCGCTCCGACCGTACGCGTCTTGGCCTTGCCGACGTCGTAGTCCGACGCATTGTCCTCGCTGTCGCTGCCTGCATCCCGGTACGTCGGCGCATAGCGGGGCGCAGCAACAACCGCAGGAGCCTTGGTCTTCTTGACGACAGCGAGAGACTTGATCGTGCCGGGCCGCTTGGCAGGCGAAGGCGTGCCTGCATCGTCGTCGCGGATCTCAAAGTCTGCATCGGACGGCGGCGGCGCGGCGTCGGAGGCGCCTTGCATCGGCGCACGAGTGAGCGCCGAGCGTGCCTTGGGCAGCACGGGCTTGCGAGCGCCCGCGAGGGAGAAGGCCGGCTCGGCATCGCTGTCGGGCGCGCTTGTCGTCTCCTTGCGCTTGTGCGGGGCAGGCGCAGGCACGACTGGCGCTGCCCGTCGCACGGGAGCAGGTGACGGAACAGACCGACCGGTGATCTGGGCAGATTAGGTGTCAGCCACGAGCTGGCTGACAACGAGGTAGACGCTTCACTTACCCGCTTGAGCTCGCGCACCTCCTTCTCCAGCTGCTTGCGCTTCTCCTCCTCGCGCTCGGCTCTCGCCTCTGCGCGCTTGAGTGCCTCGGACGAAGCAGACGACGCAGCTTTGTCCTGGCGCTTCTTGAGCGCCTCGAGCTCCTCAAGTGCCGCATCTCGCTCCTCCTCGACACGCATGCCTTCGCGCGCCACGTTCTTGCGGCGTTCCTTCTCGTCCTGCAACTTCTGCCTGAGCTCCTCCAGCTCGGCATCCCTTGCCTTTGAACCCTCCTGCGCCGCAACTCGTGCCTGCTGCGCGTACGCCTTGAGCTCGGCGTTGGCTTGGTCCAGCGCCCTCGTGAGCTCGTGCCCGCGGTACGTCTGGTACGTCGCCTCGTTGCGACACACTACGAGCTCGATGTTGGCGTCGCGCAGTGCCTCCTTGCCTCCTTGCGTCGCATCAGCGCCCGTCAAACGGGCCCACTCGCGCTCGTCGGCCTCGCAGCGTGCTTCGAGCACTTGCAGCTCCGCCGCTTCACGCTTGCGTCTCTCCTTTGCGTGCGCAGCCTTGAGCACGTCGATCTCACTGGCCAGCTCGGCACGCGCAGCAGTCTCGCCCTCGCACTCGGCCTTCCAGCCATCGGCATCCTCGCGCGCCGCGTCGGCCTCGCGCTGCATGAGCTGCAGCTCGCTGGCGAGCGCTGCGTGCGCCTTCTTGAGCTCGGCAATCTCCAAGTTGACGACGCGCTCTGCGCGAGCGGACGGGTCGAGACGATGCGGAGACGAGGCGAAGCTCGTCTGCGAGACCTTGACCGGCGAGGAAGGCACAGGCCGTTGCTGCGAGAAGGAGATGGGAGAGGAACGCCCGCCGTCGCGACTGGCGGCGAGCGAGGCTATCACCGGGTGAGCGCTTGGCCACACCGGGCCCGTCCGGTCACCCTGGGGGTCCTCGGCCTGGACCTCTTCGTGATGGGACGCCTGAGCAGCGGCAGCCGGCAGGTCCGACTCCGCCTTGCGCGCGCGAGGTGTCGAGACTGCGCTGGCCACGCTGGCATCCTGCTCCTCATCCCTGAGGTTGCTGCGCCGCTTGAACGGATCATCGCCGGCCTGCAGAGCCGCATCAAGCCTCGACTCCCACTCCGAAGGCTGCTGCGTGCTCGACGATGCGGCGCCAAACCCAGAGACGTCGTTCTCGGGCACGGAAGGGTGTCCGACGGACTTGCGCATGTCGGCCTTGCGCTTGTCGGCAAACGGATTGTCGCCAGCCTGCATGGCTGCCTCGAGGCGACGCACAAACTCCTCGTCTGCGCCGGACGAGGCGGCAGGCTTGACTGCCGAGGCGAGCTGTGAGGAACGCCGTGCGGCGCGGCGCGGCGTGCTGCGTGGCGATGCCTTGCCTTGCCGAGCGACGGAGCCCGTCGCACCGCTGAGGCGCGCGGCACGCAGCGGGGTTCGGCGAGGAGAAGCGCCCTTGGGCGTGCCCTCCGCGACGAGCGCTTCCACCACAGGCGAGCAGAGACGCGCAGCGGGCTCGTTCCGCGCCTCAACGTCGATGCTTGCCGTGGCCACGGCGCTCATCGCCTCGGCCTCCTCGTCCTCGGTCGCCTTTGAGCCTGTGCTGTCCCGCTGTGCGAGGGCAGCAGCGACTGCAGCAGGCGTGCCCTCTGTACGGGCGCGTACAGCGTCCAGGCCTGTGAGACTCGTGCGGCTCGCCCGGCTGGTGAGGTCGCCCGCGCGCTTGGCAGCGGCGCCGACGGCGGGGTAGAGCGCGCCGGCGCGTCCGGGCGACGGCCGCGGCAGCGACGCGGAGACGGCAGCGGCGCCCGTCGGCTGCGGCAGGCCCGACGTGGGGCCAGCGATGCGGCTCAGGTTCGAGCGCGATGCGCTGGAGGGCATTGTGCGCACCGAGGCGGAGCGCACGGGCGTCGGCCGGGCAGACGCCTCCTGCACGGCGCGGTTGAGGAGGTGCGGGCGCGCCATGTCCTCGAGCGAAGGAAACTCGCTCATCGCGGACGATGACGCGGCAGCGGCGCGCTGGCTCGGCGTGCTTTCCGGGAGAGCGAGAGAGGAAGAGGATGCGACGGGCGCGGCAAGCTGCGACTGCGGTGCCTCGTGCGCCTCGGGCAGCGGCGACGGCGAGATGCCGCCGGCCTTCTTGGGCGGCGGCGTGCGCTCGAGGATCGGCATGACGGCGCGTCTCTCGGCGGCGAAGCTGGGGGAGCCGGGCGCAAGACAGCGAGCGTGGGTGTCTCTGTGGTAATAGATAGACGAGGTGAGGGATGCGCGGTGGGAGATGGAGGAGCGGGTGCTGGGCGTGTGGGAGCAGCAGCGAGGCGCGTGGCGCGCGCGTCTCGTCCTCGAGCCGCCGGATCAACACGAGCGCGTCGGCGCACGTGACCTCCTCGCCTGCGCGCCGGAGGTTCCCCTGCCTCTCGTCCGTCAGCTCTTCTACACGACAGGCCCCAACAACGAGCTCAGACTCACTTCGAGATTGTGCTTCGTAAGCAGATGCTGTCACCCGGGCTCGCTCTGCGCTCGAAATCTGCCATGGCGGCAGCAGAGCATTCCGCGTGCTCATGGAGGCGGCCCGAGCTGGCGCACCTCCTTCTGCTCCGCTCCTGGACCAGGGCAGCATTCTAGTCACCCTTCTGGCTCTCCAGGGGAACGATGCAGAGCCTCTGCCATGCGCCTCCATCCTTTCCAGGCTTGACCTCCATGCTGTGTGCCGGGTCGCCGACGTCGCAACTCAGCCTGACGCTCCGCACTGCTGCACACCTAGCCACACGGCGTACCGCGTCGTGCGCCGCAGCCTCCGCCTCGACTGCGGCTGCGGCTGGCGACATGTGATCGTTCAATCGCTGCACTCAGAATAGACGCCGTGGCCGAGCAAGCTGATGCTAGTGTGCCTCTACACTCATCTGCCGGTAGCCAGGCTGATGTCCAGGCTTGCAACGGTCGTCCCGGAGCCGCGAAGCGATTGCAACGGCACCCCGCGTGGCTTCGTCGCAGCGGCTCCACGACGTTGCCAGCTCGCCGGCCGACGGCTCGGGCTCGTCCGGAGTCTGCGGCTGAGTCTGAGGCGGAGGCGCCCCGTCTCAACCCGCGACTCGCGGCGCCCGCCCGCAGGAGTGCTGCATCGCACGCGAGAGCGGTGAGAGGGAGGGATGCGCTTGGTGCTTTCCTGGATGCCCTGGATGGCATCCAGGCTCACTGCGTGCGCAGCAGCAGCATCTCATGCCATTCGGCAGGCTGCGCCAGCACGCAGCTGCAGGAGGTGCCGCGAGAGCTTGCGGCTCCGCGTGGCTGCGTGCAAGCGTCTTCTCGCAGGGTGCACCGCTGCTGGTGGCACTTCTGCGCTGGTGCTGCGGCGACTACCGCAGCGGCAGCGGCAGCGGCGTGGCGCAGGGATGGCGTCCTGCGACGGCACGCTACGTGCAAGTTGCAGGAGCGCAAGCGACGGGCGATGGCGGTGGACGCCCCGGCGTGCTGCGGCTGAGGTGGACGAGAAGAACAGCTGCGGGGCGTCCGCTGCGGTGCTTTGACTCGGCAGCTGGCCGCGTCCTACAGCCGACGTCCGCGCCCGCCTGCGCCGCTGCCGCAGAGCACCGTTGTGGAGAGGAGAGGCATATGCGTGACGCTCTCGCGGTCTCGGCTCCGTGGCTCGGCGCTCGGCGCACGGCGCGGCGTGCAAGCTCAAGGCGAGTCTCGATCGGCGCGAGGCGATCGGGGCCGCTCGATGTCGTCGATGCGTGGCGTGGCGCTCGGCAGCAGCAGCGGCCTGCGGGCTCGGCGAACAAGCATCTGCATCCTGCGGCGCTGTGCTGCCGCCTGCAACTGCCTGGCGGCTGCTGCGCGCTGGTGCTGCCCGCTGCGGCTGCACAGCCGCTCAAATTCTGGAGCGGCACGGCCACGGCGTCCTCAGCTCCACCCTGTGGCCTCGCCTCGCCTTGCTGTTTCCGCTTTGGAGCGGACGGTGCTGCATCGCTTGCCCTCTTGGGCCTCGCCATCGCCGCTCATGTGCCGTGCACCGCGCGCCGAACGTTGCGTGGCGCCGCCCGCAGCCGTTGAGTCTCGAGGGCAAGAGAGCGAGAGAGGCGACGGCGAGAAAGCTCGTCATGCGAAGTCGCGCCTTCGCGGCCTGCCGCTGCGGATGCTCCTCCCACGCCCGCGCCGAAGGCTTGCTTACATCCTTGGCGGGCCTCGAACACCTCGCACAGGACGTTGCTGCGCGCTGCACGGCGGCGTGCCACAAGCGCTGTTCCTGCGTCCGGGCGGCCGTTGGACTTGGGCGGCAGCGGCATGCGGCCGGGTGCCGCTGCGGTGCGGGTGCGGCAACTCTGTGCGCGCGCAGAGAGGCGCAGGACGGGCACCTCAGCGGCTCGGCGTGGCAGGTCTCGTGCCGACGGCCTCTTGCGTTTGGTCGAGGCGCCGCGGCGAGGCGCTCCTTCGTGCTTTGCAGCTCATGCGCCGCCCGCGCCAACTTCACCTGCCTCTTTCGCTCGCGGCAGCGACGCCCTTGACGTGCCCTGCGCGCACCATCGTCTCGTTGCGTCTTGCTCGCGCGGCCGCAGCTGGACTGAGGCTCGAGCTACCGCCCCAGAGCGCACACGTCCATGTCACGAAGCGTGCCCGACGTGCGACGCTTGACGGCAGGCGGCGCGGCCGGCACGGCGAGCAGCACCGCCGCCGCGGGGGCGGACCAGGACGCGCCGCGTGCTGATGTCACGGCCCGCCGTCCTGGGAACTTTGGCGCGGGCCAACGCGAGAGCCTCGCTGCTGCGCGGACGAGGCGCACGAGGAGGGGCGACCTCAAGGCGGCGGGGCGGTGGCCGCTCGCTCTGGGGCTCCGCCTTGCTCGTTCGACGGGCCGTGGCGCCGGGCGAGTCTCCGCCGACGAGTGTTGGTCTGCCGCCGCGCGGCTTGCGATAAAGCGCGGGCCTCCTTCGGCCTTTGGAGCGCCGACAGGCGCATGGGAGCAGTGTGAGGCTACACTGCCCCGCTGCCCAACGCATGCTGCGAGCCGAAGCTTGCTCGCCGCAGGCTGCTGCGCCGCTGCCCCTCAGCCACGACGGCACCGCCGCGCAGAGCGTGGCGCCGCTGCGCCTCTGCAGCTGCCGGCGCAGGAGCGCAGCCGCAGGTGCGGCGAGGGGTCTGGCCGCGCGCTGCCGCCCGCCGCCGCCTCACGGCGCCTCCTCGCGCCTCTCTGGCGCACGCCGCTGCCGCTCGCTGCACCGCCGACCGGCAGCGGTGATGAGGCTCCTCGCAGCAGCAGGCGCCGCTCGCGCGCGTTCATTCTTGGACGCCGCGCTGTGCTGCTGCTGGAAGGGTGCTGGCTGAGGCTGGGCGTGCAGAGCATGTAGGGTGCATGCTGCGGCCCGAGAGGGCAGTGCGAGCGGCACGGCATGGCGGCGCGGAGCACGCACACGCCTCGGCGCGCGGAGACGCGCGATGTGCCTGCGTGCCGTGCTCCGCCCAGGCACCGAGAGCGAGCTGCCTCTTGGAGCTCCACCGCCGCGGCTCCTCGAGCCTCCTCGCCGCCTCTTGATCTGCTCCATCCGCACCTCCTGCCTCTTCTCCACCCTCTCGTCACTCGTCCTTCACCGTTCTGCCTTGCCGTCCACACACGTCTCCTTCACGATCCCTCACGCCCCGCAACCGCCGCCGTTGCTGTGCGCCGTCACGACCCCCTGCCCACGCCCACCTGCTCCTATCGTGCCGCTCAGGCCGCCGACACTTTCGTCGCCCAGCCGCCGGCCTCGCTCCTCTCGCCGTGCTCCCTGCGCCGCCCATTGCCGCAGCACCCGCCGCTCAGCAGCACAGCCCGCTCAGGCCATTGCGGACCACAGCATCGGTCCGCATCCTCGCGCCGAGAGTGCCGCGTGTCTTCGCCTTCTGCCTCCACGCCCGCCGGCCTTGGCCGCTGCTCAGGTCGCTGAGAGAAGAAGGGCAGCTTGCTCATCCTCGGGCGCATTCTGCTCCTGATCGAAGGTGAGTGAGACGCGTTGCGCCGTGACGGCCCCTTGGCCGCACAGCATCTCATCTATCCGCCCGCTCGGCTGCGCCTCTCCGCAGCGTGCGTGCCGTGTGACAACCATCGGCGCCTCCTCTGCGTGCTCATCTTCCGCAGCGGATCTCGATCTAGTCGGCGATTGCAAGCACTTCCGCCTTCTCGGCTGCGCACTGCCGCGGCCTTCGCGCCTCGTCTTCCGCGCCCTCGCACTCAGCCCGAGACAGGAGACGACGCGCCGCCGGTCGATCTTGCCCCTGTGTGCCCTGGACGACCCCACTCTGCCGGCTGCGATTGAAACTCGCGGAGCCTAACGAGCACGGCACGTCTTCTACGCGCTGGTGAGCTCACCCAGAAGCATACCCCGACGACTCGCCGCTCACCACACCCTCCTCGCTCTCCAGCATCTGCACACCACCTCGTCCACCATCCTCTCCCACCATGGCCGCAGTGTCGCTCCACCCGCTTGCGTCGCGCGGCGGTGAGCAGTCCGCCACCGTCGTCTCGCTGCAAGTCAACAGCGCCTGCGAGGCCAGCACGTCGACGTCGTGGCTCGCCGATAATGCCGCCGCCGCGTCGCGATACCCCGGCGCCGACGCCGACGAGATGCGCCGCGGCTCGGCAGAGATGCCGTCGTCGCCCACCACGCGCGGCGGCTCACCGACCGACAGCCGCTTCGACGCTGGCGATGAGCCCGAGTGGGGCCTGCGGCATCGCGACCTGTCCAGCTTTCCGTCGCTGGACGGCATCTTCGACGGCGCCGAGGCGCCGTGCACCTCGTCGGCGTCGGCACCGCCCATCCGTGCCATGTCCGCCTCGCAGCTGGCGGCATTGCACGAGCAGTACGTGCACGCCGACGTGCCGCACCACGTCGTCTTTCCCTTTCTGCACGGCGTCGACGGCGACAACACGGCGCAGAACATGTTCTTCGGCGCGCCCCTCGATGGCCAGCCGACGCCCAACTACCGTGGTCTGACGCTCGTGCGCGCCGACATGCCGACGCGCGACCAGGCCGTGGCGATGCAGCGTCGGCGCGCCTCGTCGTCGGCCTCGGGCCTCGGCATGAGTGCGGCGCGCCGCTCGCGTGCCGGCTCGTTGGCCACCACGACGTCGAGCTCGGGCCACTCGCTCGCCAGCGGCGAGAGCCACAGCGGCAACAGCAGCGATGGTGACTCGCCTTCTCCGCCCGGCGCCGCTCATCGCTCGCCGTTCAAGCACTCGGCCTCGTCGCACTCCGTCTCGTCGTCGCTCGCCTCGTCCGAACTCTCCTCGGCCCACTCGCTGTGGAACAACAGCGAGACGAGCTCGGCGGCCACGAGTGTCAGTGGCGGCGGCATGGCGTGGGAGGGCAAGGGCTCGGCCTACCCGTCCACCAGCGGCACGTCGTCGTGTGCATCGGCACACGAGCCGCAGCCGCGCCACAGCATCCTCAACTCCTCGATTCTCCCGGCCGAGCTCATCGAGCCGCCTCGCTCCGCCAAGCTCTCCGACGGCCGCATCGTCACTGCGCCGTCGACCTTCGTGCAGCCGCGGCAAGCTGCAGGCGTCAGTCTGCGCAACTTTCGCATCCAGAGCGTGCGCTACGCCACCATCTCCGACATTGTCCTCTACTGCCCCGCCGGCCTGCACGAGGGCGTGCTGGCGCTCGCCCGCTGCTTCCGCGAGGCGCAGGCGGCCATGTATGAGGAGCGCTGCAGCCGCGGCCTTGGCAGCTTGCGCTACAACGTCTTTGTCGTGACGGGTGAGTTGCCTTAGTGCTCGGTCCTGCCTCGTCGTCTGTGCTCACCATCACCACCGCAGACCCGTTCGTCGCCTTTGAGCGCTCGCACGAGCACCTTGTCGCCATCGACAGCGCTGGCACGCCGCGCAACCGCGTCGACTTCATCGAGCGTGAGCGCGAGGAGATGCAGCGCCTCACCGCCGCCAGCGAGATCGACGAGAACGTTTGGGTGAGTGCCGCCGTCGCTGCCTGTCCATGTCCACTGCTGATGTATTTCACCGTCAGATGGGCTGCACCGCCGACGTGCCTATGCCCGCAGCGGCAGACGTCGACATGGACCCCTCGGCTGCGCCGCTCGATGCACAGTCGCGCAGCGCACAGAGCAACCCGCACGCCTTCTCCATCTGCGTTGAGGCGCACGAGAACGGCGACACGCCCGAGCTGTCGCGCCTCACGTATGCGAGTCACTGGCTCGACAGCATCGAGGCGACGGCGCTCTTCGAGCTCAACAGCAAGGAGGCGCTGCGCCAGCTCGAGGAGGACGAGCCCATCGTCGATGCCTCTGGTGCTATCGGCGAAGCCGACCTGCGTGGCTTCCTCTCGCTCGGACCCAACGGCTGGTCGCCGTCGTCGCCCGGCCGCGCTCGCAAGAACTCTCGCCGTGGCCAGACGCCTCGCTCGGACGCCGACGCCGCGCAGCCCGCCGCGGCGCAGCGCACGTCTGTCGTGCCCAAGCCCGAGAACATCATCCACCTCGAGTGCGCCGCGTCGAGCAGCGGCTTCAACGCCATGGGCCAGGAGCAGGCCATCGAGAGCATCGTGCAGCTCTGCCAGTGGATCAAGAAGCAGGCGCAGCCTGGCCAAATGGCCTCGCCGGTGCCGAGCGCTGCCGCGGCGGCCAACGCCAGCAGTCTGCTCGCCGGCGCCTTCCGCAGCTCAGGCCATGGTCCTCGTAGCCAGAGTCACGGCGCCACGCCTCTGCTCGGCTCTGCGCCCGCACAGGCGTCGCACTCGCCTCGCCGCGTGCTGCTGCACTGCGGCGACGGCTACACGGAGACGTCCATCCTGGCGCTGGCGTACCTCATGTACTCGCGCGACCTCTCACTGCCCGACGCCTACCTGGACCTGCAGCTGCGCTGCAAGCGCTCCTTCTTCGTCTACGCCCGCGACATGGCCTTCCTCAAGCGCGTCGAGGCCCGCATGGTGCGCGAGCGCCGCGCGCTGCGCCTCCTGCAGGAGCAGCGCGAGGAGCGCGAGGCGGCCATCGCTGCTGCTGCCGCTGCCACAGCCGACGCTGCGGCGCCGCGCTCGGCGCTCAGCAAGCCTAGCTTCTCCTGGGGCGTCGGCGGCGCCTCTGACGAGGCCGGCAAGCGCATTGGCGGCCTGGCGTCGCGCAGAAGCACAAGCAGCCGCCGTGGCTCTTCCTCGAGCGCCGACGTGTCGGGCCATGCCCTCACCGAGCCGAGCGTGTGGGCACGCGGCCTTGCCGCCGCCAGCGTCCTCGTCGGTGCGGCACAGGGCCACCAGGGCGGACGCAAGAGCTCGTCGATGGCTACCGACGCGCGTACGCGCACGCCGACGCCGCGTGGCGCTCGCTCGCCCGTCATGTCGCCTACGAAGCTGACAGCGGCGCCGGCCTCGGGCGACCGTCGCTGGTTCAGCGATGCGCGTTTCGAGGGCTCGTTCCCCTCGCGCATCCTGCCGTTCCTCTACCTCGGCAATCTCAACCACGCGCTCAATCCGGCGATGCTGCACGCCCTCGGCATCACGCACGTCGTGTCCGTCGGCGAGACGGCGCTGACGCCGCCGGCGTCCGAGTTCACCATGGCCACGGACGGTGACGCTTCTCCGGCCGCACTGCCTGCGCCGCCCTCGCTGCACAACTCGCTCTGGCACGAGGAGCGTGCCGGGCGCATCTCGGTGCTCGACCTCAAGAACGTGTCGGACGACGGCATCGACCCTCTGCGCTCGACGATGCGCGAGGCCGTCGAGTACATCGAGGCGGCGCGTCGCAGCGGCGGCAGTGTGCTGGTGCACTGCCGCGTCGGCGTCAGTCGCAGCTCGACGATTGTGCTGGCGTACGTCATGGGCCACCTCGACCTCAACCTCGTCGAGGCCTACCTGCTGGTGCGCAGCCGCCGCCTCAACATTCTCATCCAGCCGCACCTGCTCTTCTTCTGGGAGCTGCGCGGCTGGGAGACGTACCTGGCGGCGCAGAAGGCCAAGCGCACACACGGCGGCCGTCGCAGTGAGAATGAGGAGATGGCCGACGGCACGGGCGCGAGCCTGCTCGACTCCTTCTCGCGCCTCACGCCCAGCGACGATGCCGCCATGGAAGTCTCGACGATGTCGCGCATCGCCGACCGCGTCTCTCGTCCCGCCCTGCCTTGGCGTCGCGCCACATCTGCCGGCGACGAGGCGGCACGCGGACGCTCGCGCTCCCTCGGCCGTCGCGGTCTCGGCCACTCCGGCATGCTCGAGGCGGAGGCGGAGGAGCAGCACGCCGACCTCGACATGGACCTAGGCCTGGGCGCCGGCTCGCTGCACCGCGCTGAGCCGCTGGCCGCCGAGCTCGTCGCGGCACTGCCGTTCGGCTCCGGTAGCCCATCAAGCCTGAGTGCGGCAAGCATGCGCCTCACGTGGGGCTTTCTGTGCCGCGAGATTACGGCGCTTAACGAGCGAGTGAGTAGCATGTACGGACTGGTGCCCTCGGCGGCAGCAGCTGACCTTGCCTCGCCCCTCTGCAGTACTTCATCTAGCTCTGGCCACTCTCTTCCGTCATCGTCCCACAACCTCTCCTCTTCTCAGTTCCCCTGCATATCCTCGTCTCGCCTCTCACGTCGCTCCTCGCCCGCTCGCTTTACGACCCCCTCCCACACTTTTCTCGCCTCGTCGCACGAACCTGCATACAGCTTCTCACCCTCGTCGCTCGCTCCGTCACACCCACTCAACCGTCACGCTGCCTGCGCCTCTCGTCCCACACACACACACACTCATGTTCTGTCTTACTACCCTACGATTTCTCGTCCATACACATCCCCCCCCTCCCAGCATGTTCACCCAGCTCAGCGCCACACGCGCTCGCCCTGGTCCACCCCCTCGCCCTGTCACGCTCCCCACACCAGACGACGCCGCGCCTCTCGCCGGCGTCGCTCTGGCCCTTGTATCATCTTGCTCCTGCCTCTACGTCCCGTCTCTGCGTCAATGCGAGCCCATCTCTGAGCAGCAGTGTGCCGATGCGTGGTCCGGAGGCAGCGATCAAGATGCGGAGGCAGCGAGCACAGGCCTCCGAGGCGGAGTCGCGCGCGCCCCAACGCCCGCACCAGCCAGGCACGCGGCGGCGGCGGCTTATCTGCTGTCGGCCTGCCTGCGATGCGCCTCTCGGCCGCACTGCTCCCAGAGTTGCACCGGCCGGCTCGCGCTGGGGCCGGGCGCCGCGGAGTCTAGTGCAGGCCGCCCGCCGGCCAGCGGCACACGATTGCGCTGTCGCTGGCTGGGGCGGCGAGGCGACGCGCGGCGGGCAGCACAGCAGCAGCGGCCACAGGCGAGGGCAGCGCTCGCTGGACCCCGCGCCGCGCCCAGACCATGCTTCGCGCGCTCGCCTCGCTCCTCGCTCCGCACCACACCCCCCAGCGTCAGCATGAGTGCATCAGCCGCCACCACGCTGCTGCGCAGCGCTCGCCGCTCCACGCTCGCCGCCGCCCGCGCCTCGGGCTCGTCGACTGCTGCGCCGCGCCTGGCTCGCGGGCGTGCCTCGGCCGTCGACCCGGCCGACTTGGCGTCCAGCGACGCGGCCGCCTCTAGCCCTCCCTTCGCTGCCGTGCCGCGCGCCGCGCCGCCGCCCGACGGCACGACGCGCCACGACTGGAAGCGCCAGGAGGTGGCGGCCATCTACAACTCCTCGCTGCTCGACGTCATCTTCCGCGCCGCGGCCGTGCACCGCATGCACCACCCGCCCGGCGGCATCCAGCTGTGCACGCTCATGAACATCAAGGAGGGCGGCTGCTCGGAGGACTGCGGATACTGCTCGCAGAGCAGCCGCTACACGACGCCCAGCACGGCAAGCAAGCTGGCAGAGGTCGACGAGGTGCTCGTCGAGGCGCGCAAGGCGCGCGACAATGGCAGCACGCGCTTCTGCATGGGCGCCGCCTGGCGCGAGGTCGGCGGACGGAAGCGCGGCTTCAACCGCATTCTCGAGATGGTCAGCGAGATTCGGTGAGTCAGCGAGAGGAGATACAGCTCGGCGGGCGGGTGTGTAGCCGGAGCCGCATGCTGCGTGCCGATGGCGCGGCGAACACGCACTATAGCTGCGCAGTCTGATTGGATAGCTCCTGGCGCGAGCGCTGAGCAGTCAGGCCGCAGCAGGCTCGTCATGCGATCTCTGTGCTTCTCTGCGCCTCGACTGACGCATCCTCTCGCAGGGGCATGGGCATGGAGGTGTGCACGACGCTCGGCATGCTCACGTCTGAGCAGGCCGTGGCGCTCAAGAATGCCGGTCTTACGGCGTACAACCACAACCTCGACACGAGCCGCGAGTACTACGGCAAGGTGTGTTGCTCTTCCCTCGCCTCCTCGATGCACACACTCACGCGCCTTCCTTCTGTCAGGTGGTGACGTCGCGCACGTACGACGACCGCATCTCGACGATTGAGAATGTGCGCAACGCCGGCATCTCGGTGTGCTCGGGCGGCATCTTGGGGCTGGGCGAGGAGGCGGCGGACCGCGTGGGTCTGATCTGGGAGATGAGCCGGCTGCCGGAGCATCCCGAGAGCTTCCCCGTCAACGCGCTCGTCGCCATTCCGGGCACGCCGATGGAGGGCAACGAGGTGCGTCTCTCTCGTACGGACTCGCTGCACGCCGCGACACATGCTGACACCTGAGACTCACTCAGCCCGTGAGCATCCAAACGATGCTGCGCACCATCGCGACGGCACGTCTCGTGATGCCCACCTCGATCATCCGTCTCGCCGCCGGCCGCCATCTCTTCAGCGAGTCAGAGCAAGCCATGTGCTTCCTCGCCGGCGCCAACGCCATCTTCACGGGCCACAAGATGCTCACGACGCCGACGAGTGGCTGGGACGAGGACAAGGCGATGCTCAAGCGCTGGGACCTGCGCGGCCTCGGCTCGTTTGAGGAGAAGCGCATGGCGCCGCATGCTGAGACGCCTGTCGCTGCAGCGGCGGAACAGCAGGGACTCGGCCTGAAGCCTGATGCGCCCTCGGCTTGATGGCCTCGCAGCTCGAGATCAGCAGGCGATGTGTGGGTAGAAAGAGAGGAGAGGAGAGAGGTGATGGCGCGCCACCCTGCCGGCCAAGGCTTAGAACAGTCTGGCGTGGCGCTGCTTCGGCCGGCCCTCGGCCGTGCGATACATTCATGCCAATGGACATACACTGCCCGTCCATCACGCCAGCTGGACGGGTCCCAGACTGAGGAGCGTCGATGGCCGACGACGACCACATGCAAAGTCTTGCCTCCAAGGCGTCACTGCGAGCTTGCGGCGCTGGGCTCGGCACGTGCTGCACAGCCAAGATTCGACAGTGAGCGCCAGGCTAGGCGTGAGGCCAAGGCTTTATCCGACACTTGGCCATCTGCTGAGGACCCGCCGACCCGAGCGACTGGATGAGCTTTAACCGAGCGAGCAAGAGGCGCCGTCCTCTCGAGGAGCCCTTGGCGGCGCCAACGCGGTGCGGTGTGCGTGCCGCTCTCCACGCTAGTAGGCGCGCGCGCGAGACGCGGCCGAGCCCATGGGACGAGCTTCCTCACCTGCACGCCGTCTGCCCTCCCTCACGCCCGCTTGCAAAGCGCCTGACCCGACGCACCGTTCCCGACAGCAAGCTGCCTGCGGAAACACTGCTGCATCTACTTCGCTCTGCATGCAGAGCGCCACTGTCGTGGGAAGCTTGCGCATGTGGTGATCGCAGCACGGACGCGCGCCAGCTAGCCTTCGCTCCTGAAGCCCCTGCTCGTCCGTCTCCTCGCTGCAGCCTCTCAGAGCTGCAGTGCACGCCGATGGAAGACAGCCAGCTAGATGTTGGAGAAGACGAATCGATGTGCAGGCTGTTCGTACAAGTGTGGACGCGGCGGCAGGGGCAAAGAAGTACATGGCAATCCTCGAGTCGCAGAGAGCGCGCCATCTTTGGCAGCGGCGACTCGCGACGAGGCAGGGAAGAAGGAGCGAACAGCAAGAAGGTAGCAGTGAGTGTGTGTGTGGCGCTGGGCCAGAGCAAGCGCAGATAGACGTGGTGGTGCTGCAAGCGTGTAAGGGCGTGCGTCCTTCGCATGGCGCTGGTATGCGCCGGGCGCGTGAGTGGGCGAAGCACGCCCGGTCTCTATGGTGTGAGGGAGTGGGGTCTATGGGGTGAGGAGGATGAGAGATGGCTAATATCGCGGCATGCGGAGAGGGAAGGGATGCGGGTGACAAGCTGGCGAGGACGACGAAGGGCTGGACGATGGGCGAGGCGACGAGCGGCGAGCCTTAGTGCGTGGCAGCAGCGGCATGACGCTTCTTGAGCATCGAGCCCAGCGAGACGCCGTTGACGCTGAGTCTTGCCTCGTCGAACTCGCGCTTCCACTTTGCCTCGTCGGTGTCGCCAAGCGGGTGTTCGAAGCGTGCGCGCAGGGCGGCATGCCATTCGGCGTGCTCGCGTGCCTCGGCCGCGTCGAGGGAGCGTTGCTTGCGCAGTGCTGCCTTCTTGCTCAGACTGCCATTGTCGCGATCAGCGCCATAGTGCGGTGCCTCGTCGATGTCGGCGACGAAGTGAGCGCGCCAGCCGAGCTCTGCCCGACGCTCGGCGCGCGCCGCCTCGAGGCGCGCCAAGCTGTGTGCCTCGAGCGTGTCCTTCTCCTTGCGGAAGTGCTCCTCCTCCTCTCGTTGCAGACGCAGCAGCTCGGCCTGCGAGAGCGACAGCTTCTGCTCTGCGTCCTTGCCGCCGAGGCGAGCGAGCCAGCGCGCAAGGCGCACCTCGGGCTCGGCCTCGCGCAGCTCGCGCTCCCACTCGACGTCCTCGCGCACGAGCCACAGCTCCGGCGGCACCTCGCGGCGCAGCGTCGCGCGCTCCGTCTTGTGTGCCGACGAGAGAGACGTGGCGCAGATGCCGCTCGTGCCGACGCAGCCCGAGCCAAAGGGCGAGTCGACCTTGCGTCCGGAGGAGAGGGCGAGGTGTGCCTCGGGCGTGTTGCCGACGAAGGCTTCGGCCTGGGAGAGAGAGGTCAGCGCAAGGTCTCCACGGTGCAAAGGTGACGGGAAGAGATACGCACGAACTGGTTCGACGGCAGCGTGTAGGCGCTAGAAGCGCAGGCTGCAAGCAACGGCAGAGCGAGCGTGGAGACACGCATCGCGCAAGAGGAGAGACGGCGAAAGAGGGTGCGCGGCTGGCGAGACGACGCGGCGAAGGAGATAGAGAGAGGCAGCGGACGCACGTCGGAGGGAGGGCAGTGTAGAGAGAAGGAGATCGGAGAGGCGGAGAGGAGGGAGAGGATATGGAGGTGGAGAGGTGTTAACGGAAGGCGGAGGACATCAGCTTGCTCTATGAGGGCGGCCATGCGATGGGCTGCCTGCCCCAGCACGCAGAGACCGTCAGGGCAAGGCCAAGCGAGGAGTACGCCTGCGCTCCGTCAGCGGATGTTCCATCGTGGTCTGCACACTGCTGGCCTGCTGGTAGCGCCGATGACGGACGATTATGCATGCCCTCGGCGCAGGCCGCCGGCCGACAGTCTCGAGTGCGCGGAGCTCTGCTGTGCTCCGAAAAGGTGGCCGAGGAAAGAGCACTGCAGATCTCGACATAGCATCAGGGGCGCAGCCGATGCCGACCAAGGGGCGCGCCGAAGGCCGTACAGAGAGACCGGCGTCGTGCCTTCTCGGCTGCTGCTAAGCTCGGCCTAGACTGCGACTCCTGTGATGCGAGGCAGGCGATAGAGCTCACTCACTGCTGCCGCGGCTACGTGGCGCGCTCCTCGGCTCCTCGGACGTCGGCGGCTCCGCAGCACAAAGCATGGGACCGCTGCTTCCGCTGCCTGGGTGAGACTGCCTCCTGCACGGTCGTGATCAGCGGCAGCATGCAGCGCAGACGGAGCAGTCGGCCCGAGGGAAGATGCTGCACGACGGAGGAGCAGCGTAGAGGAGTGTGAGGCGGCTCATCAGGCGTGACGACGCGAGTGGAAGCCCCTATCCGCGCTTCCTCTGCCGCGGCTGTGCCTGTCACTGCGCTCTGCAGCAAAGTGCTGCCGCTTCTGACGCACCTGCGCTAGAAGCAGCGCAAGGAAGGCGGCAGCAGGCACACGGCTGTGCGGCTCATCAGGAGCTCACGCGCTGCTGCAGCACCTGAAGCAGGTGCGTCATGGGTGACAGGAGGTGGCAGAAGCGCCTCAGGGGGCTACGCGCGTCGAGCGCGCCGAAGCGACGTGCAGCCGCGCCGGCGTGCCCTCTCGCAGCATCGCGCCGTATGGCCTGCTGCTGTCCTCGCACAAGCAAGACCCCCTGTGGCTGGCACTTTGACGCACTCGCTTGCTGCGCAGAGTGTCGTGCCTCGCCTCGCCATGTGCACCTCGCACGCACGCGCTGAGAGGAAAGAGAGCTCTCAGAGAGAGCGGCGCAACGTCGGTCAGGAGCGAGATGGGACAGCGCAGCGGCGACGCTAGCAGCTCTGGCGTCGTCGCCGTCGCGATGCTGCCGCTGCGCCAGCTAGGCTCAAGGCGAGGCAGATTGATGAGCTTGGGGCCTGAGAGAGAGCGAGTTGTTGATGCGCTGCTGAGAGGGCGCCTCGGAGAAACGTCCTAAATTGCACCCGGATGCAGAGCGAGAAGGAGTGCAGCGAGCGGCAGAGCTCGGCGCTGCGCTGGAGCCAGGCAAGGACGAGCATCGCCAGAGGGTCGCGCAGACGGGCGAAGAAAGAAAGCGAGAACGCCTCCGACGCGCGGCTGCTGATGCTAGGAGGAGGATGAGAGGGGCCGGGCGGAGCGGACGCAGCAAGAGACTCAGTCAAGTTGGCCCGGCATCGGCCGCTGCCATCATGCAGCGCAGATGCACGATGCGATGCAAGCGCGACAGCGCAGTAGAGTCTGTGAGAGGCGCAGCGGAAGCGCCAAAGCGTCAAGACGTCGGCACGGGCGCGGCTGAGGGCGCTGCGGGCGGCGGCGTCAAAAGCTTCCGCTCCTGCACGGCGGCGGCGCCATCGGCGGTGCTGCCGCGGCTTGCGCATTGCCATCCGGCATGGCCGGCCTCGTGGGCTCCTCCCTCGTGCGCGGCTCTGTTGACTGCCCTGGTCTCGCAAGCAGCAGCACGCTAGGCAGAGCTCCTCCTCGTGCTCCCCCCCATGCGATGCCCGCGCAGCGGCTCAGGGCCTCTCGACGCTACGCAGCGGACGCTAGAGCGCCGCCGAAGACTCTACTCCTTTCTTGCGCGAGTGCGGCAGATGATGAGGGGACCCCACCCATCTCGCCTCAAGCGACCCTCTCGCACTCTCGCTGCTGCTGATCGACACACCTCGTCAATGACCGCACATGTCGCTCTCTGCTCGCTCCCGCAGAGACGTCGTCATTGGTACGCTTGCGCTGCCATGAGCATGACTCGAGGCGCAATCAACTCCCATCTCGGAGCCGCCGCTGAGCAAAGCTCACACGTGGCTGCCGCGGATCAAGCATCGGAGAGGGCCAGCAAGCAGCGGACGCAGATGCAGGGCAGCCCGCGGCGGAAGCTCTGGCTCGCTTTGCTCCGCAGCTGCCGAGCGCCGGTGCCGATGCCGTGGCATGGCGGGCGTGCTGCTGCACGATGCAGCACGAGGTTATCCAAGACAGCGCTCTAACCTTTTGAGCACACGCCTCTCTTCGTCCACTCATGCAGCATGCAAGAGCTCGGAGCGTTGGTCCTTGTCTCGAGCGCGTGCCTAAGCTTGCAGCTTGGCTTAAGATCGCCTGGCAAGCTGGCAGCGTTGTGTCGGCTCGCTTGCACCCGGCTCGGAGCGCTGAAAGATGGGGTGTGAGGCACGTGGGCCTGAGAAGGAACACCGCTCTCAGGCGCCCTCGCGTAGGCTTCGCCTCGCTACCTGCCGGCACAAGCACACCGTAACTGCTGCTCCAATCGAATCGAGCGCCTGTTTCCAGCATCGAGCAGCTGCATCTCGCGAGAGAGCAGGCCCTCATCGTCCGGAGGAAAGGTGCCCTCATCTCGACGGCCTCCTTTGTCGCGATGTGTGCGCATAGCGCGGGCAAAAAACCGCATGCGTCCGATTAGCCGAGCTCTGCGATTCTCGACGCCTGCCCATGGTCGCAAACCGGGATGAGGCAACAGAAAGCGGCACGTGGTGCAGCTGGAGAGAAGGGAGAAAGTGAGCATCCCCTCCACCTCGAGGCAGGAAGCTGAGCGAGATCTCCAACGCCGGCGCGTCGCCCCCCCCCCCCCCCCAAGATTCGCCCCTTGTTCCGCCATTGTTGCGCGGCCGTCGGACCGAGAGCCTTCCTTGCTCCAGGACGGAGCAGATCGCAGCTTCGCAGCTTCGCAGCTCGCAGGCCTTCAAGCCACAATGACGGGGTCATTCTGTCCCTCGAGAGAGGCTCTTGTGGCTTGCATCACGGAGCAAAGTGCGGCTTCTCCACTCGGATGCGTCTTTTGCGCCCCTCTTGAGCACACTCGGGCGAGCTCAGGCCGAACGGGGCGAATTGTTCCTCTTGTTGCGAACGCTGCGCATCTCTTCTCTCTCCCCGCTGCACATCAGCTTCACAGGTTCGAGACAGCAGCAACGGACGATGAGATCGTGTCAAGGGCATCGTCCTGGCTGCGGGGCATCGCCAATCGAAGGCGCACACGCCGCGCACGCTCGCATCGGGGGGTCTAGATGATGCATTCACTCCCCAAAGCGATCCACATTGCGTGAGAGAATCCGACATGGCCCGCTCAAGGCTCCGGCACGAGCATGCCGACCATGGTCGTGTCAATCATAGCGTCGATGTTCACCCACGAATGCGTGAGCACTTGTTGTGCTTCATGTCAGCGCTGCTTTGCCACGCCCTCTCTTCGTGCTCTCTCTCTCTCTACTCACTGAACAACCGCGTCCCATCGCGTCCCGCCACGCGCATCGCCTCCTTCTCGCCGCCAGGGTGGAAGCGGAGGTAAGGCGTCAGATTGTAGACCTTGCCGTTGAAGGCAGACCAGGCATCGGAGGGCGTGTTGTGCTTGGCCAGCTCCGAGGGCGTGATGCGCTGCAGTGAGGTCAGGCCGGCCTGTTTTGGAGGTGGGAGTGCGTGCATCAGCAACATGGCACGGACCACACGTGCGCACTGTACCCTGCTCTAGGTCCCTCGCTGTGGCACGTTCGCCGACAGCACGAAGTCACGCCAGCCAAGGCCCTCGCCACGCCCACTCCTCTCAGCTCTCGCTGCATAACCCAACTCACACGCAGTTCCGGCTTGCCCGAGGCCTTCTCCCTCGCCCAGTCCAGCGGACTGCACCCGGGCGCAAGCGAGACTTTCTTGCGTGCGCCTCCTCCCGTCTCGGTCGGCACGCCCAGTGCTCCTGACTTGGGCACTCCCAAGCCACCGCCGCCGCCGCCGCCTATCCGTGCGCCGCCGGCGCCGCCGACGCCCGGCGGCGCGCTCAGGGCGGACGTGCGCGGTGGGGCAGCGAGGAGGCTCGAGGCCCCGCCGCCTGTCGCTGGCGGCACGCCCAGAACGGCGCGCAGAGAAGAACGTGCGGCTGCCGGTGCCGCTGGCGAAGAGGAAGCCTTGCCTGCCGCCGCGGCAGGACCCGAGACGGAGAAGCTGGGCGCCGCGCTGCTGCTCGGCGTGCCAGCAGCGGCGGCGCGACTAGGCCCCGCCTGCGCACGGCTGCTGCTGCTGCCGCCACTGCGCTGTGCGCTGTTCAGCGCCGGGAATGCAGGCGGCGCGTCGAGGTCGTCGCCTCCACGCGTGCTGCCCAGGCGCGAGACGGCATCGTGGAAGTCAGCGTCTGAGTCGGCGTCGCTGCTGGCGTTGGACGCGGTGCGAGCATGGGTGGCGGCAGTAGTGGCAGCCATGCTGGCGCGCTGCGGAGAAGAATGGCAAGCGACTAGTTGCGAGTGGTGGAAAGTACAGATAAGGGGAAGGAAGGAAAGAGGGAAATGTGCCTCAGCCTAATTGAGCGGCGCGGCTGAGAGAAGAGGGCGGCGATGCTCACTCAAGGCGAGGCGGGTGAGATGCTCTAGAGCGACCTAAGCACCAGCTGACACCGGAGCGCAGCTGGGCGAGAGGGACTGGCGGTGCTGTGGGGGCGATTTGCCGTGCAGGTGGCCGTCTCCTCGGGCGCGCGGTGGTTGGGAGGCAAGCGGCGCGCCCCCGCTCGAGCCGTCGTGTTGGAGGCCGCGCAGCGCGGCGAGCGGCAGCGTCAGCGGCGAGGGCGACACGCTCACGTGACACCAACGCGTGCCTTGCCCGTGCGGCGTGCCCTGCCTCGCTGGCGGCGCGTCCCGCGCGCTGCGAGGGGTCGGGAGGCGGGGCTGCTGGGAGCGCGCCTCGGCACAAGCAACGCCGGCGTCTGCGCTGCGGCGCGCGCACGGCTGCCCAGCATCTTCCCACCACCCTCCGCGCCCTCGCCCACCGTCGCCATGCGTCTCTTTGTGCTGCTGCCGCTGCTGCTGCTCTTCGCCTCGCTCGTCGCGGCGGCGCAGTGGAGCAAGGAGGATGTCGAGGTGCGTCGCCGTTGCCTGCACGCCCGGCACTCGCACGACTGACGCTCGCTCGTGGCACGCACGCACACGCCACAGATCTTCACGCTGCAGAAGCAGCTCGAGCGCGCAGAGGGCAAGGAGGCCAACTTCTACTCGTTCATGAAGCTCGGCCGCCGTGCCAGTGCCGCCGACATCCGCAAGGCGTACCGGCAGCGCAGCATGGAGATGCAGTGAGTGGCACGCTCGGGCAGAGGCGCTCGTGGCAGGGCAAGGCAGAGCATCGTTTTCCTCGCTGCGATGCAGTCCTGTGCTCACCGCCACTCCTGCGCAGCCCCGACAAGCACCGCGGCGACCCGCAGGCGGCCAAGCGCTTCGAGCGCCTCGGCCTCGTCAACAAGATCCTGCGTGATGCGCGGCGCGACCGCTACGACCACTTCCTGTCGTGCGTGTCGCCTCTCCCTTGCGCCCCCGCCGCAGCGCTGACCCTCCGTGCCTCGTCCTGCAGCAAGGGCTTCCCCAAGTGGCGCAAGAACGAGAGCGGCGCCGCAGACTTCTACTACCAGCGCTGGCGTCCCTCTCTTGCCCTCGTGCTCGCCATCCTCGTCCTCTTCACCAGCGGCGTGCAGCACGTCGTGCAGCGTCTGACGTATGCGCGCGATCTCGAGCGTCTCACGACGCTGACCGAGAACGCGCAACTCGTCGCCTGGGGTCCTGCGTTCCGCAACAGCACGGCCGGCGGCCGTCCGGAGCGCAAGGTGCGCGTCGAGGTGCGCGCGCCGCCGCTGCCGCCGAAGAATGCCGACAAGGAGGAGGAGGAACGCACGCTGCGGCGCCTGCTGGCCTCGCGCACCGAGGAAGGGCCGCGCATCGAGGTGCGCGTCAGCGAGCAGGGCCTGTACGTGTCGGATGGAGAGGGCGGATGGGAGAGTCTGGGCAAGGAGACCCTCACGCTGCCGAGCGTGCACACCACGTGGCCGCTCGCGCTCCTGAGGCGCCTCGCGGGAGCTCAGGCGCCGGCGCCGGCGAGGGAGCAGCCGGCGGCGGCGGTGGAGAAGGTCAAGAAGGCGCAGTGAGGAGTACATCGCGCAGCCATGGGGGCCGCTCTCTGTGCGCTCTCCACCAAGCAATCAAACGTCATAGCAGGGCATGGGCCTGGCCGTACGCGGGGGGTTAACGAGGTTGCGTGACGCGTACGAAACTACAGGAAGAAGAGGAGGGCGTCGCGCGAGAAGGGAGTGCGCGTGGAGAAGGAAGGGTTTGCGAGAAGGGACGACGGCGGGCGCGCATCTAGAACACAGTGTCGCTGGATGGACCCGGCGCATCACTGCTCCAGCCCGAGCCGCACACGAGCTGCACGCGGCCATCTGCGGCGCGCGCCACGACGACCGAGGCGCCACTGTCGCCCCTGCGGTGGCGCATGCTGCGCCGCAGCGGCAGCGGCGCCGGCGCCGCGGCGCGCACGGAGTGCTCGTCGTCCTCGGTGAGAGCAGAGGAGGAGGTGTCGACGGTCAGGCTTGCGTCGAGCTGCTGTGACACGGCCGGACGCTGCAGCTGAAGGACAGGCTTGGTGGGGCTGGAGGCGGAGAAGCGCACAAGATCGATGCTGTCGTCGGGCAGAGCCTCCGAGTCGTACTCGGACTCCTCGTTGTAGCATCTCGAGGGCGAAGCCGAGTTGTCCTCCGGCACGCCGACGCTGTGCGAGGCAAAGTCGCCGCGCGAAAACGTCTTCTTGAGCGGCGAAGAAGCGGTGGAGCGAGGAGGCTTGAGGGGCGAAGACCGGACTGAACGGGGTGCAGCAGCAGCTGCTGCTGCTGCTGCCTTGAGGGGAGAGGAGAGGGCAGAACGAGGCTTGAGAGGAGACGACGAACGAGGAATGTTGCTGCTTGCGCTTGCGACGGGAGCGAGCGGCGTGCGAAGAGGCGTGGGCCGTGCCGACGTGCGCGTGGAGCGACGAGGGGAGGAGGCTGCACTGTTGTCGCTGTTGCGAGAGGGAGTTTGGGGGGCGCCACGACGCACTGAACGCGCGGCGGGCGAGGCAGCGGCAGAGACGACTGCGCTGCCGGGCATGCTGGAGGACACAGCGTCGGCGGCGGCGTCGTCGAGCTGCGGCACACTGCACTCGGACGCTTGCGAGGCGCCGCGCAGCTCCGGCGCAACGGTGGCTTGTGGCGCGCAGGCGCACAGCTCAGCGATCGACTCGGCGGCAGCGAGCAGCGACGGCTGCTCAGCGGCGAGAGGCATAGGCTGCGGCGATGCGGGCGGCAGCGCTTGCTGCTCGGCGCTCCCGTACGAAGGCGTCTCGTCGGTGGCCGCCTGCTCCGCCTCGGGCGTGCCGAGCTCCTCGACTGTGGGCGTTGGAGCTTCCTCGGCTGCCTCGAGCTTCTCTGCTGCCACGAGGGCGACGACGACGGTCTGCGGAGGAGGCTCCTCGATGTCTGCGTCCGCCGCGTCCGTCTCTTGCTCCTCGAGCGTGGCCGGCGCAGGCGAGGCAGCGTCATCGAGTGCGTCCGTCGCCATCGGTGCGCCCACCTCCTGCGACACAGCGGCAAGGCCGAGCGGCTCGTTGACTTGCTCGTGCGCAGGTGCGGCGTCGACACCAAGCTCATGAGGCTCCTCAGTGGCAAGCGTCTCAAGCTCTGGCTGCCGCTCGCTCTCGGGCTCGACGAGCGTGGCGAAGTGCACCTCTGCCTCCTGCGGCTGCATTTGCTCAGCTAGCGCCTCGACGAGGGGCTCGAGCTGCTGCTGCTCCTCGACCACAGCTGGCGCTGCGATCTCGGCCTCGAGCTCAAGTGCCTGCTGCGGCGGCGTCATCGGCTCCTCTTTGCTCTCGGCGGCGCTCTCTGACGCATCGAGCTGCTGCTGCGTCTCAAGGCCAGGCAGAGGCACCTCTTGCGCACTCTCGCCGAGCGCCTCGACGAGCGTGCGGCGCAGCTCGCGCAGCTCGCTCGACGTCGGCGACGGCTGAGCGCTGGCGGCGCTTGCGCTGGCAGACGGCGGAGACGCCATGCCTGCGTCGCCGGACGCGACGATGAAGGCGGCGCTTGTGTCGTAGGCGGCATCCGAGGCCGCAGCGGAGTCGCCAGATGCTGCGGCCACGACGAGGGGCGTTGCTTGAGGCGTCTCGACTGCGCAAGTTGAGGCCTCGAGCGTCGGCTCCTGCCTCTGCACGAGCTCAGGCTGCTTCTGCTCCTCGGCGCCGGCAGCGCTCGGTGCCCTCGCCGCCGCCGTCTTTTGCTCCGCGAGCGCCGAGGCGCGCTTGGCCACGGCCGCCGACGGTGCCGCAGGCTTGGCCTTCGATGGCGCTGCCTTCTCGCTCGTCTTGCCAGCTGCTGCCGCCGCAGCCTTTGCCGCGCCCACCTTGCCCGATGCCGGACGCGTGGGCATGAAGCGCGCCGCGGGCGCACGCTGCGTCGTCGTTGCCGCTGCGGCGACGGCGGCGGCGGCGGCGGCGGCGGCGCAAGCGGGCTTGGAGGCATCGATGCAAGCCTTGCTGCTTGCGGCGGCGGCGCGGGCACTCGCGGACGCATGACTGCCCGAGACGACACGCGAGCCGACGGGCCGCACCGGCGGCTTGGCGGGCACTGTGCGCGCTGAAGCAGAGGTGCCGGCAGCAGCAGCTGTGGAAGCACCACCACTGCCCGGCTGCTGCCGCCCAGACGGCGCAGACTTGGCGCTGGCGTCGCCCGTCGACTTGACACTTGCGCTCGGTGCCGCCGCGGCGCGAGGTGCACTTGTCGAGGCGGCCAGCTTGGCGCCGAGAGGGCCTGGCGCGGGGCGACTCTTGAGCGCCGCCGAGCTTGCCACGGCGACCTTGGCCATGGCGTTGGCGAGCGGTGGCTTGCTCAGCGGCTTCGTGTGTGGCGCCGCCGGCTTGGTGCTCGAGACACTGGCCACGCGAGAGCCCGCCGCCTTGCCGAGGCTCGCAGGCTTGACGCCCCGCGCAATCAGTGCCGCCGAGGGCCCCACCAGCTGCTTCTTGCCCGCCAGCGCCTTTGTCGTCGAGCTGGCCACCTTGCCGCCGCCGCCACCGCCAGGCTTGGCACTCGAGACGCTCGCCTTCTTATGGCTGCTGCTCGTCGGAGCGCTGCGGGCACCGGCGTCGCTCGAGGGCTTGCTGGCGGGCACAGCCACGCTGCTCGACAAGGGCGCCGCCGCCTTGGACGTCGGGCGGAAAGGTGCCGTCGCGGCGGCCGCTGCAGCAGCGCTCGTCGCCTCGCTCGAGGGCGCAGCCGCTGGCTCCTCGGGCGCAGCCAGTACCTCGATGACGACCGCGGGTGGGGTGGTCACTTGCGCACTTGCGGGCTTGACTGGCTCCTCGCCGAGCATCGGCGTCTCCTTGACCGCGCGCGTGGTCGCCATGGCAGGGGCCGTGCCGTCGAGGCGCGGCGGAGCAGTGGGCGACGCTTGCTCGCTGAGGCTTTCGAGATGGCCTCCTGCTGCTGATGCTGATGCACTGAGTGCCAGCGCACCCGCGCTCTTCGGCAGCGTCTTGACGACGCGACTGGCGCTCGGCTGTCTCGAGAGTGTCGGCGCAGGCGCCGCAAGTGCAGGCGCCACGTGGACGCGCGAAGCCTTGACGGTGACACGCCGAGCTCCTCCTCCTGCGCCGCCGGCGCCCGTGCTTGCCGACAGAGAAGCGGCAGGAGCAGCAGCAGGAGCAGCAGCAGCAGCAGCAGCAGCACGATCAGGAGAGGCGTGGGCACTCTGACTGTGCGATGCCGATGCCTCGACTCGCTCGCGCTGCGCTTGCTCGTGCACGAGGGCATGCAGACGCTCAGCGACCAGATCACTGGGCGCCGCCGCCGTCGCTGCGAGCGTGGCGTGGTGGTGCACTTCTGCAGCACGCAAAGTGCTGCTACTGCTGTTGCCGCGCTGATGCTGCGCATCCTCTCCCGACGCACTTCTCTGCCCCTCGTGTCTCTCGCGCTGCTCCCGCTCGCGCACGTGTTCCGGCGCCGGCGGCGCCGCCGCCTCGAGTGGCGCGCAGGGCTGCGTCCTGCCGCTGCGACTTCTCTCGCGCGTGTGCTGCTGCTGTGCCGCCGCCTCGGCAGAGGCCGCCTTGGGCGCGCTCTCGGCGCGTGCGTGCGGCTTGTTGAACGCCTGTGCGTACGCCGAAAAGAGGGCCGAACTGGCGCCGCCGACGCCCGAGGTGCTCGAGGAGCTGCTCTTGGCCAGCAGCGCAAACGGCACAGCAGCCGCGTAGCCGTGCGATGCGGAAAAGTCGGCCACCCCACGCGGCAGCGCACCCGAGCTTGAACTTGATGCCGCCGCGCCAAGCGCCGCATGCGAAGACGCCGATCTCGCAAAGGCCTCCTTGGCAAGCAGCTGCACGGGCTGTACGCGCAGCGCAAACGGCGCCGCGAGAGCCGCAGGAGCGGCAGCAGGCAGCATCATGGCCGCCGCACTACTGGCGCCTTGTGCCCAGTTCGGCGGCGGCGGCGGCGCACTTGCCTTCTGTGCGCGCATGGCGGCCAGCTGCGCCGCCAGTGCGGAGCGCTTCGGCGAGTCGAGCGAGTCGCCTTGCTGCTGCGGCGGCGGCTGCGCAGCTTCGCGCTGGCGCACGCCACGAGACTCGCCTTGGCGCGCAGGTGCGAGGGCCTCGAGGGCGTCGACTGCAGCGACGGGCGGCGGCGCTCGCACGGCACCCGTCTTGGGCAGTGCCAAGTAGCGACGAATGGTAGGCGTGAAGGCGGCTGTGAAGCTGGGGAAGTTGCGATGGTCCGTCCGTGTCAGCCCCCACGCCCCCCCACTTCACTCTCTTTCTCGTGCGCAAACTCACAGCTCCACCCTCTCCGGCCACTTGTCCATGTAGGCGCCAAACAGTCTCTTGCTCAGCTGTCGCACCTCGGGATTCGAGTCGGTGGCGCCATGCCTGACGATCGTCTCTACATCGGCACTGCGCCTGTGGATGCGCGCCTTCTCGCTCGTCTCGACGAGCACGGCGGCACACTCGACGCTCGCGGAGCGCAGCGCGGGCGCCTTGTCCCTGCATGCCTCGCGCAGCAAGGGCAGCAGCGAGGCAAGGCGACAATGCTTGGCGATGAGCAGCAGCGTCTTGCGCGCCCGCGTCATGGCCACCTTGTTCTGCCGCGCACAGAGCAGCAGCAGCGCAGGCACAAACGAGGGCACGAGCGCGTCGAAGCGCTCGCCGAGGCGCGGCGCGATGCTGTTGAGCACGTCGGACGCCGTGCCCGAGAGACGAGTGCGGTCGGAGAGCAGCTATGCGGAAAAAGCGCGCCCCCGACAAGTGCGTCAGCTCTGAGGCAAAAGGCCCACAAACTGACCGCCTTCCCCCCCCCCCCCCCCCCCCCCCCCCCCCCCCCCCCCCCCCCCCCCCCCCTCCCCCCGCCGCCTCCAGAAAACACAAGAAGTAGATGGGCCACGCGAAGGGGAGAGGGGCATCGCTTCGACATCTCTCTCTGCATGCATGCCCAGGGCGGTGGCGGCAGCGAAGATTGTGTTTGCGCGCCCGTACATCGCTACTCCTTCGACGGGCTTCTCACTTTGCTTGCCTGCCCCCTGCACAAACTGGCCCCATCATGCTCGGCTTCTCCATACGTGTGCCCCCCCCCCCCCCAACTGCCTCAACTGCCGCCTCGCGCGCGTCACTGACGCTGCCCTTTCCCTTGCCCGCGCGCCTCGGGGTCATCCATTCATCTTGCCACTGTTTGGCCATTCTCTCTCCCACGCCACTCCGTTGCCCCCTCGCGCTGCCGCACTCTTCTCTCTCACGCCCGCGAGACTCACCGAGGTGCAAACGACGGCGCCGAGGCCCTTGAGCAGCGGCACATACTCGTCATACTTGTACGCGCCGCCCTTGGTGAGCGCCTCGAGGCGCAGCAGGGCGCGCTCGAGGCGCTGCCACGAGTCTTCGCTCTCGGGCTCGGCGAGCTGCTCGGCGAGCGCGGCAAAGTGCTCGGCGAGCGCGGCGGCACTGGCAACCTGTGTGCGGGGAATGTGCGGGGGGTAAGCGAGATCTTAGCAAGGGGGAGGGAAATGAACAGGCAAGGATGCCAGGAGGACACGCACAGCAATGCGCTCCTCGGGCTTGGCCGGCATCGCGGGCAGCGCAGCACGGGAGGGAGAAGGCGGACGCCGCTCTGGGCGCGTGCGTGCGCGGGACGTGGAGGCTTGAGGCAGCCGGACGAAGCTGTAGAATGGAGCTTGAGGACAGGGAAGAGGTGCTCCGATCCGCAAGACGGAAGGCGCCGAGAGGGAAAGACAGAGTCGACAGAAAGAGGTGGATGTGCAGATGCCCTTGATGAGTCGAGTCTTGCGAGACGATGATGGAGGAGGAGATGCAGCGAGCTGAGCTCGCCCCCCGTGCGAGCGCAACAGCCGCGGGCGGCGCGCGGCGGCGGCGGAGAGCGAGAGCAACACGCCTCGCGCGCGCGCGCGCCGTGCCGCATACACGCGCGTCATCTCACGTGACGGCACAGCGTGGGAACGGGCAACGTCGTCCAGGCGTCGTCCCGGCCGTCGCCGTCGGCGCCGCGATGGCGCGAAGCTCGGCGCTCGCCCTCGGCGCGGCTGTGCGTGCGCTGCGCTGGCCGCGGCGCCGCCTCGCTCGCAGTCGGCGCCGCGCAGCACCAGCGCTTTCAGCCATCGCGCGCATCCTTGCCCTCTCCCTCACCACCACCTCATCTCCCTTGCCATCTGCCAGCCAATGTTCGCCCGCGCCCTCCCCGCTCTGCGCGCCGCCGCCGCGCGTCCCTCGATGGCGCGCGCCGCCGTGCCCTCGCTTGCGCGCCGTGGCTATGCCGAGGCGGTGAGCGACAAGCTGACGCTGCAGCTCATCCTGCCGCATGCGGTGAGTGTGCGCGAGTTGGTTTGTTTGCGTCGGTGCAAGAGGAGGAGGGAAGAGAGGAGCGCTGGGAAGCGGTAGTGGGCAGAGGGCGGCGCAGAGGGCGGGCGCAAGAGCAGCAAAGAGGAAGAAGGGTGGTGCACAGCTGATACAACTGACGACTGACGCCGGCACTCGATGCTTCCACCAGGCCCTCTACCAGGGCGAGGCGACGCAGGTCAACATTGCGGCCGTGTCGGGCGACATGGGTGTGCTTGCCGGTGCGTCATCAGCTGTGTTTCTCATTCTCTCTACATTGCTAGTAGGAGACGAGTGTGACGGAACTGACGTGTCTTCTTTTCACTTCGTGCCCTCTCTCTTTTCCTCTCCATCTTTACCCTCTACTCTCAAACTCGTGCCCTTCTCGCTTGGCGCCTCTCGCTTCGCTTTTGCTCGACTCAATCGTGGGGCTACCTCAACCGTGGCTGCTCATCCTCTCGTTCGCCCCGCGCACTGCCGCACGACTCTCCACCCCTACACTCCCTTTTTCCTACGCGCCGCCGCCCGATGCGATGGCGTCGTCGGCGTCCGATGATGTTCGCGCCGCCAAAAAAAAAACACACACACAACAGCCCACGTGCCGTCCGTGGAGCAGCTGGCGCCCGGCCTGCTCGAGGTCATCGAGGCGAGCGGCACGAAGCGCTGGTTTGGTGAGTTTCCGAGTCTCCGAGTGCCGAGTCCGAGTGCCGAGTCCGA